TGTATCATTGACGTGACCACATCCACTTTGAATAATGAAAACATCCTTCTCACGAACGCTATCCTTTACTTCAATTGATGTTTCCCCATTGGCAAATTTCCGCGATTCAACCTTGCCCTCTTCAAGAGTGAGATTCCGACAAATCGCTTTCGTTAATAAAGGGTGCGACTTGCCTCCAAGTACTATCAAGTTCCTCATTCCTTGCTTACAGTATAATGTTGTTGTTGTTGATTATATCTTGAAAATGTTGATAAAAGCAAATTTTCTATATATACATATATATATATATTTTTTTTTTCTATAGCTCATCTCTGAAAATAACAATTATAAAAACCTATTGAATGTAGAATGTAGTGGATGGTAACAGTTGATGAGGCGGTTGAAGATATGATTTAGTAATACGCAGATGGTAGTAGAGAAATAACTAGTTATCAGCACTATCGAGCAACACTATCGAGCAGAGCGAGATAGTGGCGACAGTGTCGGTGGCAGATAGTGGCGATTGTGTCGGTGGCAGATAGTGTCGGTGGCAAATAGTGGCGATAGTGTTGCTATCAAGTGCTGCTCCACTATCTCGCTCTCAATAGTGTCGCTCGATAGTGTCGATAGTAGCACATAGACTACTATCGACACTGTCGGTGTATTGGTGTAGTCTGTGTGCTCCGCTATCTCGCTGCGCTCGATAGTGTCGATAGTGGAGCATCCTCCATTTCTTCTTCTCAATATCGAGCCTCGTACGAGCCCGATTTAGTTGTATATCTAACCCACTTAACAGTCTTGTAATTTGCCCTTTCTTGAACTTTCAAATATCTTACAGTAAGACCAGAGCTGGATAAAGTATCAAGTACAAAATCCAAAGAAACAGGAGGTCTACTCCATTGCGTATAATCCTCGGAGCTTGTTTGTATAACAACTTCAGCTGTTAGAGTATCTTCGCGCTCGCCATAGAACTTGTTGAATTTCCAAAATATGCAATTTTCCTCCGGGTGGTATTTACCCTTGCCACTCGTGGTGGTAATGTCACACAGTCGAACACCATTCGGAGTTGGTATTTTTAGTTTCACACCTGTAGCTGAAGCTTTAGAAGGGTAAAACGAATGCAACTTTACTCTGAAAATGATCTTGTTGTGTCCAACTTCTTGAATGTGTGGATAGATCTTAAATGGCAAGTTGACATCTTGGTTGCAAATATAGCTCATCAACTGAAACTCTCCATCCGGTGGAATAAATTGTATTGACCGGTCATTTTCAAATGCACTTAGCTCAACACATTGGTGAAATTTTGTATCTTCCAATTTGATCACTTTGTCCTTAGACTCGTCTTCAAGCTCATGGTTTGCTAGTAAAATCGTATTGTAGTTGAATCCAAACCGACATTGCGGCATCCCCGAGAGATGAGTTTTCATTTGAATGCACCCGTCAATGTAGCTTCTCAAAACTTCGCTTTGGGAATTCATAATCACATTGATTTTCTCCTCAACATTTAAAAAAATATCATTTCGACGATACTTGATATTAGCTGATCTCCAGGTAACAGTTTCGTGATTGTTGTTACTGCTGTTGTTGTTGTTGTTGTTGTTATTGTTGTTGTTGTTGTTAAAAGCAAGTGCAGAATTCTTACTAGTATTTGTACCCTTTTTCAATTGAGCTAATTTGAATAGTCCAAAATCTGAATCTTTCATGCTTCCCACGTATTTTTTCACATATTCCAAATCTAAATTTGTTGGAAACCCAAATTCGCATACTTCTCCGAGTATCTCATAGCATAGTGGGAATTGGTTAACTATCGATGTATCTGTTAGCTCTGGTTTTTGCAGCCGCTGTTGTTTCTTTTTGTTTTCTTCCCAAAGCACCGAACACAAAAGAGTCTCAAGTTTATACAAAAACTCAAGAACTACAGAACAGTCCTGGTTGGATCGCGTTACAGCACATATCCATACATTACCCAGTTTAATATATATAAACGAGGTAGATCCTAGTGTGAGCACTGGAGTTTTCTGTTCACGAGCAGATCGGCCGGTGGATACTTGATTAATCACTTGAATGCGAAAAACATCGGCTATATTCCTCTTTATCTCATTCTTATAAAGTTTTGAAACAAGTATGTCACCTTTAGAGTCATAAATGAATATCGCTGTTATCATCAGCTTTGGCCTTTACAAGGAGTAAATCTTAAACAATTCCGGTGACACTATAATATAAAATACTTTAAAACCTCTGTGCAAAGAAAGAGCCTTTTAAGGAATTATGGTTGAAAAATTATTTGATAGTGAATAAACAAATTATACAAACAATGGAAAAAAAAATAAAAAAAAAAAAAAAACTCTTACTAGGAAGAAGAAGATTGATCAAGGTGATAAAAATCAAAAAGGAAGAAGGATATTTATTGACTTGACGATTGGAGTCCGACAAGTGCTAGCTTTGATTTCTTGTCATGTTGAAATTTCTTGTTCAGAGTCGTTTTATTAGTTTTGCTCTTGTTTCTACTAGTAGATTCTTGTTGTTGTTGTTGTTGTTGTTGTTGTTGATCACTACCCTCTGGAGATGTACTTTCACTTTCCCTATTCGAATCCTTTGAATGAAGCGATTTGCCTTTCTTTTGCAGCCTTCTATTGGGATTGCCACTCCCATACAAAAAATCTTCTTCCAAAATCTTAAATCTTTTTGGAGACTTTAGTAGCATTCGTAGCCAACCTTCAATTTGTTCATCGCTCCAATGAGTTTCCTCTTTTAACTTTTGACGGCTAGCTGTCTTTCTCGCAGATTTACCAAATACTTCCATCCCATCACGCTTGAATAAACTGAACAACTTGCGTTCTGTTTCATCTACGCCCCCACTTGAATCCTGTCTATTACTACTATTGGTATTGTCTTGCAATACTGCCAACTTTCCGCTTTTGCGTTTCTTCATCGAATCACCATCATTTTCAACAGCCAGTCCTGAAGTTTTTTCTTGATCATCATAAGTATCATCTGGCTCATCTTCATCACTTTCATACATCATCCTCAATGCGGCATCCAATGTTTTCTTCTTTAGGTCAGCATTAATCGACTCAAGTCCTTCCCTCTTCTTTTTCCCAAATATAATGGTTGCATTTGAAAAGTTTCCTCGCGATATGTCGTCCCCATCGTATATTGATCTCTTTTGTAGTTTCTTTTGTAACTTCTCGCCTTTAACAATAGGTGGTGGTGGTGGTGGTGTGGCTTTGGTTGCTGTTGGTATTTTGATTTCATCAATTAATCCAGGATTTTCAAGTAATAAGTCAGTTACAAGTTCAACATTGCCTTCATATTGTCTGAGTATTTCTCTTGCTTTACTTTCATCCAACCCTGGGAAAAGATCCACTAGCAATGATATATCTTCCACCTTTTGTTGTGTTTCATCATCATCTTCTTCTTCTTCTTCTTCATCTTTGCTTATATCCAATCCCCTCAAAAATAATGCTCTTTCCTCCAAATGTGGTACCAACTCTTTGAATGGATCCGATATCACTATTGAACTCAATAAAGGTGCTTCATTAAGTGAGTCAATAGATACAACACCAACAGATTTCATCAATTGTGCTAATTTTGCTGGCGATAGCGAGATTATCGACACAATCATAACATTTTTTAAAGTATCTGCGTTTACACTTTTACCGCCAGCGTACGCCTCTTCCAAATATTCGATCCAACTAGCTCCAACAAACAATTCGGCAAAGGGAAGACTACTGGTAACAGCTTTCGTTACAGTTGCACTCGATCCCATGGAAATTGTGGTTGTTCTTTTTGCCGTTTGCTGTCCTAGTAAAATACTCAAGTGCTCCAAACAACTATGAGAAAAGTTTCCACCAGATATCAATTTTTGAAGGTGTTTCTGCAAAACAGGTATGAATGAAATATTTCCTGATTTTTTATTATCGTTGAGTTTTGATATAAAAGTGCCATCTATTAACCCTCGAACGGTGTGGATATTTTTATCAACATATACTTGCACAAAATCCCATATATTCTCCCCAGTGAGGTTGAATCTTACAAGACCATAGCTTTTTAGCACTTGGAACACTGAAGATCGCAAAAGTTGGTCATTCCGTTTTATATCGGGATTGATTGCTCCCAAGGAAAAGATCTTTCCTCGTTCGGCATTGGTTTCATGAAGATAGGTTTTCAAAAACAAGTAAAACTGTTGTTGAGACTTGATATCTAGTTCAGCAATATTCTGCTCGAGTACAAAGTCTAGTAGCTCCAAATATGCTTTCAAAAACTGTGCCCATATGACTGGATCCTTGTCAATGAGTGATGACCGTAGCTTAAAGGGAGGATAATTAGGTATTGGTAAATTTACACCTACAGCCTTAGAATTGGCGATAGCAGTTGTCATTTTTGTATCCCCCAAAGCAATAGTGTCGTAACAAGCTACAAAGTGTTGCTCCACTATCTCGCTCTGCTCGATAGTGTCCTATAAACTATCGTACTTTAAATAGATTCACGGTATTACTGAAAAAATTCGGGATTTTTTGGGGGGGTTTTTTGATGAAAACAATTTCAGTAAATCTATTAGTAGAAAATTTTGTTCCAAAATTAATCTCAAGTATTTTTCTAAAGGTTCATATATGGTAATTCACGACGAACCAAACTGCAGAGTGAAAACAATTCCAAGTTTAATTTACAAAGATATTCATTGTTATAGTTGGAGCTCATCTCAAGCTCATCGGAAAAATTGGTATCTTTACTTTTGTTTTAACTGCTTTAACTTGAAAGGAAAATTAATCAGAAGACAAGCGTCGTGACGCAGTGGAAGCGTGCAGGGCTCATAACCCTGAAGTCCCCGGATCGAAACCGGGCGACGCTATTTTTTTTTCTCTCCCACAATCGAGCAGAGCGAAATAGTCGAGCAACACTTTTGTGGACACTACTGAGCAGTACCGACTAGTTTGTTACAACACTATTGAGCATCCTGACTATACAAGCTTAAAAAATTTATCTATCTATATATATATATATAATTTATAAGTTTTTGTTCATCTTTCGTCCCAGAATTTTTTCAACTTTTCACCAGCTTGTTTATACATAAGAACATCATCAGCTGTCAAAGTAGGAAATTCACGACCAAGATTGCACTTTTTTGAAACATTTCCTAAATTTGTTAAAGTATGAACATAATTGAGCGCATCCTCAGCTCCGATTGTATGAAATGACCGAGTATTTTGTTTAGCTTCAAATCTCTCTTGTACCCATTCTAATTGTTGACTTCTTGAAGGTAGTTGAACTTTACCAGTCAAATATCTTGAGAGTAAAATTGCTTGATATTCAAATACTCTAAATGAGATACCATCAATGGGAACACCAATAATTGTAATTAATGGTTCGCTGACGAGAAAAGTATGTTGATATAAATTGTTAACGGTTACTCCCTTGTTGGTTATAGCATTATTAAAAAAACGATTTAAGAATGGGTAGGAAAATGAATAGCCGGTGCAGTATATGATATGGTTGGGGTTCTCAATCGTGGTACCATCTTCAAATGTTACTATGATCCCATCAGAATCCGAGACTTGAACATCCTTAATAGGTGGTTTTGTTATAGCGTTGACTCTGTTTGATCTCACTTTTGTTTTTTCAAAATTCCTAATAGATTGATACACTTTGGTATTGGGCTCCCTTGCAACAAACTTAGTCAAGTCAGAACCAGATGCCCTTGAGCCAACAACAATTACAGTTTTATTTTCGTAGAATTGAGAGTCCCGGTAAAATTTAGCATGCTGAACAACTTGTGGATACTTCTTTTGCACTTGCTTCAAGCCAGGTACATGTGGAATAAATGGCACATGATAATGACCACTGGCAACAACTATAGAGTCAAAGTCTTGCTGGTACCAAAGATCTTGTTTCTCGTCATGAAAAGTCCTTATGGTTAGTGTGAATCTATAAGGAATATCTGCACTATCGTGCCTATCTATTCTTTCCACATCCTCAACTGTTGAATTTAACCTCAATACAAATTTTGGATTATCTAGATTTCGGTGGATGTACTTTTCAATATACTTTTGCACCACAGTACCAACTACATATTTATTATCTTGTTGTTGTTGCTGCTGCTTCTCAGTGCCAACTACATATTTATTATCTTGTTGTTGTTGTTGCTGCCGCTTCTCAGTGTCATCTGTGCTCCATTGGTTAACATCGCTATAAGTCATCAACTGTTCAATAATATTTGTTGTCATCCCATGATAACTAGGAGTTTGTACAAATCTTTCTTGTTTACTTTTAGGAAGAAGGATTTTCCTTGTATATTTATGAATGTGAAACGGATTTTCAAGTTGTGGATCATTTTCCAAGTCCAGATTCCCTGACTTGATTATATCGTTTGGAGTTTGTATTGTTTCTGGATTATAGTACCAGATACCACCTAGCTTTGGCTGTCTTTCGAATATAGTAATTAGCTTAATTTTTGAGTCCGGCTCCTTTAACAAACAGTCCAATATAATAGCAGCAGAAGCACCGCCTCCAATAATTGCAATCGTTTCAACCTGAGTTGGCGATAATGATACGGGATTTTCATAATCGAGAAGCAGTGACACATGGGATACCGATGGCATAATGATAGATTACGGAGTTGTAGTTGATGAGATAGTTGATAGGTTTGTAAAAATGCCTTCATTTTTAGTTTGCTCGTTATATTACTCTAGATAAGTGACATTGGCTAACAAGGTTAAATTCATTTTATTAATTGCAATTTGCAGCCACAGTTTGACATAATTGATGTTTTAAAAAAAAGATAAGAAAAGAAAAGAAAAGAAATGCCTTTGATGCCTTTTACATTTCTACTCCTCCACTAGGGAGCGAAGCGAGAAGCGACACTAGGGAGCGAAGCGAGCAAGTGGAGCAACAAGCTAGTCGGTACTGCTCAATAGTGTTAAAACAAGGTACAAAGTGTCGGTGGCGGTTAGTGTCGGTGGCAGCTAGTGTCGGTGGCAGCTAGTGTTGGTGGCAGTTAGTGTTGGTGGCAACCAGTATCAATGGCAGCTAGTGTCGATAGCAGCTAGTGTGTTCCACTACCTCGCTCTGCTCGATAGTGCCGGTGTTGGTGTAACAAAAGGGTTAAAAAAATAAAAAATGATTGCAAATATTTTTGCAGCCATTTATAATAAAAACAAAAAATAATCGTGTTCCTTTTAAGGGCGACACTTTGTAGCTAATTACTTTACAAACCTTATACAAGTCATAAGACCGATAAAAACTGCTAAATCTGTTTGATTCATGTATTCAATGAATGCAATAATCTATGTATTTTAAAGAGCCATAATCTGCTTTTAGGAATTGCTAATCACACTGAAGCTTACAATGTAAAAGAGCACTTTATTAAAAAATACATCAAAAAGGAAAATTATATATCACGTGACTAAACCGGGTTCTCAAGTGGGTTAACAACGTAGATGATAGACTTGAAATGACATAAAATAGCAAGTCCTTTCTTATATAGGACACTATCAAGCGAAGCGAGATAGTGGAACAGCACTGACCGACCCTATCGAGCAGAGCGAGAGAGTAGTATGCATTCTTTGTCATAATCATTAAACGACACTATCGAGAGCGAGATAGTGGAGCACACTAGCTCTAAACACTATCGAGAGCAAGATAGTGGAGTAGCACTTAATAGCAACACTATCGAAAGCCACCTCCTATCTAGTAAGGCACCTCCTAGGGCACCTCCTCTCTAGTAAGCCACGTGTCGTCCTAATTCAGAGAAAAAAAAAATTGGTCTTGAAAAGGCGGCTTTTTGAATATTTATAGAAGGCGGCAATTTTATTAAGCTAAGGCGAGATGAGATGAAATGAAAAATTTAGTTTAATTAATAGGTATATAGATTTTGAATTTCTCAAACAGACTATTTTCAAAAGAAAAGTTCAACTCTGTTATAAGGAGCATTTATAGAAAGGTGGTAACTTGTTTGTTTGTTTGGTTTTTTTTTTTAGTATTTCTTCCCCTTTTCCTCTTTACCCTTCCAATTGAGTTTCCATGGTTGCGCAGAAAGAGATTGATTTGAACTCACCTTTGAACGCTGATGCACCAGCATCGTTGAGCAAAACTTCGTTGACACCCGAGTTAACAAATGCGGCATTGGTATTGCACGGAGACAATTTCAAACAATCCCAAGCTAAACTTAGCAGATATATACTAGTACATCCCATTGCAATCACCCTCTACACAGTAGCGTGTCCCTTAGTCATTGCACGTTCATTGTGGGATTATATCGAAATAAGTGACAATTTGATAGAGTTTTACCAAATTCTAATGAGAAACAAGACAGATTTCGTGTTTTGCCTTTTTTCAGCATTGCCTATGCTTGCTGCTGTATTTGGATGCTTTGGTATGCTTGCTTATATTTTGGGCGATGAGTTGGGGTCAATTACAAATAAATTTATTGCTCAACGATATTGCGATCATGTGTTTGGATTCGATGTCAAGAAATTTGCCAATGTTATAGATGGCAATTCGTCATTAGCAGCGTTGGGGAAAAATACTGAAATTGTTGTTTATAGAGATTCTCCAATCGCCATTGCTACAATTAAACCGGACTATGAACAATCAACAAAAGACAATTTAATAGTGAAAATAACGGGGATCCATGTGCGTAAAGTTTTCCAAAAAGTTGATTTCGATCAAATGTTGATTGAATGGGCAGTACTAAGATCACGAGAATTGTACCAAGAATACTTAAAACTGAAAAAAATTACGCTGGGTAAAACAAATGGGTCGATATTGATTACTATGGATGCTTACTCTTTTGATAAACAGGGAGAAAACTTATTGATCAAAAACGGATTCAAATTGTTGAACAAAAGTATTGTTTTGAATCCATATGATTCAAAATTAAACAAACTTCAAAAATCAATACACCAATTTTTAGGCCTCACTAAGGATAGTTTTGGGTTATTATTGACTACTGACCTGGAAGATGTTGAGTTGATTAAGGATAGTAGTCTTTTGAGGAATGAAAACTCTGCAAAGAGAAGAGCTTGATGCAATGCTCATCTTTAAAGAAATATGATTTTTGTAAATATGTAATGCTAACAAATCATCGACTTCTCTTCCTCCTCTTCCTCCTCAGGCTCTTCGCCTTTTTTTCTTCTTAAATTAATCTAATAATCCTTTAGTTTTCAGTCTCCTTATTTGTTTTTGGATTCTGAAACCTATCAATGCAAACCAAATCAAAATGACAATAATAAGTACAAATAGTACAATCTTGACCACAGTTGTCAATGACCAGAGCATCCGCTTAATAAACGTGGCATTTTCATCACCGTATGTCTCCAACCTCCACTTTCTTTCTTGTTCCTTAATTCTCTTTTCGGCATTCTTCAATCTACTTATTGTTCTTCGTCTCTGAGTGCTCAATTTCTTTTTGAACGCTCTGTTCCTCTGACCATTAGGTCTTTGCGATTGCGATGATTTGATATCCATTTCCTCCAATTTGTTCAAAGAGCCTACTTCATTGTCAAGTTCATTTTGTTCCCTTATCAAATCATTCAATTCGTCTATCGACTCAACAAAATCTCCATTTGGTTTATACAAGGCAAACATTTTGTTTTCAATTATATCGGCGTTTTCAAATAATTGTCCTGTTTCTGCACTGAAACCCAAGTACTTGATTGAAGGTAATTGAACATTTGTTAAAGTGACACAATTATTCCAATCTTCATGCTTACCATTGTAATTGAAATCAATGGAAAGATATCCATTTTTCATATAAATTAATCTCATTTTAGTTTGGCCTTTACTTGGGTTCAAAATGTCCTTTGCTGTACATCCACCTAGTCTGGTTTCGTACCCGTCAGTGCCCTTATTGTACCAAGTTTTGCCATCGCCCAACATTATATTGACGTAAGGAAATTGACCTCGTTTACCATTTTTATAGGTATCGATCATTATTCCTAATCCATTGAAAAGATTAGTAACGCCAAACACCTCACCAATGTTGCTTGGTTTATCTAGAAACCACACGGCTAGACCATCACCGACCAATCCGTGTTTTGCGACCAAGTTGTGTATATGAAAAGTCAATTCCATTTCAAAAGATTCAGCTTGGATAGGGATTTTACTAAACATATTCGAAGCCAAGTGCTGATTAGTTGAGGTTAACCTTATAAACTCGAGATTTTGGACAAATGCGTTTCCATGCAAGTCCCAGTTCCTAACATGAAAATGAGTTTCATCGAGGAACGGCCTTGTTAAGCATTGTGCTGTTAATTCGGTTTTTTTCAAGGTTACCAAATGGCTTTTTTTATTCTGTAATAAAGAATTTAATTCTTCGGGAGTATAGGTAGAAGAAGAAGAAAAAGAAAATCTTGTATAGTAGATAAAGTATATTATGGCAAATGATGAGACGAGTAGTAGATATTGCAACGGTTTGGATTCTTTGAACGTCCTTTTAAACGACATTCTCACCGAGAATTACTTACCTCAGAGAAAAGAGAAACAAGTACACTTTTCATATAAAACCTTTTCAGGGTTTTTATTTATGGTATTAAGAAAAAGAAGAGAATGAAAAAGAAAGAAAGACACCTTATTTTTTTTCCCAATCCGAACCCGCTTTAAATAATTTTTCAGGCATTTCAATATTACTGATCACTTTACATTCTATTTTTTTAAAAGTGGCTGACTTATTTTTTTCCCTTGATAAGCCGCCTCGACACAGAGACTATCGAGCGAACCGAGATAGTGGAGCACACTGACTAATGACACTAGCTGCTGACACTAGCTGACACTAGCTGCCACCACCAGCTGATGACACTAGCTGACACCTCTGACAATTCGTATACTTTTCAACACAAGTGAATAGACTTGTTTGTACATCCTATCCCCTCTTTTAAAAGTGTTTACTCTTTACTATTTTTTTAAATCTTTTTGACTAGTAGGATGCACATCACGCCCAACTATTTCTATGCAAAATTTTCGTATTTTGCCAACACTAGCGAAAGAGACTATCGAACGACACTATCGAACGACACTAGCGAGAGAGACTGTCGAGCAGAGCGAATAGTGGAGCACACTCATACACTCAAACACATATATATACACTCACACAAACACATGTATACACTCACACAAACACTGTCTATCTCTCTCACATATATACACACTCGTACACTCAAACATATATACACACTCGTACACTCAAACACTCACACAAACACTCACACAAACACATGTATACACTCACACAAACACTGTCTATCTCTCTCACACAAACACTCTCTACCTCTCTCACACAAACACTCTCCATCTCACACACTACCACACTCCATCTCACACTATCTCGCTCTGCTCGATAGTGTTGTAATAAGCTACTGAGTGTTGCTTCACTATCTCGCTCCGCTCGATAGTGTCGCATCTCGCTCCGCTCGATAGTGTTCTGTCAGTGTGCTCCACTACCACACTCCATCTCACACACACAAATACCGTCTTTTTCTCTCCCTCTCTCTTTCACCCTCTCCCTTGCTCTTGCTTCCCCCCTCATTCTACCTACCAAGTAAAACTGTTTTCATAGCACTAAACAAAGTTTCCTTCTTCTCACCTTTAATCTCACTCATCAACCTTTCATAATACCTAGGATTCCCCTTAGGCTTGATTATTTTGTCATCTAAAACATAATAGTTCTTATACTTGTCATTAACCAATTCCTTCAAAGCTATAAACTGTAACTTCAAATCCTTTTCCGAAATCCCATCTAGTTTATCCTTATTCTCAAATCTTTTCAATTGTACCTCCTTAAATGAAATATGATTCAACCTATCCTTAGGAAGAGTCTTTAGAAGCGACACTATCTTTTGAGCAATCTGAGCCTTAGACGATACTGGAAAAGACATTACTCTATAGTAAAAGAAAAAAATAAAATAAAAGAGCTCGTAATATGACCAAACAAACCCGTATTGATTCACCTTTTGTCCCCCCCCCTCCCCTCGCCCCAGCTCAACTTTTTTCCTCTTCTTCTTCTTCATTTTCCTCCTCCTACTAAATTCCTATTCTGTAAATTTGTGCGGCTGGGAGATGATACCGATGCTACCACGTGTTTCTCGATGCATCGCATCGCATCGGCTTGTTCTTTTGCATCATCTTATATTGTACTTGATAATTTTATTCCCAAAAAAGCTCCATAGTTGCTCTTGATCGCAAACTCTCTGACTTTTTGAATTGCACCTCTTCAGCAATGACACATAAACCATCTTGTAGAGTCATTTTTGTACGCCATGGGCAAACCGAATGGTCGAAAAGTGGACAATACACCTCCACCACCAATCTAGATTTAACACCATTTGGTGTTAAGCAAATGAGAGCTACGGGGAAGAGTCTTATTGGGCATGATCCGTTAAATATGATCAACCCTAAAAACATCACTCATGTTTTCACTAGTCCCCGATCAAGAGCAATACTCACTACTCAGGCACTCCTTGAGCATATCCACCAGGAACTTACGGCTCCAGTTCTTCTTGATGATGATTTGGCTGAATGGAGATACGGTGAATATGAAGGTATGAAGACTGACGAAATCAGGAAAAGTAGGAAAGATAGAGGCATTGATGCGCCAGATCATAGATGGACCATTTGGGAAGACGGATGTGAAGGCGGTGAGGACTATAAAGACGTCACCAAAAGATTGGACCGATTCATTCTGCGTATTTTGGAAATTCATGGCAAATACTTGAAGGAATCTGAGCCAAGCGATATCCTTGTGGTTGCACATGGTCATATTTTGAGATGCTTGGTAGCTAGATGGGTGCATCGGGAGTTGAATAAAGATCCCCAATTGATATTGGATGCTGGTGGTGTTGGTGTTTTAAGTTATCAGCATAATAACATTGAGGAGCCTGCAATTTATTTAGCTGGCGCATTCACTATTCCCGTTCACGAAATGGGCGAAGACGTTTAAACTAGATATAGAATAATAGATAAGATATTAGAGGAAACTTATATAAAAGTGCATAATAGATGTTGCATTAGATAAGCAAAGAGCGACACTATCGAGCAGAGCGAGATAGTGGAGCAGCGCTGACTAGCTGTCTCTCTTAAAACTAGCGCTGACTAGCTGTCTCTCTTAAAACTAGCGCTGACTAGCTGTCTCTCTTAAAACTAGCGCTGACTAGCTGTCTCTCTTAAAACTAGCGCTGACTAGCTGTCTCTCTTAAAACTAGCGCTGACTAGCTGCCTCTATTGACACTAGCGCTGACTAGCTGCCTCTATTGACACTAGCTCTAACGAGCTGCCTCAATCGACACTATCTCGCTCTGCTCGATAGTGTCACTACTCCATAGTGTCGCTAAGAGAAGGTAAAGAAGAAGCCCTATTAATTGTGTATTCCCCCCTACATGTTCAAGTCTGCAGCTCTTAATGCGTCCAAAATGGATTTCCAGAATTTCTGTTTATCCAAATCCATGCCAATGTATACGCCACCAGTATTGCCTTCTTCTTCTATGATATCGTGAGGCACATCTTTATTTATTACAACGGTTTCTCCTAAATGTTCACCTTCAAGTTCAATTCTCAACATTCTTCTTATATACACATACCCATACTCTTTTGGATTCTCATGAACTAATGGTAATAGACTATAAACAGCAATAGGGTCATGCAATGGAGGTCCTTCAAACATTTCATCATCATTCGCAGCATAAGTCTTACTGAAAAACATCAAAATGTCATGAAAATTCTTCCTTACTGACGAACCTTTCTTTTCATCAAGTTCGTCGTATATTTGACTTCTCACTTGTTTATTTGCAATTACTTTATGAGTTAGGTTCAATGGGGTTAGGATTATTTTGTCTTGTAAATTATCCAATACAATTTGTACAGCATGAGGATCAGTATGGAAGTTGAACTCAGCAAAAGGTGTAGCATTGCCCATATCGAAACTGCCTCCCATTATAGAAACATATTTAATCTTATTGCAAACCTTGGGATATTTCAAAATCAACTTGGCAAGATTGGTTAAAGTTCCTGTACAAACTATGCATATTTGATCTTGAAAAGATACAATGGTGTTGTACATAGCTTCAAGATATGATAGTGATTGTTTATTTACGGGTTTGTTTTTAGTATGTAAAGGTAATTTAGCTCCGCCAATACCTGTTTTCCCATGAATATCAAGAGCGAAACGGGGTTCATTTAACAAAGGAAGTTCTTCTCCCGCGTAAACTTTTACATGAAAAGTGTTGAGGATATCTAGTAGTGCCACTGTATTATGTGTTGTACATTTCAATGGGGCATTTCCATGAACAGTTGAGATGCCAAGTAGTTGAAATCTCGGATCAAACACTGCCAATAGAATTGCAAATGCATCATCATTACCTGGGTCACAGTCTAGCCAAATGGGGATCTTTTGTAACGTCATATATTTATGTATATATATATATATATGTGTGTGTGTTTGTTAAGTGTGTGTTAAGTGTGTGTTAAGTGTGTGGTGTTATGTGTGTGTTTGAGAATCTAGTAAATGATTAACCTGCTGTATTGATTCCCTCTATTCCCATATAGCTATTACCTTCTTATCTAGTCAATCTTACTTTGTTGAGAGAGCGTAGAAATACAACAGGATAGCAAGAAATTAGAGTGAGTAAAGGATCAAGAAGAAAGAGGAAAGTGAAGACGAGTTTATAAGTAAGTTAGTAAGGAATATAAACTTTGTAGTTTACTAGATTTTAAAATTTTCATGGCTAATTTTAACATTAATTATGCACACAAACTGTTCTCTCCTAAAAGTGTTAATTCTAGGTTATTGTTTCCATCTTTCTCGTAGAAAATGCAATGTAAGAATACTCACAGCCAATGAGATCTATGTGGCATTTCCTTTTTTTTTTCTTTGCGTCCATTGTACATATGTGTGACGTACATGGGGCATAAATGCACGTGTATAATAGTGTTGGGTTATGAGTATTTATGAGTGTGTATTCTTAAATGTGTCAAACCCGTGTGTGAGAAAAATCTATAGACGAGAACGAACCTTGGGTTGGTGAGGGCAAGGGGAATAGCACCAGCGCGAGATTTCAAATGAAAGATGGTAAAGACAGGTAACGTAAAAGCTCACTATCGAGCGAAGCGAGATAGTGTCGATAGTGGGAGCAGCACCTAGTAGTGTAAAACAAAGAGAAAAGAGACAAGTCATTCAACTGCGCGCACTAAAGATAGTCACACAATGACTTATATAGTCTGAAGAAAGTGTAGATATAGACTATCGAGCAACGAGTAGATATAGACTATCGAGCAACGAGTAGATATAGACTATCGAGCAAAGCGAGATAGTCTCTTTATATACACTCTCAAGATTCAAGATTCATGTCATTACACAAGATCTAATTATCGAGCGAGCAGCACCTAGTAACTCTTTATAACACTATCTCGCTTCGCTCGATAGTGTTGATAGTGTCGATAGTGTCGATTCTAGCTTCTAAAACACTGGAATTGTTGTTTTATTCTCACCATCATTCACTGAAACAATCAAATCATCATTCTGAAAAGTAGCCCCAAATTTATCAACTTCTTTAGCTTCTTCTTTGGTTTTTGCTACAAATTTTTTCACATATCGAGGAGACGTTTGTAAATCTGAGAGAATAGTATCGTGGCCATTCGGTACTATTTTCATCCTATTATCTTCAGCACGTACTGAGGAGGCAAATGAATCCTCAGTCAGTATCAATTCTCTTTCCTCACTGCTGCTCTTCTCCTTTCCTACTTTTTTTAGAGATAATCTTGATAAAAATTCCCTCATTGGATATCCAATGGTTCCAATTACATCTTCTGCCCAACAAACATCTAAATGATTATACCTCGATATTGCAACTAGCTCTAAATTGATCCCCGGTTCATAGTCTGGTTCGAAATCCTTCATATGCTGATACAATCTTCTTCCGTCAACCAAAAAATCTTCTTCACCAATTACAACCATCATGGGCACTTTTATCTTCAAATTGGCATCAGCAAACCAACTTTGCCGATACGGGAAAAACAGCCCTGAGTCGTCTTTAGTACACGCTTGTAAATCACTTGCACTATACAAATCGTCGGGGTTGAATGCTTGTTTCGGTTGCAACATCAGTACAAATCCAACAGGGTTAGCTTTGCATAGATAATACTTCATCAACTCAACGGAGACGTACGACATATTAAATATAGAACAAAAATGCCAAACTTTTGCATTTGTCCCCCAATAAATACTTGTCCAATTGAACAAAAACTTGAACATGTAATACGACAATTTACCAAATAACCAGGTGTGACAGATATAATACCGCACTAAGCAAAGGTTTCTCAACATTGCGCAAAATCCAAACAAATATAACCAAAGTTTATCTGGGAACATACACAAGATCCTGATAAATGATCTTGTGTGGAATAAATAACCAGGATACACTGCTGCTGCCAATGGCACAAACAACTCAATTTGTTCATGAATATGGGTCAATTGAGGATTTCTCAACATCAAGAAACTTTCCAATCCACCTTGTGAATGCCCAAATAATATTAATTTATCATGATTTGGTTTTTTCATGTTCATCACAGTTTCAATAAAACAGGGCAAGTCTATATAAGCCAACTCTTTTATCCCCCATTTCCAATACATTTCATTATTATACAAGTTTCCCGAAAATTGGGTGCTTTGAGCTCTAAACCAAGACCGATTGTTTCCCAAAAATACATCATATCCCAAATCATTGTGCAAATAATATGCAAGTGAATTTTTACCAGTGGCGATAAATGCTCCTGAACAGGATAGTAGTCCGTGTTGTAAAAAGGCTGGCTTTCTTAATTTTCGTACTTCAACTGACTCCTTGGGGTCAATTATGTGATGTAGCACCAAGATATATCCATCAGGAGTATTGACCAGGTACTCTTCCAAATCTAGTCCCAATTCTAGTAAATAATACCTCAATTCACTTGTTGGTTTCATTGAGTCTATGTTGTCATAAGGCTTTCGAGGGGTATATCCATTCCGCTGCAAGTCACCTTCTGACAAACTATCAATCTTCTTTGTTTCACGATCAAATAGTTTGTCATAGAAATGGCATATTACAGCACCAGAACATAAAATAGTAGAGTAGATAATTGAAAAAATGCAACTTGTTACAATTATTAGATACTTTTGAAATGGTCCATACTCTTGTTTTTTGTATTGGGAAATTACAAAGTGTTCATTGATATTCAGTGGTTTGTCCGTGGTCATCACTTGATCATCAAAATGAAAAATAAAAATAAATAAATATGGTAAATTGAAACCAAAATAAATAAGTTTGCAAGGGCTCAAGAAGTTTTTATATACACATTTGATTTGAAAACAATATGGGAAATTATTGATAATGAACCTTTAGGTTGTTTGCATATGCTTGACATAATCCACGTCAAAAAGGCAATTCTGACAATAATAAAGAAGAGTAGGAAAAAGAAAATGAAAAATAAAATAAACAATAGAAAGATTAATACATGGGCTTGAATTGATGAGTAGGTTTTGATGAAAACGTTTAGAATTTAGGAAAAAAAAAATGACAAAAACAGGCTAGACTAGACTACAATTCTTGCTACTGCCTCTACTGCCTCTATTGCTGCTGTTGTAGTTGTAGTTGTTGTTGCCGCTGCTATTGCAGCTATATTGTTCCTGGGAACAAAAAGTTGAAAAAAAAAAAAAAAAAAAGTCACAAACGTTTGTTTAACAAAAAAAAATCTCCTTTAAACGCACAAAGAGATAGCTTAGAGATCTTATCTTTTTTTGAGACAAGGAAGGCATTAACATGATACTGATAGTTTATCTCATGCTACCAGAAAATCAAATTTGGAGACAATTTTTTGCAAATTGGAAAGCATAACCCATGAGTATACTATTATTGTCCAATTTCGGAAATTTGCACAATTTGAGTTCCAGCATATTTTTCCTTTGTGATTTTTCCGACTTTGTGATGCGCAGTTGTTTACTCATTTTTCCGTTACTTAGTTAAGCGGGCTACCAAGTCTGATGTATAACCAAACCCAATGCAAACCCTGGAGATACAAATTTCAAATGAAAGCTAGACAACAGAGGAAAAGGGAATGGCAAATAGCGATACGTTTCTATAACCGAAAACAAGTGCTTTAGGGTCATTTATTAGTCAATAAACGTCAACCTACTTTTTCACGATATTGAAATAGAAAAGAGGAAGAAACAGGAATATTTGACAACCCTTGGGGGTTTGATTGTAGGTTTCAATTTTCTGTAACCTGGTGTCGACCCTGCATAACAAATCTAGCGAGCTACGGGAACGCTGACATTATCGAGCAGAGCGAGCTACTGGACCATCATTGACCGGCGCTATTTTACAATGAGGATACAATGTCGAGGAGGAGAGGTAAATGAACAGAAAAGATAGCAGCACGCTCTTACTTTTCAAAAGAAAATGAGTCAAATATAGCAACGACAAACCCTATTTTTTCCGTTGCGCCAGTTCTTGTGTGTGTATATAGAAATTTGAGTTAACTTGCAAGTGCTCCCGCTCCACTCGCTCTGCTCAATATTGTCGGATACTATACAAATTCAAGTATATTTGCAAGTGCCGACACCATCTCGCTCTACTCGATAGCGTCGGCACTATGTGGTAATGACCTCTCCTGCATTTTATCAAGGGTCAGAAGTTCTCCAAAAAGCGCCTGTTATTGTTGTAACAAGATAAAGGTTGCGCCAGGCGCTCTTCATCAAATAAATACCCACTTTTCCCTTTACTTGGGAAAAGATTTTTCTCAAAGGAATTAGGATACCCCAACTACAACTTCGAAAAAGGGACTATATTAATGAATTAACGCGAGATTTCATCATGTAATATAAAACTTGGAAGGTCATACAAAGAGAAAAGAAGAAGAAGAAGAAGAAAAAGAAGAAGAGGAAAGACCAAAATGAAAAGTTTTTCTTTTTATGCAAAAGAGAATGAAAATTAATTTTCCTTTTGGGAAGGTTGACGAGAAGAGGTCGTGCGAGATGGCCCCCCTTGAATTTTTCAATTTTTTCAACTTTACATTGAGTTGGAGAGATGAGATGATAGAGAAAATACTACAAACAACGGAAAGGATGCCTCCCAAAAGAAAACTAGCCAAGCAGCGTGAGTTTGAAGCTAATAAGAAATTCAGGAATGAAAAAAAGTTGAAACTTGAAACAGCAGAAAAGATTCAATCTTTAGCTGATGAGATCCAAAGTCATGCAAGGTATAATAACTTTGTTATCTTGTTGAGTCAGTTTGAAAGAGTGATTGATGAAATAGAAAGCGGAAACGAAAATGAAACTGGGGCAAAGATTGAGACTGATCAAGAGATTGAAATGCAAGGTCGGACTATAGCTCTTGCATTATACAAATGTTTTCAATTTCTACATAAGGAAGGGAAATTACGAATTCAGAAGCAGCAGAACGAAGGTGAGAAAATAGTAACTAAATGGTTACTAGAAAAGTATCAGAACTTTAAAAACATTATTGCTGCTGTATTGAAGAAAGATCTCAAGCTTGGTAAATCACTTGAATTGGATTTACTTGATATTATACTAAAATTTGTCAAACTAGAGGGTCAACAAAACAAAGATAAACAATTTCCAATAGAAACATATAAGCTTTTAATTGAGGCACTAATGGATAACAATATAACCAAGATTTTATCAGATGGCTTAGCGGACAATTTTCTAGTTTTGGAGTTTATCAATTCTTTTCAAAAGTATTGGGATTTACAATTTTATTTTTTCAATATCACCAGTGATTTGCTAGGCAAGTGGAAAGATTCACGATCGCCTTTGCAGTTGCAGAAAATTGTATCTAATTTTGTAACCATAATAAGAAATGGTTTACTCTTCAATACTGATAATCTTGAACAAGAACCAACTTGGATCAGCAAAGAAAACTTGTCTTGTACTCTATACAAGCATACACAATTCAAGTCTCAATTTCAGAAATGCATATCGACTATTCTAGCGTATCCTTTGATATCGTGTCAGTATAAGTCATTGTTATTGATACTACACAAGAGAATCATACCTTATTTATCGCATCCACAGAGTTTAATGGATTTTTTGACTGATTCCTATAATATTCAACAAGACTTGATCATTCCCATTTTGGCCCTCAATTCCTTATATGAATTGATGAAGAACTACAATGTTGAATACTCTGATTTTTACACTAAACTATACTCCTTATTGAGGCCAGAGTTGCTATATACTAGATACAGATCGAGATTCTTTAGATTATGTGATTTATTCTTGTCTTCGACACACTTGTCGGCGAATTTGGTGGCATCATTTATAAAGAAATTGGCAAAGTTGTCATTGACATCGAGTGCTCCCGGTACAGTGCTAATCATACCATTCATATACAACTTACTAAAGAGACATCCAACCTGCATGATCATGATACATAATACAAGCCAAAAGAGGGATACGGGTGCTTTTCAAGATCCATTTAATAATCATGAAATGAATCCAATGAATACGAATGCTTTAAACTCGTCACTATGGGAGTTGGAAACATTAATGAGTCATTATCACCCAAACATTGCCACTTTAGCAAAGATCTTTAGTGAACCATTTAGAAAACCAAGTTACAATTTGGAAGATTTTTTAGATTGGAGCTATAAGAGTTTATTAGAGACTGAAAAATCTAGAAAATACAAGAGCCAAAACTCTGCTTTAGAATATGAAGAATTCGATCTGATTTTTGATAACAAGGACAATATGACTAATGTCTTGCTAAAAGGTTGGACATTGTAAAAAGCAAAGCAAAGCAAAGTATAAAGAAAAAAAAACCACCAACCTTTTTCTGCTTATGCTTATATGGTGTAGAAGACTAAAGGAGAGTAGTGTAGGGGATGAGAGACTAGTGTAGGGATGAGGGACTACAGTAGGAATGGGAGACAACAATAGAGGAGAGTTATGTTATTTAACCATTTTAGGAAATGTAATTAAACGCGTCTTGGAAAAATTAATTTTTCCTTTTTTCCGCTTCACTATAGAAATCGCGTTTTTCCATTGCTTTATATATATATACATTTTTTTTTTTTTCCATAAAGCCTTTCCCCTTTTATTTGTAACATTCTTTCTTTTCTTGCCTAGCTGCTGTAGTTGAGTATGGACGAGAATACCCAATTTGATGAACAGCCAATAGATGCTGTGTTTGGTGACAGAGTTCGTCGATTTCAAGAGTTTTTAGACAAGGACGATACGAATCTGAGGAATGATTATCGAAGTCAGATTAAAAATCTTATAATCAAAGGTAAAAATAGGTTGAATGTCTCTATTGACCAAATAAGAGACTTTGATAGAGAATTTTGGAAAGGTTTATTAAACCAACCGTCTGATTATTTACCTGCTTGTGAACGTGCTTTGAGAGACACCGTTTTAACCGTTTACGATCCAACAAATCCAGAGTTCCCTACGGATTTCGACTCGAGTCAGCAATACAATTTGAGCTTCAAAGGTGCATTTGGTAGTCATTCCGTTACTCCAAGATCAATTGACTCTGGTTTTTTATCGAAATTAGTGTCAATTGAAGGCATTGTTACCCGAGCATCGTTGGTTCGTCCTAAAGTGATTAGATCTGTTCATTATGCCGACTCCACAGGAAGATTTTACGCAAGAGAGTATAGGGACCAAACAACTTCATTTGATGCTATTTCAACACCAGCAATCTACCCAACTGAGGATATGGAAGGAAATAAACTATCTACAGAGTACGGTTATTCTACGTATAGGGATCATCAAAAGATATCGGTTCAAGAAATGCCAGAAACTGCTCCAGTAGGTCAATTACCAAGGTCAGTGGACATCATATTAGATGACGACTTGGTTGATTTAACCAAGCCTGGTGATCGTGTACAAATTGTTGGTGTATACAGAGCCTTGGGCGGAGGAGCTAACAACAACTCATCTTTCAAGACTGTTATATTGGGTAATTCGGTATACCCTTTGCATGCTCGATCCACGGGAGTTGCATCTCAAGAAAAGATTACTGACCAAGACATAAGAAATATCAATAAACTAGGTAAGGATAAAAAAATTTTTGAGATTTTATCACAATCATTGGCACCATCTATTTACGGCTTTGAATATATCAAAAAGGCAGTCTTGTTGATGTTGATGGGAGGAGTTGAGAAAAATTTGGATAATGGTACTCATTTGAGAGGTGACATCAATATCTTGATGGTGGGTGATCCATCGACTGCTAAATCGCAAATCTTGAGGTTTGTTTTGAATACAGCTTCTTTGGCAATTGCAACTACGGGTAGGGGTTCTTCCGGAGTTGGTTTGACTGCTGCTGTTACCACTGATAAAGAAACTGGTGAAAGACGATTAGAAGCAGGTGCCATGGTTTTAGCCGATAGAGGTGTTGTTTGTATTGATGAATTTGACAAAATGTCAGATTCTGATAGAGTTGCCATTCACGAAGTGATGGAACAGCAAACGGTTACAATTGCCAAAGCCGGTATTCACACTTCATTAAATGCAAGGTGTTCTGTTATTGCTGCCGCGAATCCTGTGTTTGGACAATATGACGTTCACAAAGATCCTCATAAGAATATTGCCTTGCCTGACTCGTTATTGTCTCGTTTTGATTTGTTGTTTGTTGTGACAGACGATGTGAATCAAACTAGAGATAGAATCATTTCTGAGCACGTTTTGAGAATGCATAGATTTGTTGCACCGGGTATGATGGAAGGAGAACCAATACGTGAAAATTCGAGTGTAACATTGGCTGTAGGAGACGATGAGACAAATGAGCAGGAGCTATTAGAGCAACCAGTTTTTGAAAAGTTCAATGCCTTATTACATGCTGGAGTATCAAGAGGGAGAGGAAAGAAATCGCCTACTATCTTGTCCATTCCATTTTTGAAAAAGTATATTCAATACGCAAAGCAAAGAATAAAGCCAGTTTTGACCAAGAGTGCTTCCGACTATATTGTGCATACTTATTCGTCTTTGAGAAATGATTTGATTGGTAATAACCAACGAAATACAGCTCCGATAACAGCGAGAACTTTGGAAACTTTGATTCGTTTAGCATCAGCTCATGCAAAAGTCAGATTATCTAAAAGCATCGAAGTTCAAGATGCTAAAGTTGCTGAAGAGTTGTTGAGATTTGCTTTGTTTAAAGAGATAGCCAAGAAGACACATACGAAACGGAGAAAGACCACTACCGAGCGAGTCGAGCTGGAGCTGGAAGGATCAGAAGAAGAACAAGAAGAAGGGGGGGAGGAGGAGGAGGAGGAAGCAGGGGAGGTGTTTACCAGACCAAGCGCGAGAAGAACAAGATTGAGGAACCAGCAGCAGCAGCAACAACAACAACAACAACAACAACAACAACAACAGTCAGCTCAAAGAGCTGGTTCGACGCCGCAGGATTCGCCAACACGTGAACAAGAGCCTACTGAAGTAGAAGAGCAATTGGAAAGTTTACACTTGTCCAATCAAGAAACTGTTTCACAACAAGAGGATGAATCGCTGATAACGCGAAATACCCATCAACAAACATCATCTTTAGCAGCAGCAGCAGCAGCAGCAGCAGCAGAATCATCATCAACTGTGCACCCGTTAGCAGATATTACTATTAATGCACGGGAACCACCCTCTATAAGTTCTGAGAGATTAAAAACATTTTATAGAACTATGGCAAAAGTGGTGAGATCAGATTTGTTCGATACTAATGATTGTGCTGCATATGATTCAGTTGTTGAAGCAATTAATAGGGAAATTGATCAAGAGGAAAAGTTTACAGCTATGGAGTTAGAAACTGCTTTAAAGAAAATGCTGGACGAGGGTAAATTGTTTATTGAAAATGGTAAAGTTTGGAAAATATAGTCTTGGTTAGGTTGGGTTTTGTTATTGTAATATTATATACTATACGTAGAGTATCAATTAGTAGAATGCTCTTATACTTTAATAGTAATAAGAAGAAGAAGAGTCATTTTAACGAACCATGGTTGTAGTTGGTAGCGCGTCAGTATTTTGTATTGGGGGAATTGGTTTTGCTCTCTTTATTATACGAGTTGTACTCTTTGGTGATATATTTCATTGTTTGGTATTTATAAGAGAGAATGGTAGTCAGTTTAGAAGACAAGCTGAATGTTCCAGGACAACTTGATATAGCTTACAAAGAGGAAGCACGAGAGAAAAATGTGAGAGGACTGATTGATAGAGTAGTAGATCAAGGTAATAATAAGCATGATGATGATGATAATAATGAGGGGAGGGAAGAAGGCGAAGAAGGAAAAAAGAAGAGGGATGGTGATAGTTTGAGAATTCCTATTGGAGTACAGTCCATTAAGCAATCGACTACATCAATGGGTAAGGTTGTTGAAAAGAATCGCACCAACAAGAGGAGAAAGAACAAGGCCAATGGGAAACAAATTGACGATTATCTCAAGCCAAATTTTGGTGTTGAGAACCACCATCAAACACAAGAAAATAGTGTGCACCATGTCCACGACCACCATCAAGCTAACGAGCATCAATTTTACGAAGGAGAACTATTGATGCATACCTACTATACACTACCTCATTCCGTTCAAAAATTTTGGAATAGAAGATATGAATTGTTTAGCAAATACGACGATGGAGTATATTTATCCGAGGAATTGTGGTATAGTGTAACTCCAGAGCTTGTAGCTAAATACACTGCACAGTTATTTGTCAAACTTTTACCGCCTGATGCTCAAATCGGATTAGATGTATGCTGTGGCGGTGGCGGGAATACTATTCAATTTGCCCGGTATTTCAATTCCGTTGGTGGTATTGATATAAGTAAGACCAATTTGTATTGTACTGAACACAATTGTCATGTTTATGGAGTCGAAGATAATGTGTGGACATTGTGTGCAGATTGGGCAGAGATTACCACGCCTAAAGAAAATGGAGATATTAACTTGGATTGGATTCCACAAGATGTTTTGAACAGGAGAGGATTAACCCGAACTAGCTCCTATTCTGAGCCAAAAGAGATTTTTGACTTTATATTCAGTTCTCCACCGTGGGGGGGAACTAACTACGATAAAAATAATTTCAATGTTTTTGAAATGGAACCGTTTAATATTCTTTTCTTGTTGAAAACAATGAAACAGTATTCAGAAAATATTGGATTGTTTTTACCAAAGCTGTCCAATTTGATTCAACTAAGCACTGCAACAAAGGAGGTTTATGGGGATTTCAAAAAATGCCGCGTTGTCTATATTAACTCAAAGGAAAGAACTGTTGCCTTATTGGCATTATTTGGGGACGTTTTCACAGCAAGATTTGACGAGCTAGATGATATAAATGAAGAAGCCTTGGTAGGGGGAGAAGGGGAGCATGGGGAGGGGGGGAGAAGAGAATAAGAAAAAGGAGATTAAAAGACAATATCAACACTATCAACACTATCGAGCGAAGCGAGATAGTGTTACAACGAGCTACTAGGTGTGCTCCACTATCAACACCATCTAGCAGAGCGAGATAGTGTTACAACGAGCTACTAGGTGTGCTCCACTATCAACACCATCGAGCAGAGCGAGATAGTATTGTTACGAGCTACTAGGTGTGCTCCACTATCAACACCATCGAGCAGAGCGAGATAGTATTGTTACGAGCTACTAGGTGTGCTCCACTATCAACACCATCGAGCAGAGCGAGATAGTATTGTTACGAGCTAGTCAGTGTGTTCCACTATCAACACCATCTAGCAGAGCGAAATAGTATTGTTACGAGCTAATATGCTCTACTATCAACACTATCTTGCTCTGCTCGATAGTGTTGTAACAAGCTAGTGTGCTCTACTATCAACACTATCTTGCTCTGCTCGATAGTGTTGTAACAAGCTAGTGTGCTCTACTATCAACACTATCTCGCTCTGCTCGATAGTGTTTTTTTTTATTTGACTATCAACATGTGTTTAAGATAGGACAAGCAGCTCATTATCTCGTTCCTCGATAGTGAGTAGTCGCCTACCTCTATGGGCAACATAGTTTACTCACTATCGAGGAACGAGAAGAAAAAATATTGCAGTTCTACAAGTAAACCGCCTATTCTTGTACGTATATAAATATCGTATCAGTCATTGTATGAATTGCTTTATGATAAAAAAAGATTATAAAGAAAAAAAAAATTTTAAACCTCCGACATTTTCATTTGACGACTTCATCGACATTATCTTAGCAACTAAATAAAACCATTTTTATATATATATATATTATCATTTCGTGATGAATACCCCACAAAAGCGAACACCCGAGTCCACAGCGTTTATATTGTTGGGTAATAAGGTTGATAGAATAGCCAGCCATTTACAGAATTTAGAGAGTGACCGTATTATTACTTTGCAGCAAGAAGTATCTTTGTTGAGACAGTTGGTTGATTTTCAAAATGTTAAATTAGAAAAATTAACGTGTTTATTATCTGAGGTTGTTGATAATTCAAGACGCCAAAAGAGGAGGAGAATTTTTAATAGGTTGGCAAGCAACGTTGTGGATGACGAAGAAACTGATGACGCTAGTACCTTGATTGAAGTTTTCCACGATGGTGTCAATGTGAATGATTTGGAAAGATCGCCAAGTCAAAACGAAATGTCTCAGCATCCATTAAGTTTGAGTCATTTGCCACAACAGCAGCAAAACCACCATCAACAGCAGCAGCAGCAACATCAAGTTTTGATTGATCGGCGACGCCCTCAAGTGGCACATCTTCGCCAGCAACCACCACCACCACCACCACAACAACAACAACAACAACACGCGCTTCATCCACAAAATGAACTTGGTTCAAACTTGGATTCAAATATGGATCCCCAGCTTCATCAAACTAGGATGAGGCTGCCTGTGGGAGGAGGCGCGTCATCTACACCTTTACAACAACAACTTCAAGCACAAACGCAGAATTCCCTTGAAGGTAGTCATCACCTGCCTACTACTACTGCTACTCCTGTAGGTACTACCGCGCAACTCCGTGCACAACAGATGCTTGCGCAAGTTAGAACTCCCGCGGGGAAATCCACCAAAAAGACTAAGCCGGACCAAATGAAGAATGCTGTAATTCATGATAAAGATGGCGGTGCTGGGGGGTGTAACACGCCCGAGCAACAAAGTCCACAATCTACAAATAGAGAGGAAGATGAAGAAAGAAAAGTTAAAATTGAATTCATTAATAACCCGACTTCGGTGCGGGAAGTATATGATGAATTTTTCAAGGGATATAATGGCCAAGAGCCATTATGCGAGTTGGATGCAAAGTACGGGAAACACGAATGGAGAGGCGACTCAAGATCGAAGGAGAGTAAAAGGTATCAAAGAAGGAAAAGATTATGCGATGTTATTAAACGAAGTGCATACAAATTGAGTAAGCTGGATGATGCTATTATCAATATTTTGGAGAATTACCGGATGGAAAAATCATTGACTTGGATAATGAACGGGCATTTGCCACCAGAGCTTGAAAATTTATAAAAACAAGTTCAATATATGTCTGTAGATTTTAACAGATTCAGCTAGCGAGCAGAGCGAGATAGTGGAGCAGCACTGACTGACACTATCGACACTATCGACACTATCGAGCGAAGCGAGATAGTGGAGCAGCACTGACTAGTGACACTATCGAGCAAAACGAGCTTGCGGAGCAGCATTGACTAGCGACACTCTGGACCAAGCGAGGATATGATTTGAAGAAACTGTTTTTAGCTCCTGCTTTATCAGTGTAGTCATCAATTTAGTAACAGCATGAATAGTATAGAAGTTTGTAGATTTATATTGAAGTTATTTTTATTGTATTAATATATTTAATGTATTATTTTGTATATCTTGCTTGATCGCACTTTTGGATATTTAGAGTGGTAAGTCAATTAGTTACTACTTTGGAGAGTAGAAGTCGACGAGATATGGGCAAGACAGGCCACTGTTTTTGCCAGTGCTACTGCCGTTGCCATAATGAGGTGACAAGGTGAGAACAAAGTATAGCTACTGCCGTTGCCATAATGAGGTGACAAGGTGAGAACAAAGTATACCATATAGGTATCAAGAGAATTGTTTTCACATCAACTTTTTCAATGAGGAAAAAAAAATGGTCTTGTAAACAGTATTTGTGTTGTAGAATAATTTTTCCCCAATAGTAATCTACGGCTTAAAGATCCAAGATAGTAGTAATTTATAGTTGTTATAGATCCGAGAGCAGTAATCTACAGTTGTCATAAATCCGAGAGCAGTAATCTACAGTTGTCATAAATCTGAGAGCAGTAATCTACAGTTGTCATAAATCCGAGAGCAGTAATCTACAGTTGTCATAAATCTGAGAGCAGTAATCTACAGTTGTCATAAATCCGAGAGCAGTAATCTACAGTTGTCATAAATCTGAGAGCAGTAATCTACAGTTGTCATAAATCCGAGAGCAGTAATCTACAGTTGTCATAAATCTGAGAGCAGTAATCTACAGTTGTCATAAATCCGAGAGCAGTAATCTACAGTTGTCATAAATCTGAGAGCAGTAATCTACAGTTGTCATAAATCTGAGAGCAGTAATCTAATGTTGATAGTGTAGTCAGTGTTGCTCCACTATCTCGCTCTCCTCAATAGTGGACTTGGATCCAGAAAAATAATTTCCTCCATAAATTTAGACCCCTTTGTAATTCATACCCTAGTAATATCCAGAGTAAGCGAGAAAAAAAATTCTCAATGATCTTAAACATTTGGTAGCACTATATCAACCACAGTTTTTTTTTTCTTTCTTCCATAGGGTTCCATAGAAAAACACACTCTTAACACTCTACACTCTAAACTCTACACTCTAAACTCTACACTCAAAACTCTACACTCTAAACTCTACACTCTACACTCTACACTCTACACTCTACACATTACACATTACACATTTCATCAAATTTCTTCCATTAGCTTCTTTGATTTTCTCCTATTCGCTTTTAGCTGCACTTTTCAAAATATGTAGATATGCAGCTTTTCGCCTACTTACTATATGTCGATCCATGCTTCCCAATACTAAGCACTCTGCACTCTTCACTCAGGCCTACTGCTAATTGTCCACCATTTCCATCTTCAACCCCGGCCCTTCAATTTTTCTCTTTTCTTTTTTTCTTTTTGCTTCTTCTTCTTCTTCTTCTTTTCATTTTCTTTCGCAGTATAAAATTTTTCTCTCATACTTTTGCCCTTTTCTTTCTTACATACTTTTTTTTTTATTTTTACAACCAAAGTCTGTTTGTTAACAAATTACTTGCAATCTTTCAAGACTTGCTGAAATACTTGTATCATTATCATCGTATACCATAATGATTGCTGCTAGAAGTACCTTGAAGAGTGTTTCTCGTCAATCTGCAGCTGTATCTGCATCTGTATCTGCTTTTGGAAAGTTTGCTGCTGCTGCTGCTGTTCGTGCTCAATCTACCAGCTCCAATGCTGGTGCAGCACCAACGGGACCAGTTATTGGTATTGATTTGGGTACTACCAATTCTGCTGTCGCCGTGATGGAAGGCAAGACGCCAAAGATTTTGGAAAACTCGGAGGGTGGAAGAACTACACCTTCTATTGTTGCCTTCACTAAAGACGGAGAGAGATTAGTTGGTATCCCAGCTAAACGTCAAGCTGTCGTTAATCCAGAAAATACCTTGTTTGCCACTAAACGTTTAATTGGTAGAAGGTACGAAGATAAAGAAGTGCAAAGAGACATTAACCACGTTCCATACAAGATTGTCAAACATGGTAATGGAGATGCTTGGTTAGAAGCAAGAGGTAAACAGTATTCTCCACAACAAATTGGTGGATTTGTGTTGAACAAAATGAAGGAAACCGCTGAGGCAGCTTTAGGTAAGAAAATCAATAGTGCCGTTGTTACAGTCCCTGCTTACTTTAATGATGCTCAAAGACAAGCTACAAAAGATGCCGGTAAAATTGTTGGTTTGAATGTTTTGAGAGTTGTTAACGAGCCAACAGCCGCTGCTTTGGCTTATGGTTTAGAGAGGAAAGACGGTGAAGTTGTTGCCGTTTTCGATTTGGGTGGAGGTACTTTTGATATTTCGATTTTGGATATTGGTGCTGGTGTTTTTGAAGTTAAATCGACTAACGGTGATACCCACTTGGGTGGTGAAGATTTCGATATTGCTTTGGTCAAATACATTGTTGATGATTTCAAGAAGGAATCGGGTATTGATTTGTCCAAAGACAGAATGGCTATTCAACGTATTAGAGAAGCTGCTGAGAAGGCAAAGATTGAGTTGTCCTCAACTGTTTCAACCGATATCAACTTGCCATTTATTACTGCTGATGCTTCAGGTCCAAAACACATCAACACCAAGATTTCAAGAGCTCAATTTGAACAATTGGTTGAACCTTTGATCAAAAAGACTATTGAACCATGTAAAAAGGCATTGAAAGATGCCGGCTTATCCGCATCTGATATCTCGGAAGTCATCTTGGTTGGTGGTATGTCAAGAATGCCAAAAGTTGTTGAAACTGTTAAATCCATTTTCGGTAAAGAACCATCCAAGAGTGTTAACCCAGATGAGGCTGTTGCTATGGGTGCTGCTATTCAAGGTGGTATTTTGGCTGGTGAAGTTAAAGATGTTGTTTTGTTGGATGTTACCCCGTTATCCTTGGGTATTGAAACCATGGGTGGTGTCTTTGCTAGATTAATTTCTAGAAACACAACTATTCCAGCTAAAAAGTCACAAATCTTTTCAACTGCATCTGCTGGTCAAACCTCGGTTGAAATTAGAGTATTCCAAGGTGAAAGAGAATTAACTAGAGACAACAAATTAATTGGTAACTTTACATTATCTGGTATTCCACCAGCACCAAAAGGTGTCCCCAAGATTGAAGTCACTTTTGACATTGATACCGATGGTATCATTAAAGTGTCTGCTCTTGACAAGGCCTCAAATAAGGATGCTTCAATCACAGTTGCCGGTTCATCTGGATTATCCGATGCTGAAATTGAAAAAATGGTTAACGATGCTGAGAAGTTTGCTGCATCAGATAAAGCAAGAAGAGAAGCTATTGAAACTGCAAATAGAGCTGACCAATTATGTAACGAAACTGAAAGCTCTTTGGAGGAACACAAGGAAAAATTATCAAGCGAAGCAGTTGAACACATTAAAGAAACAATCACCAAGTTGAGAGAAGTAGTATTAAAAGCACAAGCTGGTGAAGAAGTTGCTGCCGAGGAATTGAAACAAAAGACTGAAGAATTACAAAATGAAGCTATCAACTTGTTTAAGGACTTGTACAAAGAAGGAGACTCATCATCATCTTCATCATCATCGTCATCTGGTTCCGACGAACCAAAGAACTAAGCCTTTTTAATACTATTGGTAACTTAAACCTTCCGGTTTTATCGATAGTAGAGAAAAGTATATTCTTTATTGTTTTTTTTGTTTTTTTATCGTATAAAAATTTTGTAAATAGTTATGAGGGTATATCTTAGATAAATCCGGGAAGGAAAGATAGTAAAAGAAAAGAAGAACATTTTGTTGTATATATAGACAAGTTAATGCGTTTAAACATGAGTGGTTTTATTCCATGGCTATTGTATGGTTTAATTTTTTTTTTTTTCTCTTTCCTATCTTAGTTGACTCAAGCTGTGTCTCAACCCTATACTTCTTCTTATTACCAGCAGTTGAGGCAGCGGAGTGGTACTGCTAATTTCTTCACCCATCTTGAACAGTTTTTGTTTTTGTTTTTGTTTTTGTTCTTGTTCTTGTTCTTGTTCTTGTTCTTTTTTTGCAATTGCCTTTGATGGCTTACGTAGAATAGTTCCATATTTTCTTTGCATTATTTCCAGCCCATTTCTAGAACTGACAATACTTGAAGAATAGCGTAAAGTAGATAATTTCGGGTAATGGAGAGGTGTGGAATAATCGGTTGAAATTGAAGATTTCGCTTCTGACTGCTTCTCCCACTCATTTTCATCACCTTGTGAGTCATCATCAGAGTCATTGTCAGATCCATTAGATGACTGATACTCCAACATTGCTCCTAACATTGATCTTCTGTTCAATACCTTGGTTTCGAATTCCTCATCTTGAGGATCAACAAAGATATCTCCATGATCATCCGTGGACGATGTTGACACAGTATGCGCGGAATAAATAGATGAGGCAGTATTATGATCGCTTTCTTTTTGCAAATGGTCTCTGTCGTCACAACTTACCGTACTTCCTGTGATAGCTTGATCTTCAATGTATTCTTCTCCAGTTTGTTTAGAAGGTGGGCTGTCTTGATCTTTATAAACCTGTTCAAAAATTTGATTAATCATATTGCTAGTTTCCTTTGTTGCCATGAAATTCTGAAACTGATTGATTTCATGCCTTAAAAGTATTCTTCTGCTCAATACTTGTTTTAGATAACTTTGCCATAATTGCTCAAATGTATATCTTGCATAAGGACTAACATTCTCTTGTTTCAGCAGTGGCAGCTGCAGAACTAGTTGTCGTTGTCTTTGTCGCGGTGATGAAACAGACCTGATGTATGAAGTATCTATATGAGGTGGAGGTGCAGGTACATTTTGGACAGATGAAGATACACCTGAAGAAGCAACAGCTACTGAGGGTTGAGTATTACTCTCACTTGTACTATCAATTTTTGGAGATGGTAACTCTTCATCTTGATAATTTGCCGCATAACTCTCTGTAGATGTCCTCATATTGTCAGTGTTTGCATTAGCTCCAGTATTGCGCTTAATTTTCAAATTACGTAAATAATTGTTCTCTTGTTGATTGATGTAATTAGATAAATGATGGTACTTTCCAACATTCTCATCACCAATTTCTTCGGATGTGAGTAAAGCAGATTCAGCTACGCCAGACGTAATGTTTCCTACCCCCAAGAGACCTGCTCCTGTTGCTTTCTTCACGTTGCTATTCATCCGAACATGATATACTGGCTGTTTTCCCAAACGCGGGTTTGTTGAAGGATTGGAAATTTCTAAAACATCACCAGACTTTCGATGAATTGAATCTTGTAGCAATTTATTTGATCTCAATTTTATTAAATCCCTATTTTGTGGGTTTGCTCGTTCTTTTCTAACAAGTGTAGTTGTAGTCGATCTCCTCAATTGTCTCGCCAACTCCTTGTTCTGAATATCTCTTGCTCTTTGTAAGCTTTGTACGCTTTTTTTCCTCCTTGGTGAAGATGCTTTAAAGCTGTAGAATTTGAGTTTAGTAAGAAGCTTTTTGATTCTTAGTTTCATGCGATAGAACCAACTTCCTTGCTTCGATTTAATAGCATTCTTTCTAGTCAAACTTTTACTTGACTGCCTTGATGAATTTATCACCGAAGAAGCCAATGATGAAGTAATATCTCGATATACTCTCACAGTACTTGTTCTCTTTGTCCTATTCTTATTAAATAAGCTTTTGGTTTTACGAAAGCTATCGTTTATAGATTTGGCTTTGTTATTCAATAACAATTGTTCTGATTCTGGTCCTAGTCTTGTTGAAAAGATTGTGGCTTGTGAACCCATAGAGTCTGAAATATCCCTTGAGCTTGAATTAGCTGGAGGTATGCTTTGACCACTTTTCTTCTCTTGGTTATCATGCATGGATGCCCTGGAATACTTTTTTGATGTTAAATTAGAGCCGCGCGCTTTCGTAAGTTGAGTAGTGTTCTCATTAGCATCATTCTCATTCTCATCCTCATCCTCGAGACTTTCAAAACTAGGCGACATAATAGACAAATTATCAAGCCTTTGTGACACATGTGGATTTTGCTGATCTACAACAAAGTGAGAAAATCGTTTGGGAACTTGATTAAATACATCTTCAATTGGGCTTAAGGGGGTACTATCGAGACGTTGTTGTTGTGGTTGTTGATTTTTCAGCGAGGTTTTCATGTTAGGATGGTGTTGGTGTTGTGTAGATATTTTCGAACAATTGTCCTGTCTCACACCAAACGTATCAGTTGATGTTTCTCCCTCTAAATGAAGATAAGGGTAGGATATGGGAAGAGAAGTTGTTGAAGTGGTTTCAACCTCAAGCCTATTCAAAGAAGCTTGTGACATTGGTGGTCCTTGTATTCCCAAATCACTAGAAAATAAAGGTTGATTTTTATGTTTGAAAAGCTGTGAAGAGAGCGGATAGTTGGAACCAGATTTTCTTTCTTGACTAATGTTCAAACTATTCCTTTGCGGGAGTAAAGGTAGTTGACGAATCGACATGACTTATATATATATATATACAAATGATAATGCTGTATTAGGTCACTCCTCTCTAATCAACTTGAAACTGCAAATATATTAATGAGATTAGACGATGAAAACAACTTCAGTAAAATTATATATATATATGTATATCTACTAACTTCTATACAATCCGAATTTCCTGGTCTAATTTAGCGTGTTTGCCTCAGCATCACTTGATTTAGTGTCGTCGATGATGGACCACTAACCTCACGTATATCTATAAAGAAAAATGGCTGGCTGCGAAAAAGAGAAATGGAAAGAGAAGAAAAAAAAGAAACAATTGTTTTTGTAACCCACATTCAATTTGTTCTTTCTTCAACCAGCACACTCTTATTTGACTGAGAGTATTATGTAATTATTGGCAGTATCGTATATCTCTTTGTTTGATTAGAGTTTGATAGAATATGCCTATTGGTGTTCTCTCCCCTTGCCTGCCTCATACTATAGCTATTGCTACCAACTTTCTTTTACTACAAAGCTTTCTTTCACCACAAAATTCAAAATTCTTTTTTTTTTTTTCAACTTTTCCAACTCTACTACAACTTCAACACTACAGTAACTTCAATACTACTAATCTAAGCATATAATCAAAAAAAAAACCAGGTACTTTTCATTCTTCCACCCCCTGACTGTACTACTAACTATTACGGTGTATTAAATTTTGAATCTAACTTTTTTTTTCTCTTTCTCTTTCTCTTTTTGGAATAAAACAAATATATATATTTTTTGGGGACAAAACTTAGACTTTTGATGGTGCTAATCCAACAGCGTTTTTCTTCAAGTCATAAATTGAGTAGTATCTTCTCAAGAACGCATCACCAACAATAGCTAAATCACCAATTGGTTTAGGGAAATCCATTGGTGTGAAAACTGAAATACATGATCCACCAACTTCCAAAATGTAATCATAAGCAGTTAAAGTAAAGTTGTAACCTGAAAAAGTCATTGTTAAATCAGGCAATGAATCTCTCTTGTTGCAGTCAATTTGATATTGGCCAGACCAAGATTTAGTTGCACCAATCTTGGCATTAATTATTTCAGCCAAAGTTGATGGCAAAGTGATCAATGAAGTACCAGTATCGATTGCTGCGCCAGTTTTAGTCAACTCTGCATATTCATCGCCTAATCCTAATCCTTCAAACGAAACCTCCCAGTAAGCTTTTCTTCTAACTGGTAACCAAGTAATCTTGCCTTGAAACAATGATTCGTCATAACCACCAAATGTAGCCAATCCTCCGTCATTTTCATCCTTGTTAGTGTCACCAAGATAGAAACTAACTTGAGGCGCATCTAACAAACCCTGGTTTATAGCATTATAAACCGGTGGTACAATACGATTTACTGAAATGGTATCGTAAGCTAAGCCCAAGATACCATCGAATTTGCCAAATGCAAATGCCAAACCGGGTTCGGAGGTAGCTTCAGCGAAATCCTGCTTTGGAATAACCAAGTCTCCAATACTAAGTACATCTTGAGAAATATAACCTTCCATTGAACCTGACCCATACTGAATTGAAAACTCAGAACCATTGGCTTTATAAGTGGAAGAAGCATCATGATCGTACTTGGAGTGTAAGAAACAAGCCAACGAGGTACAATCTTGAGAAGGAACCCACAAATTGGAAGATCCAGTATCCAAGATAACTTTGAAAGATTGACCAGGAGTACCAATTTGTATTTCAGTGAAATACTGGGCATTCATGTAATTTGTCAAGGGAGCATCAAACTTACCCTTTTGAGGAGTTACAAATGGAGCTTTTTCGGGGCAATCTTTACCACTTAAAACTTGTTGAATACCAACACCAACTGGATTACCGTGGGCTTTATTAAATAAATTCAAATACTTGTTAGCTAATACATTTGTATAGTCCTGGAAAGTGGCAGCATCCAAGGTCTCTTCATTTGATAATCTGTTGAGTTTAATACTGTGGGGTTTAGCCTCCACGACAACAACCGCAGCTAAAGCCAAAAAAGCAGTAACGAATGAACTGCTCGATACTGGGAACAATTGCATTATTAAAGAAGAAAACTCAAACAATAGCCAAAAAAAAAAAAAAAAAAGAAGAATGTATATATGTATATAATAATAGTAGAATATCTATCAATGATAAATTCTTTTCTTTGCTAATTTGGGGAGTGGCAGGGAGGTTGGGGTTGGGTGACTATGAAAAAAGTGTATACTCTCAAACAAGTTATCCTGATGTCGATTTTTAGTTATGGAGATGGGAAAGAAACAAAGTGGGGGCAAACAGGAAAAAAAAAGCGAACACTAACCAAAATTGGGCAAAGTGGCAAGCATTGCTTTAACGCCCATTACATAAGTAATTACATAAATCTTATATAGACGATAGGGCTATTTTATATTGTAAGCATTTGATAAGATATATATTTGTGGATTAGTTAATGTTTATGTAATAGTCCTTTTTTCGGCTCATATCTTATCGGATAAGGCAATGCCTAGGATTAAAAGTGTCGCATAACACACTATCGAGCGACACTATAGAGTGACACTATCGAGAAATACTATCGAGAAACACTATCGAGCGGAGCGAGATAGTGGAGCAATATCTTGTAGCTTGTTACAACACTATTGAGGAGAACGAGATAGTGGAAAGAGTAAGAACACAGAGAGAAGATAAATAAAGTAGAGAGGAAATAGCAGAGAGTGGATAAACTGGTATTTACACCCTAGGGTCTATGTCCAGTAATAACAATGTCTCTGTGTCCAGTAATAACACTGTCTTTGTGTCCAGTAATAACACTGTCTCTGTGTCCAGTAATAACACTGTCTCTGTATCCAGTAATAACACTGTCTCTGTGTCCAGTAATAACACTGTCTCTGTGTCCAGTAATAACACTGTCTCTGTGTCCAGTAATAACACTGTCTCTGTGTCCAGTAATAACACTGTCTCTGTGTCCAGTAATAACACTGTCTCTGTGTCCAGTAATAACACTGTCTCTAAGTCCAGTAAAGTTTAGTTCCAACTCGACAGCATTATCTTAAAGTAGATACATTATAGAAAACTGTGTAAATGCTAAAGAAGTTTCAGATATTTACAAGCATCTTCAACAAAGGTTTCCTTGAAGGTAGAGCGTTTTGCCTGAAAGCGAGAGTGAAAGTCCAATGAAAAAGACTGTTACATTGAACTCAGGGGCAAGCTCTCCGACAACAGCTGGCGCTGTTGTTAGAGACTCTGTGGTCAGCTCTGTAGTTGCTTCAGAAGGAGAGACTTTTCAGTGGTGTTGCTTCTGATTCTGTCGCTTCAGAGGGTGTTGGTAGTAAATAGCAACCAAAAAAAAGTCTGAAAACCCAAACCTATAACTTATTCTTCTGGCTTCCCCCCGCAATTAGAGATTTCATTTTCTTAATACCGTTGATACGAGTAAGTATATAGAGACTCACAATGATTGGTTCAGGGTTTTTCAAGTCCAAGGTTGAAAATTATTTTCCTAAAACCCCTATAAGGTTCAATAAAAGGCTTGTTAAAGAAGGCGATGCCGCAACAGCAACAACTGCTACCACTGCTACTACTACCAACACTACTACTACTACTACTACTACAGAATCCACTACTATTCCCGAACTCATCAAAAGCAAAATCAAGGAATTTGAAAAAGACTACACATTCTACGTCAACCCATTACTTTCTTCTGGACATACTCAAACTGCATATACTGCTTTGAACAAATTTGAATCGCGCAATTTGGTCTACTACAAACGACAGATTATAACTATTGAGGACAAAACGTATACTTTGCCCAATGGAACAAAATTAAAGTATGATCAATGGAAAGGAGAGAGTACTGTAGCTCTTGATTATGCTATGAAAACACCGGTTACCCCAGATCCGGATCATCTAAGGTTTAGACCAAGTTCACAGCAAGAAGAATTACCGCCAAGAACCGAGTTCAAAAATCCTGAAGAAGAGTTGATTGAAAACACAGATGACAAACCATTACTAATTGTTTTACACGGATTATCAGGTGGGTCTTTTGAAGCTTACATTAGAGCAGTATTGGAGAAAATAATTGAAGATCCATACGACTTTGATGCTGTTGTGTTGAACTCTCGTGGATGTGCTCATCACACCATTACCAGTCCTCAACTATATAATGGATTATGGACAAATGATGTGAGATATTTAATGAATGAGTTTGTCACTAAAAAATGGCCCAAGAAAAGAATATACATGATGGGTTTTTCCCTTGGAGGTGCCATATTGGCTAACTATCTCGGACAAGAAGCTAGTGCAGTATCGCCACAGATCAAGGGAGCTTGCATGTTTGGAACGCCATGGGATTTCCCGGATGGTGCACATCACTTGAGGGCAAGCATTATAGGCCACAATGTATATTCTCCAACAATGTGCGCTAATTTACTAAAATTATTGAACAAGCATGGAATCCTTACTGAAAATGAATTTGTTAAACAGTACCGGGATGATCCTTCAAAGTATAATGTCAAGTTTTTGAAAGATTTTGATAACTTCTTTACAAGTCGATTATTTGGTCTTAATTCTGCTGACGAATATTACCGTTTGGCTTCTCCTGTTCAAAGATTGTTAAAAGTTCGAGTTCCTACGTTGATTATAAGTTCCGTGGATGATCCAGTTACAGGTTCAAGATCATTACCTTATTCTGAGTCGGAATTAAACCCATACGTGACAATGGTGACGACCACTGTTGGTGGACATTTGGGATGGTTCACATGGAATGGAGAGAGATGGTATACTATACCAGTTTGTAAATTTTTGAAAGAGTTGGACCAGCTTGATGTTGACAAGTCTAGTATTACAAAGGATGATTTGCCTTTGGATATTTCTCAAAGTTGGAAATATGACCGGTTAGTCAATGGAATGTTGGACGCGTCCACTACCGAGCAAAGCGAGATAGTGGAGCACACTGACTAGCTGCCACCGACTAGCTGCCACCGACTAGCTGCCACCGACTAGCTGCCACCAACACTATCGAGCGAAACAAGACAGAGGAGTAACACTTTGCAGCTTGTTACAACACCAACTAGCCTGTTACGCCACTATCTTGCTTTGCTCGATAGTGGAGTCATCTGCTATAAACCAATGTAGTGAGATTTAGCTATGAGGTTATATACAAGGGTTTGGTTGTATGTTTTTTTTCCTAGATCACCACTAACGAGCAGAGCAAGATAGTGGAGCACTGTTGCTTCACAAGCTGTTGCTAGATTTGCTGTGGAATGTATTGTTTGGAATTGAGAAGGAATTGTGTATTTATATAGAGATTTGTGGTATTATGATTAGCTCGCCTTAACAATACACACGACTAGCATTTTGCATCCATTAAAATAAAAGCGAAACTATCGAGCAGAGCGAGATAGAGGAGCATTGTTGCTTCAGAGACTGTTGCTTCAAAAACTGTTGCTTCAGAGGCTGTTGCTTCAAAGCTGTTGCTTCAAAGACTGTCGCTCTCTGGTGTTGTTGCTTCAGACTAGCCGCGCAGGTTTGATTGCATCCTTACACCAACGGATTTAATTTTTACTACTCTCGAATTGTTCCACAAAAGGACCCCGTACTGTTATATCCTTATGGCAATTTTGCGCGCGCCTGTGGTTCTTTTAATATGCTCACCAATTTTCTCAAGATTGCTGGTAAAGAGAGGACCAACTATAGAGCGAAGCGAAATAGTGTCGCTCGATACTCTTAACTAGTGTCACTCGATAGTGTCGATAATTAGTATTGCTCCACTATCTAGAGAAGCAAAATAGTGTCACACGATACTTTTAACTGGTGTCGCTCGATAGTGTCAATAGTCAGTGTCGCTCGATACTTTTAACTAGTGTCACTCGATAGTGTCAATAGCCAGTGTTGCTTCACTATCTCGCTTCGCTCGATAGTGCCAAGTGTCCTTTAGTGTTGCTCCACAATCTCTCTTTGCTCGATATTGCTAGTATCAGCGCAAATAATCTAAAACCCATATTTTTCTTGGTAAGCGAGATTTTTTTTTCTTCTTTCAAAGTTTAAAATGAAACGCGGCATTTAGAATAAAAAAAAAACCGTTATTTTAAATTCCCGCTAAAAAGGCACACAATTTTACTCCCTCATCATCACCACAACTACCTATACTTTACCGTTGATTTAGGCCACAATAGTGTGTTATAACAAGCTGGTCAGTGTTGCTCCACAATCTCTCTTTGCTCGATAGTGCCAAGTGTCATTCAGTGTTGCTCCACTATCGCGCTTTGCTAGATAACATAGATTTGGCCGATACAGTTTATTATTCTCTTTTTTCTCACCTAAAATCGGAGTTTATTTTCTTTATTCTTTTTTCGGGGGGGTGGAATTGGAAAGCGCGAATCCGTAGAGAGCCTAACTCCATCTTCCCTTGTTCAACATATACCCGATCTCATTAGATGCCCTTTATAAGAAGAAGGAAGAAAAAAAATTTTAAATGATAGCTATAACATTAGGAGGAGTTTTACTGTTTTATATTAACTATAGGCGTTAATAGTGAGAGGTGAGTTAGTTGGGCAAACCCATACATCCTCCTAACTTGTTCCACACACAAAAAAAACAAAAACACACATACACACTCTACATTTTAGAGAATGTTGAGCAAATTGAAAAACAAGGTAACCTCTGTTTCCTTATCACCGTCAAATTCCTCAAATGAAGCAAGGTCTTTAAATGAGGTAATTCACGAGAATAATAACGGTGGCGGTGGCTCATCCGATGCATCATTAATGAGCAACGAGAAAGTTGGAATTTCATCAGAAAATGGTAAATTGGAGCCGCCTAGGTATATACCTTTTGAAGCACCTTCATCAGGATCTCATGTACCACCAGAACCCAAATTATCCAACGACCAAAAAGCAAAATATCTCAAAGTTTTAAAACACTTTCAGAATCCCCAATTGACTATTGCTAATAGTGAAGAGGACCACAAGCACAAACACCGATCTAGCGAATTGACCGTTGCCGAGAAATCATGGCTAACAAAAGAATGTTTTTTGAGATATTTGCGAGCAACAAAATGGCATGTTGAAGAGGCAATAGACAGAATAGAACTTACACTAGCATGGAGGAGGGAATTTGGAATAAGCGAAACGTTTGACAAGGATAATAGAGTCAATGGCGATTTGGTTAGCCAAGAGAATGAAACCGGTAAGGAGGTAATTTTGGGCTACGAAAACGAATCTAGACCCTGTCTCTACTTAAAACCAGGAAGACAAAACACAAAGACAAGTCAAAGACAAGTTGAGCATTTGGTCTATATGTTGGAAAGAGTTATAGATTATATGCCTCTGGGACAAGACTCATTAGCATTGCTCATTGATTTCAAAGCACATCCTGTTGGAACACAAGGCGGCAAAATACCACCAGTAGGTATAGGCAGACAAGTACTACATATTTTACAAACACATTACCCAGAAAGATTAGGTAAGGCATTGTTGACAAATATACCTTGGTTAGGATGGACTTTTTTGAAAATCATCCATCCATTCATCGATCCCTTGACTAGAGAAAAGCTAGTATTTGATCAACCTTTTATCAATTATGTTCCAAAAGTACAATTGGATAAGGATTTCCAAGGTGACGTGAATTTCGTATATGAGCACGAAAAATACTGGCCAAAGATGATTGAAATCAGTCAAAATAAGAAACAGAAATACTTTAATAGATTTGAAGAATTTGGCGCATGTGTAGGGTTAAGTGAAGTTGATTTGAGAGGTGATGGTAAAGAATTAATACACCAAGTAGGTACAATTTGAAACCCAAATAAAGAAAAATAAATAAAAAAAATAAAAAAAAAAAGAGAGGGAGAGAGCATCAGAGAGCATCTCCTTTCTCGTTCCTCCCACCTCATCCCCTCTCTGCTTAGAAGATAATAGAATCCTTTACGTTTCATCAAAGAAAATATACAATTATTCCTTTCTCTCTGTCTCTATACAAAAGGGTTTGCATTCTTTCGTTTTTCAACCAACCCAGTATCAGGATCAAGCATATGCTGCCAATCGATGGGGTACATCAATGATCCAGCGCCTCCCTCCAGTTTTGCAAAAACGACACCCAAGTCATTTCTCGCTGTTGTCAAATAATAGTTCAGTCCATCACCTAAACTGATAATCATTGCCCTTACCATGTCACCAGGTTTGAAATATTCTCCAACAACTACTCGATCTCGTTCAGTTGATCTTATATCTTGACTTCGGATTATACCTTTGAAATTCTCACCCAAGTCATAAATCTGAGCTTGTACCTGTGCTGAAGTGGCTATAGTTTGTGGATTAAACATATGTTGAGATCCTCCGCCTGGTGGAATCGAAGCATGTGCTGTGGCGCCATTGGATCCAATTCCTGAATCACTTAGTATATTGACCTGTTTATATTTATTTTCAACTGCAATGAGTTCACACCATGCTTGTTTTTGAGATATTCTTGTTATTCTTACTAGCACAATATCGTTCTCCTTGGGAAGGTTGATAGAAATACAATTGGATCCTTGGTCTGGTTCAAACTGTTGTGGCTCATTGGGGACTGGTTGATCTTTGGGGACAACATAGACAATAAATGTCGGTGTATCGTTGTTCTCTCCTCCTCCTCCTTCTTCTTCTTCTTCTTCTTTTTCTTTTTCTTCTACTACATCTTGTTGCTTTTGTGCACTATCCACTTCCGCGTTATCTGTAGCTACTTCTCTCTTGGGTAATTGCTTGATATAAGTCCTGCCAACTATCGTGGCACATATAATCGGTATGAACTTTGAAGATTCACGATCTTGTATTTGATTTACTATTGTACCTCTTCCGGAAACATACTTGACCTGTATATTATCCTCTAATCTATAAGCAGGTACTATATACTGACCGGGGACAACCACTTTGGACTCCATATTAATAAAAGTATAATAATCTCCTCTACTCCTACTTCCATCTCTTCTCTTCTCTCTTCTCTTCCCTTTATTTTTTTCTACTATATTTTTTTCTTTTGCAATCAACAGTTTTTTTTTATTCACTTTAAGTATAAAGAGACTATGGCATATCCAGAATATATTAATAACGAGCCACCTGTAATTACCTTACAAGAGTATGATAATGCCGAGTGGGCGAAAACTACGTGTGTAGATATTACGCCGAATGGATACGTTGTGGTAATTATGGAAACACCAGATAAAGTTATTGCAAAGATTGATCCTAAAGATAACCATATATTGGACAAGATTTTTTCGAGTGCCAAAGAGACTCACGCAAAGAACTTGGCTGAAAAAGCGACACTATCGAGCGAGGCGACACTATCGAGCGAAGCGAGATAGTGGTGTATAGAGACTAAACGAGAGAGAGATAGAGACTAGACGAGTGTAACGAGTCTAGTCGAGAGGATAGAGAGAGAAGAGAGAGAGAAAAAAAGGGAGGGAGGTGAAAAAGGACAGGATGGTGAGAGGGGGAGAGGGGGAGAGGGGGGAGGTGAGTGTGTGCGTCTATGTATCAAACCCTATACCTTATATATGTATTAATATGTATTAAAAAAATTGTGTATAACATCTACTGTCAAAATGCACTTCCATTTCCAGTTTAATCAAATTCATCTCTTCCTTTATCTGCTGCGCCAATAACGGAGTCAATTGGTTACATGTAGCAGTGTCGGGATGACGATCATATTCTTCTCCGTTATAAGTATCATACAATATAATCCTCGAACTAAATCGAACACCGGACTGCTTTGGAGGTACTGGTGGTGGCGGTGGCGGAGGAGCAGGTCTTGGAAACTGTGGACTAAAACTACTATTCTTTTTCCATTTACCCAACATTGAAGTAAATGACCTTGGCGAGGAACTTGTTGATGATTGATCTGATATCGATGGGATTTTATTATGCAGATATTTTTGTCCAAAAGGAGGATGTGGTTGTACTGGTAATGATACATTGTTCTTATTTATATTGCTATTGTTCTCCTTACCGAATTTCGGAGTAAGCTTGGATGGCGGTGTCCATACACTCTGGTCTTGCTGTTCCTGTTGCTGTTGCTGTTGTGATTTCTGTTGCTGTTGATGTTGCTGTTGTGGTTCCTGTTGTGACTGTTTAATGGATTCCCGAAAAAGTTTTTTATCAGGAACGATGTTCTCCTTCTCATATTCTCTTAACAAAGCCTCTTCATCTTCATAGTTATCCTCATCCATCTCCTCATAATCGTCGTCGTCGTCATCGTCGTCGTCGTAGTCGTCGTTGTCATTGTTTTCATCGTCGTCATCGTCGTCGTCGTCGTCGTCGTCGTCGTCTGGGTTTGTACCGAAACCGGCTCCCACAGATGATGAATCGTCATTAAAAGAAATGTTAAATGACTGATGTGAGTCGGTACTTCTCATATTATGCTGAGTCATCTTAGCTGCAAACGTTGAAGGACTCAATCCTTTAAAGGACATCGATATGGGCCGGTTACTGTTTCTTATCTTAGCAGCGTTTGTCCTGAGAACAGTGTTCAATATCGGCGATGTTTTTGTAGCATCAATTCCATTTTTCTCATTAAAAATACCACTTGTATCTCTAAACTCAAGCGAGTCATCGTCATCATCTTCAGCGACGGTTGTATCAGGCAAAAATGAAGCTTTATGGTTCGCAGTAACATGTTGTTCGCCATCTTCACTAACTTCAACACTGGTTTGGGGCGTTTCTGTTTGTTTCGTTGAAAGTGGTGAAGGTGAAAGAGCTCTCGATTCCATAATAATTGGAACCGGAGAATCGTGACTCTTGGAACTATTGGGGAAAGGAGCCATTTGTAAATGAAGTGATGGCTGTGGGGTTTCTTCAATCAAAATTGAAGGAGTAGTGGTAGCCATAGTCTCACTTTCATCATCATCAAACAACTTCTTGTTCACGTTTTGTTCCAAAGATACAGCAGCCGCTCTTCTTGAACTTGCAGGACTAGCGGGATCAGGTGATACCCCCTGAGTTGGTGAATAACTCAATTTTAAATTATCAACATCAAGAAATTCACTAAACTCCATGAAATCGGTATAATCGATTGAATCATTGAAGTTGCCATCAGTAGAGTCGACATATTGTGGGAATTCACTCAGCTGTGATACATTAGCATCTATCATACTAGGTTCAGTTTCGATATCTAAATGACTTCTTACGCTTGTAGAATTTTTCAATATTGATCCTTTTCGTGCTATTCCACTATTACCAGTGCCACCTGCTGCTGCGGCTGCGGCTGCGGCTGTTGGTCCACTATAATGAACAATATTATCATCGCTGCCGTCATAATTGGCAAACGAATTTCGTTTGTTTGACCTCACTGACCTTAAAGACCTTGATCTTTCTAATGATACAATACTTTCAACTTCATGTGGACTAAGAGATCTAGGAAATAAAGTCTCTCCCAATAGTAGTTGACTCTTGTCTTCTTTCAAGCTTGGATATCTGTTAGGAACTGGAGATGGTGAAGGCGAAAATTGATGAGCTGCAAGTTTTGCTGACAAAATGTTTAAACTCTCCTGTTGCTTAGCCAACTGTTTCTGATTTTTTAATGTAACAGATGAAGGAGAACTCTGATAATCAACCTTGAATGGAGATCCAAACTGTGAGGAGCTTATTAAAGGAGGTATCAACAGGGTTTCTTCTCTAAATTCAGTATTAGAAGATCTCCTTGTAGGGGGATTCTCAAGTAGATTTTTTGAATCATAAAGATCAAAATTCTCTTCCTCTTCTTTATTAAAGGACATGCGGTCGTTGTCAGCATCATCATCATCATCATCATCATCATCATCATGATCGTTTCTTTCTTCTTCTTCAAAGTCGCCAGATTCCTCCAGATTTGAGTCATTGCTCAAATTTTGACTTTTTCTCAACAGCAATGCCACGTTACTATCACTTACTTCTCTAATAAAATTTATTGATCCTGGTCTTGCAAGTAGCGTATTATTTTGTGACGGAAGGGTGGGTGGTGCTGGAGCTAGTGTAGAAGTGGTGGCGGATACCGTTGTTTTCTGCAACTTTTTTTCTTCTTTTGGCTTCTTACTTGTCGACAATGACGTCTCTGCCACTTGATCTTTATTACTAGGTTGATTCTGTGATTTTTTCTTAAATACGTGCATAATTGAATTATTTGACTTTGTCTTGGTAAGTGGAGCAAGTTCGAAAGGCTCAATGTTTTCAACCTGTGTAACAAATTCAACTGTTGAGCTTGATTTAGTAACTTGTTTCGCCTGCTGCCGAGATGCGGAAAAGTTGCCCTCGCTTGTGTTCAACGAATGGTTTTTTGACATAGATTTAAACAAGGTTTTAAAGCTAAACTTTTTCTTTTCGCTTGGTAAGCTCGCTTTGTTAAGATCATCCATGGTAGAGCTTCTTTTATGGATAAAAGTTGATGGTTTTGGGTCATCGGGCTTGTTTGCCTTTTTGGTGAAATTCAATGAAAAATTTGAATTTGATCTGGCATGCGGAGAACCTTGAATTGTAGCAAGACCTGGTCTTGTACCAGCTTCTCTATTGGCTTTATGTTTTGTTTTCGATGATGATGATGATGATGACACCGACGTCAACGTCGTTGTGTTTGCCATTGTGTTTGTGTTGGTATTTGTAGTGGTATTTGTATTTGTTTTTGTATTTGTTTTTGTATTAGTATTGGTATTGGTATTGGTATTGGTATTTGTTTTTGTATTTGTTTTTGTTGTTTGATTGTTCATATCCGAAATAGTGTTGAATTTCAGTGAATAATCAATAACTGGGTTAAACTCCTCTAATTGGAACTTTTGCTTACTTGGAGAATCCCTAGAAAGTACCGGTGATATGTCTTGCTTATTGAAACTTGTATTTGTACTATAACGTTGAGCAAAGAGTTTCGGTTTAGATAATGGCAAGGTGCCGCCAATGTTACCTAAACCGTTCAATTTTTTGGTTCCCCGCTGTGGTTCAATAAAGGTAAATTTTGGATTAAAGTGATTTGGGGATTCACCAAAGCTTGAATTGACCTGTTTGATACCAAGTCCCTTAATGCTCCTGTCGTTTGGAGTATCATCGATATTGCTTGCTGAGCCAATATCTGTAATTTCATTGGTAAAAGTCTTATTGGAAGGAGCGAATAAATAAGTTTCGGATTTAAGGCTTGACTTTTGTAATATTTTTTTTTCTTCTGCGTTGCCACCATCGGTATCTCGTTGAATTTGAATAGTTGATTTTGGCCTTGACTTTGACTTTGATTTTGATTTTGATTTTGATTCTGGCCTTGACTTTGACTTTGACTTTCGCTTCGGCTTCTTTTGTGTGGTGGAAAAAGTGCTGGCGTCAGTGTCAGTATCAGCGTCGACGTCGGCACCTTGAGTAATTGGGGTCGTGTTACTTATTATTGGTGTATGTCCAGTTTCAACGACAGTTAATTGTGGAGATTCAATGCTGTGGGGAGTAAAGCTTTGGAAAGTTGGCGGTTGACCCAACACTGGAGTGTCGTCTGTGCTATATCCGCTGCCACTAATTGTCGACACTGTAGACGTTGTATGTTTATGATTAGTAGCAGCAGAAGAAGAAGAATGTTTATTATCGGTATTTTGGTGAGATTGACGTGTTTGAATCATCGTCTCATTAGCAGTTTCATACGACTGAACAGAAGCAATGGTGTCGTTTGTTGCATTAGTGGTTTGGAAAGTTGCTGGGGTAAAAAATCCCGGACCTTGTAGTTGTTCAAATTGAGTTGAATCAGATTTGTCTCCCTCCTCAACCTTTTCTTTCACCTCCTCTTCCTCTTCCTCAAGAATTACAGCTGGTTTTTGGCAATTTTTACTCTTTTCATTTAAAATATTCTCCAATGCTTTCAAGGAAGGCGAGGACTTGATCATTGACGTCTTACTTGTAGTAGCCATCTTTCTATTACCATTGCTTCCGCCATTGCCTCCGCCATTCTTCACCAAGTTGGCAAGCCCGTCATCAAACCCGTCTCGAAGACTTTTTGTGCTTATAGAATGAGAAATTTGTATTGACTCTCGTAAATTTTTGATATGATTGGAACTAGTCTGACTTGTTGTTGAAGCTGAATAAAAATTATCCTCGGAAAAGAAGTCATCATATTTAGATGATAGATCAAAACTACTTGACATTTAGATAAAGATACCCTGGTCTATATAACGCAATGTAATGTTAAAAAAAAAAAAAAAAATTTGGGTGTTTTGGAAAAAAGTATGGCGATGTTGAAACTAGGAAAGAACTAATGGTAAACTATGGTTTAATGCGAGCAGAAGGAAGCGCTAAGATAAAGGGAAAGGAGAAGGGCGGGTAAAAGACCGGATGACACAACGCTGATTTCAGTTTTCTTGATTATGGTTTGATCGATCTATATCAATGAACTTAGAGAGACAGCTCAAAATTGACTGGGTTTTGGTATAGGTATCTTTTACCATATGCTTTAAAATTGTAGATTTAACTTTCTCTCGGTATATCTTAGTAGCATAGTTAAGAGAGAGAGAGAGAGAGAGAAGAAAAAAAAACGATACTATAATATTAAAAATCCTGCATACATGGCGATTTTTTTTTCATTACCAATCCTAAAAAGGAAAAAATCAAAACCAGTTTTCAGGTAGCGGCAAATTCGTATTGATGTGGGAAGAAGATGCCTTACCTTGGTTGATTATAGAAAGGCTTCTTGATAAGCTCGTCATTATATAATGGTTTTTTGCCGCTTCATTTTTTGCTTATTGAGATACTTTACGATACTTTACGATACTTTGAACCATGATCAGCGGATAGTGTTTCATAGTGACGACGCGTTTGTATTTGTTTTCTTTTTTTCTTTTCTGGTTGTTCTCTGAGTATTACGACGCGCGCCCTTACAACCTAAAAATTGATGCTACAAAATGCCGTTCCACGACACTATCGACACTATCGAGCGGAGCGAGATAGTGTCGAGAGTGGTGCAATCACTGAGTAGAGACTATCGAGCAGAGCTAGATAGTGGAGTAGCACTTGATAGCAACACTTAGTAGAGACTATCTCGCTCCGCTCGATAGTGTCGATAGTGTCAGTGTTGCTATCAAGTGCTACTCCACTATCTCGCTCCGCTCGATAGTGTCTATAAAACAAAAAGGTCTAATTTCTACAAATATTACATAACAACACAATCTCCACCCTTCCTCTTAATTCTAGCAAACCTATTTGATTTAGTCTTTTTCTCTTCAACAATTTGAGGTATAGGCTGGGGGTGGTTTGCTTCGTTTGGTAGAGGAGCTGGTGTTGACATGAGCAACCTTTTATTAGCAGCAAAACTCGTGTGACTTTTACACGGACTTTTTGTTGTAGTGTTTGTCAATATTGACCCAACCTCTGCGTCACTAGTCATTAAACTATTAGCATCACTTGATTCAGATAAGCTGCTAGATCCATTATACAGCAGTTTGGACTCAATCAACTCAGGCCTTAATCTAGGATCTAGACCCATTTGCATCAAGGTATTGGCCAAAAATAAATATACCTTAATCCACAATATCTCCAACTCCAAAGTGAATTGTGGACCAAATCTTTCTCGAAATGTTTGCATCAATGCTTCACCCATAACTTCAAAATGTACTGCACCTATCCCCAATACTCTCGAATGCTTTTTCGCCAACTTGACAAAATATGTATTTAGTACTGATAAATCCTCCAACTGCGATATGATCAAGGTCATCACCTCAGCAAAACTAATAGCCTGGTGTTTAATTGACGGAAACATCTTCTCCAAATCGGGCGCTCTAATCAAAATATTTGCATAAAATTGTCGACAAAACAAACCAAGCGATATTGATGAGCAATTGGGAGTTTCGCCGATAGTCGCCGAAGTTGAAAACTCCCCAGGTATTTGTTTGATCTTGTTTGATTTATCCTCCATTAGCATTTGGTTCCATGTGTATCTAACCATATCGATTTCATTCTGAGTCAAATTCAATTTCGCAGCATACTGAAGTGGACTTTCCAAATACCTTTGGTCCATCGACATTCTTGTGTCGACTTTAACTAAATGATATGATAATTCTTTGATATCTGATGATAAATCGTGGTTTTTTATCCCACTTTCTGCTTCTATAGGTTTTGTTGCAGCTGCTGAGTTTTTGCTGTGTTTGGAACTTGTACTTGCAAGACTGTGATTGTCACTAAAATTGGAACTATTTTGTGGAGCACAAGAAGTAGTCTTTTGTTCGGAGTTTATAGAATGCGGCTGTTCAAACTTATAACGTAAATTCCGCTTGCCTTTGCCATTTGAAGAAGCTGGTATAGTTGTGGTGGTGGTGGATGTGCCTGTATTTGTACTAAAAGATGAGGGTGGGTACGAAGATATCAGCAATGCAGAAGCTTCTAATAATCCTGACTTATTATTTGGCTGTAACAGGGAATAATATTTAGGACTCGCTAGGGATGACATGACTTGGTATTTTCTTGTCTAAAAAAGAAAATAATAATAAAAAAAAAAAAAAAAGGTATGAGGTATAAGAACAAAGGTCAAAAGGTTGTAATAAGGGCGGGTAATTGAACAAATAACAATAGCTCCAAATCTCAAGAAAAAAAAACCCTAAAAAATTGTGGAATATTGAATCAATGTATGCGGGTCTCTCACCAGTGAAAAAAGTCGTGCTATGGTACGTGTGAATATATGTTTCTCTCAAATATTAGGCTTTGATATCTTTTTTCAATTTAATTGTTCTTTTCAAAATGGAAAATACAATCTGCAATAGAAGAATGGACAATCGAGACTGATGTCTATGAAATGTGGGTTATGAATAAAAATAAAAATTTTAGACAAGTTTTGGTAAGACAAGTTTAGGTAAGACTAGTTTAGGTAAGACTAGTTTAGGTAAGACAAGTTTAGGTTATAGATAAGTTTAGGTTGGCGTTTGTATTAAGTGGTATGACTCCCTGCGATGTACCTATGTACCTATGGAGTGACTTTCAATAACAAAAAAAAATATTCAATAAAGAAAAAACCATTCAATATAGTTACTAAAGAAAGAGGTAGAATTAGGTTATATATATATGTATATATATATTTAGTGAGAGGGTGTGCAACAAGTGGCGTATTAGTAGTCAGTAGTAGTCAGTAGTCGTAGTTGGTGTTCCGTTGTAGGAGGGGTGTAACAAAAACTAATCGACTGTGGACAAAGCTAACTAACCCGTGGACAAACTTAATTGGACAGATGGTGAGCGTTTAAAGTTTAGGTTTCATTTGTATCGTCTATATAAAAAGAATTTAAGTATCATTTGCAGTTTTTTATTTATTAATTGTGAATTGTTACATGCACTGCATACTAACTTAACTAGGCGCATTTTATCCGAGGGGAATCCGTTGCAAAGTAGTTCCCTTGACAATTTTTTTTCTTTTTAAATTGTCTATTATATTTGACTATTGCTAACCCTATTTAATACTCCATTTCTGAACTAAACAAGCTAAACTATGAACTTTTAACTTGCAAAATCTCATTTTTCATGCATCAATGAAATTTAGGATTTCGTTTAAACAGACGGCTAAAATTTATTCATTTTTTCTTTTCATCCTCCTAATTTGAAGAGGGAAAAATAATAACAATATCAATGTATGTGGCTTTTTGGCTGGCAGAATTACAATTGCAATTTCAACTCTCCTCTATAGCCACCAACTACCACCACCACCTGTTGCAAACATTCTTTCATCTATTAGGCCTGCCCACTAAGATACCATGGGTTTCTTGCCCTTGTTTGTGTGTGTGTGTGTATATATATGTGTGATGCCACATATCTATAATACTGCACTTGACGATAAAAAAAAAATTTTATTAATATTAAAAGATTTTATAAACCCTGCTTTTGAAAGCCTAGTTTTGTTTATAATAAGAGTAGGAGGTTTAGTATGCAACTTCAAAAGAAAATTTTGCAATACATCAAATCACACCCTTCTCCGAGCCTTCCTTTCTCTCTACTCACAACTTTTGTCCCTTGCCCTCCCCTTCGATTGCCCCCCACCCCCCCCTTTTTTTTAGGTTTCCTATTGACTAATTACCCTGATCTGGCCTAAACTTTCTCGTAACCTTGCGTATCTTTAACTTACTTCTCTGCCTCTTTTTTTTTTTTTTTGAACAACAAAAAATGTGTCTACCCCATCTTTAACAAAACACACCCGGTACATACAACATATTGGAATTTTACTAAATAGTTACGTAGTAGGTCCAACTCTGTGTTTTCCTATTGTTTCTTGCTCACCCATCTCATAGCTAAGTGCAAAAAATAAAAACAGATTGCAAACTTGTACAGCTAAGAAAAAAGAGAAGGAAAATATAACACAATACTACACAAATTTTTCCTGTTTCTTGAGAGTAGTAAAGGAATGTCCATTAGTATTGCTGGAACAGAAATGCTATATCTTTTCACTTATGTATCACTAATTATTAACTAAGTAGCATTGTGACTGTGTATAAAGATAAAGATAAAGAAGAACGCGATACATGGCATCACTGTTGGCTGGCTTATGTCTTTTGAGGTGGCAACAAATCTGCCACATGCATATGTAATCATTTTCGACTTTGACTTTTTTTCACATCAATTGCATCATTCTTTGAAAACTAAGTTGTTATCTAAGAAAAATTACAATTGTATAGTGAAAAAGAACAATGCTGAAACTTTATCAGCTGGGCTATGTAGATGAAGATTTTTTGCTGTCTTAGTGTGGGATGGTATTACTCAGTGCTACTATTGTAAGTTTGACATTGAGTTGCAAAACACTCTGCAGCTTATGTCGAAACAGAAAAGAGATTTAGAAAAAGAGATTTAGGAAAAGAAAGAAATCAGTGTCTCAAACACTTTTAATGAATTTTAATCTCCTGATTATTAAACCCCCCCTGAGTTTCCATTTGATATTGGACTTTTTTCTTTTTAGTAATTGTTTTAGTCTCTGATTTAGTTGCACTAGTATATTTAATTTGTTTCATTAGTAGAGTTTGGGAGAAGAAGTAAAAAGAAGTTAATTAGTGAGATGAATAGCGTCAATCTTGCATAAATATTTCTTAAAACGGTAAATTACTTGCATAAAATATACTACAATACAAATAATTTAATACTACAGCACCCGCGGTTTTAAGTTACCTTCTTAGCAGAGCGCATTTGCTATTGTTAATTCCATTTTTCATTTTGGCGGACTATAAAAAAAATTGCTATACTATAGAGGTGGTGTTTGGCTTCCCTGTTGTATATGGCATATATTGTAAAATTAGAAAAAAAAATTACACCCAGCATTAAAAAAGAACTTCTGGCTAATTCTCCCCTTGGCTCTTAGCCCCAAGCTCTTAGCCCCAAGCTCCTAGCCCTAGCCCCTAGCCCCAAGCTCCTAGCCCTAGCCCCTAGCCCCAAGCTCCTAGCCCTAGCCCCTAGCCCCAAGCTCCTAGCCCTAGCCCCTAGCCCCTAGCCTCTAGCCCCTAGCTTCTAATTCAAATGTTGTAGATAAAAAAAAAAAGGGCTCCGCCGATTATTTGATAATACCTTCTTTTAAAATTCTACTCGTTCAACACTAACAATAAATAGACACTATATTTGAAGAGTACAGAATCGAATAGAAAGAGGCAACATCTACTCTTTTGAATGTTTATTGTACACGGGTATTTCAAATAAAAAGTCGATATTCAAAATGCAATAATATAAAGTCATCTTGTAATTATTTTCTCACGTGATTGGTAGCCACGTCATCTTTCATTTTAGTTGATATCATCACCATCAACTTGTTCATGTTCAGCTTCTTTCATTTCAAATGACTTCACAATTCACCACATCTATAACTGATCAGGTGAAGCTAAATCTTATACATTATAACCTATGGACAGAAGTCGAAGTACATAATGATCATATCCTTAAGGGATTACCACCTCAAAAGCTAGTCTCTTCAGATGATGAAAATAAACAAGAATGGATCGTTTGTAAAAGATTATTGAATACAAAATTATCAGTAGTGGAGATCAATCTGTGGTTCAAAGAAATTCAAAACATCATTAATGGGAATGGCAGCGCGCTGAATGGAACGTCGCAACGGGATGACGAAGAAGAAGAAGAAGAAGAAAAGGACAAACAAGAAGACATATCAACTTCAAAAGATAAAAATGGCACAGAGATTAAGGATGGAAAATTATGGAAAAATGTGCAAAGAAATAATGGAGAAAACAGAGTTGATAGAATAACTATTGCAATGATCAATGATGATGGAACAATAGTATACTACTTCTTGTATGATGGAATAACTAAACCTCGACAAAATTAAAAATTAAGTAAAAAAAAAACAAAACTTATAAAAAAAAAACAAGTAGATCCACTAGAATGCCAAATAGTAAAAATCTATCTGCACTTTAAGGTCTTATCAAAAAGTATTGAATCCAACTTATGATGTTGGATGTCAAGGAGACTTGGTAGAGCACTCGGTTAGATTAGGTCCTTTTAGTTTAACACAATTAACACATATTAGCCCAATTGACACAAATCCGGTTTGCATGAGCCAAATTATCATGTTTCAATATGCAGTCATGTACGAAGAAGCAGAAGATCCCGCATGTCCATGTAAAAAACAGTCGAAATATTCAGAGATATATGAAGGCACAAATTGCAGCTGGTAGCGGTGACCATGTGATGATTCTCGGTTTTGTTGTTGTTGTTGTTGTCGCTGCTGCTCCCGCCATAACTGTATGGCATCATCAACATTAATAAATTCGTCCCTTTCGTTTTCTTCAACCTCTCCTGGTCCTTCTTCAAGCTCCTCTGTTGTTGCTCTATTATATCTAAACCCCCTAAACAATTGTTGTTGACTTTGTTCCTCCATGGAGATAGCCAATGCTTGCTGAATCTCCAATTCATACTGTATTCTTCTTTCTTCTCTTCTGGCCTCAACCAACGCCCGCGAAGTGGCGACAGAAGTAGCAATCGCTTCATTAATTCCAGCTCGACCAAATTGCTCAACATCTAAAAGTAAACTAGGCAAGATATTATGAAAGTCCACTTCGTCAATTTTGTTTATTTTCCAAACATCAATGCCTCGAGGTATGCATTTCAATTTCACTAGTTTACGAATCGTCTGGCGAAGATTTCGTGGTGTTTTTACTAGTTTGTTGTTGACACGTAATATGGGGATGCTATATCTAGGATCAAACGAAATTAAATCAAAATTTTTATGAAGTTTTTCTTTATATGGTGGAGAATTTTCCATGTCGATGTTGAGATGAAATGATTGTGCATATTCATCCAATGGAGGAGGAGGTTCTTCATGATGTATTGTTCCAACAGAAAATTGTGATAACTGAATCGGTTGGTTTAATCGTGCAATAATTGCATCTCGTGTTTGACTAGAAACGGACGTGCGAGGAGGTTGTGGTGGGGAAGATGAAGAAGAAGAAGAAGGTGACTGATGAGAAGTAATGGTATGAGTCTCTGTTATTTCCATATTAGTGGTTTGTGGTAATGGTATTCTCAAGTCTGACCTTCTTCTTTCTTGATCCCTCATTTCTTGCCTCCTCCTACTACTACTACCACTACTACTACTATTAGTGCTACTATTAGCACCTCCATCTGTTGACAGATTGCGAATTTGAGGAGACTGGCGTCTCTTGTTCCTTGTACTACTCTGCGCAGTGCTACCAGTTCTTTCCAAAATACATGCCACTGCTTCTGCTCTACCAAACGGCTGGTTGTCTTGACAAGCACTATTATTATTATTATTATTGTTGTTGTTGTTGTTGTTATTATTATTATTATTAATGGTGAGTTGTTGTGAAGACAAAGTTCTTAAACCAACGGTCTCGTGGTTTTCAAAACAAAATGAATTGGATAAAACCATGGGGGAAGGATGCGAATGTTGCAAGGATGTAGGAGATAAAGTAACTCTCCCACTAGATTGTTCTTGCGGTCCGTTGGCACAGAAATGTTTTACCGCTTGAATGTTCTTAGGAGCCTTTTGTGTAATTCTATCCTCATCTTCATCATTTACTGTTCTAGCCAAAACACTAATAATATCGTCATTTATAGGATAAGGCAATTGTTGATTTTGTGGTTGGCTAGTCTCAACTGTATCATTAGGGTTTTGGATGGTTGATTTATTTACAATTCTAGTTCGATTAGATGAACGTTTATTCTTTTTATCAGTTACAGCTTTCCCACTTCTTCTATTATTTAATGGTGTTTCGTTTAGATTTGTACTTCTTGAGTGTAAAATTGTAGAATCTTTAGATAGTATTGTACTATTGTTTGTTTTATACTTTATTCCTCTTTTTGGTGCAACAGCCACTGCTGCTTTTCTGTTTCTTCTTTTACTACTTTGTATCCTTCTTTCTCTTTGCTCGCTATATGCTGAGCTGTTGTAGTGATCACTACTGATTAACAATTGCTTTATATTTATCTCGTCGACTGGTGAAGCGTGTCTTTTTGGGGACGAGCCAGTTGATGTACTGGCCTCGAACGATCCTGGCAAAACAATTCTTGGTGAGATATATGCTACTCCCTTAGTCAAATCGGGGGACGATTTTGGTTTGTAGATGTTATGCACTTGCACTGGCTCTTGTTCTTGTTCTTGTTCTTGTAGCTGTAGCTCCTGCCATTGCTTTTGTTCTAGTTCTTCTAGCTGTAGCTCATCTTGCCTCAAAGTTTGTCCATCTCCCGGTAACAAAAACAGATGTTTCTTTGAAAAGATATTGAGTACCATTACGTATTAGGGATAAGATGAAGCTAATCCAAGTAAAGAGGAAAAAAGGCTCTATATATATATATATACATATGTGTATGTATGTGAGTATGTTTACAAAAGTGTTTTAAATGATTATAATATCGAATTTTCAATATATATAATGCTAATAGTTTAGCAAAACTGTAAATCTATGTTGCTCAACTGATATGTTAGTTCAGGCTGTGATTTAGATTAGACTTCTAAATCGAGTAATATAGTGAAAAATTAATAATTTCCGTATTTGTCTCCGAAAACGGCTCACGCCGCATGGTGAGAATTGTACAAACATGAAGCAAACAATGTATGTAATAGAAGCTGAGAAATGGCCGAGGTATAAATATATATACAAAAGTCATCATCATACATAGATTACAGAGTTTCAAGGGGGATAAAAATCGGTAATTATTGATTTCTCTCGTGCATAGAGATGAATAAGAACATCTTTAAAGAGAAGAAGCCAATGTACATTGTTATTAGTGTTTATCAGTTTCCCCTGCATACCCTAAGCTCTAGGACTCTAGGGCTCTCGTCTCTCGTCTCTTGTTCTTATTCTTATTCTTGTTCTTGTTCTTGTTCTTGTCTCTTGTTCTTGTTCTTGTTCTTATTCTTGTTCTTGTTTTTGTCTCCTACTCTTGTCCTTTTGTCGTTTTGGAGATGTTCCATCATATTGTTCCACTATAGGCTTTTTATTTTTTCCCTTGTATTTGACAGATTATTTGCGAGATAACAAGAGTTTAATGCAAGTGTGTGTAATGTGAAGCGAGACCTGAGACTAAGGATCAAATCAGAATCAAGTATACTTTTTATATGTTTTTATAGAGAGTAGAGAGAGGAGACAGAGGAGAGAGAAGAAAGAGAGAGAAGAAAGAGAGAGGAGACAGAGGAGAGAGAAGAAAGAGAGAGAAGAAAGAGAGAGAAGCGAGTCTAGTCCATAGAGAGTAGATAGAGGGTAGAGAAGAGTGTAGAGAGTAGGGGTAGAGAGTAGAGAGAGTAGAGAGTAGAGAGAGTAGAGAGTAGAGAGAGTAGAGAGAGTAGAGAGTAGAGAGAGTAGAGAGTAGAGAGAGTAGAGAGAGTAGAGAGTAGAGAGAGTAGAGAGTAGAGAGAGTAGAGAGAGTAGAGAGTAGAGAGAGTAGAGAGTAGAGAGAGTAGAGAGAGTAGAGAGTAGAGAGAGTAGAGAGTAGAGAGTAGAGAGAGTAGAGAGTAGAGAGTAGAGAGAGTAGAGAGAGTAGACTATCTCGCTTTACTCAATAGTCTAGGAGCAAATCAGAATCAAGTTTACTTTTTGTATCTCGTGTCCTCGACAAATATGCAAACTAGCTTTTTTATTTGGACTAGGGAAAATATAGTCTTTATTTAGTAGACTATTTTAATTCAATACCTTTCCATTACCCCATTGCAATAAATTTGTGATACTATGCTGCTCTCGTCCACTGGCTCTGCTCCTCTAACTCTGCTCCTCTAACTCTGCTCATCTAACTCTGCTCATCTAGCTCTGCTCCTCTAACTCTGCTCATCTAGCTCTGCACCTCTGGTCTCTTCCCCTGCTCTCTTCCACCGTACTGCTCTCCTGCGCTGTTCTCTTACACTCTACTTTTGTGCGACAATCTAGTAACATCTTTCCTCTTGAATGAATTTGATTGGTCTTCCATTGATTAACCTCTCACAAAGCTCGAAAACGCACAAAGAAGTAATATTCAAGGATAACACCTAAAAGTGATATCTCGAAATCGCACAAGAAGTAATATTCAAGGATAACACCTAAAAGTGATATCTCGAAATCGCACAAGAAGTAATACTTGAGAATAACACCTAAAAGTAATATCTATGCGTAATGCTTAGAAGTAATACCTGGAAAGAAAACGCACAAGTATGATACTTTGAAGTAACACTTGATTTGATTTGTATCCAAAGCTGTTACTTAATGTTTGCCACAAAATTTGTCAAATGAATATATAGATTCATAATTGAATATAAACTAATACTTATCCTAAATCCTATACAAGTTATAACGAATAAGTCAACATCACTTCATTTTAGCAATCTAGGATACTGTCCCTTCTCTTTTATTCTTTCTTCTTCTTCTTCTTCTTCTTCTCGGCTTATTTGCTCTTATTGTTGTTGGTGGTTTTGATCTCCTCCTCTAATTTAGCAATGGTGTCCTTCTGTTTCTCCAATTGAGCTTTCAATCTTTTCAATTGGTCTTCTTCATGCTTTTTAATCCAAACATTTTCTTGTGCTTTTTCCTTTTCTGAGAATGAATCTCTTCCGATATTTTGACCATCCATTAAAACAACTCTTGATGTTGAGAAGAATCTTCCCATTAAATTTGGTCTAACAGCTCTTGATAACATTGTTTCTTTTCTTCCTTTTCTTTTAAAATCGTTCAATTGCCTTTTGCAATAGTGGTGAGATTTATTTCGGGAAGAGAGGGGGGTTTTTTTTTGAAAGCTCATGAGCAAAAGTCATTGAGAAAGAAAAATACTAAAAAATGTGGGGGTAGTGTCCTGGCTAGACCTTGGCACCAGGCGGTAAAGTAAGGCTGAACAATTTCGTTACATTCAATTGGCTATATAATTATACAGTAGGAAAGAAGAGGTATGGAAGAAAAGAGTGGTTGGAAAGCAATGAAGGATCTTGGTCGTCAGTAAATGGTTTTGGTTGCATTCATTTATATACAATATTTTTTTCTTTCCAACATTACCATCGAGCGACGACACTATCGAGCGACGACAGTGTCGTTCGATAGTGGAGCAGCACTCAGTAGCTTGTTACAACACTATCACGCTCTGCTTGATGGTGTTGCTCGATAGTGGAGCAACACTTTGTAGCTTGTTACAACACTATCTCGCTCTGCTCGATAGTGTCGCTCGATAGTGTCGCTCGATAGTGTCGCTCGATAGTGTCGCTCGATGGTGTCGCTCGATAGTGTTGCTCGATAGTGGAGCAGCACTCAGTAGCTTGTTACAACACTATCTCGCTCCGCTCGATAGTGTTGTTCTCTATATATTCCTCACGGGCAAGTACCTATAATGTCTATGCTTAGAAGACAACAATCCCAAATTTCTAGCTGTTCGTATAGCAGCGGTGAGCTTCTTTTGGTTTTCAGCGGAACACCCTGTTTTATCACGAGGCAATATTTGTCCTGTTGAAGTTAAAAATCGAGACAAGATCTCGGGCATCAAATATAAGTTTTTGGCATTTATTCCGCTTTTTGCAAACGGATCTTCCACTTGAACCTTTCGTAACTGGAATGCTTTTCTTTCCATTCGAACTCGATTCAAGCTGAAATCAAAAGGATTATATTTACTTCCAACGAGGAATCTTCTCGAAAGGGAATTGGCTATGTAAACTGGTGGCTCTCCTGAAGTTAAAGTCTTTGTCATTTCGGATAAATTCGCCGTAATGTTTGTTTGCACTGAAGATTTTGCTTGCTTGTCTGAATTGTTAGCCTCAGAAGCGCCCCAGTTTTCTTTACTCTTTAGTTGCTTGATTTTGGAAGCATCGACATTATTGTTTTTGGGAGATTGTGTAAATAGACTACGTGTGAAGTGGATCCTACCACGTAAAACTCTTGATATGACCGTCATTGCAACTCACCCCTAACTCAACAGTTCTAACTTGGCAGTTCTAACTCGGCAGCTCTATTCTCAGCAGCTCTATTCTCGGCAGCTCACTATTAACAGCTACTTCAGTTCCAGCTCTTTAATTAATTGAGTCTTTTTTCGAGTGAAAAATTATTGTCTACTGTGTTTTCTTAGTATGGATGTATGGATGTTCATCTCATTTTGAACACATACACGATCAAGTGGGAAAAAAAAAGTTTCTCTCTTTCTAACATGTCAATTGTTTGGAGAGGAATCTTACCTACTACTAAAATAGAGATTACTCTCGACTCATTAAATAGAGACTGCGACTCATTGGCTTAATCCTGGCAAAGTTTTTATTCTCGTTTCACGAAAGAAAACAAAGAAGCGAAAAAAAAAAAATTGTTTTTTCCCTTCTCCCCAATAGTAATTGCCCTCTTCAACTTCACTTGTACTATATAGAGTGAATATATTACTCAGTAACATCTTTTTCATTTGCAATCTTTGTTCATTTACAAATTTGTTCACATTCTTTAATTTTTATTAGTTGCTCATTTTTCGGTTCCAGCGACTAATTACAGTAGTGCAGATGTATATAAGAAAGTCACACTCATATATATATACCCATATATGTATATCTTTATAATTACTGGAAAAACCCACACTAAAATCTAAGCAATATAGGCAAAGTGGCAATACAGACAAAGTGGCAATACAGACAAAGTGGCATCTTACAAACTAGCCAGTAGTATCAAAAAAAATTTTTCATACATATACATTTTTTATTCAAGTGATTTAATATGGGGGAACGAGGTCCAGATCAATGGTTAGAGCAGATTAAAAAATGTATAGCCCTAACTGAATCAGAGATGAAACAATTATGTGAGCTTGTTAAAGAATTATTGATGGAAGAGTCAAATATTCAGCCCGTCCAATCACCAGTAACAGTATGTGGCGATATACATGGACAATTTCACGATTTGCTAGAACTATTCAGAATCTCTGGTGGTTTGCCGAGCGATGATCATCAAACAAACTATATTTTCTTGGGTGACTATGTCGACAGAGGCTATTTTTCATTAGAAACATTTACATTGTTGATGGTTTTAAAAGTCAAGTATCCTCATCGAATCACTTTGGTACGAGGAAACCACGAATCACGTCAAATTACCCAAGTTTATGGATTCTACGAAGAGTGTCTAACAAAGTACGGCTCAAGTACAGTATGGAAATACTGTTGCCAAGTATTTGATTTCCTAACTTTGGCAGCTATAATTGATGGCAAGATTCTTTGTGTTCATGGTGGATTGTCTCCCGAAATTAGAATGTTAGATCAAATTAGAGTCTTATCCCGAGCTCAAGAAGTTCCTCATGAAGGTGGTTTCTGCGACTTGGTGTGGTCTGATCCTGATAACGTTGATACTTGGGCAGTGTCACCTCGTGGTGCAGGCTGGTTATTTGGCTCAAAAGTATCAAGAGAATTCAACCATATTAATGATTTACAATTGATTGCAAGAGCTCATCAACTAGTTATGGAAGGGTTCCGATATCATTTTAAGGAGAAAGATGTCGTGACTGTGTGGTCCGCACCAAACTACTGTTATAGATGTGGTAATGTTGCCAGTGTTATGCAAATTGATGAAGATTTAGAGCCAAATTTCAAAATTTTTAGCGCTGTTCAAGATGGAGACTTGACTATAAAGAATAGCAATACTACAAAACTGCAAAGAAGTGATTATTTTTTATAATTGAAGATTTAGAAGGAGGAGGAGGAGATCGACACTATCGAGCCCATCGACACTATTGAGCCCATCGACACTATTGAGCAGAGCGAGACAGTGTTGGTAACAGATAGTGTTGGTAACAGCTAGCAGAGGAGGAGATTTACACTCAGAGGAGGAGATTTACACTCAGAGGAGGAAATTTACACTTAGAGGAGGAGATTTACACTCAGAGGAGGAAATTTACACTTAGAGGAGGAGATTTACACTCAGAGGAGGAAATTTACACTTAGAGGAGGAGATTTACACTCAGAGGAGGAAATTTACACTTAGAGGAGGAGATTTACACTATCTCGCTCTGCTCGATAGTGTTGTAACAAGTTACAAAGTATAGTGTCCATGTCAGCTAGCAGAGGAGGAGATAATGATGATGATGATGATGATGATGAAGGCAGAGGAGAAGGGGGAGGTGGGGAACAGGCGGTAAACACTAGACCTTTTTACAGTCCGCTGATTTTTACTTAGTAATCCCGGTTTTTTTTTTTAATGACAACGTTTACGATATAGATGCAATGATTTTTCTTAATTTATAAAAATTGTATTATGTAGGATGTACTACTTGATTTTAATAAAACCTTTTTCTTTTTAATAAAGTGACTTTAGTAAACTTATTTTTTACCTTTTCTTCTCTTTCTCTTTTGACCTATTATCAGCTTGATGTTGTCTGAAAGACCTGATTTATTGGTCACTTTTGAAACAGCGGGCTTTTGTTCCCTTGACTTACTACCCTTTTCCAGGCCTCCTTTTTTCTTTTGTTCCCTTGACTTACTACCCTTTTCCATGCTTGCCTTTTTCTTTTGTTTCTTTGATGATGGTTTAATAGAGTCTTCCTCCTCCTCTTTGCCATCTTGTCTGTATCTCTTTCTCTTCTTCGATTCGCCATCTTCTTCTTCTTTTTCGTTTTTATTACTTGGCTGTCTGCTCATTATTTCTTTCTCCCTTCTTCTTCTAACAACTTGGGCATTTTCAACAGCAAATTCAGCAATTAACCTTCTCTTACCAAGGCCTTCCAATTTAACCGTTTTCTTTTCATTGTCAGTCAAGCCTTCTAATATCTCAGCATTACTAACTTCATGTGCATTTAACCACCTTAATCCTTGTAACGCGGCTTTGTGATCTCTGAATTCGATAAACCCGTATCCTCTACTACGACCAGCTTCTCCTGAACCTTTAACTTCCATAATCACTTTGGCTTGTTTAACCACGCCCTTATGCTTGGAATTTTTAGGTTTTTCTTCGATTTTGTCTAGTACTTCCTTTTTCAGCTTGTTTGACCTTGAAACTTCTTCCTTGGATAATGGTTGACGTTTACCCTCCTTGACTTCAGTGGCAAATTGCACTACTGCTTTTCTTCCCAAGGCCTTGAGAGCTTTCGAATTCATTGCACGAGGTAAGTTTCTTATAGCTAACCTTGTTAACGATAAATGCAAAGTTGGATTTTTGTTTAATTGTTGAACACGTAATTTGTATGATTTGTCCCTCAACTCTAAATCCGTCTTTGAAATAAACTGAGCTAACTTGGAGTTCTCGGTAATTCTACCCTCATTTAGTAAATACAAATTTCGTTTATCCTTTTCACCAGGTGCTTTACCCAATTCCTGTTTCCTTTTAAACGAGTTCCTTTCTGCTAATCGGTGTGCTGATTGCCTATCAACAGCTGAAGCAATGGATAGGATACGACCCTGGTAAACGTATTGAGGAGAAACATCATCGGCAATCAAAAAAGAAGTGGCCCCGGAATTCAAAGGTGCATTCTCAAGACAGTCATTGTATGCATCTTGCTCTTTAAAAGCAACAAATGCTGAACCTTTTGATAATCCCGTTTCTTTATCAATCACAGGAAGTGCATATTTGACGGGTCCAAAAAATTCAAAGTGTTTTTTTAATGATTCCTCGTCAGCATCATACGGTATATTACGTACAAATATACCGTATGCTTCTTGTTTATTACTTTTTTTCCTTGTTTTTTCTTTCTCCTCTTGATCTTCTTCGTCGTTGCCGTCGTCGTCTTCATTGTCGCTGTCAATCTTAATCTCAACATCTTCTTCGATGTCCACTTCGTCATCAGAGTTTATTTCGTTCAATTTGTTGAAATCTTCTTCTTCCTCTTCTTTTTCTTTTTTCTTATCCTCTTTGTCATCATCATTTTCTTCTTCTTCTTCTTCTTCTTCTTCTTCCTCTTCTTCCTCTGCATTTGCATCACGTAATCCTCCCTCTGCTTCATCCTCTTCATCAGAATTCACATTCTCATCCAATTTCTTTTCATCATCTTCCTTCTCTTCTTTCATCTTTTCCCACTTTGATTTTTCCACAGCAAAATCAACAGTAACTTCTCTACCATCAATTTTCAAGCCTTTACACTCCTGTACTGCTCTTTCCGCAGCAGCAACTTTTTTCATAACAACAAATGCAAACCCGCACAATTGGCCTCCTTTCTTTTTAGGTATATAAGCATCAAAAACAGCCCCATACTTGTTGAAAATTTTCTTTAATTCTTCAGGTTTTTTACAGCTCCAAGGCATATTTCGGATTATTAACCTTGCTCTTCTCTTCTCTACCGGTTCCCGCTTTGTACGTTCCCTGTATAATCCATCACCACCACCACTACTACCACTACTACTACTAGCACCCTTATCTTGCCGTTCTCTCCTCTTTGCAATATCCACTCGTAAACGATTATCTTGAAATGTGGATTTCCTCGACTCAACCAAAGCAGTCAATGCATCTTCATCCTCAGTAAATGTAACAAACCCAAAACCACGACTCTGTTTATTTTCATCTGTGACTATAACTGCATGTTTTACCGGTACAAATTGGGAAAAAAACTCCGACAATTGTTCAGATGTAGCTTCTGGTGGGATCGAACGTACAAATAATGTTTTATGATCCAAACCATCGTCGTTAACTTGTCTCAGTTGTTTCGTTGCTGCTGCTGCTGCTGCTGCTGCTGGTAGCACTTCAGTTACCGCAGTAGTAGAAGTGTCTAGTACCGCCTTCTCGACGTCAACCATTTTTGAATATTTTTGACTGTCTATAATTATGGTTTGTCTGATACAAAAATACTTTTTTGAGAGATGAGATGAGATGAGCATCGCATCGCATCGCAGAGAACTGGAAGAGAAAAAAAAAAAAAAGTTGTAAGGTTTTATCACGTGATATGGACTTTTATAACTTATTTGTTCAAACAATTTTTTTACAATATGAAATCCTCTGGTAGCTCAGTTGGTTTAGAGCATGAGACTGTAATATGAAATAGTTCCGCAATCTTGTGGTCGGGAGTTCAAATCTCCTCCGGAGGAATTTTTTTTTTATTTTTTTTATTTCTTTTAATTCATATAGACTTGACATTCTATACACACAGGATGTTAAAACTTTCATAATCAAGCTATCACGGAGGGATCTAGTCGGAGGTAAGGGTATATGTTTTTGTATAGGGCAATGTTAAGAGAACAAAATAGTTTAGTAGGTTACGATTAACTCCATTGAATTGTATACTATATTATAATATTTGGTTTAAAACTGAGTCAAAAATTTTTGAAAACAAATTTTTTTCAATACCGCTATATGTGGTTCATACTTTCAAAAATCATATAAAAACATAGAGGGAGAGCACAACAATCTTCTTTTCTTTTCCTTTCTTTCTTTCTCGCAAGAATACTTTTAATAACCTAGTTTTCTTATACTGTTCCTGATAACACGATTAGCATGTGTATCCGTGCTAGGAACTTTTTGCTGTAAACTTTTCAAAATGTCGATATCTTTATTCTTAACAGCTTCTTGAGCAGCAGAATCATAGTCTTCGTTCTTGATATACAAGTTGATCTTTTCATCATATTTGTATTTCACTGAATTGCTGATATATGCCGATATATGTTCTTTTGGAGCATCATACTCGAAACCTGCCTCAACAAATGGTTCAAATCCAATAGGCGATTTACCTGTTGTAGAATCGAGTGAGCCAAATGCAAATTCATATAGCCTATCGAATTCATGAGATTGCGAATATGTTTTAAGAACAAGGAACCAATACTTTTCTTGAGATACCGATAACTCTTTAACAATTTTACTAGCTGATTTTATCTGATTCATCTTGACAAGTCTTTCAATAATGGTTAATGGCGAGTTTTCGTTATAGAAATTAGCAAGGTATGTTTTCTCTAGTCTCCTCTGAAGTTCTAAAATACTCAATTCTCGTTGAAGTGCCTTTTGTATTACTGTTTGTGAGGATTTCTTTAAACACTTTTTGAGAAGGCTCTTATATTCGTTGTAATACTCTTCGCCCTCTGGATCTGGGTTTGCTTTTTTGAACTCTTTCAACTTGAGTAAATTAAGCTCATCTACTTTATCTTCATGTTCCAAAAATCGCTCCATGAGCTTAGGATTCAATTTACCTAATGAGTTCAGCCACGTATGGCCAACAACCTCTCCTCTCACTTGAAAAAGTTCAGTTTTGATATCTATATCAACATCCAAACCCGTGTGTTCTTCATTTTCAAATTTGGCAACATTTTGATTAAGTATTTTGAAAAATTCAGATACAGTAAGAGTATCCTGCAATTGTGACAACATTAATAAACACAAGTCGTAGTCTCCAGATTGGAATGATTTGATTAATGCCAATTCCACCTCCTCAAGATCAACCAACTTTTTAACCTTCTTACTGATAGATGGCTCCAAGTTGTTTATCAACTTGCTTAATACAGCTCTTCCTTCTTCACGTGCTATATCGCAGATCCTATCTACCGATATATAGTTTGTGCCGTCTTTTGAGAATGACAACAACTTGCGTGTAATGATTTTATACAAGTCAAAGTCTGAAATGTCTAGTTCTTTACGGATTTTGTAACAACACCAATGTACATACACCAACAGAATGAGGTCAGTGAGTTCAAGTTCTTTAATGATTTTCAATGCCAAGTAGTGTTGATTTCTTCTGAGTAGCATTTTAACCACGCTTTCCCAACCAATTGCTTCAATCTCTTTATAAGTGAGAAATATCCCTAATTCAGGACTTCTTAACTGATTCAAAACTTTAACAGTGCTCAAGACAGCCAAGTATCGATCAGCATCGTAGTTATCCTCTTCGTAGATTTTACCAAAGGATACCGCGCGTAAAGCTCGTTTCTGGCGTGCCACATCGAATTCTTCTAATGCAACCTCTAAGCAATCATCAATAGCTGTAGTCAACACATTGTCGTTTTTTAATAATGAAATATTTGCATTGGCTTTTGATGCATTCAGAATAAACTTATCTACACAATCGGCAAGTATGGCGCTTGGGTTATGAGATCCTATTTGATACATTTCCAACGATTTTTCAGGAACACGGCTTAAAAATTGCACTTTGGTACTTGTTGTAAGCCAAAGACCATCCATTGCAGATTGCAAAATAGGCACAGTGTATAATGAATCATTTCTTGGAGAGTCTCTTATCAGCAACAAGTTATCCAAGTCAAAATCATCATCTTCCTCGCTCAAGTCATAAAAAAATGAGATGGATTGTTGACCTGGCCCAATCAATTTTACCTCATCTTTTAGCGAGAGCACTATTGCATCATTGCCACACCATTCAACTTGATACGGAGAGCTTGATTCGTTTGCTGTATTGTATTCCAACAAGATCTGATCAAAAGCATTACTAACGACAAAAATCTTTTTCAGAGAGCTATTATGCAATGAAAGTAAGCGGCCGGTTGGGGAAACGGCAATGCCAACAAACGGACCATCGGTTAGTTTTTGATCTGTTGTATCAAAGTTGGACAAACCCAAATCAACTTTGATTACTATAATTGTGTTTTTATAAGCCAAGTATAATAGCAAGTTTTCATTTCCACTTGAGCCTCCATTCTTGATTTCGAATTCATTTCCATTTTCAGATTTATCCTTTTCAAAGAAAATTGCAGTTGTATAAATATCGAGAGCTGCAAGTTTGAGAATGTTTAATTGATAATTCTGATTACTGTCTAGGTCAGTAATAATTATTTTATTTTCGAACCGGGTGACCAAGTACTTGCCAAAGAGCTGTACTTCCAAGATATTGTTTATTTCCTCTGTTTCATTATTTTCCAAATTGGTTATTTTCCGGGCTGAGATATGAATATCGTCAATATTGATTTCGTCGTTTGCACCTTGTCTACTTTCCGATAAATCGTCGAGTAAAACAGTATCTGTGTTTGCAATTAAAGAAAACTCGTTGAAATTGCCCACGAAATCCTGATAATACCTATATTTACCATTACTCAACACAAGCACCAAGTCCTCGTTATAGAAATAAAAGCCGTAAATGTGGTCATTTACCGTGCCATTATACACCACCGACCATATTTTGGTACCGCTTGGGTTATATATCTCCACCAAGTTTGGGAAGGGTACAGCTTTTGAGGCAATGGCAATGAGTGTGCAATTTGGTGAAGATGCGACCCTATAGCTTGCATATAAATTGTCAATTGACCATGTTAAGGGGCTATAGCAAGTTCGGATATCGTAGTATACGTTTTGTAATCGCAGCCAGTTGAAACTTGGGTTAATGGGCATCTTGAAGGAGCAAGTCTAAATTGGTTAAATCTGGTTGAAATTTGGTTCAGCTGAAATACCATAGAATGAACATAATGCCTTCTATTAGCCCCCTCCCCAAAAAGAATCTCTTCTTTGCTTTGTTTTCTATTTTGCATTTTTACTTTTCTCTATCAAATTCTCGCTCTACAAGGGAAAGGTAGAAGGTAGAAGGTAGAAGGTAGAAGGAAAAGGATAGAGGTGATCTAGTAAGATGTTGGCGTCAGATACAGAGTATGTTACTCTTGTATCGTCAGACAAGTTCAAGTTCATTATACCCAAAGAAGTTGCGTCAATATCATCTGTCTTGAGAAATTCACAAGGATTTGAAGAAGGGAAAACTGGAAAAATAGATCTAGATATGGATGGCGATATATTAGAGTGTATAACTGAGTATTTGTATTATCATTTCAAGTATAGGGATCAAGTTGAGAGTGGAAATATCCCAGAGTTTCATATACCTACGCATCTAGCGTTGGAGTTGCTAGTTAAAGCTGATTATTTAGATATATGAAGAAACTAGACGAGTGAAACGAGTCTAGTCGATAGAGAAGGAGAGCAGTTGAGAGAGAGAGCAGTTGAGAGAGAGAGCAGTTGATAGAGAAAGAGAGCAGTAGAGAAAGAGAGCAGTTGATAGAGAAAGAGAGCAGTAGAGAAAGAGAGCAGTTGATAGAGAAAGAGAGCAGTAGAGAAAGAGAGCAGTTGATAGAGAAAGAGAGCAGTCGATAGAGAAAGAGAGCAGTTGATAGAGAAAGAAAGAGTAGAGAGAGAACGAGTAGAGAGAAGCGAGTCTAGTTGTCTAGTCGATAGAGAAGAAGTGGATAGAGACTAGTGAAAGAGAAAGAGACTAGTCTATAGAGTGTATATAGAGAGAGTTATATATATACTATGGAGCTGCGCTCGTAGTATATTGAGAGAGTAGAATAGTGTTGTTTTCTCGCCTTGCTGGATAGAGAGAGACTAATCGATAGAGAAGAGTAAGTAGAGAGAAAGTGAGTAGTCGATAGAGAAAGAGTAGATAGAGACTAAAGAGAGACTAGTCTAGTAGATAGAGAGAAGAGAAAGAAGATATCGAGAGAGTACCCAATAGACTATCGAGCAGAGCGAGATAGTCTATGTAGAGAGAGTATGTAATAGACCTGCTCGATAGTCTATGTAGAGAGAGTATATAATAGACCTGCTCGATAGTCTATGTAGAGAGAGTATGTAATAGACCTGCTCGATAGTCTATGTAGAGAGAGTATGTAATAGACTATCTCGCTCTGCTCGATAGTCTATGTAGAGAGAGTAGTTAGACCAGTTGAAAGAAAGAGACTAGTTTATAGAGTGTAGATAGAGAGTTATATAGAAAAGCTAAGTTAAATAAAGGGGAGAAAGAAAGCCAGGGGGAGAAAATGCAAGAAAGAGAAATGCAAGAGACTGATTTAGTGCCAATGGAGGTTACCAATGAAGATATTTAAAAGAACTGGATAGAAGTATTTAGAGAAGGAGAGCCATTTATAGCACTAGATAGAGGTATTTAGAGAGGCATTTATAGAAGAACGAAATAGAGGTTGTGTAGAGGTTGTGTAGAGGTTGTATAGGAGGTATAGGTTGTGTAGGAGGTATAGGTTGTGTAGGGTTTTGTAGGTTGTGTAGGAGGTATAGGTTGTTTAGGGTAGTATAGGTTGTCTAGTATAGGTCGTGTATTATGTTGTCAAGGACATTGATACTACTACTAATTACTACAGGAGAAAAAACAATCTGGTAATTACAGAGGAGAATAGCGGGGGTAAAGCTGTGGCGGGGATTAATAATTCTCGCCCTGCTTTCCCTGTTCTACTGGCTCGCCCTGCTCCCCCCCAACTGCCCTACTGCCCTGCTCCCCCCCTACTGCCCTGTTCTGCTCCCCTATTGCCCTGTTCTGCTGTGTCCCACTTTCTCGTTTAGTCTCTATGCCCTTTTCAATCACTCTTTACCTTCACGCCCTGTTTCTGTTAAACTCTGCATAGGCTTCTCATTTTTTCTCATTTTAAATCCCCTTATCATAAATTTCTTCTTTATATAACATATTAAATACCATTTATAAATTACTATTCTTGTTTTAATCCACCTTCCACCCCCACCCACCCAGTCTCTGTGATAATTTCTTTTCCTTTTATGACCACTAGCTTACTTAATAGTCTATCACAGGAAATAAACCAATTTGATGTTTCGGGTCGTCAAAGTTTGAATGAGCTATATGAAAATTCCGAATCCTTTCTACAACAGTTGAAGGATATAGAATCTGCTTTACATGACGAGATTCACCAAGAGGAGCAACAACGACAAAATTTGGCACAATCTCCCGATACAATATCGGCGCCTATCAGTAGGTTGCTCTGCAGTGCAAAAACTCAAAGCTTACACGAAGACTTGCTACAATGCACAGATGGTTGGTACAAATCATCTATTGATTGCCTCAAATCGTATAATTCAGCCAATAACAAGTTTCTGAAGAATGTTTTGAATAATAGCAAATTCGCCGTAGATCTCGATGAGGCTTACAGCTATAAATTGAACATGGATAGTTTCCCGGTTTGCAATTTCAACATTGAAGAAGCATTGGCTGAAATATCTCCTACAAACACTCAGACATCCTTTATATTCCATGACATTGAAGCTAAAAACGCCAAGCAAGAAAATAAGGAAGAATTGACCAAGGCGATAATTCTCCATTTGTTCAAAATCGGTCAGAGTAGTGTAGTGCCAGAGATTTTAAAGCGACAGCCACCATCATCGCCCATTTCCATAAATCCCGAGTTACTACAACAATTTTCACTTTTGAATGAAATCGTTGACGACATTTGCATAAGGCACGATTTGAATCAAACATTGGGCTGGTTTCATACAAAGTACAACGAGAGAATCTTAAATCCAAACTCGTATCATGATTTGGAAGATGCAGAGTCATTTAGTAACACTGAATTCAAATTCCATATGCTTCAGTTTATTATTCTATTGAACGGGAAGGATCTGGAGTTCTCGTACGATGATGCAGTTGAGGCGTATTTCTACTCGAAAGAGCATTTCAACAAGTTTTTGAAAAACTATTTACACGAAATGGCACCATTGGTAACCTTGATTCTTTTCAACTCAAACAACAACAACTCAGGAATTGAACAGTTTTCTAAACAGAGGAATAAAGAATACGCAATACAAAATTTCATTGAAAAGATGAGAAACGGATTTATTATTGAAAGCGATGCATCATCTCGAAATAGGAAAAAAGGTGGCAAGGTTGACTTTGTATCAGAATTGCTTCAAAATTTTAAAAATATCCATGAAAACACTAGTCTATTCACAAATTTGGCAAACGATTTCGTTTCCGAGTACTGCAAGGATATGAAATTATCTAGCGACTCGTCACTATTCCAAAGTATTCTTGCTGGCCATGTATACTTGCCAAGTTTCTACAAATATAACAAAGTTCAATTAAAATTGAAAAACTACAAATCAATTGGAGAAAAATCGGCCAAAGATACCAACCTGAAAACCAATAGCAAGGATTTCCCACAACACCATGCGCACCATGTGCACGAACTACCGTTCCAGTTGCTGGACAAAAATCGGTTTTTGTTCAAAAATCATCCAATCTTTATCTGTCCAATATCAAGAGAGCAAGCAACACCAGTCACCCACGAAATAATTTCTTCTACTTTTATTGAAAGCAAAGACGGAGCTCCTTTGACCGTAAAAAGAGAAAAGTACATTCGATTTAATCCGGCAACTACTCAAGTGGTAGTGTTGAACTATTGCCATCATCTTGCATTAAGAGAAAGCATATGGCAGCTTTCAAAGAAGGGAATTGATATATTCAAATGTCCATATTGTTATAAGAAACACAAGTATACAGATGTATCTGATGCTTACTTTATAGATTTATAAACCACCATCCTCAAAACTCACATGCACTCACATACACACACACACACACACATATATACACACACGCACATACACTACACACATCTACACACATACCCCGTAATGAATAATGAATAAAGAGAGATGAAAAAATACCCGCACAAAGTGCGGCTTACTTCGATGAGAAGAGAAAAAAAAAAATACTTGTACTCTTTTGCAATCTCTTAAATGTCATATATAGATATATATGTATATATATAAGTATATGAAAAGGGTCTCTGATGCACGATAGACTGATGTGGCGAGGTGAGCCAACTTTAATAAGAGACGAAGATTCGATACTTGGTAAAAAATGGGTTTCGATTTATGAAAAAGAGGTGGACTTTAGTCCGGCGCATTTTGAACAGGCGATGTTGAATATCATCAAACAACCAAATATCAACTCTCCTGTTATCCTCAGAACAGACATATTGAAGGAAAATATGTATGATCCGAAAGAAGGCAACACTACTTTTGTCAGTAAGCTAATAAACTCTGTGCCGGATATAGCCGTGGGTACGGGAAACCTCGAGAACCCACTACTACATCGAGATCTCATGGATGTTGAAATTAGACAGTTCTCGCTTGATGATGAATTGAAGTTGCAAATTAGAAGGGAGGTTGTAAGAAGGATAATACCAAGAAACCCGTTTCGGGACTATATTATCAACCAAACATGTTTAGTCATGAAATCGGAAGATAATTTATCTACCTTGATTGTCTATATACCACATGTCAAGACAGAGGAAGAATTACCGTATTATCTACCTCCGGTATACGGAGTTGGCATACTACATTACAACAATAAGGTGTCAATACATTATCTAACTTTTCCCAACTCAAATTGGCAACAGGAGAAACAGAGTATTGGGGCAATGGATATTCTGGGAAGACCAATGAGGACGGCATTGCGATTATTGGAAACCGCAACAAAGCACTCCACCGGGGTCAAATTGGGATACGAAAAACGAGTGAACCATGACTTGGTTATATCCAAGGTTGATTTTCAAAACCGATATATCTATTTAAAGTCAAAATATTCTTCTCAGTTAGTCAGTAATTGGTGTGAAAGCACAGATCCCAAAAAGCACGTTTTTGAAGATCTAGCTATTGCAGCCTTTTTGATTGAATATTGGAAGTTGAAAAAATTTGAAATTGGTAGTTTTGAGTTTCGAGATATGGGGTGTGGTAATGGTTTGCTTGTATATATTTTAATAATGGAAGGCTATAGAGGACAAGGTATAGATGCAAGAGCAAGAAAATCATGGGACATGTACCCAGAGAAAGTGCGGATGAATTTACTAGAAAAGATCATTGTACCTGGCATATTGTTAAAGCCACATCCATCCTTGGCCAAGATAGCTCCTGAGATCAAAGACAACGGACGACAATTTGCCCAGACTGCGGATGACCAGGTGAATTACTATACTGCTAGCAGTCTCCTCCATTCGTCAAAAGTATGCACTACAGAAGAATTCCCCAAAAATACATTTCTCATTGGTAATCACTCAGATGAATTGACGTGTTGGATGCCACTTTTGGAATTCCCCTTTTTGGTGATACCATGTTGTTCACATACACTAAGCGGTATTAGGTTCAGATATCCACCAAGGAAGATACCGTGCTTGACTGGGATACGAGCTTCTCCACAGTCCTCTACATATGGCTCACTAGTTGATCATGTTGAAGATATTGCAATTTTGAATGGCTGGCAAATTGAAAAGGAAATGTTGAGAATCCCAAGTACAAGAAACGCAGCGATTATGAGTTGTGCAAAAATAAAGTCATTTCAAGATGAGCCACTGGATATCTCACAATTGAGAGTATTGGATATAATTGCAATGGAAGGCGGTGCCGAAGGGTGGGTTGAAAATTCGCTAAACTTGATGAAAGGGGCTCCTAGAAATCATTAAAAATTTACTATCAACGACACTATCGAGCAGAGCGAGATAGTGGAGTAACACTTAGTAGCTTGTTAGCTTGTTACAACACTTAGTAGCTTGTTAGCTTGTTACAACACTTAGTAGCTTGTTACAAAACTATCGAGCAAAGCGAGATATATATGTGTCACTAGCGTTACTAGTCAATGCTGCTCCACTATCTTTGCTCGATAGCGTCGACGATAGTGTCACTAGCGTTACTAGTCAATGCTGCTCCACTATCTTTGCTCGATAGCGTCGACGATAGTGTCACTAGCGTTATTAGTCAATGCTCCACTATCTCGCTTTGCTCGATAGTGTCCCTTAGCGTCGACGATAGTGTCACTAGTCAATGCTGCTCCACTATCTCGCTTTGCTCGATAGTGGAGCTATCTTAGGCGGCTCCTTAGAGCAACCCTCTTGTTACATTCTAGTTAAATCTCATTGTACGAAAATTGTTAGGGCGATTTTTATTTTCTCTTTTTTTCCACTTGGAGAAGAACTTGAACAACTTTTGTATCCTTAGTATCAATTGCAATCAAGATACAATTTACCCCCCATATTCGACCATGGCGGGCTCATCTTCTCAGTTTCAGCAACTCGAGAAGTTAGGTGAAGGGACATATGCCACTGTGTATAAAGGTAGGAATAGAGCCACTGGAGCTTTAGTAGCTCTAAAGGAAATTAGCTTGGATAGTGAAGAAGGTACGCCATCTACTGCGATTAGGGAGATTTCGCTCATGAAAGAGTTGGATCATGAGAACATAGTAACGTTATACGATGTAATACACACCGAGAACAAATTAACCTTGGTATTTGAGTATATGGACAAAGATTTGAAGAAATATATGGAGGTTCACGGAGATCATGGCGCATTGGACATAAAAATTGTCAAAAGTTTTATGTTTCAATTGTTGAAAGGTATAATGTTTTGTCATGATAATCGTGTGTTACATCGTGATTTAAAGCCCCAGAATTTGTTGATTAACAACAAAGGCGAGTTGAAATTGGGTGACTTTGGATTGGCTAGGGCTTTTGGTATTCCATTCAATACCTTTTCAAACGAAGTTGTCACTTTGTGGTACAGAGCACCAGATGTGTTGTTGGGATCAAGAGCCTATACCAGCTCTATAGACATTTGGTCAGCCGGCTGTATTTTTGCTGAAATGTGTACAGGAAAGCCCTTGTTTCCCGGCACAACTAACGAAGATCAATTAATCAAGATTTTTAGGTTGATGGGTACTCCAAATGAAAGAACATGGCCCAACATTACCCAATTTTCAAATTACAAGAACAACTGGCAAATTTTCGTACCTCAAGATTTAAGATTATTGGTGCCAAGTTTGGACTCAATGGGGATGAATTTGTTACAAAGTTTGTTACAAATGAGACCAGAGGCTAGAATTACTGCAAGACAAGCTTTACAACATCCTTGGTTTCATGAAATTACGTTGCCTACACCAACGCAGCATCCGTTGAGTGATCCATATCATCATCATCAGCAGCAGCAGCAACAACAGCAGCAGCAACAGCAACAACAACAACAACAACAACAGCAACAGCAACAGCAACAACAACAACAGCAGCAGCAACAGCAACAACAACAACATCATCAACATATAATAGATCAGCAATATTGAATAGATACAGGTACTTTCAATTAACAATCTAATATCTTCTTCCCCATATACACATACTTTCTCTGCCACTCTTCAATAAAACCTTTAGGCCTTAAGGATCGAGAATTTTTGAAGCTCTCGACATAAACTCAATCAATTCAGCATTTTTCAACTCCAAAGCCAATGCCCATAATTGCTTTTGATCTTCTTTTTCATTTTCATACAGCTGTAACGTATAAAGAAACATTGCATGCATACCTTGAAATAAGTTTTCCAAAATGTTAAGTCCTCTCTCGTTGACCCCAAATGATAGATAGTCCAATTTTGAATACGTATCATATAATTTGAATGCTTCTTTAAGCGATCCAATAAGTCCAAAGTATTTTGCCGCAGGAAATCGAGTACCGTCCATAATTGACCTTACTATAGTACTCAATGATGCAAAGATTTTGAAATCAACATTGTTGGGATGTAATGAATAAAGTATTTCCTGCAAGAGGAAATCTGGATAACGACTCAATGGATGAACTGAGGTATCCAAAGTTAAAACCACATTATAGAAGCGTCGCGATTTAATTGACTTCAAGTAAATACTATCTGGAATTAGGCACTCTTTGGCGAAGTTATCCAATTCTCCAAAAAATACCCAGCCAAAGATATACCCGGCTTTATAATTATAAAATGTTGTTCTGTCAATGGTGAATCCTTCAAATTCTTCGTTTTCGTTGGGGTACATAGGTATTGGCGGATTTGACACTGGATTATTCATTTCCGGTGGATGATTGTTTATCATTTCCACATACTTTTCAAACTCATTATACTGACCAAGACTCTCAAACGTACCCAGAACCAAGTCATCTTTGACCTTATCTAGTAGTACATACAATTCCCTAAACTTGAACCTAAGAAACTTTACTCTCAATTTCCGATTCAACTCAATCTCTTGCATGCACTTAAATTTCAATAGTTCTTCCTTCTCACATGCTTGTTTTGCAAAGCAAAAAGTTTCTGATGTCAATTTTAGCAAAAGTTTCCTGGAAATGAATTTGAAATTTAGCAAATCTTTATTCAAAACATATCTACCAGCGGTAGTTTTGTATTTATTCCAGATAGATGCCAACATCTCCAAGTTTGCAACAAACTTTTGATAATATTCACTTTGGTTATAATTTGGATACAACAGCGTTATATCGTCAAGTTGATGTAGATAAAACTCCATTTTCCTGCCAATTAGATCTTCATCTAATCCTATGTTCAAATCGTATAGGAAATATCGACGAATAAAAGTAATTACAAGCGAATAGTTCTTCCAAATACAGCTTTTCTTTTTCTTCTTTGTCTTCTCTTCTTCCTGCTCCGAGTCATATAAATCAACGTTTATAAGCTGATACTTTGTTAATTGCTGATCTTCCTCTTGATCATCGTTAACACCTGAAAATCTCATATTTTGATAAAATGACCGATTGACCAAGTGAAGATTATTCCCTGGGCCGGCAAAGATAAATATTTTGCGAATAACTTCAAAAGGTAGATCTTTCAAACACACTTTCCTTTCATAGCTGGACTTGGCACACGGCAGTAAGGTCAAAGTGACTGATATATCTTGCGATGAGTAGGTAGTTGAGGGAGATTGATGGGTACTATTTGCAACATGGTTTTTCCTTTTATAAACTGCCACTTTTCTTTTTTTAACTGAAGGCTTTCCCAGTTCAATGAATCCCATTTCCGGAGCAACACCGTCGTTTACCAGCAAGCAGAAGAAGATGTTACAATCAAACCATCCATCATCTCTCTATGATTGCAAAATAAAACAAGCTCCATCCGCACAAGGTAAACGTGATAGTCACGTGATTAAAATTAGCTGAAACTAAAAGGGAGAAAGTATGTAAATAGAAAAGAAGATAGGCTAGACTAGTTAGCCATATTGGTTAATAAACTTTTTAAAAGAGCTTTCTTCAAAACAATAATTTAAATAATAAACAACTATACGTTACACGTTACGTTGGATAACTTTATGGTAAATGGATATTTTCACAAAAGAACCAATAAATAATCTAGCTTCTTGACCTCTTCCTTCACTTCTTCAACCTCCTCCTACTCTCATTAAAAGCAATTAGTGCCCTTTGAATTGATCCTCAGTGACACCAGCACCCATAGCAGCAGTTGACGAAACACCACCAGTAACCATCTTCAACAACGCATCAATATAAGAAGCACCAGACCATTTTTGATGTTTAACAACTTCAACACCCTTTTCAATCTCTGGTTTTTGCACTTGTTGACCATAAGCTTTCATACCAATTTGGGAGTATTGATTTGAGAAATCATCAACAGCCAAAGCAGTAGTATGTAACCCTGCCAAGGTAATAAATTGCCAAACATAGCCCAATTCAGCCAATCTCTTGATATAAGTTTCTTGTTCATCTGCTGGCATAGCCTTGTTCCAGTTGAAACTTGGTGACAAGTTATAAGCCAACCATTGGTTTGGTACAGCTGCTTTAACACCATCGGCGAATTCCTTGGCTTGTGCGTAATCTGGTAATGCAGACTCCATCCAAATCAAATCAGCATATGGGGCAAAAGCTCTACCTCTCATAACTGCACATTGACAACCACCTCTGTATCTATAGTAACCTTCTCTTGCTCTTGAAGCGTCCCAATCAAAGTAAATATCTTTACCAGTCAACTCCTTTGCCAATTTTCTAGCTTCTTTGTTTGAAGTATGACTTAATGGGTTAACTTTATCAGTAAACTTCTTGATCAAAGCATCTTTGTTGGAGTAAGAGCCGTTTTTAATTTCATCAATAACAGCTTCATGGAACAACTTGACACCAGCCTTCTTGTTCCAATCGTTTTCAATACTTGCCAAAGCTTCACCGTAGATACCTTTAGCTTCAGCTTCAGACATTAATGATGATAAATCACCAACTTCTGGGTTAGTTGCACCTGCAATAAAGTAGTGATCTCTGTGATCAATGGTAGAAGTGATCAAAGTGGCAGCTTCTGAATCAGTTCTTGCAATTGCCAACAAGTTTGATCCAAAGATATCGGCTGAGGCTCTAATAGCAACCAATCTGTTGATATGTTCTTGAACAGGAACCAACACTTTGCCCGCCATATGACCACATTTCTTAGTACCAGGAGCTTGATCTTCAATGTGGATACCAGCAGCACCTCTTTCAATAAACAATTTGGTCAACTTGATGATTGCAGTAATACCACCATGACCAGTATCAGCATCAGCAATAATTGGTCTCAAGAAATCAATATAAGGGGTTTTTGCTCTTTCTTCCTTGGACATCGACAACCTTTCTTCTCTTTGTTTCCTGTCGTGGAACAACTGTGCAAACCACAAATGTTCCACTTTATTTGGCACAGTGTCCATAGGATAATCAGCCAAATCTGGACTTGGTTCGTTTGAGGTTGAAGCAGTTGAAGAACATTGCCATCCTGAAACGTAGATCGAGTCCAAATATTTGGCCATTTGAGCAACATGAATAGGGTCTAAAGCACCAAAAGTGAAAGAAGCAGTGTGATCAGCATCGTGCTTCTCCAATAATTTATACAACTTATCAGCTTGTTGTGAAGATGGGTAGTCAATCTTCAATGTACCTCTTTTCTTAGCGATATCCTCAGCTGTATAAATTCTCTTGGTTTTCTTCCATCTTGGTTCCGACCACCATTTTTTGATGTCAGCAACTTCCTTTTGGAATTTTTGGTCTTCTTCGTTGATATCAATCTTTGTGTATACCATCTTAGCGAGGAAAAATAAAAAGGTAAACTAGCTCTAGTAGTGGATTCCTTTACACTTGGGGGTAAGAAGAAGAAAGAAAGAAAAGAAAAGAGATAATTGGTCTTATTTATACGAATTACCGTTCAAACTGAAAAATTAAAGAACCGCGGTGACAAGTTTTTTCTATAACACCGACCTTGATGCCTTTCTTTGGTATAAAGGTTATTTCCTCTTATTCTTTATTGTATGAGGCGAGAGTATTGTTCTTATGCCATGCTACCATTGCGTGTAACTCTATTATGATTATGGGGCGGTTTTTAGTTTCCCCAGATTTCCTTGTGACAGAAAAATAATCTACTTCCATTGATCCTATGTACAGGATCAGACAGGTTTTACCTTTCCTCGGCTGAAGGGGACAGGTTAGGCTGATTTATACTCAAGTTCAAACTATATAGAGTTGTTGAAGAGGAGTTGCTTTATGAAGAGCAGCCAGAGTGGTTCAAAGAGTGAAAGAGAATGAGCCAATATGTATATAGAACCAGCAACTACAAAGGATCTGTCGTTTTAGCTTTCCCACTAAACTATTACTGGTTAGAAGAAAATTTTTTTTTTTTTTTTTTTTTTTTTTTCGTTTGTTCGTTGAGCTCCTCCCGTTATATGTCGGTTCCGAAATCGCAATGTATGAAAAAAAATAAAATTACAGGCCCGTCAATAAATTTCAAATCCGATAATAATTGCTCTATTGGGAAGCACTAATTTTTATTATTTCTTGTTAGTTTTGTTGTCGTCGTCCTTGTCGTCGACTTTCTCTAAAGTTGGCAAGTCACGTGATCCAATCAAGCTCACATCAGTGAGCTCTTTTTTGATTCCGTTTTTGTTTGCACCTTATTAACTTAAATGTAGTCCAAAGTTATTAGTAATGTAGTGTGCTACATGTCGTTTTGCTTCCAATTTGAAATTGCCTGATTATTGAGTAAAAAAGCACATTTAGTTGATTGATAAAAAAGCACACTTGGTTGATTGAATTGACCCAGTGTAATCTTTTAGTAAAGCCATGATTTAGCGTTTAAATCTTCACGAGTCACAAGTGGAATAACTGGTGAATTGTTATATGTGGCTCAGGAGAGTAAGCAAGATGTTTTATTACTCAGCTGATTAGTGAGCAGTAGTACCGTTTTATTTCTCTACGTGTGAGATTTTAGTGTTTGTCCCTTTTCTCGTAACCACTTTGCAAATACTCATTGTTATACACGTCAAAGTTGTTTCTGCACCCTGTCCGATTGATTTTCAATCTTGCCTATTCAATTTAAGCAATCTTGCTGGATTTTATCGTCTTATACAGTTTGTTACATATTTATAGTTTGATTACATTGATATATTGGCGCCCATGTGTTTCATTGGTATAATATAGCATGGAATATATACAATGATATATCTACTTGAGTTACCTAACTAACTAATTTCCCACTGGTTTTCCACTCTTCCACTGGTTTTCCACTTTTCCACTGGTTTTCCACTAGTTTTCCACTAGTTTTCCACTAGTTTTCCACTAGTTTTCCACTAGTTTTCCACTGGTGTTCCACTGGTGTTCCACTACTTTTTCGCCCTTTTTTCGTCCTTTTCTTTTCCTTTTGTTGTTTTTCTCTTTTTAACTAAATTAGACAAATCATTAACTGGCTTTGGATTTTGATCGGAATTACTTTTTCCGCTTGCACTGGCTCCCAATGCTCCAAGCGTCGCAGATGCAGAGACACTGGTACCGGCATCAGCTCCACCAACTCCTAGAAGTCCCTTGATCATATCAACTTGTTGTTGACTGATATCTTCTTGGGGGTCTTTCTTCAACTCATCATACTTTTCTTGTAGCTCTAGAACCATCTCATCATTCTCTTTACGTTTAGAAGCATCTTGCTCTTTAGAGTTTCTTTCTGTAGTCGATTCTATAGCTAGTTTAATTTGTTCTGCAGCTTTCGTACGCAGTTCAGGATCGTCAAGGCAAAATTCCAAAGCTAACGCTAGTTTATAATGTGATTCAGAAACCAAGGATGACGATTTGGGGTATAGTTCAAGTCTCAATTTTAGCGCTTTTGATAAATCCTGAGCCGACTGGGGAAAATTCTCTGCTTCCAATGAGACTTCACCTAGTATATCATATGTTTCTGATAATTTTTTCAATGTGATAATATACTCATCCTCTGTCGTGGGACTTGACTCATTTGGTATATATGGAGACTCAAAATTTGGTTTCTTTAATTTGTCTAACTTGTCTTCGAATAATGCTCTTGCAACGTCCAAAGTCATCCATGCAATTTCAAAACTGGATTCTTCTTGCTCCTCTTCTTGATTTCCTTCCTGGTCGTTTTCTGAGTCTTTTACGTCCTCCCAATCGTGCTCCAGCCCCGGCTCCAGTCCCGGCCCCAGTCCCAGCTCCTTCACCTCTTCGCCGTTGTCCCCCCCTTCTTTCTGTACATCTTCAACAGGTTCAGCATCGTAAAATTGAAATTTGTCATCATCATCCTTGTTTTGCTCCTCCCCATTTTGTTCTTCTCCATCTTCAGCTTTTGTATCAACACCATTAGCACCAATGCCACCCAAAATACCCGATTTGCTAACTCCGCTCTGGAATAATGCTTTTCCATACAACAACAATAAGTCGCCATCTTCTTTTCCGTCATGATGCTCTGAATACAGTTCACAAGCTTCTCCATATTTCTCGGAGGCTAAATCATAATCCTTTAAAGCGTAGGCTTTCGAGCCTTCTGAGATTAACCTGTCCACCTCTGGTGTGTATCTTGCTGACTCCAATGACATAATTGTGGGTAATGAAAAGGCTCAACAGTAATAACTCTTGAGATGGCTTCTATATACGCGTTCTTAAACTTTTGTTACATTTGGTAGCGAAATAAATCTGACACTAGGGAGCAAAGCGAGCTAGTGGAGCAGCATGTAATCAAACCCGTATCTAGCATTAGCAGAGCAGCACTAGTACTCCATCTACATTGTCTACTAGCAAACTCAAAAACAACAATTGCCATTTAGAATTTACTCTATTGCTTTGCGGAGATGGGAAAGAGAGTTTATGTATGCGACACTATCGAGCAGAGCGAGATAGTGGAGCACACTAGTTACCACCGACACTATCGAGCGACACTATCGATCTTTCTACAGGGTATCACTCTACATGGTATCACTTTACATGGTCACTCTACGTGGTATCACTCTACATGGTATCACTCTACTTGGTCACTCTACATGGTATCACTCTACATGGTATCACTCTACTTGGTCACTCTACATGGTATCTTTCTATAGGCTTTTCTATCTTTCTTGCCGTTTTTTATCTCACCATTTACAGACACCACCTCTGTTTTCCCTTTTTAGTTTTCCATTTCTCGAAAAAATCTTATTACATTCTAATAGTGTAATCCATTGCATGTAGTAACTACCATTACATTTACACATCTAAGGTGTGTATATGTAAGAGGTTGGTGTGCTCCACTATCGAGCAGAGCGAGATAGTGGCTCCTACAAAGAACATTTACACGTCCAAGCCATGTATGTAAGAGGTTGGTGTGCTCCACTATCTCGCATGCTCGATAGAGTCTCTCCCTATAATAGTTAAATCTACAATTGTCACCATGTAGGTGGCAGCTAGTGTTGAGAGCTAGTGTTGCTCCACTATCTCGCTCCACTATCTCGCTCTGCTCGATAGTGTTTGCTCGATAGTGTTTAGTTTAGTGCAACACGCGCCACGCACGACGCGATATAACTGTTGAAAAAAGATCTTCTCTCTGATATACTTAAGCGGTAAAGCTAGATGATCAGCCATAGTGAAAAAAAGCCCCTTTAAGTTTGTATCTTAACAAATGATAAATGTATAATACTTTTCCAAATAACAAACAGACTTGGTAATTGAACCAACAACTTTTAGCATCGACCAAAGATAAAATTGTGTGTTGGTGTTTTCCTACAGCCTCCCCCTACCGTGCGCCCCGCTCGTCCCGTTCGCCCCAGTTCGCCCCAGTTCGCCTCGCCAAATTCGGTAATCAATGGCTTTCATATTCCGCTGCGAAAAAATTAATCACAACAAGATAGAGTCAAAAAATTAAAAACCATTCAATTAAACAATATCAAGGTAAAGAATACCAAAGAAATAGGCAAGTAAGAGAGGCTTAGAGAGCAAAAGAAGTAGGAGAAAGTGGTTCGCTATTAACCAAATGGTTTAATTTCTCACGCAAACAGCTACGTATTACTAGTCAATAATTGGAAAAATATGAGCAAAAAGCTACCCAGAAGAAAACCACCACCATCGGATTTCGAGGCAACGACCTCGACATTAAACTCAGAGTTTGGCCCTTTACCTTCTATCTCCAGTAACAAAAATCATATTGCTGAAGATTCGGTTACACCTGCTACCATTATACGACGTCACAATCAGCTGCTGCTGCTGCTGCTGCTACCGCCGCTACAACAACAACAACAACAAACCCCTCCATCAAAGTTTCTTCATTCACCTCCAGCGCTATACAACCAAATGCACTATTTCCAAACATCTGCTGCTGCTGCTGCTGCTGCCACTACCAAAAAGGAACCAGAAGAGCTGAGTGACTATTTGTTCGACGAGTCTTTTGCATCCGTAGACTCGACAACGACAAGGCCAAAGGGCCCTAAGGATATATGGGAATATGACACTTGTGATAAAATTGATTCACCACTAAATGCTTCAAATTCAGCAACTCATGCAAATATTCAGATTAATAGAACACTACCGCAGCGCAGCTATCAGCATATGTCTCGACTGAGTACCGTGCCGAAACTGAATTCTACAAATACAATTATGATCTCCTCGTCATCGTTATCATCACCACCGTACCCTATCCTGATTAACGAGGTGAAAACACCAGAAAGAAGCCTTCCTTACCCAATAAGCCCCATCGAAGATTTTTTACAAGAGGAAATTGAATTTATGGATAGTATAGATAATGGATATGCAATAGATATCGATTCGCCATCTCAAAGAAGAACAAGGGCCATAATTGAACAATCTGTTACTACATCGTCTCCTAGAATAAACGATGTACCAAACTTGAGCACGAGTAGCTCGTTATCTACTTTCCACGCAATCCAGCAACACCACCACCAACAACAACAACAACAACAACCACAATGTTATTATTCATCATCACCCAATTTCGATAGTTCACTGCCATTATCAGGGCATATCCCTAGAGACAATTTGTCTGTTCATTTACAATCCAACTTCACAGTTAGTGATGCATATAGCCGCTCACCATCTCTGAGGAAGTCGATACACAGCATGACTGATTCCACCTCGAGTGTTTATCATCTGCCCTACAACATAGTCGATAATGCTGATGATCCATTAGAACAATATCCATCATCTCCCCAGTACTTGCAACCTAGACATTCATATAGAGTTGTTTCAGATAATCCTTTTTTTGATGATGAAGGAGACGTGACACGAAACGAGTTTGAATCACCAGCCACAGAGTATTTTGACTACAATATACTACCAGAATTACCTCAAAGTAAAGACTCAACTCCTTCATTACCTCCCGTTCCACGGTCGAAAAAAGAACAAGAACTACCCCCATTACCATCGCCATTGCCCTTGGATCTACCACAACTTCCATTCACTTCAGCCACGCTACAAGCGCAGCACTTTGAAATATGCTCCAATATTTGGTCTTTGTCTCAGTTGTTCAAATGGAGCTGTAAACTTCAATACTGGCTTAAGAATCTGACTGTATCAAAACTGGAGTTGAGGAAAGCTATTATTCGACTATTTGCATTTCACAGAAGTGACGTACCACTTGACTTGGTTACTCGGTGTTCGCTGGCCGCGTTTAATACCTTTGTTCAAACAGGAGCTATTGAAGTAGTAGAGTTGCAAACAGCAAATACTGATGGTGAAAGATCAGTTGTCTTATTTCACGAAACGATCTATGTCAATGGAGTCTTGCCTGGCCTTACCGATTGCTACTCGCCAGTACCGCATTTCAAGGATGAAGAAATTGCTTGTTATGCTAGTTCGTGTCAATTCAGTAGAATGAAGAATCTTGAAAGGAAAATGAGAAATATGAATGTAAAGGACATTGTATTGGCTAATGATTGGGCGACTCATTGGCGTCTCACCATTGAGGACTTGCGAGATATAGACCCCACTATGATCAAACGACAATCGCTCATTTTCGATTTACTACGGTATGAACAAACATTTATACAACGAGCAAAATGTTTTGTTGAAATTGTTGGTCCAGAATTTATTAAAGCAGCAAAAAATTTTACAAACAACTTGTCCAGAATCAAGGAATTCGAAGAAGATGTACTTCAAACAGGAAAGAAAATTGTTCAAATTCACCAAGGTTTTTTATTTGAGCCACTTTTGAAAGTTTTAATTGCAGAAGGTAAATTCATCAAAAGTATTATTGAAATTGTCAACATATATACCGATTGGGCTAAAGAAGTTCGCCCTTTCTTGATGAAGTATATGAATAATATGCCAATGATTGAGGATTTATTGCGAATACCAAATCTAAAAGCATACGTTGATGATCACATTGGAAACTTGCCAAGAGTCAGAGAGTTAAAAGTGAATGTTCCGATATTGTTCATAAGTACATTTAACTCAAGGTATCAGCAAATTCCACTCCAGTTGCTAGATATTCAAAAAAAATACCAGGAGAATGAACCTGAGCACTTTTTATTGCAACAAGCTAGTGATGAGATTAAGAAACTCGGCTCTAAAATTAACGATTCAAAGAAGTTTGCTGATAATGTTCATGCAATTGGGCAGATCAAGAGTCAACTACTGTGGAAATCGAATCTTCGTCAAGTTAATCTAAATTTGAATTCAATAAACCGAAAGTTTATTTGTCGGGGCGACTTGACTAGGAAAAGTGATCTCAAAATAACAACCCAAGTTAATCATATTATTCTTTTAGATAATTTTTTGTTGATTACCGAAAGATTGAAAAATCCCAAATCTCCAGGTGCTCACTATAAAATAATCGAGGACCCTATTCCAATCGACTTTTTGATTTTTGAAGAAAAAGTCACGTCATCAACGGTGTCTTCAACAAAACTCGCTGCTTCTTCTCCACATATACAGCAACAGCAACAACTACAACTACAGCAACAGCAACAACAACAACAAACTCAACTTGATGATGATGTTTCTGTTCAATATGCAGTGAAATTACGATATGCAGGTAAGACGAAACATTCATATACATATTCATGTCGTACTGAACGTGAGAAGGATGACTGGATAAACTACTTGAGTACTGCAAAGACCAATATGTGCAAACGATTGTATAGCTCTGCTGCTTATGTTACTCATCTGATATCCAACACGTGCTTTGCTTATGACCAAAATAATCGGATTCTCAAACTTCAAGTTGTTGTTCCTTTTGACCCCATCTGTAATATTTGTTTGGACACATTGAAAAAGATGAAACTAATTGGTATGCCTAAGGATATCTACAATCCAAATATCCCGAGAAGCAGAGTAACCTATGGTACAATAAGATGTTGCGTTACTTTTATATATAAGGACTTGAAGTTTACACTCGTTGGTTTGAGTAATGGATTGTACTGCTGTGAATCAAAGTCACGATGGAAAAAAGTGATGAACGGATCTGATTTCACAAAGATTCACGTCGATGTGAATACGGGTTTAGTGATTATACTAAACGACAGATACTTAAAGTATTACTTGATACATCAAATTATCAATGTTTATACTGAAACTTCAACCGTACTAACCGGGACTCTATTATCCAAGGATCCAGTTTTGTTTTTTGCTGTAGTAAATCACAGGAACGTGACCATGTTATTCTTGGCCAAAAGGCGAGGAAGCTTAACCAATTTCAAAGTTTTAATCCCAGAGACTGAAAATAATGGAGTTTTCAGTCGTTTCAAAGATGATAGGAAATTCTACATTGAAGCCGAATGTTATGGAATATCGGTTTTCAATTCATCTTTTGCAGTGCATACAGATAAAGGTTTTGAAATTTTGGAGCTTGATAAATTGATACCAAGATCGGTTCCGGAATTACCACAACCTGACCCAGATATTAGCACACCCAAAAAGAAAATCGATCAACTTTCAAGAAAATCATCATCAACACCAACGAATGGCACGTCTTCTTCAAATGCCGCCACTGCTGAAAATATTAGAAAACTAGTATCTTCATCACACATGATGCCCTTGGGTATGTTTAAGCTTTCAAACAATTCTGAGTTTCTACTTGTATATGACAAGTTTGCCATTTTCATAAACAAGCATGGAAAACTATCCAGGTACGCCATTTTATTATTTGACTTTAAAGCAAAGGCTGTTCATTTCAAACAAAATAATTTATTTATTATTAAAGATGATGTTTTGGAGATTTTATCTATTAGTAATTTACCGAAAGGGTCGAATAAATTCATTCAAGTGATTACTGGAAAGGATATCAGATTGGTTTCTAGCCCTGAAAGCAACGATGTTACTATCGCCATGGCAAATCCTTTAGTTCCCGGCTTACAGTTGTTATTTAATTTAGTTCCACCAGATTTTGATCAAGTGAATGCGTGAGAGAAAGAGGAGGAAAAGAGGAAAAGAGAGGGAGAGATGGACAAGAGGAGGTTGGACAAGCACAACAATGTGTCAACATATTTGTAGTACATTTTAAGTTGATATCGAGTTTCAGTTGGAAAAAAAAAAAACTTTTGTCCGTATGAAGTTTGTTACCTATTCATATATACATATTCATAAACGAATTTTCTTTTCTCTTTTTATTTTTATTTTTCTTTTTCCTCTTTATTTGGTATATCCATTGGCAGAGAGCCATTCGTTGATCACCTTTGAGTCACGCTTAGCCCATTTACTCTTAGCGGTAATAATATCCAACGATTGAGCCAAACCTTGATTATAGCCCTTTGTATCTTTGGTACTAAAGAACTTTTCAACATTTTGTTTCTGTTCTTCGGTGGTGAATCCAGAAGTTCCCAAGGTAACAACAGATCCCAACATAGATAATCCAGGTGGTAACAATTCGTAAACTTTATCCCAATTATCCGTTAACCATTTCCATAACCTCTCAACACCTCCTTTGTGAGCTCTCAAGCCTTGCATTGGGATATAAATATCCTGTTGCTTAATAATATTTGTTTGTAAGAGAAGGTCAGCAACTTTGTCCATTATTTCGGGTTTGGTGAATCTTCCCAAGGAACGCAATGCCGCAATCTTTTCTTCAATAGATTGAGGATTTCTATAAATTTTAAAAAGTTCATCAAAAGTAGTTTCGTCCCCATGTTTAGCACTGATGTTGAAAATAGTAGCTCTCAAATTTGGATGAATGGCTTTTTTATCGCCTTGTATATACTTCTCAAATGATTCCTTAACATATGCAATAGCTTTCTCGTCATCGGCATTCGCAGCTGAAGAAAAAAGGGAAGATTTTAGTTGCTGATCAGCAAATGAATCAGAATCGTTAAATTCCCATCCAATTTCATTCAATTTAGTGCTAATCAAATCACGGGTAAATGCTTTCAAAGCATCATTAGTAGCTTCATCTTCAAACATCAATGTACCTTTAATGGAACCTATTCTGGTCAAAATTTCGTCCCACACAACATAGTTGGATTCTCTTGACCATGATTTGACCAAATCTAATAAACTTGAAGTTTTGATAAACCCAGAAGATGCCAAAGAACCAGCATCGGCAACTAAACCAACACGATCTTCAACTGAGAGTTTCCCTTCAACACCAGCTGCTCCTAGTTTAGTCCATCTTGAAGAATCATAAGCTGTACGGTAAATACCTGCTTGATCGCCATTGATTTTGAAGAAACCATCGTCAGTTGGCAATTTAAAAGTCTTTGATCTTTCATCCAACACCAAAGATTCGTCAATACCTTTACTTGTCTTTAAGCCTAAAAATACCGGGTATATTACCTTGTCTTCCTCTGGCTTAACGTCACCAGTAGCCAAGAAACGATTTTGTGTTACTGTAATCTCGCCATTTTCATTTTCTTCAACTTTGACAATTGGGAAACCGATATTCTTGGTCCAAATATCCATCACCTTAACGACATCTTTACCCGATACCTCGCTTAAAGCTTCCCATAAATCAGATGTTTGTGTATTTCCCCATTTGTGCTTTTTCAAATAGTTTGACACTCCCTTGATGAATGTATCTTCGCCCAACCATCTTGAGATCATCTTTAACAATGATGAGCCCTTTGAATACGATATAGCATCAAAAATTTGATTAATTTCGTCTGCTCTTTTAACAGGCACTTCAATAGGATGTGACGCTCTTAATGCGTCCAAAGTTAATGCGTGTTGCAAAGAGTCAGAAACATAGGATTCCCAAACTTTCCAATCTGGGTAAAGCGAATCGCAAGCATACCAGGACATCCAAGTCGCGAAACCTTCATTTAACCATAAACCATCCCAAAAGTCCATAGTAACCAAATTACCAAACCATTGGTGGGCCAATTCATGCATCACTACTTCAGTAACTCTTTGTTTAGTATTGACATTGGTGTTTTCAGGATCAATCAACAAGTCAACTGTTCTGTAAGTGACTAGACCGAAATTCTCCATGGCACCTGCTGAGAAATCATGAATTGCAACCATATCACATTTAGGCAATGGGTAAGGAATATCGAATTTTTTATCAAAAAACGCCAAAGTTTTAGCAGCAATATCAGCTGAGTACTGACCCAAATGTTCAGAGCCTGGAGTTGCATAGACCCTGATTGGGACTCGATAATTGTTATTCTCAACGTACTTCAAATCACCGACAATGAATGCAACCAAGTAAGTTGACATTAATGGGGTTGTGTTGAAGACAACCTTTTTTTTATAATCAGATAACAAAATAGTTTCCTTTTCGTTCATATTTGATAAACAAACCAAATCTCTGTTAGCAACCAAAGATATTGTGAATTTGGCTTTAGCCGACGGTTCGTCATATGAGGGAAATGCTCTACGGCAGTCAGTAGGTTCCATTTGGGTAGTTGCCAAGTATTTAGTCTTGCCATCTTCTTGATACGAGGACCTATAGAACCCAGCCATCTTATTGTTCAATTCCCCAGTAAACTTCAAGTGCAATTTAGCAACAGCGCCTTTTACCAAATGGTCTGGCAACTTAAAAGTAACCGTTTGCTTTGCAGTATCAAAAATAATGTCCTTAATTGGTACATCGTCAAGTTTAGCTTCATGGATTTCAATCTCCAAGGAGTTCAAAGTGATGAAATCGGTTCTTTCGTTAACTTGGAAATCAATTGTTTCCACACCGCTGAATTTAAAAGTATCGAAGTTTGGCTCCAAGGTTAAATCATAATGTAAAGGCTTGATGTTTGTTGGTAAGACTTCTCTTTCCTGAGGTGCAACTTGAGCACCTGACTCTTCACCAGTTCCAGCTTTTGTATACGAGCACATTGAACAATTCCTTTGCGATATAACCAATTGGCTAGTCAATAATCTATTGCTACTACAACAATTACTAGTCAATAATCTATTGCTACTACAACAATTACTAGTCAATAATCTATTGCTACTACAACAATTACTAGTCAATAATCTATTGCTACTAGTACAATTAGTAGGCAAATACAATCTTTTCTTTGTTGAAAATTGAAAACTATTTAAAAGTCGCGGCGTTTTGTTGAAGGAGAAAAAACGGACACCACCACCACCAGCGACATTGGCGACATTCTGTGGAGATGAAGGGAATGCCGTTGGCACTGAATTTGCTTTCGCAAGTAGTGTAGATGAAACAGTGGATATAGAAATAAGCCTCTTAGTTGGGAAGAGCAGCAATTGAGGCTTAATAGTAATTAATTTGCCTTTTGCATACATGGTTTAATTTGGACATGTAGAGAAGAGCAGAGATATTGGTGGAAGCGTTTTCTCATTGCCGAAAAAAAAAACAATTGTTGCGACACTAGGGAGCGAAGCGAGCTAGTGGAGCAGGATGTAGAGTGTAGAGAGTAGAGCAACTGCCTGGAAGGCCAACTGGCCGCAAGGCCAGGCAGTATGGCCAAGCAGTAAGGCCAAGCAGTAAGGTCAAGCAGTAAGGCCAACTGACAGCAAGGCCAAGCAGTAAGGCCAACTGACAGCAAGGCCATGCGGCAAAGAGCTTCGCGCCAACTTAGGACGTAATGAGAAAAAGTAAAGGAAATACAAATAATGCCGTTTAAGTAAACATATTCAACTTTTCCTTTACTCTTTACTCTTTACTCTTTACTCGTCCGCTTGATCAAATGGCTATAGTACAAAAACATCATTGCGTCGGAAAGTATACTCTAGCTCAAAAATATTGCTATAAAATTCACCTAATAAAAATACCGCTTATAAGCTTAACCCCCTTTTTCCAACGCCTAGGGATAACCTCTTCAACGCCTAGGGATAACAAGCTACAAAGTGTTGCTCGATAGTGTCGCATGTATAATTTCATTCACCCTATTTATTTAATCTCTATACAGATCATTTTTAATCCTACACTTTCCATTAAAACCAAACTCATATACCTCTATCCCGTTCTCTGCAAAATATGTATCCCGCTATCAGTTTCTATCACATTACTCACCTCACCAACATGTAAAGAGTAAGCAGTAGACTCAAAAGCAGGCTGCATTTCTCTTTTACCAAAAAATCCCAAGTCGCCACCTCTTGAGTGTGAACTACAGTCACTTTCTGTTGTGGCAATATCACCAAATTTCGCTTCACCACTGAGTATCCGAGCCAAATGCTTTTGGGCTATTGCAACAGCTTCATCTCGTGTTATCAGTATTCCATCCGGCGATTTCCATGATTTTGGCTTCCTCGATTGCGCGTTTTTAATTAGTATATGACTTACTCTAACTTTCCCATTTTCATTGGGAACCGGCTTGTAATTATTATTCTTGAATTTTTGTATATACGATGTCAAGACTTCTTTATCTGTTCCAAAAGGTGGATCCCACGATGATTCTTGTGTTGCTTGGTTCAAATAGTATTCTTTACTATGGGTTTTGGACACTCTAATCGTCCAATTGGGGGGCAATCCGGTATTCGTACTCATCTTCCTTGCTTCCTCTTTTGTTATCTTCCTTCAATCCAAGTTAATACTTGTTGACTTTCCTTTGCCATTTGTAACCCGATGCGCTAGCAGAATATTTTGTGGCGCGCTACCAATGAAAAATTTCTCTTTCTCCACTAACATAAAAAGATTTACATAGTTTATCGTCTATACAAATTCTATCTATATACTTGTTGGGGTATGGTTCTTGGATAGTCCCACGATCGAGCAAAGAGAGATAGTGCCACTGGTCAATGATGCCCCACCATTGAGCAAAGAGGAATAGTGACACTAGTCCCACTATCTTTCTTTGCTCGATAGTGTCAGTGTAGTCAGTGGTGCTCCACTATCTCGCTTCGCTCGATAATGTCGATACAGCTCTTTAAATGTTCTTGCTCTTTAAAGCAGCCAAGACTTGTGAAGCAACAACATCTACAGGATGATCACAGCTCAACTTGACAACCTTGTTTTGCTTTTCAAAATATTCCACTACAGGCATGGACGTATCAATAAATGTTTGGAATCTTTTTTTAATACTTTCAACATTGTCATCTGCCCTACCACTGGTTTTTGCCCTTTCTAATATCCTCTTCATCATGACTTGTTCAGGGCATTCAAAGAACAATGTGAATGCCGATTCTGCAATATTGTTTTCAAAAGTTAACGCTTGATCCATTTTTCTAGGAAACCCATCAACTAGAAACCTCACTTCGCCTCGGTTATAGTTTTCCTTTATAGCATTTCTCAATAGCTCAATAGTAACTTCTTGAGGAACAATTTTTCCCTCTTTAATACATTGGGCAATCAAGTTACCATACTTTGAGCCTGGTCTCTTTTGTTCTGCTCTTAATAAGTCACCAGCTGATAAATGAACAAATCCCTTCTCTTTGACTAGTATATCACATTGTGTTCCCTTTCCGGATCCAGGACCACCAAGGACAAATATAACTGATATTTTACCGGGTGGGAATTCTGGTGAGGTTGTGGTGGTGGCGGTGGTGGTAGACTTTGGTTCAACTGCTGATTTAGGAGGATCCTTATTGTAAATGCCGGCTACTATTGTAGTTCCAAGTACAAGTGTTCCCATCACTATCAATATTTTCGCTTTTGAAAATGGAGGAGGGGAAGAACCAGCTGAGGATGAGTTGGTCGATTTGAACCGGGGGAAAAATTGTGTTCTAGCAAGCTCTCCTCCAACAAGCCTTCCTCCAGAAAGTTTTCCCCTAATGAGGTGTCCCCTAACGAGCTGCCCTCTAATGAAACATTGTCTTGTTAGCATGCTTTATCTCCTAACAGATTGCTAATATACTTTAAAAGTTTTCATTTGATTAATGAAGAAAAAAAAAAAACACTTGGGCAAAATCCAAAGCGGAAAAATAACATCATGGTCCCATTTACTTTCTTTTTATCGTATATTACTAGAGAGACCCTGTTTTATTTTAAGGATTGAAAACTATGTAACTTTTTGTACACGTTTCGTACCTCTATACATAAGAACTTAACTTTTTATCATCGAATCTGAGAAATTGGCCATTCAAATCTTCAGACCAGCCTTTTAAAGCGAGATTTGCAAGTACCGCGCCCGGAGCTTCGGCAGGAACCAATTGTTTATTCTTGTGCAAATCCAAAAATTTCTGCAAATGGTGAGGATCCATTTTCGAGCCAAATGTCTCTCTTATATCGTGTTGCATATTGGTATCAACAACACCGGGAGCTATGGAAATGGCGTGAACACCGGATTTTTTCTCTTCTGTAGCCAAGGACAAGATTAAATGGTTCAATGCAGCTTTAGAGCTTCCATAAGCGTACCATCCACTATATGGCGTTGTAGCGGCACCCGAACTCACAGCAACAACATTACCCTTAGTTTTTCTCAATTCAGGGATTGCTTCTTGGATCAATTGAGCTACCGAAAAGAAATTTATATCATAAAGTTTCTTCCATTCTTGAATCGATGTAGATTCAATAGATCCTACTGGATCTAAAACCCCTGCATTTGCAATAACTGAATTCAATTGCCCAAATCTCGAAATTGCCAATTCAACAGCCTTTTTAGATGTTAAAGCATCGGTGACATCCCCAATAACTATATCAAGATTGTCCTTCCCAAATTCAGATTGAAGCGATTCAAGCGCAGATTTCGATCTTGCTATCGCAACTACTTTTGATCCTTCATTTTTGAGAAGAGTCTGGACAATTGCTTTTCCAATTCCTAAATGTGCAATGGTTAGTAAAACTGATTTCTTGAAAAAATAATCTAGCTTCTTTTTTCCTCCTTCTTCACTATCAAGCAGGGCGAGATAGTGGAGATAGTGTAGCATCGGTGGCAGCTAGTATGCTCCACTATCTCGCTCTGCTTGATAGTGTTTTCTTCTTCTTCAATACATACCTCTGGAAGCTCCCGTTACAATTGAAACATGAGTCATTTTCAAAAAAAACACTTTACTTTCTTTGAAGAAAAGAGAATGAGGTTTTGCAAGAGGAAATTTGAAAATTAAATTTTCCACGGAAAATCTAACCAAAAAATATTTCAAATCTTTATAATGGCAAGCTTTTGTCACGATTAAAGACATGCATACATACACATATGTTCTATAGGCGGCATATCGGTTACTAAATTTTTTTTAACTCATCTGCATCTGGCTTTTCCCCCTATTGCCAAAAGAGTCTCTATTTTAAAAATGCGCAGCAGGGGTATTCAAATGAGCACCACCATCAATGGGCAAAGTAATTCCATTAACATAATTGGCTTGTTTGGAACACAAGAAAATTAAAACAGCTTGTAAATCCTCTTTTTCACCTAATCTTCCTCTTGGATTAGTTGATTTCATCACATCACCAACAACTTCAAGCAACCCGTTTGCTAACTTTGAAGGGAAAAATCCGGGCAAGATTGAGTTGACATTGATGTGTCTTGGTGCAAATTGCACTGCCAAGTTTTTACCCAAATGTGATACGGCAGCTTTGGATGCATTGTAGCCATAGGTTCCCACTGCATCATTAGTTGTCAAACTAGCTATTGAAGACATGATTATGATTCTTGAGGGATCCTCTTGGGAAGCGGCTTTTTCCAAAAATGGAGTGAACAATTTGATTGTATGGTACACGGCAACAAAATTCAAATTGACAACTTTTTTAACGAATTTGACATCGTGCTCTTCCAAGGGGGCACCCCAAGTAGCACCAGCGTTAGCGACCAAAATATCCACCTTGTCCACTTTTTTCGCAACCTCGTTATAGAAATTCTCACACTCTTGTTCAATGGATAAATCTGCTGGAATTGAAATGATTTCAACTTTTAAACCACGTTTTTGAGCCAATTCCTCTAAATGGGTTTTAGCTTCTTGACAAGCCTTTGGCTTTCTAGAGGTGATAACAACTGTTTTAGCTCCATTCTCAACAAGGGCTTCGGCACAATGCATACCCAAGCCACGGGTACCACCGGTGACAACAGCTATTTTACCATTTACATTAAAATCAACCATAATCCAACAATGAAAGCTACTTGGGGGGGGGGGTAGAGAGAAAATAAAAGCGCAAAGATCAAACCAAATAGTACAATGATTATGAAAAGAATACTCTTTTATAGCAATGAAAAATTTAAGGGGAGCTTAAATGGACAAAAGAAAAAAAGAAAGAAAGCATTCCCCACATTTTTTTTTTCTCGGTTAATTCAAATTGGGAAGAAGAAGATAAAGTTGTGAATTGGATTTATACTTTTGAATGGGGGGATTAAGAGATACGAGAAGAGAAAGGAGGTGAAATCCAAGTTCATTAATGGGAAACTGTTGCTGCTGTTGCAATCTGACTAATACAAAAATTTTGTCTTTTGGGGGAAACATTTATGTGAAAACTTGTATTTTTATAGAGAAACATTTCTTCCGAGGTGATGAAATAGCATTGAAATGAACAAAAACAACATCTTGAAGATAGCATGGGAGAATTACTACTTCAAAAGTGCAGGGGGAATGTCAGGAGAATGAGGAGAAAAGAAGGGAGCGCCCTTGCTTTAATTTCAAGTGAGAGTTACAATACTTGTAATATCCCCAAATAAAATCCTTGTTATTTTAAAATTATCCGAAGGATCTTTTTTTTTTCCGATAAAACAAGACTTGGTTCAGGTATATATTATCTCTTTTGTTTCTTTGAGAATCAATAACTCAATACATATTAGGCAAATGGGAGTCTCTTTCAGATCGCCAAATGGAAGTCACCAAATGGAAGTCTCTTTCAGACCGCCAAATGGAATCATCAATATTTCTCTCATCATCAACTTTGATCAATACATTTTTGTTCATTTTTTCATTTCTTGAAATTTTACATTGATTCGAAATATCGAATTAAACCAGGCTCAACCAGCCAGTGTTGCTCTACTATCTCGCTTCACTCGGCAGTGTCAGTGTCAGTCAGCGCTGCTCCACTATCTCGCTTCACTCGATAGTGTCAGTGTCAGTTAGTGCTGCTCCACTCGATAGTGTTGCAGAATCGTAATACTCTTTTCTTTCTTCATCTCTATTGTAAAAACAAGTAATTGTGAGGAACTTATATCCTAAATGTTTCATAGACAAAGTGAAACAAGTCAATTCATATGCGTTTGGTAGTCAGTGCTGCACCACTATCTCGCTTCGCTCGATAGTGTTGAAAGCAATCAATGCTTTACACGAATTGATCACCTCATAGTTGAGATTGAGATTATTTGGTATATTTTCAATTTGGATTTGTCCAAAATCAATATCGCGATATGGATCCATAACACACGAAACAAGACTCAACAGCCTCATTTGTAAAAGTCAAGGGTAACCCCATAGACTAGAATAACTTTGGCAATTATTGTTTTAGGGAAAATCAGTTCTGAGAAACATCAAGCCTCCCTAGTATTCTTTTAATGGCATGACCAACTATGAAAGCAAAACTACAAAAAAATTCATCCATGAATTTTTTTGCATTCATTTTGATTAAATTGATCTAGATTTTACTTTGTTTACCTTCAACAAACGAATTGAAATAATCAAAGAGAAAGAAAAAGTTGGGAAAAGCACAAAGACGCTCTTGGCAAGTTGCTGCAAATGTCGATGTTTCAAAACTTGAAAATGATTTTAGATAGATAAGATATAGCTATTGGTTTTATTTTATTTTTATATTTGTTCTTAGTCTCAACCTGGAACCTTGTATGCCGATGTCATTGATAAGTAGTTTCCTCTCCTCTCTCATCTTTTTCTCTCTCTCTCTCTCCCTCTGCGTTTTCTGCCTAAACTAATTTGACCTAAATTTAGATTTCATGAAGCATTAAGGATTTAGAGCACTTTCACATTTAGCAATTTCTGAACTAAACGACGGTGGCACAAAAAAAAGAGGGTCATTGATCAATTGTTAATTGTTTACTTCGTATAAAAAGGAATCTGCAACTGATAGAAAAGAAAGAAAAAAAAGACAACAAATCTTTTTGATCTCCGATCCGATAATAGCTATATATAAAATGGGAATAATACAAGAAAGGCAAGGTGATTAATACGCATGTAAACGCGTGTTCAAATCATTATTTTGACGTGTTTCCAAAGAAACAATTAAGACGTGTTGAGTAAGAAAAACGTGTTTATACTTTTGAGTTCAATTTCGATTGCATTTCTAGTATTCCCTAAGGCAGAACGAATCTAAAGCTTAGCAAGCATTCATGAAGAAAGTTAGATAATAGAGTTGCAGCAAAGAAGCATTTGCTTCTATATGTTTGTGTGGGTTGTGAAGTAACACCCTTGTTGTTATAATCTGACAAAGAATATGTAAAAACATTAAATAGTTTGTTAACCTTTTCACTTTTTGCAACTGGTAGCATTATCGTTTAAGAATAATGAAAAAGGATAATATTAATAGATTCAAGGTAGAGGAGTACATCTTGATTGGAAGAGTCAACATGTAAGCTAAGCACAGCCACTAACATTTCAAGCACAAGTTACAACACCGCCTTTTCTTTTTTCCATGCATATCCCTTTTCAAAAATGGGGGACCGGGTTTAGCCTTTTTCTTTCCCCTCACCGTCCGTCTCTAGCGGGAGAGAGAAAAAACGACCAGATAAGGAAATAAATTATAGATAGGGACAAGAAAGCAAGATAGTAATACATAGGGTCTTTTTTTTTTTTTCTCTTCTATTTTAGAAAAGTATTGGCTATTTGGAATTACAATCTTGAAATGTTCTTGGTAAAAGTAAATGGATAAATGATGAGCCGATCCGATCCGCAGATCGATCCAATACTTATTTTCTCAAGTTTCTTTTTTTTTTTTTTGTTTTGTTTTAGGGAGAAGTAGGGGGTGAATACAGAAGGAGGAAACTAGAGTGTGTTAAAATGTATGTGGAAAACAAGAGTGTGTATGTAAGTGAAAACAAATTGATTTATTTCAAAAGCGGATTTGTTAGTATAAACGACCTGTTTCCTCTTAGTTTAAGTCTGTGTGTAGTGGTTTGAAACAAAAGGATTTGTTACTAGGAACTAGCTTAGATTAACACAATGCGAGACATTTACAAGTGTTCCATAGCATTTTTTTATAAGCTAAAGGAAACTACTTTGACATGACAACACACAAAACAAAACATTTTTATCTTGCACGGGGGGGGGGAAGAAGTGGGGGATGCAAAGCAAAAATTGACTATTGTAGCTTGTAGCTTGTAGTTCGTAGCTTGTAATTTGTAGCTTGTAGCTTGTAATTTGTAGTTTGTAGTTTGTTGCTTATAGCTTGTTGCTTGTAGCTGCTACTGATGTCCCTATAACTCCTACTACTTATTTCATTGATTGTTCCACAATTTTTTTTTTTTTCTTCTGTAACTGAGATTGAAAATCATGCGATATTTACTCCATTTCTAATTTTTTAATACACTAAATTTTTTTTTTTTGTGTGGATTAGTAAAAGTTAACCTGCTCAAGTAGAGGTATGCTGGCGATGTTGTGTTTTGTTGCTCTGCATATTTGTATATTTGTATTGCATATTGCATGTTGTTGAGTTTCTGAGTTGCGTCGTTGTATTGTATTTTTTTTTTACTAAGATTCTAAGAGCTTTAAACGACTCAAAATTGAAAACTAAGACCATGTAGGAATATAAGCACATTAACACATGGATTTGGTTACTATGTGGTAGTTAGCTATATAGTGGGTCAACTCACCTGAGTAGTGTATCTACCAGATTGCAAAAAAAAAAAAAGAAGGTTTCTTCACTAAAAGTTATGTTGGGTTATGATTTTCAAGCATTTACCTATATATTGTAATTGTAAAGCAATTCTTGTTCCTGTTGATTGTTATTATAGACAGTCTAAACTTGTATATAGTCTATACTGGCCCTTGTTCTCCCGTTATGATACTCGATATCTTTTAAAAACAAAAAGATAGAAACTTTTTTTTTATTTATTTATTTTAACATCTTGAACACAATCGATAAGCGGGAATAGTAGGTGTTGTTGCATTTAGTAGATATAATAAAATTTCAACTTGTATAAATACCAGATCTGCTGTCCACCAAAAGAAAACGTGTTTCAATAGGTATAGCTTAATTTCTACTTACAAACCAATCAACCCCGACTGAATAACATAGTTACACACACACAAAAGTACACAATAAAATTCTAGTTTATTCAAAATTCATCAAATGCACACAATCTACATGAGGTCACTGCAAGCATCAGCTAATTCGATACACTCCAAATACTCAGCTGCTTTACTATTTGGTTATTTGGCCGTATCGGCCACTTTGCCGTTCATATTATCTTACAAAGAGTCGTTGTTATTTTCATCGTCACATTTACAGAATAATCAGCAAAATATTAACAGCAAAGGAACGATATCACTAAGATCATTATTCACCAAAGTATAAAAGACGAGGATGAAAGAGGCAAGAGGGAAAGAAAAATAAGAAACAGGAGAAAAATATATGAACTCGGACACTTTTGTCACTGGTGCTTGTGCGAGTTGCATAGAACCAGAGAAACAGAACAATTTACCAAGACGTGGTTCACAACTTCTAAAGAGAAAAGAAGTAAACTATTGCTCTTGTTTTTGGCACAATCTACCGAAAAAGGGTGCAAGTTTTGCGTCCCTTACAATCTGGGGTCTCTTACGTCTTCTGGGTTTTTTTTCCCCCCCATAATGATTTTTTTTAATGAATTTTTTTTTCTTTCTTTCTTTCTATTCAAGCTATAGTCGTTGATCTACGTTTGTATAATCCACATTTACCTTTGTAAGCTGTCTACCTTGCTAGCTCGAAATGGCATGATTATCATAGGGTTTAGGTTTTGTTTTCTTTTTTTTTAGTTGAGTTTTAATAATATAAGGTATATGGTGATAAAAATGGTTGGCTTTTGTTAATCTCTTTATTGTAATTGTAACGTTATTTGTGAGAATAAGTGGCTTGCTTACAGGGTTCATTTATATGCATGTTTCTTTGTTCTCGGGTCGGGAAAAATTCTCAGCTGGGCTCAAAAAAAAAGAGGTGGCTTTCTCAGTGTGAAGACTGATGATAACAAATAAAGTTGCGGGGAAGAAGGAAGAAAGAGAGAGAGAGAGAGAGAGAGAAATGGGATGAGAAATGGATTAGCAACAGAGTGAGATCTTCGCCAATTTTTCGTTAGCTTTACTCCAGAGATCTCCAGCTCTCTCCTTCCCCACGTCTTGTTCAAATTAGACGAAAACTTGATTTCAATTTGCTGATACATACTGCTATTTATATACATAAAAACTCTTCTAAAGTCTTATATCTCCTTCTTAACCCTCTTTTCCTACTTCAGAGCTTGATCCTTTTTCCAATGAGCATTGTTAAAAACATTTTTTATATTATTCAATGAACTCACAGTATCAAATAAACTTTGCTTTTGATTTAAACTCAATGTAGGATTGATCTCAATATCATGTGCAGTTTTTACAAACTCTTCAGTATCATGCCCTTTTAAATCAATAGATTCAGTTTTACCCAACGCTATAGTATTGATTCTTTGTTTTAATACATCTTTGTTTGGCTCAAGTTCCCAGTTTCTTTGTAAAATATACCTTGATGGTGCATTAGACGGAGCTAGTTCAATAATATTCTTGGGTAATTGATATGGATATTTTGAGTCGATTAAAGTAAGTTTAGCAATTGATGCTAACCTTGTCTTGATAGATGATGTAACTACACTTGGAGCTTTTCCATAAAGAAAGTGTTCTGGGTTGATCCCTGGGGACAAAGGTTCAACGGTCAACTCTTTTGATTTGATTTCAGCAGCAATTGTAGACTCTTTGCGCTTTTCAAATTTTCGTCCACCGTCTCTTCTTGCCCCTGCCCCTCCTCTAGTTTTGGTGCCAAACGCTCCTCCCCTTTTTTTGAAGGAGACTTCCGCTTTGTTATTGCCGTCTCTAGAAGCTGAGCTACGACCTTGCCTGGATGCAACAATTCCTCTTCCTTCAAACCTCTCCCTAGTTGGTTTAAATAATGCTCTAGTTTGAGTCTCTTTTGGTATTGCTTCATATGTTCTGTTTTGGGACTGATTTCCAAAGGATTTGTTTTCATTGAAGTTTGCAAAGCCTTTTTGAGCTGCTTGTCTTTCTTGTCCTGCTTGTCTTTCTTGCCCTTCTTGTCTTTCTTGCTGCTGATTAAACTTGGTTCCATATCGGTCTTTTCTTTTTTCAAAAAAAGTTTGTTCGTTTTGGACTTGATTCTTTCCTGTGTGGTTAGAAAAAAATCCTGTTGTTCCTTCTTCTCGATTTTGCTTTGGAAATGAGTTTTGCCATTTTGAGTTGCTGCCGTTTTGACTGGATGTTTGGATACGAAACGGACGCTGGTTTGGTTGGTTGGTGTACTGTTGGCTTTGGGGACGGTCGTTTTGCTGGTGTTGCCGAAACGGACCACCGGAATGTTTCCTTTCACTAAAGAGCCGTTTCCTTTCATCTTTTTTCTTCTTCAATTCTGCAGCAAGTGCAGAGGCTTTATCTATTCTCTTGAAGAGATCGTCCATGTTGAACCCAGTTGAACTGGTCTTATTTTCAGCATTGCCATTCTTTATAGAAGAGTTATACCTGATGGAACACCTTAATGGGGTACTGAGCAACCTTTTCTTTGAAATAGAACTGAACATATCGAGCAGCAACACCCCCGCCTAGTTTTTTTTTTTATTTGGTTTTCTTTATGGGTAAAATGGTCAAGGGTTGAAAATGAAATTTTTCAAATATTTCAACAAACACAAAAATTTTCATCACGTTTTTTCGATCACGTTTTCACCATCTCATCTCAGAGACTGGAAGGACTAGGCGAGCAAAGCGAGTCTAGTCGATGAGAGAAGAGACTATGTAAAGCAAAGCGGTCTAGTCGAAGAGAGAAGAGACTATGTAGAGCAAAGCGGTCTAGTCGAAGAGAGAAGAGACTATGTAAAGCAAAGCGGTCTAGTCGAAGAGACTATGTAGAGCTAATCTAGCAAATGTATTAAATCTAGTAAATCAAGTAAATCAAGTAAATGCATCAAATGTACTAAATGTAGAGTATATGAACAAATGGTTGCCTTATAGATTTAGGTACAACCAAAATGTATTAGTGATGTACTTGTTAGTGTCACTAGTCAATGATGCTCCACTATCGAGAAAAGCGAGGTAGTGTATTGCTCCACTAGCTCGCTTTGCTTCATAGTGTTGTTACTAGTGTCATTAGTCAATGATGCTCCACTATCGAGCAAAGTGAGGTAGTGTATTGCTCCACTAGCTCGCTTTGCTTCATAGTGTTGTTACTAGTGTCATTAGTCAATGATGCTCCACTATCGAGCAAAGTGAGGTAGTGTATTGCTCCACTAGCTCGCTTTGCTTCATAGTGTTGTTACTAGTGTCATTAGTCAATGATGCTCCACTATCGAGCAAAGTGAGGTAGTGTATTGCTCCACTAGCTCGCTTTGCTTCATAGTGTTGTTACTAGTGTCATTAGTCAATGATGCTCCACTATCGAGCAAAGTGAGGTAGTGTATTGCTCCACTAGCTCGCTTTGCTTCATAGTGTTGTTACTAGTGTCACTAGTCAATGATGCTCCACTATCTCGCTTCGCTCGAAAGTGTCGCTCGATAGTGTCGCTCGATAGTGTCGCTTGATGTCTTTATTTTAGCACACACACTACTAATCCTCACGCGCCAAATTCTCGTTTCGCAAATTAGCCACCTACAAAACTTGCATCTTATTGAACGAAATTTCTCGCAACAAGTTTATTGGCTCACATTTTCACCATATGGTAGCACCGAAAGCCTCTGAGTTTTTCATTTTCTTTTAACACTTTTTTTTCATTGAGATTTGAATTTTCTTCTTCATCGACAACATTAGCAAAGGACATTTAGCGATATATACATAGATAACACCCTTGTCACCGATATATATAATGTTGTCAGCACGTCCAGTCTTACGTAATGCAGCTCGTTCTGCTGTCATGGCCGTCAAACCATCATTGAGATTTGTATGTTGAAAAGACACTTGACAATTTTTCATTTTGAGAGTTTTTAGGGAAAAAAAAATATACAGGGGGGTTGATTGCATCTGCTACATCAATTGGAAAAGAGTCTGTTTTAAACACTCTTTTCTTGTTTTGCATTTTTGCTCCTTCTAAGTTGCTGTTTCTCGACTAGGTAGGTGTCGTCCACCAGCACTTTCCCCCCAATACTTGTTTTCCTTTCTTTCTACTCACTTAATTCCCCCTATCAATTGAGTACTAACCAAAACAATCCAGGCTCGTTCAACCCTGTTAATTGCTCAAAGATACGCTTCTGCAAAAGCTGCTCCAACTGAAGTTTCCGCAATTTTAGAAGACAGAATCAGAGGTATATCCGACGAAGCTAATTTAAATGAGACAGGTAAAGTCTTATCAGTCGGGTATGTATTCAATTTAATCTACAAGAAGAACGGCATCGGGGCCGGGGACCGGGACCGCGACCCCTATTCCCCCTTACAACATCTCGAATATCTTGAAGAGTTTTTCACCTGGTGTGGGATTCACCTGGTGTGGTGCACTCTTATTGGCCAAAAGAAAAAAAGATCAATTCCTTTTTTTTTTTTTTTTTGGTAAATTTGCACACATTTTTCAAGAAGGGCTCGTAGTTATGGCGCTAAGAGGTTATATACTAACAAACATATCATTACCTTTTTAGAGATGGTATTGCACGTATATTTGGTTTGAACAACATCCAAGCTGAAGAATTGGTTGAGTTTGCTTCAGGTGCCAAAGGTATGGCTTTGAACTTGGAAGCCGATCAAGTTGGTGTTGTTTTATTCAATTCCGATAGATTAGTTAAGGAAGGTGAAACTGTCAAGAGAACCGGTCAAATTGTTTCTGTTCCTGTTGGTCCAGAATTATTGGGAAGAGTTGTTGATGGTTTGGGTAACCCAATTGATGGTAAGGGACCAATCAATGCCAGAGGACTCTCTAGAGCTCAAGTTAAAGCTCCAGGTATTTTACCAAGAACCTCAGTTCACGAACCAATGCAAACTGGTTTGAAAGCTGTTGATGCTTTAGTGCCAATTGGTAGAGGTCAAAGAGAATTGATCATTGGTGATCGTCAAACCGGTAAAACTGCTGTTGCATTAGATGCCATTTTGAACCAAAAGAGATGGAACAATGGAACAGATGAAAAGAAGAAGTTGTACTGTGTTTATGTTGCCGTTGGTCAAAAGAGATCTACCGTTGCTCAGTTGGTGCAAACTTTGGAAGAAAACGATGCTCTTAAATATTCAGTCATTGTTGCTGCCACTGCTTCAGAAGCTGCTCCATTACAATATATTGCTCCTTTCACTGCTACAGCTATTGGTGAATGGTTCAGAGACAATGGTAAACATGCTTTGATTGTTTTTGATGATTTATCAAAACAAGCTGTTGCTTATCGTCAATTGTCATTATTGTTGAGAAGACCACCAGGAAGAGAAGCTTACCCTGGTGATGTTTTCTACTTGCACTCAAGATTATTGGAGAGAGCCGCTAAGATGAATGAAGCCAACGGTGCCGGTTCATTGACTGCTTTGCCAATTATTGAAACCCAAGGTGGTGATGTCTCAGCTTATATTCCAACCAATGTTATTTCTATTACCGATGGTCAAATCTTCTTGGAAGCTGAATTGTTCTACAAAGGTATCAGACCAGCCATTAACGTTGGTTTGTCCGTCTCCCGTGTCGGTTCCGCTGCCCAAGTCAAAGCTATGAAACAAGTTGCTGGTTCATTGAAATTGTTTTTGGCCCAATACAGAGAAGTTGCTGCTTTTGCTCAATTCGGTTCTGACTTGGATGCCTCAACAAAACAAACTTTGAACAGAGGTGAAAGATTAACTCAAATTTTGAAACAAAAACAATACCACCCATTGGCTGCTGAAGAACAAGTTCCAGTTATTTTCGCTGGTGTCAATGGTTACTTGGATAACTTACCACTTAACAAAATCGGTGAGTTTGAGGAAGCTTTTACTCAACACTTGAAATCTAATAATGCTCATATTTTGGACGCTATTAGAGACAAGGGTGAATTGTCCAAATCTAATTTGGATGATTTACACAAGATTACCAAGGACTTTGTTGCTGGCTTTGAATAAGGTATAAAATACAAAAAAGAAGAAGAAAGACTAATTTGAGTTTTCATAGCTAAATAGAATCATACATATTCGACCGAGTAAAAAAAAAAAAAGAGGAAAGATTTTTGAAAAAAGAGAAGAAAAAGAATGATGGTGGTATTCTTCTTTTTGCAGTTTATCTATGTATTAGTAGTAAAAAGAAAGAAAAAAAGAGAGGAATGATTATGCTTCTTCATCTTGTCTTGGGTACGATTCTTGAGAGTTTCTGGAATTGGTCTTTGCCGAAATGCTAGCTTCATCATCTTCATCATCTTCATCACTGTCCTCTGCATGGTGATGGATTGCCGTTTTGCGTCTTTGAAAATCTTTTATATGAGCAGTATTCAACCGATCTGTAAATTGTTTGAAATAAGTTTTTCGTTGTTGCAATTGTGGACCCGAAGGTATAGACATCCTTGATAAATCGATTGAGCCAATATCGTCTCCTCTAGATTCCGCATGTGCAGTAGTATACCCAACAGATTCTTCTGTTGTTTCCTCACCACCAGCACCAGCACCAGCACCAGCACCAGCATCAGTTCCTTCTTCAACATGATACTTTTGAGCCCTATACCGCAACTCAACCAATCTTTTAACTGCTTTCTCGACTTTAGCTGATACGGCATAAGGTAATGGTGTTTCCTTTGATGCTCGGAACAAGATGACGTTAGTGCAGTGCTCGTTTTCCATTCTAAAGAAAACCCATATAAAACGACGTAAGATCTCAGCTAGTGCAACACAAAATGAAGTCACCGCACTTTGTTGAATTTGATCACCAAAAAACGCATAAAATATCCACTGAAACCGCAATATGACATCAATAATCATCGCTGCATAATAGTAATACTTGTTTTTGTAAAATAAATAATCTCGCAATAAAAAGTTTTTTGAACCCATTTGCAATAATGACCAATCCATTACTATATCCCAAATCGAACAATAAACGGAGTTGATGGATGCAAACATAATAAAGGTCACTTTCTTATTCAAAGACCTGTCAATACGGTATAAACTAAGTGTCATATAGTATATCGTTGAACAAGTATATTTCATCATATTGGCCAAGTGAGGAAACCAATCTGCTGTATCCATATAACGTCTGATACACTGCAATAATCTCCAGACACTTGGAAGTGCAGCAAAAAAGCCCATCAAGTGTGACTTCGACGACGTGCATGTGTTTCTATCAGGATTCTGTCCTGCTAAAGTACCTCTCCAATGATGAGCATACATGCAAAAGAAAAATGACAAGTTCCCCATGGTATAAGTTAGTGAACAAACAATATCTCCCAAAAAAAAATCTCGAAATTCAACAGGATACAAGCCCGATAACAATAATCTCCATAATGCAAATTGTAACCATCTTCTGCTGGGGCCATAAAACGCATTAGTTGGCCACATAAATATAACAATCATGACTCCAAAAAATATCCAAGGCCAATCTCGGCCTGGGAATTTGCGAGGCCAAAAATCACTAAAACTGAACCACGCAATTAAGGATAGAAAAGCAAAGGCAAAGCTTGGTAATAACCAATATTGCTTATAGTTTAATGCCGTAGCTAAATCAAACTCAAAAATGAACTTGTAATTGATACGGAATTTCTCAAAAACAACCATATTGATCCCAAATAAAAGAAACATAAGCGTTAATAAGAAAAACCCTCCCCAGATCTGAAGTATATATCTCCCCTCAGGTAGATCACCATTCAAGGTTTTGTATAAACCTGTATACAAGCCCAATACAAATAAAGGTATACCAAACCCAATCAAAGTTCCTGAACTGAAAAACTCACTATAATAGGATGGTTGTTTCATTTCGGAGGCATTTATCGTATATGTAATAGTTTTTAGCTTTTCCAAAGCATGTTTTCTGTCACTGGAACCGGAATCAAAAAATGTAATGAATAATTCTTCAACTTGGATTATAAGCTTACTTAGCAAGTCACTAGTTAAAAAATAAGAAGTTGTATCAATTTTATTCATGAATGGCTCCATTATGTTTGTACTCATGGCTTTATCGTATTTCTTTGTAATCTTTCTAAATGCCGTTCGATTCATTATCTTATAAGACTCTAGGATGGATAAAGATCTATAATGTTCTAAAAGAGCTGCTTTGAGCTGTTTCTTTGCATACAAATAGGGAACTCCAAAATGTCGTTTCTTTTTGATGGTATAATCTCTTCTTCGAGATTGTCTTGATTGACTCTCAGTTTGCAGCTCAGGTGTAGATACACGTGGTGATGGTGCTGGGATCGCCTCAAAGTCTGATTCTGAGTCAAAGGAAGTTTGATCATCTCCAGGCCTGTCAGTTAGATCAACAATCCCATTCCGTACTCTATTTTCTGCATAGTTTAAATCCGTTTCATCTTGAACATTTAGTGATATTTCGTCTTCTACATCGTGCTTATTACTTCTCTTTCTTCGCATCAATCTCTTTAAGAATGTCATCGAAGGCAATGAGGGAAGTTCATATCTATTCAACTCGCTGAGAAAGAACTTGGTGTGGAAAGCTAATTCATTGACATTATAGGAGACAGAGGCATGGTCACCGTTACCGTTACCGTTACCGTTACCGTTTAGTGAGAGTGGATTGTGACTCCTATGATCATGCAAGTTTCTTGTTTGTATTAGTTGAGTTCTTTGGTCCCTTAGTTGGTACAACTGATCTTGCAATAAAAGAAATCTCTCATAAACAAGTTGCTCTCTTTCTGAATAAAACTCGTCAACTTTTAATAACTCCAGATCAAGCCATTGCTGAAATTTCCTTTTTTCAGCCAAATAATCGTCTTTCCGCGACGATGACCGTAAAGAATAGTTGAATATCGATGGGCGTAGCTGTTGCAGTGAATAATTATAGCTATGACTATGTTCAGTATCTGTAGCAAAAGTACCTTGCTCATTTTCTTGTCCATACCCTCTTGAACCACCACCACCATCAATTGGACTTAATAGTGGTGTTCTGTCATCGTTAGTACCACTATTTTTCGATTGAAATGTGAAATCTCCAGTCAGTTTCAATTCGTCATACTCGTCCTTTAAACTTCGAATTTTCTTAATTAATTTCTTTCCTTCTTTGTAATTGACATATTGGTCCTGCCATTCATTCACTAAACCTTCGCTCAATGCCTCACCAAACTTCATGGTCACCTGGGGCCCCACCGCCCTAGAAAATATAAGCCTACTGGAGATTTACAAACCTCAACTCTTGACAATACGGGGTGTGGAGAGATACCTCGTGTTTTAGTTTATCCACAATTTATCTTCTTTTAGTTTTCCCCGGTCTGGTCACGTGACTTGAAGTATCCGGTATCCCGATGAGATGAGATGGAAGATGGAAGATGGAAGATGGAAGAGGGAAGAGGGAAGAGGGAAGAGGGAAGAGGGATGTTGAGGGATGTTGAGGGATGTTGAGGGATGTTGAGGGATGTTGAGGGATGTTGAGGAAGGCTGAGGAATACGTTTCAAGTATGACACCTTTTCTTTTAATTAATTAAAATCTATTTATCGTATTTAACGTACAATGCGTCTATGAAATGCGGATGCTTGATGCCAGGGGGTTTCGCTTGCTTGAAACCCTCGACCGCTTCTTGAACAGTCCATCCAAGTACTTCCACCAAATAACAACAAATCAAAAACCCAGTTCGATTGAAGCCATAATGACAATGAACGCCGATAAGCGCATCCTCAACATCACTGTTCAGTAAAATATCATTAACTAGTTGTATAAATCTTCTGATTGAGCTTTGGTCGGGCACTACTTTGGATACTGTAGCACATTTATAGTATTGAATAATCTTGAACGATTTTGGACTGTAAGGTGGGATATCAGCCGAAATGTCTATAATGGCAATGAGTTTCCCTTTTACTCCCTTTATGCTATTTACTTGGTCAGAATTATAGAACATGAGTTCTACATTTGCTGGGCTATGATTGTTGTCACCTTCTCTTAGTGTCTTCATCCCCAACATTGGCGCAATGTCACTACCGTTGCGTCTCGTTATATTGAAGGAAATCGGCTGCAAATCCAGCCATTTCAATTCATTTTTTAAACCCCATTTGTCTCCTGATATCAAAGCCTTGACTTTTAACACCCAGGCAGGACTTAAGTGCAACCGTTCTGGGAACTTCAGTTCAATGTGGTTCAAAATTATACCACTTATATATTCCGGCTTGACCAAGAGTAAAGAATGTCCCACATCCTTGACTTCAACTGATGATGACACTTTTCGGCCAAAAGTGTCAGCTAAAAACTTATCTCCCTTGTATATTGCTTTCACCCCAGTTAACTGATCATTTGATCCGCCAATGAATAGTGTTTTCTCATATGTATGTTTATCACAAGGATTATCGTTGAACCGTTCAACCGCTACTAATAAATCAGATGTTGTTGCTCTCCGAAATCCCTTTGCGTATTTCAATAACATAGATGAGTTCACATCCAAGTTCCAGCGGAATTGCCTTAGACTGTTATAAAAAGCATTATTTGTCTTTGACAACTGTCGAGTTACACTGGTGCTGTTTAAGCCAGATAATCTGTCCCAGACTCGAAAATAATCAAACAAAAACGGCGCATACGTAAATAATTTGAATGCACTACTTGTTTTATGAACAGCGGGGACCAACTCTTGTGTCTCTTCTATCTCAGGTGGTGATAAAAGAATCATGCCTTCAACTTTTCCTCGCGCAAGTTTTTTCGCTAGTTTAATCGATATATGAGTACCCATTGAGTGGCCAATAAGGACAAGTTTCTTGTTCTCGGAAACTTGTTGCGATATAAATTCGTACACGATATTAACAATGTTGTCAGTTTCAAAATCGTGCCATGTCATTTTCTCAATGCTTGCCGAAATCTTTCTTTGGTCTTGAAGAGTTATTGGCGATAAAAACTTACGATTGTTATAAAACTGTATTTTGGAATTACCAAAGCCAGGCAAATCTAATGCTATAACTTCAGAACATTGTGATAACAACCCCATCAATGGTTCAAATTGTGACATTTGGCCACCCATTCCATGAATGAAAACTAGGATAGGGCTTTCACTCAATTCTTTAGAGATTTTCTCTTTATCCTGAAAAGACATTTCTTGGTTAGCATCGTTCTTGGTGAAATTGGTAAGCGGATGAGGTATTTTCAATGTTTGAAGCGTTATTTCATCTATCGACAAAGTTGGTTGGTTCGATAAATCAATACTTGTTGTGGATGAATATTTTGCAACTAAAGAACAATCATTAGCTTCATTCTCTAATATATATTCCTCCAACTCATTGGAATAGCCCAAAAACCCAATTTTCACAAACTCAACCAACTTGCTCCATATAGTTTTAGTTTTCTGTTCTTGAAGTAAGGCTAATTGGTGTAGTTTTTCGCACGAGGCTGGCGCAGTATTAGCAAAAGTTGAGCTTCCTGCTGAAGCCTTTACTGCGAGGAGTTCTTGAAAATCCTCATCATTCAACTGCAGCATATCACCAAGTGACCTCCTAGTCTCTCTCTCTCTCTCTCTTGTCCGCCCTGTCCTTTCACTAAAACCAAAATGAACAACTTCTAGCTATATATATATATACGAATGATCTTTTTGATAATTTCCACAAAGTGCGCAAAGATAAGGGAGTAGCGCTACCGTTTATGACACCTAGCCGCCAGCGAACAGGACGATGGTGATGGTAGGGCCACCTACACTAGCGAGCAAAGCAAGCTAGTGGAGCAGCACTGACGGGTTTAATTGCTTCAAGGCTACCTACACTAGCTCGCTTTGCTCGCTAGTGGAGCAGCACTGACGGGCTTAATTGCTTTATTTAGTTTGAGTGGTAGGGGTTGTTTTGCCATTTTTTATCGTATTCAATTAATATGCTTATAGTCTATATGGTTATATTATCGCTTACTTTCTGTATGCTAATAATCTTTATGTTTATAGTCTATATGCCTATATTCTATATGCCTATATACGTTTATAGTCCATACGCCTATATTCTATATGCTAATAGTCTATATGCTTACTTTCTGTACACACGGGTTTAATTGCATCCTATATCCTAATATTCTATACGCTTATATTATTCTCGCTTATTTTCTATACACTTACTGTCTATATGCTAATACTTGTATCTTATACGCTTACTTTTTGTATGCTTATATTCTAGAGACTTGTAGTCTATATGCTGATATTCTATACGCTTAGTTTCTGCAGGCTTACTTTTTGTATGCTTAGTTTCTGTTTGCTTATATTCTATATCCTTACAGTCTATATGCTAATATTCTATACACTTACTTTTTGTATGCTTACTTTTTGTATGCTTACTTTTTGTATGCTTATATTTTATATGCATATATCCTACACGCTTACTTTCTGTATGCTTAAGTTCTACATGCATATATCCTATACACTAATATCCTATACACTAATATCCTATACACTAATATCCTATACGTTTACTTTCTACCGAGTATTTAGTTATTAGAGCCACCTACTGTTTTTCTTTTTCGCAACCATGATTCTTGCTACCAAATGAAACCATTAGTTCAACAATATTGGTAAGAGGTAAAGTGATTCAATCGATTTGCAAGGTTTTACATTGCTCGGTTATAACTGTCAAACCAGAGCGAGATAGTGTTGTAACAAGCTATTCAGTACCGCTCTTACAGGCATATAAGCAATAATATAGGTATATAAGCAAAGACAGGTATATTAGCAAAGACATAGGTATATATTATTCAATGATATGTACATATACAATGTAGAAAGCTTATATACTGATATTGCTATGTAGCCTTGTAGTTTTATTTTTCGAGTGACGGCTGATTTTGACAGAATGACAAATAGCTAATAAGCAAAGGCACTGGTTAAGCAAAAGGAGCTGGTTAAGCAAATGCACTGGTTAAGCAAAAGGAACTAGTTGTTTGGTTGAAACTACTCTAATTTGTACAAACTAGTAACAGAGACTTCTCGATCCATTGATATGTACCTACTCTCTATACTATCCAGCAGAGCGAGAAGACACTACTCTCTATATCTCTACTCTCTTTATTTACTCTCTTTTCTCTCTCTTTACTCTTTCTATATATCTATTCTCTCTATATTACTACTCTCTCTCTTCTTTCTATATTTATGTCTTCTCTCTCTCTTCTTTACCATCTACTAGACTCGTTTCACTCGTCTAGTTTTTTTTGCATCAGTTTAACTCAAACTCAATAGTACTCTACATATTACTACCAACAACTCTACTTCTACACTATCGGGCAAAGCAAATTACCCCATATATAATCTCTCTATAGACTATCTCGCTTTGCTCGATAGCCTATCGACACTCGTCTAGTCTGCCACACCAAGATGAAAGCTTTATCAGAAACCTTTCCTTACCCTATTCTAAAACCACAATTGGTAGCACAGATTCAACAAAGAAACCTTGAAAATAAAGCCCTGATGGATTATATATGAAAGGTTGATTCATATGTATAAGTTCTTCTTTAGCAGCTTGGAGCTAGCAGTGAGAAGAAGTAAAAGCTTGAAGAAAAGGTAAAGAAAATTGGGCATTATTATAAGATGGTTTCGTCTTCTGGGCGATATTCCCTCCACATGGATAGAGACTCATTCGATGAACTTGATAATTCCTTGGACAAAGCGTTAAACAGTGCTACTAGTAACTTGAACACATATTCAAAGTCAAGGGAGTTTAAGAATAATTTTCAAAGTCAAAATAGTCGAAATAACTCCTTAAACTCGGTTGGAGCTATACCGCTTAGAACAATAAGCGGTAGAACCGATGAAGGTAGTATAGAGCACCACGAGGATGATGATAATGGTGATGGTGATGGTGGTGACGACTTTCCTCTTATAGCGGATCCTCAAAGACTAACAAATCGGTTTGCTTCGTCGAGTTCAGTAACCCTTGCGACAAGAAGCGTGTCGTCAAAGGTGAGGCAACTTTTCAAAAATTTCAGCTTGATGTTCAATGATGCCAAAAGGGACTTGAATCAAAATAGATTAAAAGAGTCTGGTGCTTCAGATTTCAGAATCAATAACTTATGTGACGAAAGATACATTTCGGCTAAAACAACAAATCTCCGAGCAAGCAAAATATACCCATCTAATGCCATTTCAAATGCAAAATATAACCCAATAACTTTTATACCAATAATTCTATACGAACAGTTTAAGTTTTTTTTTAATTTATACTTCCTAGTCGTTGCACTATCCCAAATAGTACCACAGTTGAGAATAGGATATCTATCTTCCTACATTGTACCGTTGGCTTTTGTCCTCACAGTTACAATGATGAAAGAAGCAGGAGACGATATAAGTCGACGTCGTCGAGATAGAGAGCAGAATTACGAAGTTTACGAGGTTCTCAATCGAAACTCTGCAGATGCATCATCATTGACAACGGAACCAAGATATATTCCCTCAAAAGATTTGAAAGTAGGCGACTTGGTGAAGTTAAACAAAGATGTTAGAATTCCAGCAGATATGGTTTTGCTCCAATCTTCGGAGAAAACTGGTGAAGTTTTCATTAAAACAGATCAATTGGATGGTGAAACGGATTGGAAATTGAGAGTTGCTCCAAACGTGACTCAAAACTTTTCAAACGTGTCTCAGATAATAAATTGCGTGTCAATAATAGTGGGTAATCCAACAAAGTCAATACACAGTTTTACTGGACAGTTGGTTTATAATCCCCCCACCGCTAATGGTTCAATTTCACCAACTTCTGCTGAAACATATCCATTGACGGTTGACCAAACCTTATGGGCCAATACAGTGCTAGCTTCCGGTGCTGCAATTGGTTTAGTGATATATACAGGCATTGAAACGCGGCAGCTGATGAATACAACAAGGAGTGGTGTAAAGACGGGATTACTTGAACTTGAAATAAACAGTTTATCCAAGATACTATGTGCTGTTGTATTTGGACTTTCTGTGGCTCTTGTTTTAGCCAAGGGCTTCCCGTTGAAAAAGACGTGGTACATTGACATTATGAGATTTCTCATTTTATTTTCTACAATTATTCCGGTTTCTTTGCGAGTTAATTTGGACCTTGCAAAATCAGTTTATGCTTCTCAAATCCAAAATGATGAATCTATTCCTGATACTATCGTTAGAACATCAACTATACCAGAAGACTTGGGAAGAGTAGAATATCTATTGAGTGATAAGACAGGGACATTAACAAGAAATGAGATGGAGTTGAAGAAATTGCATCTTGGAACAGTAAGCTATGCAGGAGACACAATTGATATTGTTAGCGAGTACATCAATAATCTTATTTGCTACTTAAACTCGTCTCAATTTGGCGTGAAAAAGAAAGATCTTGGAGCCAAAGTGTGCGACTTAATATTGACACTTGCATTGTGTCATAACGTCACCCCGGTTTATGATGACGATGACGACGACAGTGGAAATCCAGGCTTTGGTGCAATATCATACCAAGCTGCTTCACCAGATGAAATTGCCATTGTTAAATTTTGTGATTCCGTCGGATTAAAGTTGTATAAGCGTGATCGACACTCCATCACATTAATGCATTTGCACACCAACCTGTTGCTAGAATTTGAAATATTGTATAATTTCCCATTCAGCTCGGAAACAAAACGTATGGGGCTTTTGCTTAAAAGTAAGCTCAAGGATGAGATCTGGTTCATGCAAAAAGGCGCAGACACGGTCATGGCAAATATCGTTAATACTAACGACTGGCTTGATGAGGAAACCGGTAACATGGCTCGTGAGGGTCTCAGAACTTTAGTTGTTGGAAGAAAATTGCTAACTACCAATTTGTATCAAGAATTTGTGGAAAACTACAATGAGGCTTCGTTGTCTATGCAAGATAGAGACTATGCAATGCAAAAAGTAGTTAGCTATTACCTCGAGCGAAATTTGGAATTGCTTGGTTTAACTGGAGTGGAGGATAAACTACAACATGATGTCAAGCCGTCCATTGAATTGTTGCGAAATGCCGGTATCAAAATATGGATGCTTACTGGTGATAAAGTCGAAACAGCAAAATGTGTTTCCATTAGTGCAAGATTGATATCTCGTGGTCAGTTTGTCAATGAGATAACAAAACTAAGTGATCCGGATTTGGCTATGGGCAAATTAGAATATCTTAGAACCAATCAAAATTCTTGCTTGCTCATTGACGGAGAATCATTGGCCACCTATACAAAGTATTTCTGTAATGAGTTCTTTGATATTGTTATTCATTTACCTGCAGTAATTGCATGCCGTTGCTCACCTCAGCAAAAAGCTGATGTAGCAGTTTTTATACGGAGAATCACTGGCAAGAGAGTATGCTGTATTGGTGATGGAGGTAATGATGTGAGTATGATACAGTCAGCGGATGTTGGTGTTGGTATAGTTGGAAAAGAAGGGAAACAAGCATCCTTGGCTGCAGATTTCAGTATTGATCAGTTTTGCTATCTTTCCAAATTGTTACTTTGGCATGGTCGAAACTCTTACAAGAGATCGGCTAAATTAGCACAGTTTATTATACATCGTGGACTTTTAATTTCTGTTGCTCAAGTTGTATACTCAGTTTCGACTCATTTCGAGCCCCTAGCGTTATACCAAGGGTGGTTGATGGTAGGATACTCCACAATTTATACCATGGCCCCAGTTTTCTCGCTAACATTAGATTGCGATATTGATGAGCATTTAACTAAATTATATCCCGAGCTATATAAAGAGTTAATATTGGGGAAGTCTTTATCGTACAGGACATTTTTCATGTGGGTATTTATATCATTATTTCAGGGCAGTGTTATCCAAGTAATATCTCAACAATTTCAAACATTACTGGAGAAGAAATTCACTTCAATGGTTGCCATTTCATTTTCTTGCTTAGTGTATAATGAGTTGATTATGGTTGCTATGTCGATCAATAAGTGGAACAAAATAATGGCAAGTACAATAATTGTAACGTTTTTGGCATATGTGGGTTCAATACCTATGTTATCAGAGTACTTCGATCTCACTTATATAGCTTCGTTTGCGTATACTTGGCAAACTGGAGTGATTTTGACCGTAAGTTTGTTCCCAGTATGGTTGGTTCAATACTTGAATAGAAGGTTGAGACCACCGAGTTATGCCAAGGTACAACAAGATTGAAATAAAAAAGAAAGAAAGAAAATAGAAGAAAAAGAGGAAACATATAATTAATAGGTTTCATTTCGAAAGTTTTTCAAAAATCATGGGATATTTTTTGTCTTCATAAATCTCAAGATGATCACTATCTGGTCTTCTTCAAATAAGAAGCTATTTCTAAATTTTAGAATGTGTTTCCAACGCTTTGAGTTCATACCTTTCAATTCTCTAAATATTTTATCCCATAAATGCAATCCACCGATTTTTGATCTAACCGTCTTTGGTGTTACATCAATGCCATACTCTTCACTCAACAAAGGCATATGAGCCCCACGTTGTAAAAAGATGGCCCAAATTAGGATATGACCGAGGTATGCGAAAATAGAATAATCCAAATCGTGAGAATGGGAATTCTTTTTTGACGCAGTAATGGAAGTTCTAGTGTTTTCTAATTTGAGTTCAGGATAATCACTGAGAATAGTCATTAATTGAGGATATTTCAACATCGTTTTGCTAAACCCAGATGATTCAAACAAAGCTACATTTACGCATAATTGAAAAAACATCTGCTTGAATTCTTCGTTTGCAAATAATGATTCTGAATTTTTGAAAGTAAAAGTCTTGCAAAGCTGTGCATATTTAGACACCGATGATGAGTTTAATATTGTTTTGATTTTAACATCTGATAAATCATTTTCAAGGATTTGCTTGTGCGATACACCAATAATGGTTCTTATGGGCTGAGCTTCTGGTAACCTGTCAACAAATGCTTTGCTTGCTGAATTAACTGAATTTAGGGTTACACCAAATCTCGTGCTACTACTTGAACTGATTGTAGAACACTTCTGTCGACTTGTCTTTATTGAAGTCTGCTCCTCATCCTCCTTTTGCACCTCCTTCTTTTGCACCTCCTCCTTCTTTTGCACCTCCTCCTCCTTTTGCACCTCCTCCTCCTTTTGCACCACCTCCTCCTTTTGCACCACCTCCTCCTTTTGCACCACCTCCTCCTTTTGCACCTCCTCCTTTTGCTTCTTAAACTCTTTTCTTCTCATTTCTCTCTTTTCTCTCCGCGTCATTTTTTTGATGCCTTCACGCCCTTCCTTCAGCAATTGCTTGTTGGTTACGTCATCCATGATTGGAGCTTGTTCCTTATATACGGATTCCTAAGAAATTTTTTAGTTAGTATTCTATCACAAAAACTTTATCGTCACACCTCAGAAAAGAAGACGAAATGCCTTCCATTGTATCCACATTTTCCTTTCTGAGGTTAAAACGTTTTAAACTTTGCTTGAAACTTTTTTTTTTTTTTTTTTACTTTTCTTACGTACATTTGGTGAATGTTGCTGATTGTTAGGTGTATCTATCCTGTTTGGAGTTTTTCCGTCAACGGGTTTGTTATTTGTGTAGATACGGGAATCTTCAGTTTTCAATTTCACTTCTTTTATTATAGTCTTTTGGTTCCCTTTCTGTTCTAAACTCCTTTCACCTCTATTTTTCTCTTGTTCTTCTTGAGACACGGTTTCAATTTCCCCTATTCCTTGATTCCTGTCTTTTTCGTTCGACAATGTAGAAGGAGAGTTCCTGGACTTTTTCAGGCTCTTTCTCTTTCTCTTTTGTTTCCCTTCGGTGGCTAAATCAGCCAGTACTTTCCCATTTGTGACCTTTCCTGACTTATCTTTGTGCTTGTCTTGAGCGCTCAAAGAAATACCACTAGGATATTGTTTCAGTTTTTTCAAAGAACCTTGTGTGTTTTGATCTACCATTACCATCTCATCAATCTCAACAAATTCATCCTCATTATCACTTGAAAAGTCAAGGCCAGCCATGTCCAGAATAACTTCCGCTACCGTGAAATGATGAGAATGACAATTGCTCTTATTATTATTTCCATTATTACTTGTTGAACTTTTCTTGTTTTTACCACGTCTATTATTCCCTACTCCAATCTCAATCTCAATCTCAGAAATCAGTTCTTTAGGTATATATACTGTTTCTGCTTGAGTCTTCTCTACTTCTTTATTAGTAAGTAAATAGGTCAAATCATTTTCAAAGTCAATATCCTCATCGGCAGATATGGACGGCTCTAAATGAGCCGCTCCTTGTTCATGCTCACGCTCCTCCCTCCGCCTAGGTTTAGCCAACACTTCGCTTCTTCTCCTAACACCTCGCTTCTTCCCAGACAAGGCGTTATCTTTGGCCATTTCACTCAAGCAACGACGATTCTATTCCATGATAATTATAAAACAATCCCAGAGTCACCAGAAAAAAAAAAATGAAATAAAACAAAACGTTTACTGTACGATGGAAATACGAGAAACTGGCTGCAAATTTGCTGAAGTTTTCATAAATTTTGCAACCATGCTGCAAAAAAAAAAAAAAAAAAGGCAGATCACGTGTGGGAGAAGGTTTGTGCAGATGGTTAATCTTTGTTTTGATTGCAATTGAAGAAGTAGTAAGTACAACTATAAATTTAGATTAGATTACATGCACTTTGTTGACTCGAAATGAGACTGACAAAAGGAGAAATTTTGCCTGCTGTTTCAGAAACTACGCTACCAACTCAACATTATGCGACACTATGCTCCACTATCGAGCAGAGCGAGATAGTGGAGCTCCACACTAGCTCTGGTTAACACTTTGTAGACACTATCGAGAGATGATATGCGACACCTATCGAGAGATACTATGTGACTCTATTGAGTGACGCTATGCTCCACTATCTCGCTTTGCTCGATAGTGGAGCATACCAGATCTTATTAACACTTTGCAGATACTATTGTGAGTACGTAGGTCACGTGAGCACTATTTCGTTCTGCTCGATAGTGGAGCACTTTGTGTTGTTGTAGAGGGTAGGAGGTGATCTTTTAAATGTTGGAGTTTGGAGAAATCAATCATACTGGGTAAATTGCCAACTTTTCTTGTGGGCTAGCCGTATCCAAACTTTTCAGCAGTAGCAGCAGCAGTAGCAGCAGCAGCAGCAGCAGCGACAATAATGATGAGGCAGACAACATCCATCCACATCCACATCGATACGATACCTTGGCGCTACCAATCAAGGCATCGCCTTTTTCTAGCCTGCTCCCTCTCTGTCATTATCCAATGACTAAACGCCATATTCAAATATAGAAAGGGTAACATTATCTTGCAAAAAGAGCTCTCCCCTCCCGCACTCCAAAAAAGATGTCCACAAAATCATTTAGGCAAGTCAACGAGAGCTTGAACCAAAGAATTCAGCAAAATCCATATGGCCCTAACCCTGCTGATTATCTTTCCAATGTTGGTAATTTCCAATTAATTGAAAGTACTTTAAGAGAAGGAGAACAATTTGCAAATGCTTTCTTTGACATGGAAACCAAGATTAAAATAGCTAGAGCTCTAGATGATTTTGGCGTTGACTACATTGAGTTGACTTCACCAGTGGCATCGGAACAAAGTAGAAGAGATTGTGAGGCTATTTGTAAATTGGGTTTAAAAGCTAAGATATTGACTCATATCAGGTGTCATATGGATGATGCAAGAGTTGCTGTTGAAACTGGGGTCGATGGAGTAGATGTCGTTATTGGTACGTCACAATTTTTAAGAACATACAGTCACGGCAAAGATATGAATTATATAGCACAGAGTGCAATCGAAGTTATAGAGTTTGTCAAATCAAAAGGAATAGAAATTCGATTTTCGTCAGAGGACAGTTTTCGATCAGATTTGGTTGATTTGCTAAATATATATCGTACAGTGGATAAAATAGGTGTCAATAGAGTTGGTATTGCCGATACTGTTGGCTGCGCTAATCCAAGACAGGTTTATGAGTTAGTGCGTACTTTGAAATCGGTTGTCAATTGTGATATCGAGTGTCACTTCCACAATGATACTGGTTGTGCTATTGCCAATGCTTATACTGCTTTAGAAGGTGGAGCCAAATTGGTTGATGTAAGTGTATTGGGAATTGGTGAAAGAAATGGGATAACTCCATTGGGTGGATTTATGGCAAGGATGATTGCAGCTGACCGCGATTATGTCTTGTCCAAATACAAAGTGCACAAGATCAGAGATTTGGAGAATTTGATTGCTGAAGCAGTGCAAGTCAATATCCCTTTCAATAATCCAATCACCGGGTTCTGTGCATTTACACATAAAGCAGGTATTCACGCAAAAGCCATTTTGGCCAATCCGTCAACTTATGAAATTTTAAACCCAAGTGATTTTGGATTAACTAGGTATATTCATTTTGCTAATAGGTTAACTGGATGGAATGCGATCAAATCGAGAGTTGACCAGTTAAATTTGCATTTAACGGATGCACAATGTAAAGAAGTTACTGAAAAAATTAAAAAATTGGGTGATGTGAGACAGTTGAATATTGATGATGTTGATTCTATAATCAAGGATTTTCATTCTGACTTAACAACACCTTTAGTTAAACCAACTAGTTCTGGATTACCTAAAGTTCCTCACATCTTGGAGGGACTAAACGAATCTGATGCATGAGAGCCCCCAAAGCATAAGGAAGAAAAAAAAATGAAGAAGAGAGATACTTTATATATAGGTAAATTATATATTAAGCTATCTAAATTGAGTCTACTCTAATTTTCTGTGACGGTAACTGCTCGATAGTGTCAGTCAACGATGCTCCACTATCCCGCTCTGCTCGATAGTGTCAGTCAAATGCGGATGCTTTTCAGAGTTTATGCATCAATGTCAAGCACATTGAAACAATACCAAACATGATTGACATTGTAATGCAAATCTTGAAACTCTTGAAGTGTTTACCAGAAGTTATCGAGACGCCTTCTTTTTTGTCGGTACGGTATATGACAGCTGCCGCAATCAAGTTTATAATAGCAACGAGGGTGAGTATATATTCAATGAGAGTATACATTATTGTAAATTTTTTTCAAAAAAAAAGTCAAACCCCTTCAACTCATTAGGCAGGTACAAAATCCTCCACTTTCAGACTATGACTTTTGTACCAATGGTAAGCTCTCAGATCTCAAGGCAATGGTAAGCTCTCAGATCTCAAGGCATGTGTTTCCCATAGAAAGTCATGATAAAATGAAAGAGAAAGAATCAAAAAAAAAAATTTGCAATAAAAAATGAGCTTATAAAGATAGAGACAGAGTAAAAAAGAAGATGGCGTAGTTACATATAATTGTTACATGTACTGGTCAATATTTGCTTTTAGAAGTTGTTTGAAGCAGCTTTATAATGGATGAAATACGAAGATACTTCCCACCAATTGGATTGACCCCACGGACGTAATAAATCCTTTTGACCCGAACTTACCTATTCATAAAAAGAAACATGTTTTAAAAATCTGAGAGAAAAAAGAAGGGTGCGACTGATGTGAATTTGGTTTTCTCTAACTCGAGACTATTGATTAATGACACTATCGAGCGGAGTGAGGACTAGCGAGCGAAGCGAAATAGTCTCTACTTACTACTCACTACTCATATAGACTAGCGAGCGAAGCGAAATAGTCTCTACTTACTACTCACTACTCATATAGACTAGCGAGCGAAGCGAAATAGTCTCTACTTACTACTCACTACTCATATAGACTAGCGAGCGAAGCGAAATAGTCTCTACTTACTACTCACTACTCATATAGACTAGCGAGCGAAGCGAAATAGTCTCTACTTACTACTCACTACTCATATAGACTAGCGAGCGAAGCGAAATAGTCTCTACTTACTACTCATTACTCATAAGGACTAGTGAGCGAAGCAAAATAGTCTCTACTTACTCTTCATTACTCATATGAACTAGTGAGCGAAGCGAAAGAGTCTCTACTTACTACTCACTATTCATATGGACTAGCTCGCTTCGCTTGCTAGTCCACGCTTCCTAGTCTACGCTTGCTAGTCCACGCTTGCTAGTCCACGCTTGCTAGTCCACGCTTGCTAGTCCACGCTTGCTAGTCCGTATGAGTATTTTCAATAGCTACAATGGAAATGCCAAAGGTAATGACTCAATGACGATGACTCAAGGAGTAACATTTTTCTTCAAGATGGCGGTTGCAGGTTCGATAAGCAACTACTGTGCGATGACTTTACTGCATACAATCTCTTCATACCTCATCTCTTGTAAAAAAAAAAAAAAAAACAACAACCCCAGAGTATGTCAAGATTTGATTGATTTAAAAGTTAATGTATCCTTTTCCACAATTGAAGAGGTAAGATGGGAGTTGAGAAACCTGTGAAAACCACCAAGTCAAAACTATCTAACAGAAGAAGGAAAAAGAGAAGAACAGAAGATTTTTCCTCTTCTTCAGAATCGTCATCGTCATCGGAATCGGAATCGGAATTGGAATCATCTAATGAGAGCAACATCAACGAACAAGAAGACGCTCTACAAACTACAGAAGATATCGAGGATATTGAGCTAGAGTCAGATTCGGAAAGTAGTAAAGAAAATAATAAAGCTCCTGACAACTTGACTGTTTGTCAAAAGCAACAACTTGAAACAATTCCGTTTCCAATTACATCGATATCTAATGTGACAAACACAAACACAGCAAGCGCTCTTAAAAATATAGCAGATCTCACAGCAGTAACCAAATCTGTTGATGCGTCAAGACAGGAGATGAACAACAAATTTCTCAAACTAATGACAATGGAGTTTGATGCTGATTTGGATGAATTGCGGAAAAAGCCAGATTTCAATGAAAAATCATTGGTTGTGTTGGCAAAAACACTACAATCAGGTGTAAATATGTTTGACTATGATGCAGTACAAGCACTCTTAAACTGAAGATGCAAAATAGACGATGGCCAGACTAGACACAACACTATCGAGCAACGCGAGATAGTGTTGTAGTAAGCTACTGACTGAACCATATTTAATAGACGCTTGCTTCGTTACAAGATTCACGTGAGTGTCGCGTGACACAGTTTATTTTCTCTTTTTTTCATTTATTTATTTTTTCTTCTTCTTTTTTCTCTTAACAACAAACCTATGACGTAACGTTATTTTTATCTTCCCCCCCCCCCCATATCGATCCATCATCGTCTCTCTGCTTAATACTTCTCCCGTTCCTTTTACCTTCCTTGACTAGACAGAGTTGAAGAAAAAGCCGTATGGGCAAGAGTAATTAAGACCGATCCATTTATCGCCTTACTACTCTCTACTTTTATCGCCTCACTAGTCTCTACCTTTATCGCTTCACTTTCCTCTACTTTTATCGCCTCACTAGAACTTTTATCGCTTCACTAGAACTTTTATCGCCCCATTAGCTCGCTTTGCTCACTAGTCTCTACATTTACAATCTTGATTGCTTTTCTAGTTGCATCATTGGCTCAGCCCATACTTTTTTTCCTGCATCATCTCACCATCTTCCGCATCGGTACTGTCTCTTCTCTAGGTGGGAAGAGTTTTGATTCTCTCGTTTAGTCTTTTTATTTTTCCTCTTGTACACCCACATGGTCTAGTAATATATATTTAAGAGGTGGCTCTTTAAGATTAAACACCCATTCCATTTATTCATTTTGACTTGTGAGACCACCCTTTTCAGTTGAGACCAGCCCTTTTCCATTTAAACCTTCTTTATCACCCTAGATGAATATCATTTTTGAGCTTAAATAAAAAAGTCTTTTGTTAGCCGCCGCTTACCAATAAGTTTTCGGACTTTTAATTTTTCCACTATTATAATACTAGTTGGTTGGAGAGTTTTATTTCAAAGATGCCTAAACATGTTAGTAGCGAAGATCTTATAGCTGCGAGAGGTAATGATGCAACTAGTTCAGTTACTGCAGCAAATTCTACAATTGCGACACATAAATCTACTATTGGCGGGAGTAACGGAGCGAGTCTCAATACCAATATAACCGAGCCTTCATTATTACAAACGGATGGTAGTGGCGATGGTGATGGTGGTGGTGATGATGATGGTGAACAGTCGCCAAAAGTTTATCCAAGGTCCTCCTCCGCTTTGGAAGATCCAGCTAATGAAACGAGCGCATTGTTGCCGCGATATAACAACAATGAAAATAATGATGAAGAAGAAGATGACGGTAACGGTGACGATGACGATGACGATGACAACATGAGTCGAATTATTAAGCTTGCAAAAAGACCTAGTTTTATTTGGACATTTTGTCTTGGAGTTGTTGCTATAATTATCTTTGAACTAACGTTTTTACCAAGAACCTCACTAGCGAGAGATTATAGGAGGTGGCACGGCATTCATTTGACTAAAGCTGATGTGAAACGAAATTTCATACAAATAACAGGAATAGGTAAAAGTCTTACAAACCTAACTACTGAAGAGTTTATAAACACTTGGTTGACCAACTTTACACTGATAAACAACAAGTCAAAGTATAATCTCATACATGACGATAATCCTGAGTTGACTTTTTACATTGAGTCCAATTTCAAGAATTTTGGGTTAAAAGTGGAAAAGTTTAGCTACAAAGCGTGTGTTCCCAAACCTGAAAGCTCAAGTTTGAGATTACTAGACTCACAAAATGTCCCCATTTACCTGTGTGATATATTGGAGCCAAATTTTAAAACCCCTGCGTTTTACGGGTTTGGAGTTGATGCAAATGTTTCAGGTCATTATATATTTGTGAATCAAGGAACTCCCCAAGATTATCAAAAGCTTTTGCGAAATGATATACCATTGAATGGGAAAATATTCATTATCAAAACACATCTCGATGAGAGAAATATCACCGTTGGAGAGAAATTGGCCCTTGCAGAACACCACGGCGCCATTGGTGTTTTGACCTATTTTGAAGTACCTGATATCGGCAATGAAGACTCAAAGTCACCAAATATCAACCTTGGTATTTCCAGAGGTTGCAATGACAAACGAGTTAAAATTCCAGTTGTGCCAATAAGCAAAAAGTTGGTGACACCTATCTTAAAAACACAACCCACACCTCTGAATATTAAGACATTTGCTAAATGGGATTACCAGCCACAATCTAGGTACAATTTCAAGCTTGAGTTAAACTCAGTGTACTCGTATGATGAAACTCCACGAAAACTTACCAATGTCGTAGGGACACTTAAAGGTATTATGAATGATGCCGATATTATTATTGGAGCTAGGCGAGACTCCTATACTTTGAACAATCCATTATCGGGCCATGCTATCATGTTTGAAGTTATGAGGAATTACCAAAGATTAATAAAACAAGGCTGGAAACCATTGAGGAATATAAAGTTTGTTTCATGGGATGCATCGCATTTAGACTTATTGGGTGTTGAAGCTTTCACAAATGACTCCAGCGTGTTCGATCCAACGAGGCCAGTTCTTTCATACATAAATATCAATGGCGATGCGGTAACCGGAAGTAATTTCAATGTAGACTCGAACCCGTTATTTAATCATTTATTACGCAAAACCTCAAAGCTAATTCCTATACCGAAAGAAGCAACAATGATGAAAACTTTGAGTGATACAAAACACAAGTTATTTTTTGACGACGATGACGACGATGATAATGATGATGATGATGATGATGATGATGATGATGATGATGAAAGCTACACGACATTACACCGATACTGGCAAAAACAGGACAATTTAAGCATCAATAATAATCTCGGGTGGTCTGCGTTTTCCTCGGAGTCAAAGATCTTTCAACAACACCTTTCTACGCCAACCATTGATTTAAAGTTCACGAACAATGAAAAGAGAGATGGCGCTAGGTATATACCAAATTCCAATTATTACTCTCGTGAATGGTTAATCAAACAGTCAATTGACAATGACTTGTTGCTTCATGGGTCATTAATCAGATTTATTGGGTTGTTGGGAATCAGTTTGAGTGAACATGAAGTTGTTGATTATCGGACGTATGCATACATTAGGAAAATCGAGTCATTTTATAAGACTTTTTTGGAAAGTGAGGAGCAAAAGTTGAAAGCTTGGGACCAAAAGTTAGTTCCAAGCTACCTCATATATAAATATTCGATTTTCCAACACCTTGATACCGATGCGCCTGTTGCTTTTCATCAAATAGTAAATCAATTTACAAAACTCTTGAATGAGACGGTACAGCAATCAAAGATATTTGATGAATGGAATAAACAAGTTGAAGATGGATTAACAAGAGATTATCCATGGTATAGATACTACAAGAAACTTCAACATTTTGCCCAATTTAAAGTTTCCAATTATAAATTGTTACATTTGGAAAGGGATATGAAGTTGAATGATCAAGACTATATTTACTTAGCAAGCAAACTGCCACACGGACAAGGCAATGGCAATGACGATGAGACAGAACTGGATGGTATTTTAGAGGGCAGTGGTTCACCAGACAAGGAGTATTACTATGATTCAGTCATTTACGGGAATGCCAAATTCAATGTAAAAAACAACGAGGTATGGTATAAAAATCGTTTGATAAAGAGTACTTTTACATATTTATACGAGGCTATAGATGGTGATGATTATGAGTCAACGGTAAAATGGTTTGTTTTGATTTACGAAAAGTTTACAAACATACAGTATAAAATGACGTAATTATAATACAAACAACACTATCAAGCAACACTATCGAGCAACGCGAGATAGTGTTGTAGCAAGCTACTGAGTGGTACTATCAAACAGCACTATTGAGCAACACTATTGAGCAACACTATCGAGCAACACTATCGAGCAACGCGAGTTAGTGTTGTAGCAAGCTACTGAGTGACACTATCAAACAGCACTATTGAGCAACACTATCAAGCTATCTCGCTTTGCTCGATAGTGCAAGCTACTGAGTGAACCATATCTGATAGAGGGTAGCTAGTTATTAGAGAGCCATATCTGATAGAAGGTATCTAGTTATAGGAGGACCATATCTAATAGAGGGTAGCCACTTCTAAGAGAGCCATATCTCCTTATGAAGGAAATATACTTGTTAGTATATATTATAATTTCTATAAACTTTATTGATAAGATTATTATTACAGATTAATATAAATAATATTATAGAGTCATATACATTTATATTATAGAGTCATATTCTTATATTGTAAAGGCATTAAGAGTTGAATAGGCACCCTGGGAATAAGAGTTGAATAGGCACCCTGGGAATAAGAGTTGAATAGGCACCTGGGAATAAGAGTTGAATAGGCACCTGGGAATAAGAGTTGAATAGGCACCTGGGAATAAGAGTTGAATAGGCACCTGGGAATAAGAGTTGAATAGGCACCTGGGAATAAGAGTTGAATAGGCACCTGGGAATAAGAGTTGAATAGTATATAAATAGTTATATGCCTAATCATAGATATTTGTATCTTTAGTGTTGTTTACAAGAGAAAAAAGTTTATCGATTTAGTCGTGCAAAGTGTGTATATTCCTAATGTCGCGTTTATTGTCGCGTTTTCATCAAATCTCTTTTTTACAACCAAATTTTTAGCAGTCAATTTTTAGCAACCAATTTTTAGCAGCCAATTTTTACAACCAAGTTTTACAACCAAGTTTTACAACCAAATTTTTTACAACCAAATTGATTTTACAACCAACTTATTTCAATAACAAGATGATGGGGGTATAAGTAGTCACCCCCGTGGCACCCTTGGCTTTCATTTCCAAATGTATATTTCACCATCTCTTATTTCTTGCAAACTCTTGTCCTCTCTCTTTCTTTTTCTTCTTTTGTTGTTGTAGATGGAGGTTGAATACAAAGCATCATCAGGCTTGCAGACAGCCTGGCTATTAGCCACATTAGGCTCTAAAGCATCTTCAAGAAGCAAGATCATTAGAAAAGAAGAAATCATGCAAGTGCTGATTCCACGGATCTGTAGAGAATTGATTGAACAACCAGAAACAAACATAAAATATCAATCGCATATCCTTCATGGCATCTCAATTATCTATACAACCAAAACATCACACGTTCTAAATGATGTCAATTACATTCAAATGAGATTGCAAAACTCTCATCGTTTTTTGAGTAAAGAAAGTTTGGAAAAGCCGAGTAATGTAAGTAGTAAACGAGGGAGATATCTTGAAGATGATGCAAATTTTTACTTGAATTTGGACCTGATGCCAGAGTTGGACTTGGACTTGGATTTGGATTTGGGAACTTGTCAAGATGATAATCTGGCTGCCAAAAGAAGAAAATTACAAATTGCCAAATTTGACCAGAATGAGTTTCCTGTTACCTTTGAAAACAAAATTGAACAAGTTGGTGGGTTGGCATTTGCCCTTTCAATGAATGAGCAGGAAAGTAAAGAAGTTGATGGATTCTTTGACACTTCTTTCAATTTCGGTGGGTTTCGAAACGGGAACGAAGAAGAGCTCTTACAGGATCAAAAACATGGCGTGAGGATGGAATTTGATGAAGAAGGAAACTTGCAAGAAATTCGTCAAAAAGAGATGCAAAATGAACTATTGCAAAATGGTGGTGATGACGATGACGGTGATGCAAACTTTGACTTGGAGATCTCACGCTTACAACAAGAAGATGGCTTGAATCTGTCAAGCCAAGAGTTTGGAATGGAACAGGAATTCCAAATGTCAACAAACGCAGTGTCAAATCAAGCACAAACCAGTGGTGGTGGTAGCAGCAGCCGCCTAGCACAAAATCGACTTTATAAACTTCGCCTTGATAATGAGTCGACAATGCCTAGGGATGAAGCTATTTTGAACCATTACAATTATATCCATAACATGAAACAGAGAATGCCCTGTAAAATACACAATATTAGTGAAATAATAGAGTCAATAAATCATTCATATTTGCGTCCCTGGGTGCGTGGCACAAACAATACACTTGTCAATTCGATGCTCGAAGAGTCGATATCAAGAACTATGGGGGTTTATCAACGTACCGAAATTATGGAAAATGAAGCTTCTGAACAAGCTAGAAATGCGCAACACATTGAACGGTCGCGAAATTATGATCAAAGTGTATTAGAGTATGGAGAGGAATTGAGATTGCAAGATGAAGTGTTTGAAGAGGACTTGTTAGGTATGGACTTGAATTTGGAGCAGTCAGATGAAAATAATGAACAAGAACAAGAACAAGAACAAGTTGATATTGATCATGAGGAAAACCACCACAACCACCAAGAAATATCCTTTGAATTTTCTCGTAGCTCTTCAATAAATTCAAGTGAGGTGGAAAAACTGTTGACTCCTAGATTAAACCATTTTGTCAAGTATTTTAAAAGTAAACTGATTGAATTAGAGCTGTTCGATGTCGATTGTAATACTTACCAACTAAAATTTCTGGAGTTGGTTCCAGAAATTACTACACCCACACATGAAACGGCGCCAGTCTCAAAAAAATTGGCTGCAAATGCATTTGCAAGTATTTTATTTCTTGCCAGCAAAGGGCTCATGGAAATTAAATCAAAAGTGCCGTCTCAAGAAAATCAATTATTAAAGGCATGTGACATCACCATGGTGATGTCACTATAACAGTAATCAAATGACAATTTACTGCCGTTCCCCCATTTTTCCCTTTGTTCGTCTTTATTCCAGTTCATTATCTCAATATGACCTGCAGCAATTTGCAATATTGCGTTTGTTTTTCTTTTTTTTTTTTTTTTTTGCAACTTTCTATTATCTCCTAGTCTCCTGCTTCATTGTGCAGAATTACTAATTTGTGTGCTTTCCAGTTCGTTTTTAAGTTTGCTACCCTCCACTTCTTCATCGCCTCATCACATTAAAGAAATTGCTACATTTTAATTCAAAAAGAATGCGTGATTAATTGAATTATACTTATACATACAAACAAATACGAATGATCCAAATTTTTTATCAATTAAATGAGGATGAACTTTCTCTTCTTTGGGACTAAAAAAACGACAAAAATAAGGATGAAGTATGAATTGGAAGAGTACTTTGTAATAGCTTTTTTGCTAATTTAAAACAAACTGGAACAACAAGAACAACAAGTAAAGGTGGGGGGGAAGACATCCTCTTAACGATGCGTTCAAACCCAGGTGGAATACATGGCTCTCGTTTTTTCTTAGTGAGCAGCAACTTCTGAGTTGACAGCAGCGTGTCCATCAACTTGTTCGTCCGGAATCTCATCGTGTTTAGCAAATTCTTGTTCATGAGATGGATCAATTTCATCTTGAACATCTTCTTCATCCTCTTCATATTCATGGTGTAATGATAAAGTTGGCTTTACAGCAGCTGAATCTAAGGTCCAGTTTGCTAAAGCATTCTCAGCATCAATAATGATTTGTTTTGAAGCTTCGTAACCATCATATGCTGGTCTTGTTTCACCTGGTGTCACGGCTGAATCATCCAATAATTCTAATAAGGCCTTACCGTAGCCAGCAATCAATGCATACTTTTCAGCCAATTCTCTGGTAGCGTCAAACTGATAATTAAAAGCAGCTTTTAATTGTTCTCTTGTAATATTTGATAATTGAGCTTCAGCAACTAAAGATTCAGCTTCGGCTCTAACCAATTCTTGTTCCAAGACTGGGATTTTTGGTGATTGTGGGTCCTTGTATTTGAGATGAGCAATCTCATCAGTGATTTTTTGCTTTCTTTCTCTTGAAGGTTGAACCGAGCCCTCGATATCTCTAATTGATTTCAAGGTGATTCTATATTGATCATACTTGTCAATATATTGATCTTCCAACTCACCAATCTCATAGATTAAAACACCCAATTTATCAGTAACATCACTGATATCATCTTCATTGCTCTCACCCCAAGCACTCAATTGTCTAGCAATGTCTTTTCTTTCCCTTGAAGTCACCTCAATAGATCTCATAAAATTCTTTTCCATCTTGATGAATTGAGTCAACTTTCTCGATAATTCAGGACCAGTTGCACCTGCAGCTGCTTTTCTAATTGATGAAGACAAACCACCAGAGCCAAAGAATCTATTCTTGGTAGTTGAAGGTGGAGGTGGCGGACTTTGCAATTGTGAGGCAGTTGGTGCCTTGGATGATCTCATAGAGTAAGTTCTGTGCATCTTGACTTGTTTGATTAACTTGAAAAAAAAAAAAGAGTACTAAAAGAGTAGGGAAAAGTACGCAAAAGAGTAGGGGGGGAAAACAAAGGGAAAAGAAGGTGTTTTATAAAGATTGAGAAAAATTTTGAAAAGTAAATGGAAAATTTGTACCTATAGCAATCACGAATTAGTGGAAAGAGAGAACCTTGAATTTTAGCCCCGAACAAAAACGATGCACAATAAATATCAAAAACGCAATTCAACGAAATTAAAATTAATAAATTAAATGATAGAAATAAGTTTTGGTTATGGAACGGTCACTCTAGCCCGTGTGTGTGTATTTTTTTACCCAAATTGACACCTTCTTGACATTTTGCACAAATTATTGCAGAAAGTTGGATTTGGAGAAAATTTTGACTCCCTCTATCCTCTATTTCTTCATTTCTTTCATCCCTTTTTCCTATTGATAGTCAACGATAGCAAACTTAAAATAAAAAGAAAATGGAAAAACCTCTGCAAATTGGGAAGAATATGGTAGCGCGCTCGGAACAAAAATGGGATTTTTTCTTTTCAGATGTTTTATTTTCTTTGGTTTGTGTAACTATTATGATGACTTCTCGATTAGTCGATGATTTTCCGCATTGGGAAAACAAACCTAAATAGGAAATAGTGGATAAAGAGCGGATTGAGAACCGTGCGGCTTGACAATAACACTATCGAGCAACACTATCGAGCAACACTATCGAGCGACACTATCGAGTGACACTATCGAGCGACACTATTGAGCAACACTATCGAGCGGAGCGAGATAGTGTTGTAACAATCTACTGAGTGTTGCTCCACTATCGAGCGACACTATCTCGCTTTGCTAGATACTGTTGTAACAATCTAGCGAGTGTTGCTCTACTATCTAATGACACCATTTCGCTCTGCTTGATACTGTTGTAACAATCTAGCGAGTGTTGCTCCACTATCGAGCGACACTATCAAGCAACACTATTTCACTCCGCTCGATAGTGTTGTAACAAGCTATTGAGTGTTGCTCTACTATCGAGCGACACTATCTCGCTTTGCTAGATACTGTTGTAACAATCTAGCGAGTGTTGCTCCACTATCTAATGACACCATTTCGCTTTGCTAGATACTGTTGTAACAATCTAGCGAGTGTTGCTCTACTATCTCGCTCTGCTCGAAAGTAGAGTTGTTTTTACTCGATAAGAATGAAAATTGAATAAGTATAATACATATTTATAAAGCCCTTCCTTTAAAGTGTCGGTAAAGTCAGTGCTGCTCGACCATCTCGCTCCGCTCTAGTGTCGGTAAAGTCAGTGTTGCTCAATAGTGTCGCTGCTCGATAGTGGAGCGACACTCAGTAGATTGTTACAACACTATCTCGCTCCGCTCAATAGTGTCGCTCAATAGTGTTGCTCGATAGTGTCACGTTTATTCACCAGTTTTGTCGGGTTTGGACTTTTTCTTAGACCTTGTATCATTGCCATCTTCTTGACCAATTTTTCGTTTCAAGGGAAGTTTCAAGTCACCTAGTATTCTATAATAATCATCTTCCAATACTTGGTATGCAGTTTGTAGTTTATCTTTCCTATTGGCTTCGTCTAATGCTTCCAATCCTTCCTTGTTCTTTTTATATAATCTGTTTTTTATGAATAACCTGACATCGGCTTTTGATACATCCCTGGTGTATTTCAACTTATACAATAGTATCAACTCCAATAATCTTGCAAATTGTCTCTTTTCAAACTTCAACTTTTTTCTTGTTTGTTGCACCCATTCCTCATCTATTTGCTTAGCTACCACTTTGTCAAACTCAAATTCCAGCTGGGCTAATTTCTTCAAATCTGCTCGATCTCTCATATCATCAAAACTTTCATTTGGATCTTCAACAACAATCTCAACTATCTTATCATTGGCTAACCAACTGTCGTATAAATGTGAGTAGAACAACTGGCCTAATCCTTTACCTTGATACATTGGTAGTATGATAAATTGAGATATTTTTATTCGAACTTCATCTTCTCCTTGATCAAATTTTTGATACCCAGGATATTTCCAGTACTTGTATGCGGTGCTGAAGCCAACAATCGAAGGCTCTTGTGTCCCATTTTTTCTCTCATAAAATACATAAACATTCCACAAGTCATCATCTGCATCTATAAACGAACCTGCTTCAATATACAACAATACCAATATCTGTAGCCTCTTGTGCAATTCCAAACCGCAAGGCAGCTTCAAATCTAATAAATAAATCTCATACACCAGTTCATCTTGCTTAAACGAGTCAATCTTCTCTCCGGGGATTTCATACCCCTTTTTTTCTTCTTCAATTGAGTCCACCCATTTAATTTCATCTTTATATATGGTATCCTCGGGTAAATACTTGTCAATTGTTGCCTTGACATCAACCAACTCCGGATCATCCAATTTCTCCTTATACTTGATATTCAAAAACGGCTTGAACGTATAATGGTCAAAGCAAAGAAATATCTCTAAACCTCTAAATCCATATATCGCTTCTGCATCTCCAAATATGGGGTATGTGAATATGGGCTTAAAATTCACAGCTTGTTTTGAATTCGTAACAAATAGCTTTAGCGCTTCATTGGAGGAGGATGTCCAAAGTTCAGGTTGTAGCAATGTCGCTGCCGAGATCTGTTTAGTATCAGCTAATTCCATATTTGCTTTTTTGGCCCAATAACTACCTAACCGTCTTGCTTAACCAATCGTTGAATCAATACCTATTGATCCTGACCAAACCCGTGTTAAGATTTATCTATCACCATTTTTTTTTCCTTCCTCTATTTGATTTTTTTTTCTTTTCAGTATGAGATTTTTTTTTTCATTTAGAGTCTGAAGTTGATTCAAACAGCGTTGGTCACCAACACCACCAGGCTAATAAACTCAACGAGTTAATTAGTCGAGGCCCTACGAAAACACAGTACATTGACGAAAAAAGCCAAAAAGAAAAAAAAATAGAGCAAAAAGAGAGGTACCTTACCTTTTAATACTAATGCACAACTGTTTTCTCTGTTTTTTCCTCTTCTCCTAATTCTCCACCTCCAAAACTACAACTAAATCACCAGCATCAACCATATCACCATTCTTATGGCAAATCTCAATAACTTTCCCACTTGCGGTAGCATTTATGACCATCTCCGTCTTCATTGCCTCAACAACAACCAAAGGTTGTCCCTTTTCCACAATGTCACCCACATTCACAATATTCTTCCAAAATCTCCCCGAATACTCTGAATAAACCATTTCAGCATTCTCCGAGTATTTTTTCTCTTCTTGAATCTTAGTTCCATTCTTTTCCAATTCCTTATTAGAAACCTGAATTAACCTATTAAACTCTTTCAATTTGTCACCTCCTTGTGCATTTTGAAACTCTTCAATAGATTCAGAATTTTCTTGAACCCACTGTAAATATGCTCCATGGTCAAATACAGTGTTTATGATTTCAACCTTGAACTTACCCGCATCCATTTGTTCTGAATATTTATCAACTTCCTCTTCTGTGACTGGATAAAATTCAATCTGGTCAAATGGCTGCAATAGCCATGGTTTATTGACATCGTTTGAATGTTCTCCAATAGTTAGTTTATCCCAAATAGGAATCGTTCGTCCAACCAATTGATAACCACCTGGTGATTCCATAGTATATATACACATGTAATTACCTCCAATACCAACTGTACCATTCGGTGTAAATGTTCTTGATGGGTTGTATTTGGTCCCCAAAAACCTGTGCCTTGGATCCAAGGGAACTGCACAAGGAGCACCAAGGAAAACATCACCTAGTCCCAACACCAAGAATCTAGCAGTATATAGCATTTCTTTTACATCGTTTCTAGTAACGCCATTGATACTGGCAATGAAATCAACATTGTTTGGCAACCAAGGAGCATCGCTTCTAATCGTTTCTTGGTATCTCTTTACGGCATTTAATGTCTTTTGATCTTCAAAGGCCATTGGCAACTTGATAACCCGCGACTTGACTTGCCACTTATTAACAAATATTATTTCCTTTTCATAAGCAATTAAAGTGTCTAATGCTTCTCTTTGAGTGATGTCTTCAGTAAATTCAACCAATACTGATCTAACACCAGGTGATAACTCATAAATCCCCTTGGGCTCAAATGCCTTCACCGCTTCTACCAACTTGTGTATTCTATATGACTTATTCAAGTCAAGATTGTTATTGCCATATTCAACCAAAATATATCTATCACCAGCTTGTCGATATGTTACTTTTGGTGCATTTTCAGAAACTTGAAATTGGTAAAGAATTGGATCTTCAGGTTTGGTCAAACAATATTTTTCCAATGATGACGATGATGATGATGACAAATCACCTTCCAAGTTTTGAATCACTTGGTCCTGTTGTCTTTTCATCTTCCTTGCTGCTTCATATGAAACTGGTATAAACTTTATTAAATCGCCCGGTTTAACTTGTCCAACTTTCCATAATTCACTCTCAGTAACAACGGCTTCGCAAACAAATCCACCCAAACTTGGACCATCACAAGCTAAAATGACTGGCTCATCCCCGGTAAAATTGATAGCACCCATCGAGTAAACATAATCATGAGTGTTTGAAGGATGCAAACCAGCTTCACCACCATCTGCTCTAGCCCATTTTGGTTTTGGACCAATTAATCGAACACCAAATCTATTAGAGTTGTAGTGAACTTTCCAAGTTGACGAAAAAAATTCAGCAACTGACTCATCTTTGAAAAAATCTGGAGATCCATGGGGCCCACAGGTGACGCCGATTTGCCATACTTTGTGATCATAATTTGGTATTATTGATTTTGAAACTTTTATTGGTGCTGAAATAGGGATTGGTAAGGTAGAGCTCGAAACATCAGGTTGACCTAAAAATAAAACATCCCCAAGTTTTAAAACTCTACCATTATAACCACCCAAGTTACCCAAAGCAAAAGTGGATCTTGAACCTAAATATTCAACAACATCGATCCCGCCTCTAACTGCAAGATATGCTCGACAACCAGTAGTCAACTTACCGATTGTTAATGTCTCACCGCGTTTAATTTCAATTGGCTCCCACTGGCTAACTTCCCTACCGTTAACTTGAACAGGACATCTACCACCAGCAACCGCCACAACACGATTTTGATGAAATAATATCTTGGGTCCATTCAATGTAATTTCAAGACCTGGAGAAGCACTGTCATTACCTACTATTCTATTGGCAATTCTGAATGAATATTGATCGATACAACCAGAGGGAGGAACACCAATATTCCAATACCCTCGTCTTCCTGGAAAATCTTGAACTGTTGTGTATGCACCAGGACTTAAAATCTCAATCGCATGTGGCTTATACTCAAAAGAGTCTAAAACTTTAGTTGTTACTTTTGCCTCTTCAAACATTTTGGAATTAGCAATCGATCGAAGGTAATCCACATTAGTTATACACCCGTGCACAACGGTTTCATCTAAAGCTTGACGCAACTTCTTTAATGCATCATTTCTATCTTTTCCATACACTATAATTTTGGCCAACGTTGGATCGTACTCCGCTGACACAACAGTACCTTTTTCGACCCAAGTATCAACCCTAGCCCATTTAGGGAATGTGACTTCTGTTAATTGTCCAGGAGATGGCATAAAGTCTTTGACTGGATTCTCAGCATACAATCTTGCTTCCATCGATGCCCCTTTCAATTCTATTTTTGTCTCATCAAAATCCGGCGGAGTATCTGCAGCAATCAACAACATCCATTCAACCAAATCTATATTGGAAACCAACTCGGTAATTGGATGTTCAACTTGTAATCTAGCATTGACTTCCAAAAAATAAAATTCGTCCCTTTTAGCATCATAAATGTATTCAACAGTTCCAGCACCTTTGTAATTCATTAAAGATGCTAACCTTTCTGCAGCTCTTTTCATCTTCTGCCGCGTGCTTTCAGAAAGATCGGGAGCAGGTGTTTCTTCAATAATCTTTTGATTTCTTCTTTGCAAAGAGCAATCTCTCTCTCCAATAGTGATTGCATTGCCCTTTCCATCACCCAACATTTGAACTTCGACATGTCTTGCATTTTCAACAAACCTTTCCAAAAATACACCAGAGTCACCAAAATAAGATTGACCTTGATGTTTCACAGTTTCAAATACTCTTTCAATATCTTCTTGCGAATCAACTTTTTGCAAACCAATACCACCTCCACCGGCAGTGGATTTCACCATAATTGGATACTCCAACTTTGATGCAATTTCTTTAGCTTCTTTGGCATCCATAACTAAACCAGAACCTGGAACTAAAGGAACTCCAGCATTTTTAGCAATCTCTCTAGCTGAATGTTTTAAACCCAACTTTCTAATGGTATCTCCTGATGGTCCAACAAAAACGATACCTTCTTGCAAACAACGATCTGAGAAATCGGCATTTTCCGATAAAAATCCGTATCCTGGCAAAATGGCTTCGGCTTCTGATTCTTTGGCAACTGCAATCACTTTATCGATATCGATATATGTTTCTGCTGCAGTGGTCCCATGCAATGGAAAGGCAACATCTGCCATCAATGTGTGTTTGGCATACTTATCGGGGTCTGAATAAATAGCTATAGACTTGATACCTAATTTTTTCAACGTCTTGATTAGTCTTACAGCAATTTCACCTCTATTAGCTATCAATACTGATTTAAACGGTTTTTTGAATTTTTCACTTTCGCTTTCTAAATAGTCTTGGTAGTTTTTCCATCCTCCAAACTCAGTAATATCTACTGTTCCAGAAGCAGTATAACCGCGCTCCTCGCAAATAAATGATTTAACCCATTCTCCTGATATTAACTCAGCAGATCCAATTCCCAAAGGCTCAGGTACAAAGTTTATAAAAGTACCGAAATTCTCCTTTGGTATAGAATAAACCTCAACTGCTATATTTGCTCCTCCTTGATTGACTCTTCGTAGTCCTGGTTTGGAAACTGGTCCTGTTTTTGGTAATGCATATAGTTTGTAAGTTTTTGAAGTTGTGGTTGATTGTATGAATCTTGCATTTACTTTTTCTAGTTGCCAATGTAATTGGAATCCTTGGAGATGAGCTCCAACAACAGCCAACTTGACTTGTTCCTCTTCTAAAATTGGAGGGATACTATCATATAATTCATCATGAATAGTTGAGTTGATTAGCTTATCCTTTAAAGCGCCGTAAAAATGGGGCACCGTTTTCGCATATGGCCGCATATAGCGACTGGCCAAGTCAAGTAATGCATAATCGTTAAACTTGTTTGATAACAATGTTATTCCAAAAGGTTGTCCATCTTTTCTAAATCCAGCTGGAATAGATAATGCAGATAAATCGGCCAAGTTTACAAAATTCGTATAAGTGCCCTGAAACGAGTTGATTTTAATTGGTTCTTTGACAACTTGGTCAATTGTTGGATTCAATGGAGCAGTCGGTACTATTATTGCATCAATATCCTTCAACATCCTACGCACTTTCTGCAATATTGCTTGTCTTTTGTACTCAAACTCAAAGGCCGTTGCCGCTGTATAGTTCTCGCCACTTTTAATAATCTGTAAAACAGTAGGATCCAAATCCTTTATTGGTGGATTTGAAGCTAAGAAATCTCGTACTGTAATAAATCTTTCAGTCACCCAGGGTCCCTCGTACAAACACTTTGCTAATTCCAACAATGGTCCTATATCCAATGAAACGAGTTCCACCTTAACCTCTTTTTCAAATATATTTACAGCATTATTGTATAATATCGGGTTTTCCTGTTCGCCATACCAAACCAAGTTTGTAGGCACGGCTATTTTTGGCTTACGAGAAAACTTCAAGATTGGGTTGACTGGCATTGCTCTAGAATATTCGTCATTTTCACCGTCTTCCTTTGCCATGATACTAAACACTAGCTGAGCATCCTGCAAGTTTAATGCAAAGATAGAAACACAGTCTAGTGATTTACAAGCTGGAACCACCCCGCTGCATGAAAAAACCCCCTTTGTCGGCTTTAATCCAATAATGTTATTCAACGCAGCTGGAACTCTGCCTGACCCTGCCGTATCAGTACCCAAGGCAATCGGTACAATTCCTCTCGAAACAACTGATGCGGAGCCTGCTGACGATCCTCCAGACACAAACTCTTTATTGAATGTGTTTGGAGTAATTCCATAAGGTGATCGCGTTCCAACCAACCCTGTTGCAAATTGATCCAAGTTGGTTTTCCCCAAGATTATTGCCCCTGCGTCTCTTAACAATCTAACTGTGGTTGCGTCTTTTTCTGGGGTGTAGGCATACGAGGAGCACGCCGCGGTTGTCTCAAACCCCTTGGCGTCGATATTGTCCTTCACGGCAATGGGCACACCATACAAGGGGAGGGAATTCTTGTGAGACTTTGATTGTAGAAAATTCCATTGATGAAGTAGATTTTCCTCGCTAGCTAGAGAAATCCAAGCTGGATCCTCGGGAGCTGTTCTTTGCGATGCAAGAACCTGCTTCAATAACTGCAACGATCCCTTGGGGGTTGACGTAAAATGCCATTTTTTCCAGTCTTCAACAGTCCAACCAATTGTAGTCATACTAGACAATAACAATGATAAGCGCACCAGCAAGCAACAAATAAAGGTGCACCACCAGCAAGTAACAAATAAAAGAAAAAGGACTCAGCAACTCTTACCGAGGAGAAGAGGGTTAAGTTTTCTCACTCCATATTTATATCTCAAACCATACTCACTGAAATTACCCTCATTTACGTTATTTGCACTGCGTTTATTGCATCCATATCATCATCATCACGGACATATCCGCCTCATTGCACTAAACGGTGGTGGAAAAAAAAAAATCAATTAAAAGCCAACGATAAGAGAACTACCAAGTGTTCATCGCACTACCAAATGCCTGCCCCATATTTCCATCAGATCTTTGACGTATTTGGTAGCATAGACAATAGGACACTATCGAGCAGAGCGAGATAGTGGAGGAGCACTAACTAGATTCTACTACCCCGATTAATACCACTAAGGATACTATGATAGTAATATCACTGAGGATATTATGATAGTAATACCACTAAGGATACTATGATTTAGTAATGGGTTTATAAAGTTTGACCACAAAGTATAATACCATATTTGAAGTGGTATATGCCAAATTCCAAAAGTGCTATCCAGGCTTATGTAATGAGATGCAAAATCGAAAAGTAAATAGGTTTGTAGTGGGTCAATAGAAGATAGGCTACGTGGCAACTACATAGGTTCGTTTGTATAGTGGGTCAATAGAGAATAGGCAACATGTTAGGCAACTAACTTGGTTTGTAGTGGGTCAATAGAGAATAGGTTATTTTCAACAACTACATTAGTTAAAGATGTAGAAACCAAATTAAAGATTATTTTTTTTTGATATTTTCTTTCTGATTTTTGATTGGTTGATTGGCAAAAAATATAGATGTTGATAAGAGATGTTGAAACCTGTCTTATTCGGATACACAAAGCTTTTTCGGCGCGAAGCGGGCACACTTCGGCAAAGGCAAAATCAATGAATCGACTCAAAAAGGAAGATGCATGAATGGCAAATATATCTACCGACACTATCGAGCGAAGCGAGATAGTGGAGCAGTAATTAATGGCTGCGCGAAATAATCTCGCTCTGCTCGATAGTGTCGATATTGCTGCTATTAAGTACTGCTCTACTATTGAGCAGAGCGAGATAGTGTCGATAGTGCTTCTATTAAGTACTTGTCCACTATTTCGCTTCGCTCGATAGTGTCGATATTGCTGCTATTAAGTACTTGTCCACTATCTCGCTTCGCTCGATAGTGTCGCATGTTGACAAAACTGTATATATTTATTAATCAATTAGAAAATACATCTACCGCTTCTTTCATGCGTCATATATACTATTTGCAACGACACTTGCAAAGTTTTCTGTTTCTGACTTAACACTGCTTTTTCCTACAACTTTACCACCAGTTTTCGCCAATCTTATAGAAACTCCCACTTTTCCTCCCCAAACATCCTTACCCAACAATTTCAACGTATGTGAATTGGAATCGCTAGAAACGTACTCGGAACCATCCAATACCATCATGTTCAATTTCGACTTTATCTTGGTAACCGCATTCTCTAATGTATCGACATTGGCAATATACCCAGTCGAAGATTCTTCGTAGTCTGTAGGTAATTGGTCAAATATGGCAGTAAAGTTGGAGTTGTAAAGCGGATTCATAAAGTCACCAGCTAACAATTCCAAGTCATCAATTTGGTATTCATCTGCCCATCCGTCATCCGATGGGTCTGTTTGTCCCTCTTCATCCAAGTCTCTATTTGTATATGCTACAGTGTTACCAAAAGCAGATAACAAATCACCATCTAGACTGGGTGTACTAAATGAAACGTAAACGACTCCAACTTCATCAGGTTTCAATTCCTGCAAGGGAATGATAAAGTCTTCCTGGTATTCTTCATTATCGGGCTGAGCAATCACTGATATGTCTTGCAACAATATGTGAGGTAAAGTGTTGTTGATGTTGTACTGCAACACCAATTTTTGAGAATCAAGGAAAAAATGCTTAACCACACTAACAACAATCTCATTCTCTTTATCTGTAAGGAATATCGGAGTAATTGACGATTTGGTCAACTTGCCATAGGACTCAAATTCCGGAATAGCAGACAATTCTTGTGCATATTCTTGTTGTTTCAATAAATGGTTAGCAGCATTGGTATCTTTGTTATTCTCATCTTCTTTTTGGGTTTGGTCAGCAGAACTCGACGCACCGGCAGCTTCGCTAGTATCACGTTCCAAACTATTCAATTTCCTCTTGTATTCAATCGACTTCAATTCTTCTGCTGTGATTACAGGCACTTCTGATATATCAAACTTCTTACTGAAATTGTCAGTATCGCTCATATAATTAATCAACTTGTTCTCTAAAACAGCCAAGTCGTATCTAAAATCATTAATAAGTAAATTTTTCTTTTTGTTGTTGATGAACCTTAATGAAATAGCAGCCCTATCTCTTACTTCGTCGTCAACATCATTTAAACACCTGGTCAACAATATAACAATATTCTTGGAGATATCTCCACCACATACAGCAGCAAATTTGGCCAATGAAATCACCGCTGAAGATCTCACGATTGAATTCTCCAAAACCAATCTATTGAAGATGTGTCTAATATAGTATGATGGATTGGATGTAGTTGGTCCCTCGTCACCCAACAAGTGTAAAATACGCACAGATAGCTCTGTAAATTCACAATCCTCGATGAACTCACACAAGTTCATTAAAATCAATTGTTTTGCACCCTCGTTGGGTAAAAATTTTATCAAGTCGAATAATGCATCAACTATACTCGTTTTCAACTCCAAAGAGCCATCGTCTCTTAGCAAATCAGTCAAGAAAGAAACCAACTTTTTATGTTTAGAAGGAAATTTCAAAGCTAGGTTTTCAGTTGCTTCAATAATAACAATCTTGAAATCTTCAGTAATCTCATCCATCAATGAAGTCATTTTAGTAATCAATCTATCAACACTTTCTCCACCTGAAGTAGAAACGTTTTCAACTGTGCCCGCTCCCATTGTTCGTAATAAAGTGGTTATGGCCAAAGTTGAAATTGACCTATTTGAATCGTTGATTAAGCCTTCTAATTCCAAGTTGATCACCAATATTTTCTCTGGATGTTTCATGGAAATCTTGTTGATCAATCTGACTGCAGCAAACCTCGTGGCGGTCCTAGGTACACCCAACAATTTCTGCAACGTTGTAACAATTTGCATGTATTGGTCATCGGTTAGTAAGTTCTGCAAGTTGATCAAACACTTACAAGCTTCCAATTCCACCATGTCCGATTTGTGTTTCAAGAACCCAGCCAAGACTGGGAATAAATGGGTATAGAGGGCCTCGTCATCAACAAGAATTTTGTTGATGTATCTAATCAATTGGATTATCGATAAGGAGTTTTTAAGAGACGATCCTTCTGATAACGAAGTTATCAACTTCATCAAGCCCATTTTATCGTGATTTTTCAATTGGTAGATCAAGCCCAAAGCATGGTATTGATACATGTAAGAAGTTGAGGGTAAGTTTGAAGTAGAATTGCCATAGTACTCATGTAACTGGAATTGATTCGATGGGAAGGATTTATACGATTGAATAGTTTCCAAAGTCTCATTTGAGAATCTCTTTACCACATCTTTAGCATGCGGCAATAGGTTGTAAGAAGAAATCAAAGCCGCTGAGGAAACAATGGGGTTTTTGTCAACGATTGCATTTTTAAATAACCGTTCTGCCGCAGTGACTGTTGTAGGGTCCAAGACCTTGGACAATGTCCTGATAGCGTTTGGCTTATATACAGCGTCATTTCCTTGAATATCCTTCATTATTGACGATGTAACCATCAAAATATCATCTGAAGTAGATGACAATTCCTTAATTGTCAAGTATACCAACTGTCTCAACGATTGGTCCTTGTGCTGAAATAACTTAGAAATGGAGAAAAACAAGGTAGTAGACTCCTGGGCTGGGAAGCTTTCGCTATTGTATATCAATCTCAACAATTTGGCCAACAATTGTCTGCATTTCTTAGCATTCACTGGAGTAGCATTGAATTGCTGAAGACACTCTTGAAAAACAGCCATTTTATCCGGCACCCCTGAAGTGCTCGCATATGCATCCTGCTTCTTATAGGACAGAGTTGACATAGCTTCAAAACCTCAAAACCTCAAAAACAACCGACAACAGTCAATCAACTTAGCAATCACCTGTTACCTCCTAGTTGGTGATTTACGTGTTTTCAATTCTTGTTTGATTTTTTAACTTTTTTTTCAGTGTCGTGGCTCCACCAATTTTTGTTCTCTCCTATCAAATAATTTTTCACCTTTATTGAAAGGAAGAAGAAGAAGAAGAAGAAGAAGAAGAAGTAGTTTTGAAGGGGTTATAGAGCTTAGCAAAAGGTCGTTTTGCTGCTAGGTATTATAGTCTATGTTGCCGCTCACTAGTATAATAAGGCAACAGGTAAGTCCTGTGCTTAACAGGAATATTTTCAATGTTACACCAAGACTCATAACGCCGGTTACAGGGTGCTCCATTTACCAATCGTTGAGAGGGTTTAAAATTAGAACATCAGTGAAAATATTTTGTAAGGACTGCTACATGGTGAAAAGGAAAGGTAGAGTTTATGTTTATTGCAAGAGTAACGGCAAACATAAACAAAGGCAGGGATAAATAGGAGGAGGATAAGTAGTAGTTCAATACATGTACATAAATGTTTGTTTTTTTCAATTTATATGTGATGTAGATAAATGTTTGTTTGTTTGTTTGTTTGTTTGTTTGTTTTTTCAATTTATATGTGAGATTGGTTGGTAGATAGTTTTACTGGTCTTGTAGATGGCGCGAGGCCCTGTTTAGCAAAGGAGGATACCTTTGTGTTCGCCAGTTTCATATTGTCCTGAGGTAATAAACCTAATTTGGAAGCAGAAGACAAGGTAGACAATATTGCATCCTGCCACATTTTATTTATGGTTGCAGTAATCTCATCCCGTTTTTGAATACTGATTGATGCATACTCTTCAAATGTGTCACCTGCTGAATTAAGGTTACCGTCTGCTGATTTCTTTTGGCTTCGCTTCTCGAGTTTAATCTCTTTACTCTTATACTTTTCTAATCTAGTCAAGCATTCTCCTACAGGATTAAGGTGCCTACGCACATTCAAATATTCTCTATTGAGTCGCTCAAATTCCGTTCTAGATTGAATTGAGTTCTGGTGGTTGTTCTGAACCATTAAAAGAAGCCCATTCATGTTCATGTTATTGGCTCCTATCAGTGCTTCGGGAGTACCAGGCCCTTGGTTCGAATAGCCATTAAAACCGACATTTGACAGCGCACCCGGTGTACCTGGCATTACCGTTGTCCCACCCAAATTCGATGAATATACACGCAGACCTTGAGCAGAATGTGCGTTCGCTTGCAAATCGCCCATATTTGCATGACTTTTGTTATAACTGTGAGCAAACATTAAGTTATTCAATGATAAGTTTGAGAAATTTGCCATTCTTGATGGATCACCATTCGCCACGTCCATTAGCGAACTTTCTCTTTGTAACCATAATTTCTGCTGCGTTCGCGTCTCAATGTTTTTTGAAGCAACGCCTCGCTGCAGATCGGATGATGAAGGTGCACTATGCAAAAACTCGTTGTAGTTATTAACTCCATCTTGTAAGTAATGCTGTGATGCCTTTGTTGGTTGCGGAGCAACTTCCGCTCGATTTTTATTGGGTACTTGTTGTCGCTGTAGTTGCAGTTGCACTTGCACTTGCACTTGCAGTTGAGGTTTCTTTTGTATGTGCTGATTGGTTGTGCGTTGGAGATTAGTAAAAATTGTTTGATCGGGTTGATATGAGTTTTTCTTGCTAACATTGAGATTCGTTGTATCAGGCTTTGCAATAGAAGCGGTTGTCTCTATGGGATTAGCTTTAAAAGAGATCCCACCAGCCAATTCCAAATGACTTGTTGTATCGCCGTTCTTTTGTTCATCAGGGAATGCCACAGCAGCTTTAGTACTCATGGGATCAATTTTACGCACCAAACCTGTAGATTGTGATAAAAGTAGTGAGCCACCATATAGATTGGTCGCTTGGGAAAAATCTTCAGTGGAACTGCGTGTTGATGAAGTTAAATGGCGTCTATGTCTCTCTTCTTCTGCAGTGGCATTAAAATGCTCTGCACTCGGTGTCGTTTCTTGTAATACTTCTAATTGCGGTCTACTGGGTAGCGTCGTCGTCGTCGTCATCGTCGTTGCTGTTGTGTTTGTTGGCGTCAGTGGTGGTAATGTATCTGGAGTCGGGTCTGGCACGATTCGGTTAATTTGTTCGTATAAACTTGGAATATTTTGAGTTGAATTCAGATTGTTTGTTGTTATAGTTTCTTGACTATCAAACCTTTCTGCAACGGGCATAACTTGTTGTTGTTGTTGTTGTTGTTGTTGTTGGTCATGCTCGTTGTGTGGAAGCTCATCAACATCTTCATAGTCTCCGTCTTCATCATCTAAGTTGATGATTGCCTTCCCTTTTCTTGCACTAGGCTTTAACCCAATATTGAACAGAGACATCCCTTTAAGCGATGTGGTGGACTTGTTTGACTTTAAAGACTGATTGGACATTGATTTTGTTAGTGGTAAAAGACCTGCTACTTTAGTGAATGATCTGTTGTTACGCTTAAAAGCCGAGCCACCACCTTGCCTTCCTTTTGCCAATCCATCTGTAGATTTTGACCTATTTAGGTTGGGTCTTGCAATCAGGGTAGTGGAAGAAGATGCAGGCAATTTATTCATTAGCTTATTGTGAGATGGCGATCGGTTGTAAGACTTTTGTCTCAGAATATGTGGTTTTTTTTGCGTAAACAATGAGTTTGAAGACACGTTGGACGACGATATTGATCGAGATGCACCACCCAATAGCGCAGGCTGCACTTGTACTTGTTCACTTGGTGTTTTGGCCCTATCCAAGAGCGCAGGCTGCACTTGCACCTGTTCACTTTGTATTTCTGCACCACCACTTTCACCTTGCAGGGACTCAACATGTACGGTTTCTGTTGGTTGAGACACGGAATGATCCAATAATTGTTCACCCTCACTTTCAGCCTTGTTGCCTGACATTTCCTACGTGACTTTCTTGGTATTTAGGAGAAATGCAATCGTTGTAAGATGATTACTTCTCTTGGTGATGCAATTAGAGATCTTGTGTGATGCACAAGAAAAAGAGTGATAGTTAGGTCACGTGATTAAAATTTGCAAATAGTGACGAACAAAAGAGAAGTGGAATCGACATTATCGAGCGAAGCGAGATGGTGGAGCACCCTGGTTGCCACCGATAGTAAAAGACTAAAAGCTGGTGGGATAGTTTTATGACAATCTAGTGAATACTGCTCGATTATCGAGCAAAGCGAGATAGTTTCATAACAAGCTACTAACTCTCGCTCTGCTCGATAGTTTTATACCAAGCTAGTCAATACTGCTCCATTATCGAGCAAAGCGAGATAGTGTCGTAACAAGCTAGTCAGTACCGCTCCACTATCTCGCTCTGCTTGACAGTTTCATAACAAGCTACTAACTCTCGCTCTCTTGATAGTGTCGTAACAAGCTAGTCAATACTGTTCCACTATCTCGCTCTGCTCGATAGTGTCGTAACAAGCTAGTCAGTACAGTTAGCCACACTTTAATTACACAATGTGACCTCTATTTACTGCATTTTTTATATGTATAGACTAGACTCTAGACTCGTTTCATTCGTCTAGTCCCATCAAATCACCCATGCAGAGAACCCCAACTTAGCACCTAGAGTAAGCTCCAAGTTACTTTAATGGCACGGCTCCAATGACAACGTGTGCCTTACCACATAAAGGAATTAAATGCCCCCATTATCCACGTGGAATGCATAAAATGTTAAGGGGGTCTAAATTAAAGGGTTCTTTTTTTAATCTGCTAAATTGCTGCAAAAAAAAAAAAGCTGTACAATCTAAAACCACCAAAAACTTTGGTGATACTTACGATAGAATTGTAGTAGTTGATAATTGAAAATGTGTAGAAGTTGTTAATGAATGAAACAAGAAGAGATGCAGCTTCAGCAGTAGCAGGGAACTTACAAACTCCTAATGTTATGCAAATGTGCTTCCTCAATCCCATCTAAAGAGAAAGTATAAATAGATTTTCTATTCCATCAAAGGGTAAGCCAAACTTGGAATGGATTATCAAGACATTGTAAGTGTCTTTTTTTTTTGTGTGTGTGTGTGTGTGCTGTTTTTAAAATGCGTAGTGTTGATATCTATTTTGTTTTGATTTGCGCAGTTTGTGTGGTTTTTTCACATACTATACCAGGGTTGAATTCTCTTCAACGTCAAATCTTGTCGAAAAAAAGGTCAAGATCGAGACAAAAAGGAAGGAGTGATGATCTTACACAAGATATTTTTCTCAATCTCCCAGCAAGGGAAATTGATTTTATCAATTTGCATTTGAAGAACTTGACAGATGCCAACGGATCTAAATGTGACAAGTGTAAGTACAAGATAAGATATGCAAAGTCATTAGTCGAAGAGTACCCCGAACAAGAACATCTTGTTACTTTGCTTTTATTCAAAGATTGTGTCAATAATGCCTATTATGCTGACTCCTGCTATTATGAGAATTTTTTCATCACTACAAAATCTCAGAACTTTGAAGCATTCAATGATGACTACGATGCAGGTATAACTTCTGGTACAAGTGTCAACTTTTTCGATAATGATTTCTTGCATCTTCTTAAGAATTTCAATGTTTCAAGTGACTTGGATTTAGAGTATTACTGCTACTTCAAAGATCATCGCGCTTGCTCGTTACCCAAGACTCCTGACATTGAACAACTATTTGATATTCAAAGTTGGTGGCCAGAAAAGAAACCCGAGCATTACCATCAACCAGTATACAAGAATAACAGTGAGAGGTTCAATGTAATTCATGTAACCGATTTTCATATTCAGCCTCGATACGAATTGGGAGCTGAATCGAATTGTACAGAAGTACCGTGTGCCTTGCCCGAATCGTACAACAAAAAGTTACCAGGAAAGGACTATAACTTCACTACATATTATAAGAACCTTGACCCAACTATTGAAACTTTTAATTTTTCTTTTTACCCAGATGCTAGGTATACAGAAAACGACACATATATTAAAGGTGACTACTATGATTTCCCAAAGTATCGTGGCTACAATTTCAACAATGCTCCAGCAACTTCGTTTGGAGCCTACCTTTCAGATGCTCCAGAATTATTGATGAATAATTCCCTAATTGAAATTGCCAAGTTGCAAGCCGAGAAAAAGTTCGAATTGGTCTTATTTACTGGGGATATGGTGGACCACGATGGTGTCCATTGTACTCCGAATATCACCAAGGATGCCGAAGTAACTGCATTCAAATTGGTGAAAAAGTATTTGAACAATATTCCAATCATGCCAGCATTAGGTAATCATGACTCGTTTCCCTATGCTCAAGTTGCACCCAATAAGTTTGACCGTAATAATTCATATGACTACAATATCGAAGATATGGTCAATTTATGGATTAACAATGAATGGTTTGAGGGAAAAGATGCAAACGATTTGAAAAAACATTACACGGGGTTCTCCTATGTTACTAATAGAGGGTTGAAAATTATTGCTTTAAACTCCAATGCTTACTATGGCGACAACTTGTGGGCCTACATTGACCAAACAACTGATGGTGACTTGTTTGGAAACTGGAAATTTCTTGTTGATGAGTTGCTCGAGTCAGAAGAAAAGGGACAAAGAGTATGGATAATGGCACACATCCCACCAAATAACTACGATGTGTTGCCCATTCAGTCGAGAATCTTTGGTACAATTATTGAAAGATTCGCGCCTTATACTGTTGCAAACATGTTTTTTGGTCATACTCATAGAGATCAGTTTTCGATTTTATATTCTAGTAATACAACTGCCGCTGATGCTGTGGCCGAGGATGTCCTCAGTATGTCGTGGGTTGCTCAATCCGTAACTCCTTATACAAAATTCAACCCTTCGTTCAAATGGTATGAAGTTGAAAACGAAAGTTTCAATATCATCAATGCATACAATTACTATACTCAGTTGAATATTACCTTCAACAATGGTGGCGAGGAGCCGAAATGGGAGGTTGAGTATAGTGCCAGGGATCTCTATGATCCGGAACATACATGGCCTGAGGATGCACCATTGAATGGTACTTTTTGGCATAATTATGTTGCAAAACCAATGTGGAATACATCTGATATTGCATTTAACCAAAAGTTTATGGACTATAAATATAGATTGAGTCCACTCACACCAAACTGTACTACTGACAAGGGCAAATTGAATAATGTATGTTTCAATGACAATAATTGTTTCCTCAATTTTTATTCTGACAGTAATATCAACTGTCAAAAGTCCTGAAAAGTCTCAAAAAGGAGCACAACGTTTTTATTTTCATGTTTTTTATATGGTCTTCAATAGTTACTTTTGTATAACTCTTCTTTTGTGATAATAAATAAATAAAGTTTCTCGCTCTGCTCGATAGTGTAGCAGCACTGACTAGTTTGTTGCTACTATTAGTTATACCCCAAGGTTCCACTAATTCTATTATTCGATTTGCACTTTATTCTAATACCATCGGATCAGACTTGGAGAGTCTCCTAGGTGGAATTAAAAGTTGACTCCCTAGATGGCATATAAACCGAGGCTTCATTACGGTACCCACCGCCACCGCCACCACGTCCTCCTCTTCCTCTGTACCCCCCTCTAAAACCTCTTCCTCTATGACCTCTACCTCTATAACCGCTTCTTTCATAGCCACTTCTTTCATAACCGCCGCCTCCGCCTCCGCCTCCACCATTTGCAGCCGCTGCAGCTGCCTCTTGAGCTGCTTGACCGCCATGCTTGCCTCTTCCAAACTGCCTTCCTTCTCTAAAGCCCGGGTCCAAATCAATTGATATGTTTTGACCATCCAAAATAGTCGCTTGTAAATATTTCATGGCATTCAACGAACCTTGTTGGCTTCTATACACAACAAAGCAAAACCCACACGGAGTAAGCTTATTACGATCCAAACCCATAATTATCTTATCTATAGGACCACTCTTGGTAAACAACTCGTGTATTTGTTCCTCAGTCGTGAAATGTGACAAGTTTCCAACATACACTGTTCGAGAAGTCATAGCTCGTTCAAGCTCACCATAATTATGCCGCGCTTTTCTTATCAAGTACTCAGATGGCCTATCTAGCCTATCCGCAGAATACTTGAAGTTGTTCTCAATCAAATCCATACCTATGTAATGTAAATTTGGCACTATTCGGCGTGATAACTTACCTTGTATATCGAGATGATAAATTTTTCATGGTTCCTCTTGCGTTTATTTCATTACGTTTTTTATTCTTTTTTTTTTTTTTTTTTTTCAATAGTGGTATATAGAGAGAGAGATTGGTATTGAGGTTATATATACTTTGAGTGGGTATAAATGCTAAGCAGTCTAGGGTTTAAGACAGGTATAAGGGCGACGTATAATGTACTGGACAATCCTACATTTGTGTCTGAACCATGGACCATATATCCTGCAAAGCACAAGAGTTCTGGGCGAATAGTTTCGGTATTCATTTTTGACAAGACTAGATTTGAAGGTCAGGTTAGTAGGCTATGTTCTACTTCTTCCAATACGAAAAGCCCCAAGAATATTGTCAAGGAGTGTTACGAGTTGATCAAGCTCGAAGTTAACCAATTGAGCAAGCTCAAGCATCCGCAAATATTGACAATTATAGAGGTTTTAGAGGAAACGAGGTCAAAGTTTTTATTTGTAAGCGAGTCCATTGGAAACAATTTAATAACGGTGAATGCGAAAGATTTGGATCTGTTGTCGATACAAAAGGGCTTGTTGCAAATTGCCAAGGGGCTACAGTTTTTACATACTCAAGGAAACATTATTCATTTGAATATACAGCCATCGTCAATATTTATAAATAACCAAGGGGATTGGAAATTAGCAGGATTTGCATTTTTGCAAAACTTGAATGAATTGTCACCTCAAGAGAGGGACAATTTCTATATCATGAACAATTCCTCTGTTGTTCCATTTGCTAATTTGAATTTAAACTTTACTGCTCCTGAATTGATCATTGATTCTCAAACGAAGCTAGATTTTGCAAATGACATTTGGTCATTTGGAATGTTGATCTTTTATTTATACAATTATCCAGATATGTTGATTAACCTGTTTGATGCAAATAGCATCCAGGACTATAAGCAGGAATTTCGTAAATTTGAACAAAAGTTTTTCAACCACAATCCCACTGAACTTCAATACATATTAAAGAAAGTACCCGAGAAATTGTATTCTTTATTCCCGCGGTTGTTGGCAAGATACCCGTATGATAGACTCACTTTGGATCAGTTTATTGACTCCGATTTCTTTAATGGAAGCGTTATCAAAGCTATGTGGTTTATTGATGAATTTTCCACCAAGTCAATACACGAGAAACTAGTCTTTTTGAAAGGGTTACTCGAATTTGACCCTGAAACTCAAACAGATTTGATAAGCCAGTTTCCTGTTACATTTAGAACGCTGAAGTTGTTACCGTTACTTATTGGAGTAGTGATCAACGAACTAACTGTGCTTGATGACACGACCCCAATCGATCCAAATGTAGATGATCTAATAAGTAACTCTTTGGAAATAATTATGCTCATTTCCAAAGGTTTGTCAGGGTTAACTTTCCAGGATAGGGTTTATAATGTACTTTTCAAAGACAATACAACTTTCCTGGAGAAAGTGTATGATGCCGTTTTCAAAGAAGAGGCCAAGAGCAAGAAACATACAAAGACTTTTACGAAGTTGATCAATGCTTCAGTGAAAACGAGGCTTACATTAGTCAACAATTTGCCAGTCTTGCAAGAAAAGACCAACTCTAAACAGTTTGTTGGCTTCATAAAAAGCATATTGGATTTGGTATTTACATTAGGAGCTAAGGAACAAGATCAAAAACATGTTCAAATTATTCTTCAAGAGAAATTTTTAGACTACATGCCAAAATTTGTTGAAATGATTGAATTTCCTTATATGAAGAACAAGATGTTTCCATTGTTATGCAAGATATTCCTGTCTACGAGTGTTTACTCGACAAAGTTAAAAATATTGGATACATTTCAGGAATTTTGTGACAAGAAGGTGATTGACAAAATTATTATTGACGAGCAGTTGCTTCCTATGACGAAGGGTATTGAGGATAGAAATAAGGAGATGGTTTGTAAATTGATTACATTTCTTTCCAAGGTGGTTATTAGCGAGCATATTAATCTAGATATGAAGACTTCGGTTGAGTCGATATTACCACAATGTTTTGCATTTGCATTTGGGTGCAACGATTGTGATGAGAAGGAATTCAAACTGTATATGAAAAGCATTAATAATGTTCAACAACATTTGGTTGATAAAAAACTACAGCAATTACCGAAATATAGTAATGGTGGTGGTGGTGGTGCTGCTAGGAGCAACAAAGATGATTCTACTACTGTAGCTCCCAACTTTGAAACCTTGCTACAAAACCAAAGAATAAAAGAGCCAGAGAAGGAAATTTCTGGACCAAAAACAAAAGCGATTCAACCAAACAAGAAATTACTGTCAGCATCCCTGATTGGTAAACGCTCTGTATCCAATCCTACAAATGCTTTAAATGCGACTCCCTTGAGACCAATGGAACCAAGGAGAAAATTTACCACCACAACAGTACGCAATGGAAGTAGTAGTAGTAGTAGCAGCAGCAGCAATACCACCACCTCAAATAAACCCTTTCCAAATCTAACCTTTGGCGCTACCAATCAAGCATCAAACTCAAGCAATGCTAAACTTTTCGACTCATTAAAGAGTACATACGAGAGGCAAAAGCAAGAAGAAGAAGAAGGAGAGGACGACGATTTTGACGATTTTTTACTGGCTGATCAAACTTTGTCACATAAAGATACAAGTAAGGTGAAGAATGAAGGTAAGATTAATTGGATGAGTGAAGTGAATAAGATGAAAACGCTACCAAACACACCACAGCCAAATGCAGCACCTAAGAGCATTAAGAATAAGTATCCACCTGGATTTGACTCGAATGCAATATTATCACCAAAATCTTCAATGCCTATTCGGGCAGTATCGACCACGATATTACCAACATCTAATCAAAATAAAAGCGAAAAAATCAATCCAGCCTTGTTGGATTTATTATAGACCTGAATTGCAACACTATCGAGAAACACCCGCCAAGATGAGGGTTTAAATATTACTATTTTATATACAGATTGTGTAAGTTAGAAGAGAACAAAGATATAAATATTCAAAAACAGTAATTAACAAAGGGGGAATACCCTGAAACCGACCCCTCAAAACAGTAATTGACAAAGGGAGGGCAAAAGGAGGGCAAAAGGAATACCCTGAAACCGACACCCCCCTTTTCTCCTTCCCCCCCACCCCCTCGATTCTCTTTCTTATGTACACCGGGTGTCTCAAAAAAAAGAAAAAAAAAAAAAAAACGATTAGCAAATTGTTGTGCACATTACACTACCCGATCATATGTTTAATCGAATGTTAATTCTGAAATCAGCGTTCCTCTCTTTCTCCGTGTCTCAGTTTCCGTCGTATAGAAGGAAAAAAAAAAGGTCCCGATTCTATACGACGAGAAAAAAAAATTTCATTCAGTGTGGCCCTGTCGTATAGGAGTTTCTAAGTGAGCAAGACTAAATAACTTCAATATAGGCAATAACTGCACTGATTGAATCAGAAGATATGGGAGTTTAATGCTTGGGGAAAGTATGATATGATTAAAATTATTTTAGTCTCAATTAACCTATCGTAAAGCTGGTTTCTTAGATATAGAGGTAAAACTCGGCAATAACGGGAAACCCAGAGTAAGTTGTGAAAAATCCCTTTTAGTTAGTTGTTTCTTGTTAGGTTAGCTTTATTGTTAGTAGTCGACTCTAAGCTCAACCACTCCACCTTGGATACAAAAAAAAAAAAAAAAAAAAAAAAAACCATCAAAGCAAATATGCCAAAGCTAGATATTGCCAATTTATATTTCTACAACTGTTTGAACTTGCCAATTTCCCTCTAACTGTGCTCTTTTCTTTCCAATTGTGCCCTTTTTTTTTTCCAAACGAGAGAGAAGTGAAAAAAAAAAAAAAGAAAAATCATCCGTTTTAACAAACAATACAAACTTGATAAACATCCAAGCTATCAGTACTGTTAACGTACTGGTACAAGCCGCTACTTTCTAATTTCTTACCTATTTTCTCAAAAGATACATAGACGAAACAAATAAACAAGCATCAAGATCACCCAATTACAGAAAATTCAAACCAAAATCAACTGTTTTTTTTTTTCTGTTTATTTCCTTCATCTCGGTATAGTAGATTGAATTTCTATACGAAAGAAAAAAAGAAAACTGTTCCACATGTATTAAAAATTATTTATATAAATATATCTATATATCTATATATATATACATATTCCTCTAGTCTTTTGCAAATAGTATAGGCCCGGGTTAGAAGACCTATTTGCTAAGTTTCCTTCTTGGCTTCTCAAAACCTTTCACACTTGGAAAAGTACTCACTCGTTTTTGTCAGTACCTTAGGGTTTTATTGCTAACGCATTGGATATCTCAAATAGCTTTCCCTTGAAGAAAGAGAAACTTTTGCAAAGCAACCTTTGCCTTCCACCCTCTTAGTCACCAAGTTTGTCTTTTTGTTTCATCTTTTTCTCGTTGAATAACCACCCAAGCTCGCAAATTTAAGCAAAAACTTTTTCATAAGCACACCAAATTTTTCAAAATGGATATAGTACTAGAATATTGCGACTACTACTTGCTAGACAAGGTTTATGCTTATGCCTTGCCTAAAGGAGGTTATGTTGATACATTGATCCACCAAAGTCCCTTATTTAATACAATAGCACAATTTGACTTGGGCAAGGCTATCAAGACTGTACCAATAATAGACCATATAACATCTACAAATAATACCCTTGTGTCAAATGCCATTAATTTCAATGCAACGAGTATTAATTCTGCCAATTTGCCCAGCTATTTATTAAACAAAGTTATCAATTATCAAAACAAAGCTGATATATATGGGTTGAAACCAAACTTGTTACCTGCTGGAGACTTTTTTTCAAGCTCGTTTTTACCAAGATCAAGCTTGTTTAGAGAATCTTTGAGTTTGTTGGTCATTACAACTTTATTTGGATGGCTCTTGTACTTTTCAGTTGCCTACCTCAGTTATGTCTATGTTTTTGACCACAAGATTTTCAATCACCCAAGATACTTGAAAAATCAAATGTCAATGGAAATTTATCGTGCAACAACTGCTATCCCAGTTATGGTAGCTTTAACTAATCCCTTTTTCTTGTTGGAGTTAAACGGATACTCGAGACTTTATATGGATGTGAATGACTGCAATGGAGGCTGGAAAGCAGTTTTGTTTCAAATTCCCAAGTTTATTCTTTTTACTGATTGCTTGATTTACCTTATTCACAGATGGTTACACTGGCCGGGAGTTTACAAAAGACTACATAAACCACATCACAAATGGATTGTATGTACCCCTTTTGCGTCACATGCTTTCCACCCAGTTGATGGATGGGCACAGAGTTTACCCTACCATATTTATCCATTTTTGTTCCCATTGCATAAAGTTCTTTACTTGGGTTTGTTCACATTTGTTAATTTCTGGACCGTTATGATCCATGATGGAAATTATATGTCAAATGACCCTGTTGTGAATGGTACTGCATGTCACACTGTACACCACTTGTACTTCAACTATAACTATGGACAATTCACCACTTTATGGGATAGAATCGGAAGGTCTTATAGAAGACCCGATGACTCATTCTTTGTCAAGGAAAATAAAGCTGAAGATACCAAAAGAATGTGGAGGAAGCAAGTTGATCAAATGGAAGAAATCAGAAATGAATTGGAAGGTAAAGTTGATGATAGAGTTTACATTGATCAATAAAAAAAAAGAAGAAGAACAACTAATATATGTATATATATATATATATATTATAAAAAGAGTATTTGGTATTATGGTTGACCTTTGTGTGTTGATGCCTCTCCACTTTATAGAACTACCACTTTACCCCTTCTCCCTTTTTCTCCCTATTTCATTTCCATTCAGGTGTGGGGACACTATCGAGCAAAGCGAGATAGTGGAGCACACTAGCTGTAATCGATACCAGTTGTCACCGATACTAACTGTCATCGATACTAACTGTCATTGATACTAACTGTCATCGATACCAGTTGTCATCGACACTAGTTGTCATCGACACCAGTTGTCACCGATACTAACTGTCATCGATACCAACTGTCATCGATACTAACTGTCATCGATACCAGTTGTCATCGACACTAGTTGTCATCGACACCAGTTGTCACCGATACTAACTGTCATCGATACCAACTGTCATCGATACTAACTGTCATCGATACCAGTTGTCATCGACACTAGTTGTCATCGACACCAGTTGTCACCGATACTAACTGTCATCGATACCAACTGTCATCGATACTAACTGTCATCGATACCAGTTGTCATCGACACTAGTTGTCATCGACACCAGTTGTCACCGATACTAACTGTCATCGATACCAACTGTCATCGATACTAACTGTCATCGATACCAGTTGTCATCGACACTAGTTGTCATCGACACCAGTTGTCATCGATACTATCTCGCTCTGCTCGATAGTGGAGCAACAACACTATCGATCTCGCTCTGTTCAATAGTGTCGCACTTGCAAATATACTTTAATTTGTAAAAAGCTGGATTGATCCCTTTGTCACCATTACAAATGCCAGCTACTATCTCTTTGTTCTCTTCTAACTTATACAATATGTCTCTTGTCTCTAGTCTCTTGTCTCTAGTCTCCACAACAGGCTCATTTTGTCTCTCAAGTATCGTAAAATGAGATTGAGCATTTTGAATCGTGCCTCATTGTTATTGATTGACTCTACATAATCTTTCTGAATCTTACTGCATCTCACTGCATCTCAGTGCATCTTACTGAATCTTACTGAATCTTACTGAATCTTACTATAAACTTCTCTATCGAGCGTAGCGAGAGAGTAGAGAGAGTCGAGCACTGCTGCTAGAGTACTGCTGCTAGAGCACTAGAGCACTACTACTAGAGCACTAGAGCACTACTGCTAGAGCATTACTACAAGAACACTACTACTAGAGCACTACTACTAGAGCACTAGAGCACTACTGCTAGAGCACCACTGCTAGAGCACTAGAGCACTACTGCTAGCGTACTAGAACACTACTGCCAGATTACAGTTTTCTACTATCTCGCTACTCTCGATAGTAGACCTTTATCAGTATTTTACACCCTAGAGCAATTTTCACCGTAATTTGCAAGATAATCTGTTGATAAGTTTTTCTCATTATCAGCTACGTAAATCAGTTGAAACCGCCGAAAAAGGGCCTTTTTCTACCCAAAAATTTTCCAATACACAAAACTGCCTTATCTCGAAATCAATCAAAATCAATCAAAATCAATCAAAGTCAATCAAAGTCGATCAAAGTCGATCAAAGTCAATCAAGATCAGGTTCCAGTCAATATTAGAACCAAGAAGAGAGAAAGTGGGGGGGGGGGGTAGATTTTATGGGAAAGCCGTCTGTACAAGACACACACGGACTATATCCTGCAAGCTCAGCCTAATACAACGTTGTGCAATTAACCAACGTATTTTTGGATCTTTGCTGCACCTATACTGTACCTCGACTGTGCTTCATCTTCCTTTTCGATAAGCCTGCAAGAAGTAACGTTGAATTATTATTGTTCGCCATATAAAGGATCTCCTTGTCAACAACTCAAAGAGTCTCATCTCGTATTGCTAAATTAGCTCGCAGTAAGGCTTCTCTTTATCTTATTGACACAAAATATTATAAAGATTTCTTATAGGCCAAGATACATTCGTTATCAACAATATTTCAGGTTTCCTGATTTTAACAGGTTTTTTTTGTTTTGTTTTAGGTAAAGTACACTACTATGTAAAAGGTTATCTTGATAGATACAAAGAGAATCAATATGCAAAACTCATTTATCACAACCGCTTATTGAAGTTGAGTTAGCCAATAGTAGACGTATAAAAAACATGGAGTATCTGAAAGGCGATATCTCACACACGGGTTTGATAATATTCTATAGATAACATTTCCCTATCTTGTGTTTAAATAAGGGATCTTCCTATGCTATCACTAGTGATTTGTTAACTTATTTTTATTTCAGTTTATTATGTAATATACTGATTACATAATAATGATTGCAAAAAAAAAAAACCAACCAAAAACGAAAAACGAAAATTATCAATAGATCTTGATTGTAAAAATAAAGACAATAAAGGTGGAAAATCTAAATCTATTCGAATGCATTACATCTTGATAACGAATGTAGGAGCATTTCATTTAAGCGTCAGAAATGTTTATATAAAGAGATGGAGGAGGCTGTGATACAAAAGACTGTAAGATGCTTCTCAAACAAAGGTATCAGTATTTTCTCTCTCCCCTCGAGATTCTTCCAAAAGTAAATTGACTATCCAAGAGATAATTGATATTACTATTCCCCCCCCCCCCCCCCCTGTTTTTCGTTGCATTCTTTTTTTCCAGTTTTTGAGATATGGCGGTTGTTGATTTTGTTCCCTTGCCTCAAAGTGCAGGATACGCCGTTATTGTGGGGATGGGTGCAGTTTTTGCAGCTGGTATGATGTTAACCACATACTTGTTAAGAAGATACAATAAGGAAATCATCACTGCTGAAGAATTTGCTACTGCAGGTAGGTCTGTGAAATCCGGATTGATTAGTGCTGCCGTGGTTTCTTCATGGACATGGGCGGCAACGTTGTTAACCTCAACTACCCAAGTTTATAAAAACGGGATTTTTGGATCGTGCAGTTATGCATTTGGGGCTACCGTCCAGGTGACGCTATTTGCTTCATTGGCTATTAAAGCTAAAGAAAGAGCACCACTGGCTAGAACTTATTTAGAAATCGTCAAAGCCAGATATGGAACTGCTACGCACATGGTTTATATATTTTGGGGTTTGGCCACAAATATCTTGGTCACGGCAATGTTGTTGACTGGTGGTTCAGCAACCATTAGTGATTTAACAGGTATGCACCCTGTTGCTTCATGTTTGTTGGTGGGGCTTTCCCCAACCGTTTATTCTATTTTTGGTGGAATTAAAGCAACTATATTGACTGATTATGCTCACACGGTGATTATGGTTACAATTATAATAATTTTTGCATTTAGTACTTGGGCTACAAACGACAAGTTGGGTTCGCCTGGTGTTGTTTGGGAAATCATTACACAACTAGGCAAAGAAAAGCCCGTTGAAGGTAATGCTCAAGGCTCATACTTGACATTTCACTCAAGATCGGGAGGTATTTTTTTTGTCATCAATATCGTTGGTAATTTCGGAACTGTGTTTTTGGACAATGGCTATTTTAACAAGGCGTTTGCTGCTAATCCTGTTTCTGCTTATAAAGGTTATATCTTGGGTTCGTTGGCATGGTTGCCGATTCCAGCATTTTGTTCTTTGACTATGGGATTCGCCGCTTTGGCACTTGAGCACACAGAGTATTGGCCATTGGGAAGACCAATGACTGCTGATGAAGTTGCTGAAGGTCTAGTTTTACCCAATGCTAGTGCTGCATTGCTTGGGAAAGGTGGTGCTTGTTTGAGCTTGATTATGATCTATATGGCAGTAACAAGTGCAATGTCTTCCGAGTTGATTGCTGTCTCAACCATCACCACTTATGATATCTACAGAAGCTACATTAATCCAAATGCCAATGGTAAGAAATTGATTTGGATTTCGCATTTATCCTGTGGTATTTTTGCCTACGTTATGGCCGGCTTTGCTGTTGGTCTTTATTATGCTAATGTCTCAATGGGATTCTTGTATGAGCTAATGGGTGTTATTATTGGTGGTGCTGTTTTGAGTTCGGCAATGACAATCTTGTCGAGTAGACAAAACTGGCACGCTGCTACATTCACGCCGCCAATTGCCACTGCTTTGGCTATTATGGCGTGGTTGGTGTGCTGCAAGACTAAATTTGGATCAGTTACTTACGACAATTTGTTTGAAGATGATGTTATGCTCACAGGTAATGTTGTTGCCTTGTTATTCCCATTGATAACTGTCCCACTATTGACAATTATCTTCAAACAACAGCACTTTGACTGGAAATTGTTAGAAACAAGAATAACTCGTGTTGATGAAGATGAAGAATTAATGGAGGCTACGCAATCGGAAAACCAAGGTGATTCTGAGAAATTGGCTCCAATAAAGTCACAGATTTCAGTGATTGCCAGTGGATTACTAGAACAAGAAAGAGGACGCTTTTCACAAGAACAAAAAACCTTACGAAAAGCATTTACGAGAACAGTGATTGTTTGTGTAGCACTCACATTATCGCTCTTGGTTATTTGGCCAATGCCAATGTATGGAAGTAAATACATCTTTTCCAAACACTTCTTTACTGGTTGGGTTGTTGTATTTTTCATTTGGATTTTTTATACGGTTTTCCAAGTTATTGTATATCCCGTTTGGGAAGGAAGAAAAAGTTTAGCAAGTACAGCAAGAGGCATCTATTGGGATTGTACTGGACAAACACATAAATTAAGGGCATGGCAAAACTCACACCCTGAACAAATGCACGCTGTACAATCTCAAATTCAAGCACAATTATCAAATACAGCAATTGATGTTGTTAATGGTAAGGTGCTATATCGTGAAGTGGGGTTCATTGATGATACCTTATCCGACGAAAAGAAATAATATATTAAATATAAAGGGAAAGAAGAAAAAAGTACCTAGTAATCTTGTTGTTCTATATATCTTTTAATTATTATACTTTTCCTATCCTTGTAGTTTTGTTTAACTTCATTTGTCTATACAACAATCCACCACTGAGATAAACAAGGAGTGCAGCACAAAAGATGAGCAAAAAAATCCACACTGCTGCGAGGTTATTTGCTTTTGCGGCCGTGGGACAGGCGTGGTGACTCTTGACTTCGAAGAAATAGGAGCAGTCATTAAAGTTTCCGATATACGAAATTACAGCTCTAGCTGACATTTCTCTATCGCATGTGAATGTCAATATCGTTGCCTTACGTAGCCTATTTCCAGTTTTGGAATCTTGAGCATCGCAATACGACCCATTCTCATAAGTCAACGTTAGTTTTCTTCCTCTGAATTTTGGCTCTGTTGAAAACTCGCCAATTGAAACGTATTTGTTAGTTACGGGGTCAACGTAGAAAGCTCCAATATTAGTCGCATTGACGTTATCCTGTATTTCATTCAAATTATCGTGGTGTTTCTTGAATGGGTTGGAGCAGATGCCTATGGTGTAGTTTTTGCCGGAATCGTACCCACGAGAGTTCCATGGCATTGGCTTGTTCTCGTTACCAAACGACGAAAGACCACTAAGATCTATGAACCCTTTACTGATTGGGTGAAATACAGTACATGGATCCAAAACCGTTTCCTTAGCTTCTTCGAGGACTTGTTTGGATTTCTGAGAATCCTCTAGTACAACAGTTTTCTTAGCTTCTTCAAAGACTTGTTTTGACTTTTGAGAATCTTCTAGTACAACAGTTTCCTGTTTCGGATGCAGTGAGAAGGAGTCACTATCTTGACTATTTGATGTGAATGCCATTTGACTTATCGAGGTCATAAAGTGGGATGACGCTTTTAATATACCATTATTCGATCTGTCTCTTTCTAGCCAACATATACTTAGTATCACACATAATGTCAATACCGGTATTATCGTTCTTCTCACCAATTTAGACATACCAAAAGGACCAAATAAAGACATTCACTATGGCGTTTTCTCTCCCTCTCTTTCTCTCTCAAGAAAAAGCAAACAATAGCAGATTAATATAACAAACAAAACCGAGCCCTCCGAGTGCAAATACAGCTAGGAATAACCACCCTTTTCTATCAAAACTTGTACCTCAAACCAAATAGATTTTGCTATTCCCATCAACTTTTGAGCTTTTGCTTTTTAAATTTTCGCTCGAGGTTCAACGCAAAAGTAAAAAAAAACAAAAGAAGAACAGAACGGTAACCAAGAGACGGTTGTTTTCTGGTTTTCTGGAAGGTTTAGGGAGGATTGCAAGGATGAGTGCATGGGCCGAGACAAGGGATCAAGCATCTGCTGCTATTCTGGGGTTTGAGAACAAGTTTTCTACGATTTTGAACCTTTCAGATCCGTTACTTGAACATATTATTGCATCCAAAAGAGCTTTAAAGGTTTTGGAATCAAAGTTTGGGTTGGAAAAAGAAGCTTTAGAAAAAGGGTTGGAGGGCAAAGCTTTAGAAGAAGGGTTGGAGGGCAAAGTGTTAGGAGGGTTGGAGGATGAAGAATTGGGTTTAAAAGGTGAGAGCCAAAAAGTTGTTCAATTTTTGGTGAGCTCGTGTGATGGAGATGCGGTTACTTTAGAGAGCATTTTAAGCAAAAATCCTCAGTTGGTTGATATTTTATACCCCAGCGACTCGGCGGGAGTTACGGCGTTGATTTATGCTGTTTGCTTCAATAATGAAGATACAGTTGAACTGTTATTGGAAAACCACGGGGCCGATCCTGATTTGTTTGATACAATTGTATTTTTCACTCCGCTAATGTGGGCGGTATATCTAAATCAACTCGAAATGATAAAATTATTGTTAAACAATCAAGCTGATCCATATTTGAGTCCCAAAGATGACGGGAAAAATGCAATAAGCTTACTTAATCCAGAGAGGCAAGATATTATAGAGTATTTTAGAGCACACAACCTTTTGAAGAATCCTGCTGCCCACAATGATGTACCGGACATTTATAGCACAAACACATTTACTCCGCAAGACGGATATCAAGATGATCTACTGACAAAGTTGAAGCTACAGACTCTTTCGGGAACTATTGAAGATGAGTCTGGGAGGCAACAAGGCGATACGTTATATGATGGGGAGAAGGAGGAAAATAACGAGGATGACGAGTACATTCTTGTACAAGATCCGATACTCTCGAGGCTACCGGATTTTGAATATGACAAGTTGATTGCTGAACAGTATATAAAGTTTGCTGATAGCGATATCCCATCTTTGATCAACTATCTTTTTGATTTAAGAAATAAAACAACCTACCAACATGATACAAAGCTCCCTTCTGCTATATTATTCCAATTGATCAGATACGCACATTTGAGAGTCGACTCAAATGAGCTAACAGATTTTTTATTTGATTGCTTTACAGCAAGGTTAAGAACAATTACAAGCACAAAGTCAGGCGCATTCAACATGGCACTACAAGAAACAGGAAGTGCTCAAGGAGCAGGCGATATTGTCTTATTAAGCTACTGGCTATCTGCTTTGCAGTTTTTGCATTTTTACTTCTGCAAGAGCAAAATATATATTAAATTTCCTCGTTTTTTGCAAGAAATCATCAACTTGGTCCACTCGCTAATTGCGACTTTATCATTTTCAATAAATTCCAGGTTGAACCTATTAGTTGAGGACTGTATGTTGAACTTTACAAGCTTGATTGATGTGTCAAACACCCTTTATGCAAAAGACTGGAATCTTTTCAAATGGAACAAGAAGCATCCTAACAATTACGATGCGATTATGAATTCACTATACCCACCCAGTCATGCTGATTTGATGAAACCCTCGCCACTCCGATACATTCAAGTACTTGGTGCCTTAGACTATGTGCTCAAAATCCACAAGGTTGATAATCTTTTCCGCATGCAAACCTTCTCCCAAGTTTTTTATTACATGAACTGTATTATATTCAATAATATCATTGGCAGCAGTAAATTCTGTACACGATCTAAGGCGGTGCAAATTCGTTTAAACATATCTGCTATTGAGGACTGGATGCGTTCGCATAATCTAAAGTTCTCTAGACCAGAAACGTTGGGTGGACTAAACAGTTTGATTGGAGATACCAAGGTGCATTTGCATAACTTGTTGAGTGACAATAACACATTACTGCGCAAAAACCCACAAAACTTGGAATTTTACTATGATTCCTTATATCATGTATGCAAGAATCAATTGATGCCGACAATTGAGCTACTTCAATGGTTACAATGCATGTCATCTTTAACTAATCAAGAGAGTTTGATCAACACGATAAACCAATTTGACTATTTAAACTATTACCAATTATTCAAGGTGGCAAACAAGTTGTACAAGTATGAAGTTGGTGAACCGCGGTTATCTAAAGCTTTAGTCAGTTTCATGAAATCATTGATGATTGAACGAGGAGAGGAACAGATTGCAAAGAGTTTCCAGCATTACATGACCCAATCGACTTTTTTATCCAAGGAAATATATATTTATCTCAATCCAAATTATGTTTTCAATGTCACTTTACCAAACCTTGCCGAATTATTGAACAATTATGGATCAGGAATTGGGGGAGTCCATGTGTTGCGAAGTAAGAAATACCAGCCGTCACTTCCAATAAGCATTGTTGATGATATAGACGAGATTATCACCGAAAATAGAAATATGGAGTTTAATGAATCAGTTGATTATGAAAAGGAGAGTGAAAACAAAGAGGGTTCTGATGATAACCAGTATTGCAACAATGACAATGACAAGGACAGTGGCAATGGCAATGACAATGACAATGTCAATGTCAATGGCGATACTAGTGAAATTGGTAAGGTAGAAGGAATCAAAGGAGACGAGTTATTTAAGCAAGTACAAATGCCAAACACGCTAATACATAAGCATTGGGGAGAAACCAACAAGGAAGAGTTTGAGCAAAATCCATGGTAAAACGGAACAAGCGAGAAACACTGTCGAGCAACACTGTCGAGCAGAGCGAGATAGTGTTGTAACAGGCGAGAAACACTATCCAGCAGTACTGACTAGCTTGTCACAGCACTATCGAGAAACACTATCCAGCAGTACTGACTAGCTTGTCACAGCACTATCGAGAAACACTATCCAGCAGTACTGACTAGCATGTCACAACACTATCTCGCTCTGTGCTGCCCCACTATCTCGCTCTGTGCTGCCCCACTATCTCGCTTCGCTCGACAGTGTCACAGTGTCGTAAAGAAAAAGAGGGAAAAAAAAAATAAGAACGATGGTTAGTGTTCGTCCCACCAGCTTGCATATTTGGGAGAGAAACGATTCTTTATAGAGCGAAAATATAAACATTCTTGTTTCACCATGTTTCATCCTTCTTCTTCTTCTTCCTCTTCTTCTTTTCTTTTAAAACAAACGCGTTCATCATTGTCCTTGTCTTGTTTTATGTTTCACCGTTTCAGGTAGTAACAAATAAAAAATAATTATTTTCTTTACGAGGTTGCCGTTTTAGTTCATTTTTTTTTCCATCTTCTTAAAATGGTTCTATTATTGCCTTTTGCAATTCATCAAGAGTGGAATTAGTATAATTAGAGTTTCGATATCCATAAAGGGAAATACTTACAACACTATCAAGCGACCCTATCGAGCAACACTATCGAGCAACACTATCGAGCAAAGCGAGATAGTGTCGATAATGTTAGCTTGTGCTCCACTATCGAGCAAAGCGAGATAGCGTCGATAGTGTTACTAGCATCTCGCTTTGCTCGATAGTGTCGATAGTGTTACTAGCATCTCGCTTTGCTCGATAGTGTCGATAGTGTTACTAGCATCTCGCTTTGCTCGATAGTGTCGATAGTGTTACTAGCATCTCGCTTTGCTCGATAGTGTCGCTCGATAGTGTCGCTCGATAGTGTCGATAGTGTTACTAGCTTGTGCTCCACTATCTCGCTTTGCTCGATAGTGTCGCTTGATAGTGTCGCTCGATAGGGAAAATCGATGATTGTGCAAACTCAATCAGCAGATTGCGGCTCGCGGCTCGTGCGCGCGTTCCTCTTTGGCGTATTAGGAAATGAGCTGTATCACAACAAAGGATTCATTTTAGTCAACTAAAAACATAACCTACTAAACCAACTCTATATAAGAACAACAATACAATTTTACCCTGCTTTGTAATAGAATTTCACCCTGCTTTGTAACACAACTTTCCTAAATACACCTTACCTGCTTTGTAAATATAACTTTCCCTGCTTTGTATAAATTCTAAGGTACTACAACAAAATGACAAGGGCTAAAAATAGATTTCCCTGTTTTTAAGGGGTAGTCAGTGCGGCTTCTATTGACACTAGACACTATCGATCAACACTATCGAGCAGAGCGAGATAGTGTTGTAACAAGCTGGTCAGTACTGCTCGCTAGTCAGTACTGCTCGATAGTGTTTCTCGCTGGTTACAACACTATCTCGCTCTGCTCGATAGTGTTGTTGTTGATCTTTGGTAGCGAAATTTCGATGCCAATATCGTTACTTCGCTATTTTGAAACAATTAAAGAATGTAAATATTCTTTTTGCACTTTTCTTTTATGCAAATAAAAAGCTTATTGTTTAAGTTGATAGGCGCTGGTATAAATATGGTAAGGGACCCATGCTTACTTTTTCCACTCTTTGTAGGATTTCTTTTAGATTTGTGAGAATAAGTACTTTGGTTCTGTTCTCCAAGTCTACTTTTTCTTCATTCGTTTTACTTATAGAATATCTGTAGATAGATAGAAATGCAAATACAAATACTTGTTTTATTATTATCGTCTACGGTATTCGCCTATATTGGAGATGGGTTTATATCCGTCCCAGTGAATAAGGTCAAGAGCAGTTCGGGGTTGGTACATTTTCCTAATAGATTGCCCATTTTCAAAAAGGATATAGTTGATAAACAAGTTGGTAAGATATTTACTCCATTTTTTGGCAACTCAGGGTTTGAGTTGAATTTGAGTTTGGAAAAGGGGAAAATAAGCCAAAGTTTGCACTCTTTTGGTGATAATACTGGATGTGGTGAAAGCTCTGGTTTTGGCATAAAGACAAAATCAGCCAAATTTCTGGCATCCTTCAATTTACGTCGAGAAGAGCCAGTCTCGAATGATACTAGTAGTAGCAGTAGTAATGGTCAAGGCACCGGTGCCTTTTTCCTCGATGCTCATAATGAGCAAATACTATACTATACTACACTTTCCATCGGTAATCCAGGACAAGAATTAAGTGTGATGATAGATACAGGCTCCTCAGATCTTTGGGTCGTTGGTACCCAAAACCCAAATTGCGATTTTAACGGTGGTTCAAGCGAGTGCTCAAAGTATGGCTCATTCGATAAATTGAAATCTTCAACTTTTACACCAAAAGATGATGTGTTTGAATTAAATTATTTTGACGGCTCAATAGCAGAAGGATTGTACTGTTATGATGATATTGAATTCGTTAAAGATTTTGCACTTACAAATGCTACTTTTGCAGTAGTTGAAAATACAACTTCGAATATGGGAGTTTTTGGTGTAGGGTACCCTGAAATAGAAGCGACACCAAACAAGTACACAAACACTCTTTTCCTTATGAAAGAACAAAACTTGATTGCCAGAGCTGCATTCTCTTTGTACTTGGATGAAGCAAATGCAGAACAGGGCTATGTACTTTTTGGTGGTGTTGATTATGCAAAATTTTCTGGTGAATTGGTGGCAATTGATATTGTACAAGATGATGGCAAGTACACGTATTTGCAAATCCCATTATCTCATGTAGCGGCTTCGTTGAATAACTACACTGATGCTTATTCTACGCCGCTGGTTGATGGCACCAACGTTCCCAAGGTGGGTGCTGCAATATATAACGGGACTGATTCATTCAATGGTGGAATTGATTTAGGGAACCAGGCAGTGTTGTTGGATTCGGGAACCACATACTCCTACTTACCACAGCAACAAGTTGAAAGTATTTTGGGATTGTTTGGAAATGTTACATACAATGATGATCTCAAAGCGTACAATGTGCCTTGTTGGATAGGAAACCCAAGCAATTATTTTCAATTCAACTTTAACCAAGAGAAAGATATAAACGTGCCAATCTCGGAATTTGTCATAGAGGTGGGAGTCAACTCTGCAGGTGTGCCTCAGTGTGTGTTTGGGATTTTGCCTGGTAGCATGTCCATTTTAGGTGACAATGTTATGAGGTCAGTTTATGCCATTTTTGACTTGGATGCAAATGTGATTTCAATTGCCCAGGCTGCTTACAACAATGAGCATAGGGTAGTGACTCTTGAGTAAATCTTTATAGTGACTCTTGAGTAAATCTTTATAGTGACTCTTGAGTAAAATCTTTATAGCCTAATATTTGATTTTCGTCATACTCTCCACTAATGGTGTGTATGTGTTCATTACTATATACATTATATGGATTCTAGATTCTAGAAATATACCTCTATGTCTTTGACAAGAAGTTGTTATTCTTAATAATTTGATTATTCTGTTTCAGCAATTTGATTCTCCTCCATCTAAGAAAATTTTCATTCTTGATATTTTCCATATTCTTACTTGCATCAGTCATCTCCCAAAGCCAAGCTGGGTATTCGGAATCTTCCATTGCCACTGGCTCGTCTCCCTTTTTAAATATTTTGAGATTCAATGGAGTACCTGCTTTGCAAAAAGACACTACGGTCGTACTGTCAGTACTAGTTGCTTGCACTTTCGGCACTGTTTCCATACTACTATTTCGTAAAACCCTCCCTACTGCAAATGACCTGCTTGAAATAAATAACGCACTAGATCCTCTAATACTTGTTCTCAAAAACATCTTCACCTTAACCAACCCGTATATCTCTTCTCTACCCTCAATAGACGTCTTGTTTCCTTGTCCTAATACCCCACTTCTTTCCTTGTCCTAATAAACCATCTTCTTTCCTTGTACAGTTTTGTTAACAAAAACTTTTTTTTTCCGAAAGGGTCGTGTTTATTGGCGAAACCGTTTTTTTTTTTTGTTTTTTTTTTCCGTTGAGCGAAATTTTTCATCAAAGGATGGAAAATTTTCAGTACAAGACGAAGAGATCTTTTCTTTATATTCCAATTACATTATATATTAGATTGGATTTTCTTGGTTAAAGATGCCTCCAAAGAAGAAAGGAGTTCAAGAGAAACCTATATTACTAGGAAGACCTGGTAATAACTTAAAATCTGGTATTGTTGGGTTGGCCAATGTTGGTAAATCGACTTTTTTCCAAGCAATTACAAGGTGTCCGTTGGGTAATCCCGCCAACTACCCTTTTGCCACAATTGAACCAGAGGAAGCCAGGGTTATTGTTCCAAGTGAGAGATTTGATAAGTTGTGTCAATTGTATAAGCCCAAGAGCGAAGTGCCTGCATTTTTGACTGTTTACGATATTGCTGGTTTGACTAAAGGTGCTCATGCTGGAGAAGGTTTGGGGAATAATTTCTTGGCCAACATTAGAGCAGTTGATGCTATTTTCCAGATGACCAGAGCATTCGATGATGCCGATATTATACATATCAACGACGAGGTGAACCCAGTAGCCGATTTGGACATTGTCAAGGATGAATTGAGATTGAAAGATATTGAATTTGCCACGAGATATTTAGAGGGCATTGAGAAAATTACTAAAAGAGGTGGACAATCCTTGGAAGTCAAGCAAAAGAAGGAAGAAGCAGAAATAGTCAAGAAAGTTATAAAGTTGCTAGAAGATGGTTCAAGAATTGCTAATCAAACATGGACCACCAAAGAAGTGGATTGTATAAACCAAATGCTTCTATTAACAGCAAAACCCGTCATTTATTTAATCAACTTGTCTGAAAAGGATTACATTAGGAAAAAGAATAAGCATCTTTTGAAAATCAAGGAATGGGTCGATGCCAATTCCCCAGGAGACTTGATTGTGCCTATCTCGGTGTCGTTGGAAGAAAAACTAGCTAATATGGCTACAGACGAAGAAAGAGAAGCATACTGTAAAGAAATTGGCGCTCAATCGGCATTGCCCAAGATTATTGTTTCCATGAGACAGAAGTTGGATTTGATTTCATTCTTCACCGGAGGTCCTGATGAAGTTCGGGAATGGACTATTAGAAGATGGTATACTGCGCCACAAGCGGCAGGTACTATTCACACCGATTTGGAGAGAACATTTATTTTGGCACAGGTTATCAAGTACGAAGACTTGGTGGAGTATGGAGACGAAGCAAGTGTCAAGGCTGCTGGTAAGTTGCTACAAAAGGGTAAAGATTATTACGTTGAGGACGGAGATATCATATACGTTAAAGCTGCTGAAGGGAAAGCTCGTTAAGTAGTCCATCCACATACCCCCCGCAGTTTCTAACAAAGTTGTTTCTTTACCCACCCCCCAGTTTCTGATAAAGCTGTTCCTCTACCTCTACCCACCCCCACCTCTTCTAACAAAGTTGTTCCTCTACCCATTCTCCTTCCCCCTACCCATTTCCCTTCCCCCTACCCATTTCCCTTCCCCCTACCTCTTCTAATAAAGTTGTTCCTCCACCTCTACCTCTAACAACTTGTTCATGATTTCTGAAAAACTTATTTTTCCCTTTTAGTAATAGCGCCTTGCATCTACACATAAAAAAAAAAAATAATAAATTTAAGGGGGATAATAATTTTTCCGAATATTGACTTTAAAACCAATTAAATCTACAATCATGGCTTATACTTAGACTTGTAGTACATAAGATATAGCTTGCTTTTTGCCTAGATTGCCAGGTTCCCCCCTAAAGAAACAAAAAAAGGGCAAGTTCTTTCTAAGGGCAAGAGAGTTTGTCCAGAAGATGAGGTTTTCGTTAAGGAAATGTATATATGTATTGCTTACATTGCTTTTGCTTCTGCTAGGGGTGTTGTTATTGCTCTCGTCCAGCACTTTTGAGAGGCTAAAGGAATTGATTTTGGATACGGAGAAATTTGACCCAGATGTGCTTAAAGCAGATAATGTGAAAGCGCGAGAGGAGTTGCATTATTCAAAGTATTTGTACAGTGGCTATGACGATTTCATGGCGGCATTCAAGAATGATGTTCAGGAAATTAACACAAGCAGTCTACTGGATAAGTGCAAAGTGTTTTTCAACCAATTCAACGAGAAGCATCCAGATTGGAAATTCCCCGTGTACAACAAACCTCTGTACCGATTTGACAAATCCTCTGATAAAAAGGATATCTTCTTTAAGGAAAAAATAGACAAGTTAAAGCTGTCAAATGAAAATAAGGACAATGATAAATCTGATAAAGATGAAAAATTTGTTGTGAGTAGACAAGATTTGATGGCCTTTCTACGTGAGTACGAGTCAAATGTGAAAAGAAGCAAGGATATCCAACAAGAAATGGCGGATGTAACGACAATGCTACGAGTATACGGCAAGTGCTTTATTGGGAGGGACCTAAATGAAGACTATGAAAAGGAAATGTACCATGAATTGAGCAAGAAATTTTTTCCATTTTTAACAGATAAATTGCCCATGGTCAAAAAACCAGGATCGAGTCTGGCGCCGGGTTGGCCAATACCTCAGGATGGCAATGTGGATGGGAATGGGGACGGTACTTTTACATATAAGGATAAGCCGGATGGCGAAGCTCTTACTGAGTTCATTTACAAGCACTCAACGGGACGAGGAATAGTATTTTCGGCCTCAACTCGATATGCAAGAGATATTATTCGCCTAATAAAGGTGCTTCGTGCTATGAATAATAAACTTCCCATCCAAATCTTGTATAAAAGTGATATCAGCAAGAAATATATCGAGTTGATAGAAAAAGCTGCAACGGCAGATATTGAAAGTCTACTAGATTCTGGGTCGAGCAACGATTACAAGCTGTTTATGCCGGAATTGGAATTATTGGAACAGCACAAAGAGTACGGTTCTGAGTTCCCTAAGCAAGATTTGACATTTATCAATATAACACCTTGTATAAATAAGGCTTACAAGTACTCATTCCCAGGCTACTTCAATAAAATATTGGCGGTATTATTTTCGACTTTTGAAGAAATCTTGCTTCTCGATGCCGACACAGTTCCACTAGTTCCTCCAGTTGAGTTTTTTGAGTCTTTTGAGTATCAAAAATCGGGCACCTTTTTCTTTCAGGATCGGTCGTTGCGTGATACAAATGAATTTATTGAAACAAATTTTTTTGCAACTTTGTTCCCTACCAATGATAAATCAATAGATACGCTATTTGATATTCCTAGGACTAGTGAGAAAACTATGAACAATAGGTATATGACTGGGTGGAGACATCATCAGGAGGCAGGAGTTGTTGCTTTTAATAAAAAGCTACATTTTATGGGGTTGCTTATGATGTTTCCTCTTTCGTTATGGACTGAACCGATAAAATCTTCAGTATGGGGGGATAAAGAATTGTACTGGATGGGATTAGCAGCTGCTGGTGATGAGAATTATGAATTCAACCCAGTTGGCGCAGCATCAGTTGGTGAAAAGACAACTGCTACAAATCGCAAATACTATCCCAACTCTTCTAGTAACGAAGTATGCTCGACCCATCCTGGTCATGTTAGTAAAGATGGGAAATTGCTTTGGATCAATTCTGGATTTGGTTTTTGTAAAAAAAACGGTTATTATCGAGAGCGTACAAAATTCCCCTTTTCTGTTTTTGAGTCTGACGAGTTGACAAATATGTTTAAGTTCCCGTTGAAAATTAGAGCAGCATTAGTGCCACCTGAAATGCCCTGGTTTAGACAGCCGAATAATCCAATTGATATTACCCCGGAAGAGAACTTTCAAAAGTCGTGGAAGGATAGAAAGAAAGATATAGATGAGATTAACGAGAATTTGCCAAGCGGGTCCGAAAGGACGGAGTTTATTACAGAGTGGGGGCCACAGAAGGGATGGGTAAAGAACTCAATCTGTTTTGGTTATTATTACTGTGCTTACGATAGGGTTGAAAGTTATACAAAGGAAGGACAGTGTGATACTGGCAATCTCTATGAGTTCACTGATGAAGAAGTAAGGCATTTTGATTACTTAAGTAAAGTATGGTTCACAGGAGACATGAGGAATAATAAATAACCAAAATAAGAAGTTTTATAAAATGTAGAATAGAAAAGGAAGGAAATGAAAAAAAGAAAAAAAAAGAAAAGATTAACCTTATAGAGTTTTACTAAATTAAATATTCTTTGTTTTTGTTTTTAACAGAAATCACCACGGCATGGGTCGCCATTGGTTTTATCAATAGTCTTTTGTTTTCATCGACATAACTGGAGTTTTGCGCATATTTTTTAATCAAATCTTCAACATGTTTTTTGATTTCGAGTTTTTTATCGGGACTCAAATCAGTAATGTAGGATCTTGTTTCCCAATACTTCCAAACGTCATCCTTGTTAATCTCTTGATCATATAAAGCAAATGAATCCGAGATATGAGATTCAAAATATGGATTATTTAGTAAGATTTGTTTCCATTTGCCGTGACGATATTGAGGAACGTTTATATCAAAACTGTAGATATATTTGGTCACTTCCTCGTTCCATTTCTGATTGGCAAAATATTGAGCCAAAACTTGTTCATTGTTACCTTTAAATGTTAATGTATTAAAATAACGACTACTTGCATTGTAAAATTTGCAATCATCAGCATTTGACTTTTGAGAAGGTGAAGAGGAATCAAAGTTCCAAATTAGCCCCAATTTACCGCGAGGTTTAAGAATTCGACTAAACTCTTTCAAACTAACTTCATCTGCAAACCAATGGAAAGCTTGTGCAATTATAATTGCGTCTACAGATGTGTTTTCAAGTGTAGTATTAAAACTTGACGCTTGAATATTTTTAATCTGGGGAAAATTCCTACGAAAAGTTTCCAACATTCCTATTGATGGCTCAACAACAGTCAAGTTTGATGTCCAGCCATTATCAACTAGGTTCTTGGTGAACTTACCGGTCCCACATGCAATCTCTACAATTTTCTTGTTCGTGTCAAACTCATATAATCCGGTGCTCTTTTCGTACCTTCCGAGTTCAAGCTCGACTAGAAACGGTTGGACAATCAATGGAGTAAATGAGGGTCGGAATATATCATATGAGGAATGGTTGGAGTTAAATGAGCTAATCGCAATGCTATGAGGCTCTCTTTTTGTCATTTATGCTCTATCAATAAAGAGTTTTGTTACTAAGGTATCTTTGTTTACTAAATTGCATTGTCTTGATTCATCTGGTATTACCTATAAGCTATACTCAGGTACATCTATATATATCTCTATTGTCTTAGTACTATGTATAGTCATCGATATTATATTATTAAATAAAGTATTGCATCTAACTCTAGACTTTATTTTGCAATATTTTCTTCATGTATCCTGTATTAAATTGTTTTCTAGAAAATATAATATATGGTTTATACTTTTTAGACAAGTTTTTAGATTTATAAGTATTAATACATATCATCTTAGATAATACTAAATTAAAAGTGTTGTCTTCTTTATATAGTTTATAAGCTAAATCAAAATTGTTAGTAATTGAATAATTTGTAACATTAGATGTATCTACATTAGTTTCAAAAAAGATGGGATATATTTACCCCATGTTTGCAACTCATGAAATATCTATGATGGCCGCTGGAGATTATTATTGCAAAAACTACAACAGTTTAAACAAGTATTTCATCATGATGAAAAATTATTAAGCCCTTTTTAAAAGTATATGCACGACAGCGGACACAAAAACTACCAGGCAAGACAATCTGTATCAGACAAAAACCAAAGAAAATTATCAGACATAGAGGTACAACATACGACATCGTTACCGCAAGAGACGACACAAGACAAAAATCGTCGCAAAAACGACATTTACAGAAAGACAGGAAACCTCAGCCATAGAATGTTCAGACACTAGACAAACAGGTTATTATCAAACCCGTTCTAACAATAGCTAAAGTAATAGTCAAATTCCATATATACAAGATTCCAGCGGCACTATCGAGTGGAGCGAGATAGTGGAGCAATGTGTCAGAAACGACATTGACACATTTGCACACTCCATGGGGAGGACATTCTCTTATGGACTAAAGTTTGAAGAGAACTGATTAATCTTACCAAAACTCATGATTCTCGAGAAACGGTACTATGAGCAGAAAATTACTCTCAATAATTTAGTGGTGTCCTTCAAGATCTCTACTAATCAAAAGATGAATAAAATGATGATAACGACATTGATTTATCTACAATCTACAATCTTTTCTTGAATATTACCCGGCACTCTCTTTTTTGCCAATCAGCCACTCCTCCTATTTTTTCTCTTTTACCCGGCACTCGACATTTTCCATAGAATTTGTATTCATCTACAAAAGTTATGTAAGTTCACTTCATTGAAAATTGAATAATAATGTATATATAGTATAGTCAAATTCCATTTTCTTGCAAAGACTATTAAACTGGCATTCCTTTTTCTATTTTCTCCAAAATTTCATTAAATATGAATTCATAACATGATTTACGGGGCCCTTCATACATGTTATATTCTATGAATTCATAATCAAATTTATTACACTTTCTCATATATGTTGAATGCAATTGAGCAAACTTTTAAGAAAAGGTTTACGGAGAAGGTCAGAGATCAGAGGTCATTGGTAGCAATGATCTCAAGCTGCAAGGATACTAAAGGCTTAATAATTTAGCATAAATGAAAACTACACTGAAAAGAGGAAATGTACAAGTATAATGCAATCGTCTATTCATGATATTAATGTCAACACACACACACACTCTCTCTCTCTCTCTCTCTCTCTCTCTCTCTCACCCCTTCTCTCTTTCTAACTTCGTAGCACATCCATAACTTGTTGCTTAGAAGTTTGATCTAGTAGTCTAACTTCCATGAAATAGAAATTTACAATATCAGCCATTCCTTCGACACCACCTTTACCACCAAATAGTCTTCTAATCAAAACTTGCAAGATGTCAGATTTAGTCACTTTCAAAATCTCAATGATTTGTAAAAAATTCTCTAAAGGCAATGAAGGCAATCTTAGAAACTTGAAAAACTTAATGAGCACCATTAGTTTACGAATTATAATGTCCTTTGGTATGTTATGTTTAGTAAACGCGGTTTTGAGAATGTTCAACATGCTTGCAATTAAACTTTCCCCAACATCATGCTTGTTCTGCTGCCTCTCAATAATTCTCTTCATGACATTTACGTCACCTGTAGATAATAAGGAGCTGGCCATGTGACTTGTTGATTTGAATGATGATGTCTCATACTCGAATTTTCCTTCCTCTAAAGAGTTTAAAAATCTGGTATAAGCCAATGCTTCGCTTAATTGTACACAGTCTCCAACATACTCTTCTTCTTTAGCTAAAATTTCACTAGGTCTAACACCACAATCAAGTTCGTACATGATCATTAATGCAGTAAGCTCGGGCTGTGAAGGAACTTCAAACTGAGTGCACGCTTCTTTAAATCCCTTGGTATCATTGCACTCAAGTTCGGCTTCAAGAAGAAGTAGTTTGATCTCATTACTTTGGACTCGAAGTTTAGATCCAACCAATTTGATAGATGCAAAGTCTTTCATCTGCTTCAAGTAGAGAAGATATGGAATTATCCAAGTACAACTCTCGTTTGCTTTCAAAGCTGAATCAATATCAAAATCCATGTGCAATGTCTTGAGTCTAGTGCTCGATTCAAACAATGCTTTTAAACATCCAGCGTCATATAGCTTATTTGCTTTCAAGAATGTAAAAATACCGGTATTTACATCCTCGTTATCATATGCAATTAGTCGCTTTAGTAAAATTATTTTCTTGTCAATGTCACAATTTGTCAACCAGACCCGATCTAAAATGTTCAAAATGCCAATTGTTGGCAAGTAAGTGTCTATAAATTCTTGATTGATGATGATGTTCCAAGTCTTGACTTGGAATTTATGTCCCTGTCCAAAATATTGAACAAACTTGGAAACTCCTTTCTTGTAGTTCACATTCAAAACAAAACTCAAATCCAAATCTTGGTCAAACAAATTGTTGTTGCAAAGTTTCTCGGGTTTGGTACCATTCTGAGTTGTGTTTGTGTTTACATTCAAGTAGTTACATGCTTGACTCAATAAACTGGTTGAATCTATATCGAGGTCTGCATTCAACGTGCTCATCAAGGTCTTGAAATGATCACACAACAATTTCTTGAACTCAATAACCTCATCATTGAGCTCAAGGTAATGGTTAGCTGGGTCTTCAAATTGATTAATCAAGCAAGCTTCAAAGTTTGCAATATTCTTGAGCACCTGTTTATCTGTGCCTGAATAGTTCAAAAGTTGCGAGCCAATGAAAAGCATCCCGTAAATGTTATCCTTTTCAAGGTTAAACTCATCAGCACATTTAACAACCAAAGGCGAATTCATCAAAACTTGAACATTGTAATTAGTCACGTTCGCCACTGCTGACGGATCATCAGCAGCAGATACAAACTCAAATGGTACATTAATAATCATATATGGAATGTACTCGGAAATAAAATCATTCAAAGATGTTGATGTGGTGTAATATTTACCTTGCGTTTCTAAAAGCAGAAAAAGCAATCCAAAATATTGTTGATTAAAAAGTTCACCTTCACCTCTATTATGAATGACACCATTATTCAAATAGCTCAACAAAATTCTTAAAACTTCTTGATCTCCAATCAAGTGCTCTTTTAACAATATCTCTTTAATTAGTTGAAACACTCGTTCATGGTCACCTTTTCCAATAGCAAGGTACAACAAAAGATCGCGACATGAAAGTTCATCAATACTCATCATATCAATTGTAGACATTGCTTGAAAGTCTTTTCTATAAGCAATTCTATTATACAACAGCCACATATTTTCATATTGATCTTGATCTTGGTCTTGGTTTTGACAAGTGTACTTGTTTAACTGGTTGATGAAAAAGTTGTACAAAGAAACCGGTAATTCTGGAATAAATGCCACTGATTCAAATTTCTGCAACAAATCATATCCCTTGAGAACCCCAAATTTAGTAGTATAAGTTTGCAAGAAAACGGCAATCAAATCACCAACTTGCTTCTTGTTTGGTCTTTTACTGAATTGTAAAGAGTCCTTGTAGTCAATAAGAACATTATCCAATAACTGGCTTGCGGGATTTGTAAAATCATTCAATAACATGGATCTCATTAATGCAGAGTAAACTTTAAACTCATCCAAATTGTCAAACAGTCTCAACTTCAGGTAGATATTTTCAATCAAATGATAAATCGCCTCCTTATCAAGAATATCAGTACAACCTTTGAAAAGTGCAATGAAATTCAATGCCTCAAGGTAAAAAGAGTAATCTTTTGACTCGTGTTTTCCAAGTATTGGCACGAAAATAGTCATCAACTCCTTAGTAATGAGATTTGGAAAAGCTTGTGCCAATTTTGCAATTTTGAAAAAAATGTCTGCTTTTTCATTCAACTGATTATGAACCGAGTGTACTAGTTCAAGGCTTATTTGTGCAAACTCTTTTGCCTTTTGAGTATAATTGTAAAATTGAAACGAATTAGTAGTGGGTAATTGCAAGCAGGTCAAACTGCCATCTAATAATGCATTGATTATTATGTTATATGTTTCCCGACTTGGTTTGATGCTAGCTTCGAGGAGATCTTGATACACTGTTAACAAATTGGTTAATTTGCATTCAACAGCTTGTAAATCAGGTTCACTATCGAGACTTCTTTGCTTGATAGACTTTAGTATAATGTCATAAACCTCGATATCGTGTAGATTTAGCCCGTTCCTTTTTATGGATTGGTACAATGGGTATATAATGTTGAGATCCTCTGGATCTGTAAAATCTTTGTAAATGTTCCGTATTTGGGTGATTTGCGTGGTTAAAAATCTATCATTGAATTCATCATTTTCATTATTATTATTATTATTATTGTTGTTGTTGTTGTTGTTGTTGTTGTTGTCATTGTCGTCATTAACCTTTTTTCCCTCAAGAGACACTTCAACTCTTGGTTTTAATGAGTCTTCCTTCTTTTTCAACGGTAGCTTATGATTATTATATTGAGTGGTAGCTATGGTAGTAGTGCTAAACAGTCTCTTTGAAAAGCCTACCGAAAACACATTGATATTGTTACATTTTGCTTCTATTGGGGAACTTATATGATCATTTTTGTTATTAGCAACGGACTGACATAAAGCTAAGGGTAGAATTTTAAAAGTCAAACTTTTCAAATTTTCCAAACTGAAATTTGTTTGAGATTCTTTTAATGCTGTTGGAATAATAAATTTAGCTGTGATTCCAATAATAAATAATTTAAATGCAAAAATGTGATAAAGATAATACTGCTGAGTTCGTCGGCTTCTCTTGTGATTACCCTTATTTTTATTTTTATTTTTATTTTTATATTGATTTTGGGAAAATCTGTTTACAATGTACTGTTTGAAAACACTTCTGTCACCTTGTTGAAATTGCCTTTTTAGATATTGTCTAGTATAAGCTCTATATTCCTGTTGTTTTTCTTTTCTTTCCGATTCTTGATTGTACATCGAGTAGTATAGACCATAGTGGCCGTTTGATATTCTCAAAAATGACCTTGAATGCTCTGCAGATTCATGGTTCAACCTTGTCCACCATTTTGCCTTGTATAAACACTCGTCATACTTTTTCAAACCTTGGTAGTAGCCACTTGTGTTTAAATAAGGGTAGGATGACCGGAAAAACGGTTGATGAGTCTTGGTCCGCGTTCGTGTTGTTGATATATATGATGCCTTGGTTGAACATTTGGCGAACCGTATAAACGATACAAACACCATCTTACCTGTTTTTGGGGGTTTTTTTTAAAACTCTCGAGGGGTTTACACCTATCAAAGCATATGTATACCTAGTAATAGCAAAACAGACCTATACTGCCACCTCGCAAACCTCTAGAACCTTTCTAGTCCTCTCTACTTCTTTCTAGTTGTACTGGTTGTAAAAGAAAATGTGGTTGTAAAAATTAATTTGGTTGTAAAAATTAATTTGGTTGTAAAAATGAATTTGGTTGTAAAAATTTAAATTTGGTTGTAAAAATCATTTTATTGGTTGGATTTTCCATACATACAAAAACCTAAATTCTATTAATCGCTCTTTGTAAATACTGCAGAAGAAAAGGAAAATTTTTTTTCACTATATAGAAATATTAGAAATACCTATACTGTGTAATAAGGTGTAGATTACCCATGGGGTATAACATACCCCATGGGCAATTTATCAAACAATAAAGTCAAAAAGTATAATGTTAGTGTAAACTATCATTTACACTCTATATCTTCACACTTCTATATCTTCAAACATCAATATCTTCACACTTCTATTTCTTCACACTTCTATATCTTCACACTTCTGTATCTTCACACTTCTACACATTCTTCACACTTCCACACCTTCTTACAATTCTACACCTTCTTACACTTTTATATCTTGTGTCATTTACACTTTTACCCTTGTCGTTACTTTACCTCACAAGCAGAAATAATTTGCTGTTCGATAGCTTGTTACAACACTATCACGCTCTGCTAATGTGCTCCACTATCGAGCAGTGTCGACTAATGTGCTCCACTATCGAGCAGTGTCGACTAATGTGCTCCACTATCGAGCAGTGTCGACTAATGTGCTCCACTATCGAGCAGTGTCGACTAATGTGCTCCACTATCGAGCAGTGTCGACTAATGTGCATCACTATCTCGCTTTGCTCGATAGTGTCGGCTAGTACGCTCCACTCTCTCGCTTTGCTCGAAAATGTCGGTGACAGCTGGTGTTGCTCCACTATCTCGCTCTGCTCGATAGTGTCGATAGTCGATAGTGTCGATAGTGTCGATCAAGAGAAAAAAGATTGTAACAATTATATAACAAGGTACCTTTCTATGGTTCAATGTTCAATTAATGATCGTTCTATTGCTGCCCTCAAATCTTCATCATCTAATGAAGATGGCTCCTTTTGTCTCTCGCAATTAATCTCATTTTCGTTTGCTTCAATTTTTGATAATTGTAATGCAATTTGTAAATTCTCATCCAAATCATCAACATCACCATCATTATTAGTCTCAAATTGGATGCTACTACTTTTATTACTCTGCAAATTCTCGCTTTCGCTCATTGCAAGAGCTACCCTCATTTCTTCTTCTTCATTATCAAAACTGGTGCCGTTGTATTTGTCAAATAACTCATCAGTTTTGCACTCTTTATAAATCTGGCGATTATATTCATCAATGCCATCTCGTATTTTCTTTTTGGACTCATTTTTACTATGGGTGCCCAAATTCAAATGTTTCGGTTTCTTGCCAACAGTCAAATTCTTCAGCTGCCTTTGTTCAACGAGATCTCCAAATTGGAAATATTGAACAGTGTCGCCACAGACAATAACTCCATTGGATTCTAGTTGATTTGGGTTCAATTTGATGAAATCGGTCTTTTGTAACGTATTGTGGAAATGGGAAAACCGTTTAGGAAATTTAACCCCAGCTTCTCTTATTAATTTACCAGTGAATACATCGTAGATATTTGTTACTCCATTATACCCAGAAACAGCAAGAACGCATCCGTTCAACGCAAACGACGTAACAGACATCAAATCGTTACGCATGATAACATTGTCTATACTAGCCAGTATCTTCCTATAATTCATTTCAGGATATATTCTCATCTGCGGAGTAATCGATGAAAATCCAGTATGGTCCCGGACATTCCACACAATGATACTACTATCACTTAATAAATGCCCATATAACAATCCATCGTGACCAATGATGTTAAAATTGTTTGAGTAAATCAATTTGTTTCTCAAACACTCTTGAAATTGCGAGCATACAATCCTAACGCCGTTACTCAACTTCAATGTTTTTGTTCCAGATCCTTCAAATCTAAACACCTGAACCGTAGACTTGTGCGAAAGTATAATGTTTCTCCCCGCAAAATCAACATCTAACTCGTTTTTCAAGTTGACTAAATGCTCCCTTTCCTCCTCTTCGTCATTAATAATACTGAAACCAATCTCAACTCTATTAATAACGGCCAAGGTGTGAAAATCCAAAACATACACCAGGTACACCGTGTTTACTACAATGTACTTGCTAAAGTCTGACTTTATATTAAGAATCGTTCCGTCTAATTTAGCCTCGTTTTTCTTCTTGCCGTGTATATTCCAAGCTTGCAATGTACCATTATATGACCCACTTATAACATCAGTATGTGCGCCAGTTTTATCCACAAAATCGTTAATCAAGATGGATAAAATAGGGCTCAACTCAAACCCCTCAGTAGTGTCTCCTTCGCTACTTACCTGGAACTTGATCAAGCTGACTCTGTGGCTATATGAAGTGGTGCTAGTTGCCAAGTTTTTCAATACAATATCTCCATTGCTCTTTCCCAATACTAAATAATTCCAGTTCATACTGTAGCATAAAACGTCCATATCGTATCCTCCAGGTATAAAGCTTTGATTTCTACCATTAATCAAGTTCCCTGAACATATATTCCCCAGCCGTTTATCAAATATGCAGATTTTCTTCATTTTAAAATCGCACATGGTCTCATCATTAAACTTGTGCTCATTGCTTAAAAGCTGGTAGACTTGGTGAACTGAGGTGCCCCTTTTCCAAGTCCTCATTATTTCCAACCTTGTGAAATACTCATTCATCCAATTTGTGCCATTAGTAACACTGGGGAACGAAGAAGAAGTAGGTAGAATACCAAACCGGGTTTGAAACAGCTTCATCCACGTTTCCTTATCATTAATTACATGGTTCCACTTCTTGCATACTAGTCGTAAATTGTTCAACACTACTGGGTCAAGCTGAGAAAGTATTTGAATCAAAATCTCATCCGGCAAATTGTTGATATTCAATTGGCCTTCACTGTCACTTGAACAAGTCAAGTGCTGATCATTGCTCAATGGTATAGTACTACCTAGCAAGTACTTTGCTGTTTCATTTGTTCCAGTTCCCATGACCATATGGTCATCATCATTAAGAACCCTTTTCCAATAAAGAAGTTGCTATATAAAAAACGTGGGCCTAGTGTAGAAACACAAGAGCAATACGAATTACCAAAAAGCGTAAACTACCTAGTATGATATCAATTATATTGAGATGAGATGAGATGAGATGAGATGAGAAGAAAAACAAAAATGAAGTTCCTTGTTGCCAGTAAAGTGGAAGAAGGGGGGGGGTTAGTTTCTGTTACTAGGTCGTCCGATGCTCGTCGCACCACGTGAGAAAACTCAACTAGCCAATACAGTGCTGTCACACGAGAAGGTCCCCCTATCGACACTATCGAGCGAAGCGAGATAGTTGAGCAGCACTGACTGTCACCGACACTATACGGGCGTAGCAGAGTAGCATTTCTCGTTCAATCTTCGCCTGGCGCTACGGGCGAGCTAACAACACGGGCGTAGCGTATCTCGTTCAATCTTCGCCTGACGCTACAGGCGAGCTGTCGACACTTTCGAGCGAAGCGAGATTGTGGAACAGCACTGACTGTCACCGACACTATCGACACTATCGAGCGAAGCGAGATTGTGGAACAGCACTGACTGTCACCGACACTATCGACACTATCGAGCGAAGCGAGATTGTGGAACAGCACTGACTGTCACCGACACTATCGACACTATCGACACTATCGAGCGAAGCGAGATTGTGGAGCAGCACTGACTATCACCGACACTATACGGGCGTAGCAGCGTAGCATTTCTCGTTCAATCTTCGCCTGGCGCTACGGGCGAGCTGAAAAAAAAAAGAGAAAAAATTTTTCAGATTTACCCCAAATTTTTTCAAGACAAGTTAAGGTGAAAGATTAGTTTAGGTTAGTTTGCTTTTTAGGGGATGTCAAGTGGAGAAGTTGAGGTTGGTATAGAACCTGAACAAGTTCAGAGTCAGGTCGAGGAAACTGAGGTTAAAAGGCTTCAGTTGAAACTCAATTTACCATCTTTAATAGTTGAAAATGGAGCAAAAGAAATTATTATTCCTTCACATTATGAAGAGAGTTTAACTGATTTGAGACAAACTTTGACGGTAATTCCTGCTACCAGAAGCTTGACTAACTACTCGATCTTAATCAATGGAGTCGATTTCGAGAAATTGGGCGAAATCAACACATTTGACCAAATCATTGAGGAGTTGAAACTTGGTGATAATATAGATGAGTTGAAAATTGATATCAAGGCAAACCCGTATAATTTAGCCTCGGTTTATGAGCAGATAATCAGATTCAGAGAAGTTATTGGACTTCACTATGTTGACAAATTGTCTTTGGATCTAGGCTCTTGTGGCGGTGTAACGAAATTTGGTTTGATTCAATTGGATCCAATGAAAGTGAAAGAAGAGAACAAGGAGGAGAACAAGGAGGAGAACAAGGAGGAGAAGGAGAACAAGGAGGAGAACAAGGAGGAGAACAAGGAGGAGAACAAGGAGGAGAAGGAGGATGCTCAAGTTGTGAATTTGACAGAAAAAGAAATTGCTGAAATTAACGATATTGTAAATACCTTTGAAACTAGTCCAATGAGTGCAGATTTTATAAATGCGAGCAGCTCGGATCACATTAATGCCAATGTGAAAATCCCAATTAAATCCTTGTCGATATCACAATGGTCCCCTGTGCCTCCATTTCAAAAGAGCAAGGGCGACCTTTTATACCTCACAATTCAAACTTTGGAAAACGAGACCTTCAATATTACCTGTCATTTTACTGGTTTTTTTGTTAATAGGTCATCAACGATTAATTTCAATCCATCAATAAAGGTAAATGAAAAGGGAAAGTTTTTCAAACACTATTTGTTATACGATTTGGTATCTCAAATTTCTCCATTGTTTTCTACCACTATTGCAGAGAATGAGCAAAGGTTGACCGAATCTACTGATTATCCAGAAGCTTATTTATTACCAACCAACTCTTTCTTGGCCTATCCTTGGATAGTTGACGAGAAAGTATTAAAGAATCTCCCCGATGCATCGAGATCTCAACTTCCCTTACTCAGCAATGGCGTTGATGGTAGTGATATCATCAAGGAGTGGAATAGCGATATCCAGGCAATGAGAGAATTGCCAAAATCAAATTTTCAAGAACGTATTATGCGTGATAAGCTCATTTTGAAAACTTTGTTTGATTTCAACAAGACTGCTGCAGAGACTGCTATCAATATCATAAAGGGAAACATTACCCCAATGAACCCCGGTGAAGAAAGCGACAAACGCATTTACTTGAAAAACGGTGTATTTTATTCTTTAGGAACTTCTACTGTGGATGCTTTTGATAACACTGGAAAAGAAGAAGCTTCTCGATATGTTTCTACAAAGGATTTGGCAGCTATTAAATTATTGAATAAACATGAGCTTAACGGATTCTCGACTTTGGTCACTTGTATTGTTGACTACATGGGTAACCGTGTTATTTGCCAAGCCCCAGTTCCGGGAATTTTGGATCCTCCAGCAATGGATGACGAAGAAGGCGAAGGAGAAGGAGAAGGAGAAATTCCGGAAAAAGTTTTGTATGGCTTATCATCTGACGGAAAGAAAATATTAGAAGACCAATCTTTCCTGGAGCCCTTGAAACAAATTGGCGAGGTTTTCCATTTAAAAGCACATAAAGTGAATATATCAAAGGAGGTCCAATCACAGCATGACCTTGTTGTATCCAAAAATACAAACGGTATAAAGGGAACTGATGGAAGGAAGTATGTTATTGATTTGTATAGAACAACTCCTCGTGATATTCAGTTTATTGAGTCGCATTTCAACCTTGGTGATGATAAGTCGTACCCACATGGTGAGCCTTTGGTTAGACATGAAGCAGTTAACGAATGGTGGAAACGTAAAGTTTCTGTTTTGTTTAAAGCCGAGACTGAGAAATTAGAAAAGGAAGGTAAATTGAAAGAAGGTGAGGAAAAATCCCAAATTGCTTTGCCCATTGATCAGGTAGTTTTTAACCCTGATGCATTTTCATCGGAGTGGGAAACTGAAGAAGATCGAGCAGAAGTGAGAGAGATTTCCAAGTTTATTACGGAAAAATTGATTCCTGAATTTTTGGAAGATAGCCAACATCAACTATCACCATTTAATGGTACTCATTTGACTGAGCAATTACATTCTCAAGGTATCAATATGAGATATTTGGGTTTGATTGCTGAGAATATTTTAGTCGAGAAATCCCTTTATCAAGATTCGATAAAGCAGGTAATTGCAGAAAACGAAAAGTTGATCAAAAAGGAGGAAGAGGAAAGGAAGGAGGACGAGAAAAAGAAGGATGAAGAGAAAAATGAATCCAAGGAAGATAATGGAGATAAAGATGATGATATTTCATCATCAAAAGCAACTTATGAGTTGGCAATTGCAAATTACGATACTCTTTACAGACTTGTAGTCCAAGAGATGGTAGCTAGAGCCTCGAAACATTTGTTAAGAAAATTATTGAAGAACACTCCATTGCAATTGGCTAGTTCAGCTGTAACTCTTTTCCATAATTGTTTGTTGGGAGGTGAGATCAACAAATTGCCCACTGTGGAGATTGATGATTTAGATGCCTCGTTTTATTCAGAGTCGGACTTACAATTTAAAGATCTTACTCATGAAAAAGTTGTCAGTCAAGTTGAAAATGAAGTTTATTTGAGGTTTAGGTATTCTTTGCCAAAGAACTGGCTCATTGACATTGTGCGCTTACCTCAACTATTCAGAGAAATTGCTGTTAAATTTGGTATTCAGTGGAAATCACACAATTATGCATTCACCAAGGAAGAGTTTGCTCAAAATCAGAATACCGCTGCTGTTGAGGTTCATGTTGCTGAAGCAAAACAGTCCAAAAAGTCCAAAAAGAAATTACCTTTGTTAAACAAAGTTTCATGTCCACGTAATTCTACATTCATAGCTGATGATATTATTGGTTTTATGCCTTTAATTAAGGACTCGTCATACAAGCCTTCCTCGCTAGATGAGATCTTTACCAATGCTCGTTCTCATTTGGTATCCGGGGATAAAAATATTGGCTTAACTATGCTCTTTGAATTGGTCACTATTCACGAATCGATATTTGGAAAAGTGAATTCAGTTACTGCAAAATTTTGTGGTTTAGTTGCAAAGATTCTTCGAGAGCTGGGATTCGATTATGAAGCGGCGCTTATGGGCCGTAAAGCTATTGTACTTTCTGAAAGGTCATGTGGCTTTGATAATCATGATACTATTACAGCGTATATGAATCTGGCTTATTTTGAAGCTTCAAATAACCAAGTGGTAAATTCTTTAAAGTTGTATCAAAGCGCAATGAACCTTTGGTCACTTACATACGGTAAAGATCACCCAGCCTTGATAAATGTTTTGATAAACGGGTCGGAGTCTCTTTTTGTTGCTAGAGACTATGACGCCGCTTTAAAAGTATTGGAAAATGCGTTAGCTTTGAGCAAAAAACTAAATGGGGAAGACACAGCAATCACGGGATTGGTTTATTTTAGAATTGCAAACGTTGTAATTTCCCAAAATCAGTTTGCCAAATCAAGGGATTACTTCTTGGCTGCTCATAGCATATTCCAAAAATTACTAGGACCAAAAGATCCAATGACGATTCTGGCTGGTAAGTACGTATCCAATGTGTCAGTGTATGTTGAATATGCAAAGGCAAAAGCCCTAGAGGAAGAGGAGGAGAAGAAGAAGCAGAAGAAGAAGAAGAAGCAAAATAAGAAAACACCAGTACAAAAGACTTTTGGTTCTGTTGGACTACAGGGACCACAGGCAACGGTAAAAGCAGTATCAGGGGTTGCTGCTGCTGCTGCTGCTGCTGCTGCCTCACAGGTGAATGGAGATTCCGAGTCGAAGCCAAACTTAACTGGTCGTAAAAAGACACCTCCGCAATCGGATCCTCGAATTGCCAGTAAATCAATTGATGAAATTTTGAAATTTATTGAAGGAAGTAAGGTTTCCACATCAAACCAAAAAGAAAGAAAGAAATTAAAACATTAACAAAGAGAAAAAAAAAAAAAATCATTCAGCATCTCTTGTATATATGTATATTGAAACAAAAGCATTTACAATCCACTCTAGTGTTTTTCTTCATTTTTTTCTTCGGATTCCACCTTTTCTTCTTGTGGAGTTACTTCGAATGTTATAAACACATTTCTAACAAATTTATCGTCATCTTTTATCAAGTTTTTCAATATTGTTTCGTATTTGTTCAATGTGAGCAAATCAATAGACTTGTTTTCAGTGATCAAAGTAAAGTTAATGTTTGTATTTGCACCCGACGATAATACCGCTAACAGCTTCAACTTAAATTGGTTTAATTCATGGTTATTTTCGAGTTGATGCTTGACAATGTTTTCCACTTTATCGTATAATTCAGATCCCGGTTGTTCGCCGCGATCTATCAACTCGTACCAAGCCTCTTTCATAGTATCCCACCCTGCTTTGATAATGAGAATAGACACTCCGATCCCACCAATAGAGTCTAGCCATGCGACATTGAAAAGAACGCCACCAGCTACAGTGAGCAAAGCCACAACCGCTGTTAACGAATCAACTCTATGGTGCCAGGCATTAGCTACCAACACTTTTGAGTTTGTTTCGGTTGCGATTTTCATTGTTTTTCTGTACAAAATCTCTTTAATCACAATTGAGCCTGCTGCCAACCAAGCGGCATTTATATTTGGAATTTCTCTATGAGTAGTTAACTCTGTATTTATTGGAGTTGTTTGCAAGTGATTATGTAGATGGTCATGGGCATTTGCAGTTTCGTTTCCTCTTCCGATTTGGGTATGTGCATGAGTGTGACCGATTTGGATGCTAGCGGCAATTTCGTACAATTGGGCAGGAAGGAAAAACTCAAAAACTTGCAACATTGAGGACCATCCAACAGAGATACCGGCAAACAAGAGGATTGCGCTTATGGCGAAGGATCCTATTGTTTCTATTTTGCCATACCCCAAGGGGAATTTTGTACAAGTTCCAATTTTGGAAGCCACGTTGACGGTGGCCAATGTTAGGAAATCGGCAAGCATATCGCTTACTGAGTGTATTGCATCAGCAATAAGGGCCTGTGAATGGAAATAAACACCACCAATACCTTTAGAAATTGCCAAGCTGATATTGACCAAAAGTCCTAACCAAGTGATTCTCACAGCTGGATTTGTCTTTACCGACGACGCGTTAGCTTGGAGGAACACATTTGGTTCATGCATTGAATGATGGTGATGCAATATACTCCCAGAGTGTGTATGGGAGTGCGAGTGCTCTGCATGGGAGTGCTCTCCATGGGAGTGCTCTGGACTAGTATGAGAGTGCTCTGCATGGGAGTGCTCTGGACTAGTATCAGAGTGCTCTGGACTATTTTCAGAGCGGTGTTTATTTGTAATTGGATTCTCCTTATTCAGCATGCTTTGATGATATGTAGTAAATGTTGAAAAAAATTTCCGATCTATTGTCAATGGTCTATAATAAAAAAGGGGTAATGTAGATGACGACTTTAATAGTAGAAAATGATGTATCTTTACTCCAGTGAAAATTTGGCTATTAAAATGCATAGCTTTTTTTCCTTCTTCTTTGCAAATGATGTAAAGGAGAAAAAAATGGCCAGAGAGTATTGCTTAATTCCATAAAAAGGAATAGGTTGACTTTTGAGGGATGGATAAAAATTGCCCTGTGAGTGTAATTAGACTAAGGCGGGGGGGTCTTTGTTGGGTATAGTATTGAATATCTCGTTGGATACCAAATCGGATACCGTGTTTGGTATCTTTCAAAGCCGTTTGATAGCCTTTTGAAAAAGTTTACCAAGATGAAAAAATCCCCATGTTGATTAACTCGTTCTAATTTTTCACTGAATAAAAGACAATGAGAAGAAGAAGAGGAGGGAAAAGAAAAAATGTTTTTTCGCTTGAGAATGTGCACGTCCGTAATCGTATGGTCCACTATCGAGGAGAGCGAGATGGTGGACCAATACTTTGTAGTTAGAGCGAGATAGTAAAGAGACATTTTATAGTGACACTATTGAGTAGAGCGAGATAGTAAAGCGACATTTTGTAACTTGGTCTGGTTAATGAGATTGATTAATTATTCATGATTAGATAATTAGATTAAAAACTATTAGATTAGAAATTATAAACTATCGGACTATCGAGCAAAGCGAGATAGTCTAGAAGAGAAGTTAGAGTAGTGTAGTGTTGTAATAAGCTAGTCAGTGTTACTACTATGTTTCGCTCTACTATCGAGCAGAGCGAGCAAAGCGAGATAAACTATCGGACTATCGAGCAAAGCGAGATAAACTATCGAGCAAAGCGAAGTTAGAGTAGCGTAGTGATGTAATAAGCTAGTCAGTGTTACTACTATGTTTTGCTCTACTATCGAGCAGAGCGAGCAAAGCGAGATAGTCTAGAAGAGAAGTTAGAGAGAGTGGATATAGACTATCTCGCTTTGCTCGATAGTCTTGAAGAGAAGTTAGAGAGAGTGGATATAGACTATCTCGCTTTGCTCGATAGTCTAAAAGAGAAGTTATAGAGAGTAGTGTAGTGATGTAATAAGCTAGTCAGTGTTACTACTATGTTTTGCTCCACTATCTCGCTCTGCTTAATAGTGCTGTACCAAGCTAGTTAGTGCTGCTCGATAAAGTTGGTGGCAGCTAGACAGTGTTGCTCCACTAGCTCGGTTCGCTCCCTAGTGTCACTTCACTCGATAGTGGCACTTGAATTTTTTGGCTGCGAAAAAACTTTGCAATTGTAAGCATTTTTCAACTAAAATATTGCTTCATTTAATCAAAATACTAGAGGAAGAACTAGTCTTTGAGTAATAGAGTACACTGACTAGTTACTATTTGGTTACTACTAGCCAGTTACTATGGTACTATTTAGTACTATTTGATGTTGCTCGATAGTGTGGGTAGCAGCTAGACAGTGTTGCTCCCTAGTGTCGTTGGACAGTGTTGTGAGTCAGTGTTGCTCCACTAGCTCGCTTCGCTCCCTAGTGTTGTGAGTCAGTGTTCCCTAGTGTCGTTAGTCAGTGTTGCTTCACTAGCTCGCTTCGCTCCCTAGTGTCGTTCCCTAGTGTCGTTAGTCAGTGTTGCTCCACTAGCTCGCTTCGCTCCCTAGTGTTCCCTAGTGTCGCTATGTCGGTCTACAGTAATTGCTCTAATAAAGAGTTGGTGGTTACAGAGTTACTTTGTGAATCTCCTTTCTCCAACTCTTCTCCACCTCCACCTCCCTCTTGTTCAAACTCCTTCAAGGTCCACTTTAATTTTTCTATCCTCTTTAACAAATATTTCTTCTCTTGCGCTTGACACAACTTGATTTGTATCTCCTTTGTAGGCTGTCTAACATGCATATAATTACACATTTCACCTCTCTCACAAGAATCGGTGTCATAAGCTCGGCAACGAGCCTCGTCAAAATTAGTCACGGGCGACAAATCAGAATGAACTGGCTTCCCATTAAACCATTCTTGATTTAACTGCTGGTTAGCCCTGCCAGCATCATCGGCTGAAAAAAATCGCACATAAACATTACCATTTAAATGATTATTCTCGTTTTCACAAACCACCAAGGATGCAATCTCCCCTTTTTGACAAAGATGTATAAACACATCTTGATAAAACTGATCCAAGGTTTCTTGTAATTGCTTGGGCAATATTGGCTCACTCTCATTCTTATTGAGTTTGGGATTTTGATACAAATTAGCTAATAAGAGGGTCTTGGACCTAGTGGGCTTGATATGTTTTTTAGAACATTTTTCTCCATGTCTACATGCTCCTATCTTGTTATAAAACGCACAGGACACTGAAACTGACTCGTTACGATCATACGGTCTATTATAGCTCATGAATATAACCTCGCTGGAAAGAGCAGCTTCTAATGCTCGTACTAATACTAAATACGTCTATCAACACTACGGCCTGTTCAACCAAAGTCTATATCTTGCCGTTATAAAGGTCCTGAGGTGCAATCATCTCAGGTTTTTTCAATTTTTCATTTTTCATTTTTCATTTTTCATTTTTGTTTTTCTTTCCAAAAATGAAAGAATCTTTGAATTGGTTCAAGAACATTTAGTTATATACAGCTGCCCTGACCCCCACACTCCTCCTTTTTGCTTGCTTTGCTTGCTTTGTTTACTTTGTTTGCTTTTTGAAACGTTTGGTTTGCTTGCTATTTTATGATAAAATCACTAAAACTAGGATGGGCCCTATACTTGGTAATATCGTTAGCTAATATCCTTGGGTTTGTAATATTCCTAAAAGGCTTTTTTCCGACAAAGAAGGTACTACCAGGGTTTGGCACCTTTTATGAAACAGAAGAAGCAAACTCAACCTCGGCGCTTGATCCTGCTGCTTCGGTTTCTGCTGCCTCTCCTTTCTTGGATGAAAACGGTTTGCCAAAGTACAACAAATTCATTTTAATGGTTGTCGATGCCATGAGATCGGATTTTTGTTTTGGCAAGGATTCCGAATTTACTTTTTTGCAAAGCTTGATTTATCAGGGTAATGCAATACCTTTTACTGCTTATTCAAACCCCCCGACAGTGACCCTACCCAGACTCAAAGGTATTACAACTGGCGGAACACCAAGCTTTTTGGATGCAATTTTGAATGTTGCTGATGATTACGATAACTCTCAAAGCTTGTTTACTCTGGATTCATGGGTACACCAATTCAAACAACAAAACAAAAGCATCAATTTTTTCGGAGATGATACATGGCTAAAGTTGTTTCCGGGACAATTTGCTGAATTTGAAGGTACAAATTCTTTCTTTGTTAGCGATTTCACAGAGGTTGATAATAATGTTACGCGCCATTTGGATCTTCAATTGAAACCAAACAATAATTGGCATGGCTTAATCTTACACTACTTGGGCTTGGATCACATAGGGCATAAGGGTGGTCCTGATTCTGTTTATATGAAACCCAAACAAAAGGAAATGGACGCAATAGTGAAGAGACTATATCAATTTATCGAAGAAAAAGAGAATAATGACACATTACTCATCTTGATGGGTGATCATGGAATGAACGAAATTGGAAACCATGGTGGTTCCTCTTTGGGAGAAACATCCGCAGCATTGACAGTGATTTCGCCAAAACTTGAGATGAAGATGAATAAATACTCTTCAACATCACCACATCCACCACCACAAACTATCCAGAGCTCAAAATATTCCTACTACAATGATATACTTCAAATCGATCTAGTACCCACAATGGCATGTCTCTTGAATTTCCCAATTCCCAAAAACTCACTTGGTGTGATTCCAAAACAGGTGGTGGAATTATGGACAGAGGAGAAGAGACGCTCTATTTTGTTACAAAACTGTTATCAAATAATGGAGCTTTATATTGCTAAAAATGGAAAGAAGGGGGCGTTGTGGTCTACTTTTCTCGACTTGAAGAGCAAAGTTCTTCCGCTAGATGCTTATTACGCCTTTTTGCATGATGTACAACATGAATTGGCTTCTTCAGCAACTGAGTATAATTATAACGAAATGTACTTGGGGGTGTTTTTGGTATCGCTTTCAGCGATTATTACCATTATAATATTTAATGCTTATTTTCTTCGTTTCTCCCATGCCAACTTTGCAAAAGTTGTGTTATTTCAAGTGTTTACATTTTTGTATGCGATTCATTTCCATGGGTCTTCATTCATAGAGGAAGAGCACCAAATTTGGAACTTTGCAACATCATTGATTTTGATTTATTGTGGACTAGCATTTTTCAATGTCTTTGAGAAAAGAAACAAGGTTTTTACATTATTGTTCTTGTTTACCAGTCTTCGAGTACTCAAGTCATGGAATACCGCTGGTCAAAAATGGTTTTCCAATAACAATATTTCAAACTACTTGCAAGATAATGTGGAGCTTCTCTGGGCCCTTAACTTTGCCACGTACTTTGCTTGTACTGTACTCACTTATATTCAGGATAGATATGGCATAGGCTATGCGCTTCCTGAGAGCATACATTTGCTAGACACCAAGGACTTGGGCTCGTTCCTTTCATTTACGATGATATTTGTTGCTACATCTCTATCCTTTATTTTCAAAATGGTTCAGTTTTACGTTGATGGAAGGTCGCTCCCAAAAATATTAAGTTGGCCCTTAAACTGGGCTCTAGTCAATTTTGGCGTAGAATTAAATGAATACAGTGCTGCTGCCACTGATCCTACCAGCAAGTTTCTTTTGCAAAAAGCTAGTGTGCTGCTTTCAAAATTAAGCGTGAACACGTTATTTGGAGGATTGATTATTCGATTAATCATTGGCAGATTGAGAGGTAGGAGAGTGGGAAGAATTACAGACATAACAAACGCGGTTACAATCTACTTGCTTCATCAAACCGATTGCAGTAACATTCCTATCTTTTTGGTCCTTATGATTGCAAAGTTTTTATTGTCAAAGCTAGTTGTTCAAAAGACCTCTAATATCGACGATTACGTACTTGTGATTACTTCATTAACGCTTTTCCTACAAAACTCGACGTTTTTTTCAATGGGCAACACAAACTCGTTAGCCACAGTGGATTTATCCAATGCATATAATGGTATCGAATCATACAATATCTTCTTGGTTGGTTTACAAACATTCACATCAAATTTTGCCGGTCCTATCTTTTGGTCACTTTCGGCCTTGCAGTTGATCTTTGAGCCAAGTATCGTGTCTTGCAGTAAACGCAAAAGCAAGTCGGTAGAATTGATAGATTATCCAAAGTTAACGACCACAATAATCTTGGTCAAATCACTAATCCTGTTGTTGTTTTACTCCATTTCCGCTGTGGGTCTAATCGTTTCGTGTATAAACTTGAGATTTCATTTATTTATTTGGACAGTTTTTTCGCCAAAGTTGCTATTTTTTGGAAGCTGGCTTGTATTTGTCAATTTTTTAGTGGATATAGTATCCGCCATGGTCATTGTCTCCGTATAAGGTTAAAGGAATGAGGAAAAAAAAAAAGGTAAAAAGAACAAAATGGGAAAAATAAATGTTGTGGATATTGTAAGTACATTATTGCAATAATTGATCTCGGAAATGGGGCTGGTTGTTGATGAACTTTGCTGCTCTTCTATCGTTGACGTCTTCCCTCTTTTTCTCTGTCTTCCAGTTCCTCTTCTTCTCAGCTAATTCCTTCCTGTCTCTAAGAGTCAACATATGTCTAGTTTCGGCTGCAATAACAGTACCTTGTCCTTCTGAGAGTTCTCTCTCAGGAGCCAAATTTTGGCGGTAATATCTGGCGTTGGAACGATGTCCAATAATTGCACCAGAAGGTAAAATCAACTCATTCCCGGCCTGATAAATTGCGTCTTTTTCCACAGAAGGAAGCTCTTTTCCCCCTTTTTCTTCTTCTTCTTCTTCTTCTTCCTGCTCTTCTCCGTCATCATCTCCGCTGATGTCTTCCCAGTCGTCAGGATTTGAAACCAAATCTTCATCAACAACATCGTCAACATCGTCATAAGTTGACGAAAAATCATAAAACTTGGAGATTTCTAATTTCTCATCCTCTGTTTCATAAGGTATTTTCATGTGTCTCTTTTTCAGCATGTGTTCTCTAGCAGCTTCTGCGTTTTTTCCCTGATAATTACAAGCGATACAAAAACCAAAACCAATCTTTTCGCCTAAATATTCAATTAAACCCTCTTTGTCGATTAGGTAAGTTGCTTCAGGTATATATAGTCCGTGCTGCTTGAACATATGCTCCACGTTTTCGTCAACTGTACTAAACTGGTGACCATACTTTGGATGTGCAAAAAGACATGTCGTGGTTGGAATTTCGGTTTTGTTGGCAACTTTCAGCTGTAGAAGTATCTCTTCATCAACTTCTTCTTGCTCCTTTGCTTCTTCTTGCTCTTTTTCTTTTTCTTCTTTTGCTTCTTTTTCTTCCAAATCATTAGAGGTAGGCTTGTCTATAATTGGAATAGATGTTCTCTCCATTGGCAACCCCGCAATTTTTGCTTGCGCTGTCATAGCCTCCTCGGCTTGTTTATAAATAGCGCGTTTTTGTTCCAAAATAGCTTCTTTCTCCTTCCTTCTTTGCTCTTTCTTCGTAACTTGTTTTGTTTTAGTATCTGATTGCAGTTGCAGTTGCAGTTGAAGACTCGCCACTTTGGAATTGAATAGTTCCTCCAGTATCGACGGAAGCTGAGCAACTTTTCTCTTTAAATTATACCGATGCCATTCTGTTTTCATATGAATCCTCTGGTCATCTGATTTGGAGAATTGTAAACTACAAGTGTTACAAGTAAACATGTCCAATTGTTGGTCTAAAAAGCTTCTGCAATAAAGAAGAAGAAGAAGAAGAAAAAAAAAAATCTGAGATGAGATGAGATGAGATGAGCTTCGGTGAAATGGCTTTTTTAGTGAGACAGAAAAAGAAAGAGAGAGAAGTTCATCATTAACTAATTAATTTTAAAATAAAGGCAAACTTGAACATAAAGTAACCCCCCCCAGAAGGTATGTCGTCGTCGTCGTCGTCGTCGTCGTTATCATCATCGACGGATGAAGATATATTTCAGGATGTTTTGCCGAAATTAATGTCCACTATTCGAGCTGCAAGTGCACTAGGAGCACAAGATGTAAACTTTCTCAAATCAGTAGATGCTGATATTGGTGCTGAGATAGATACGCGAGGTGTTGAAATGCTATCAGTTGTCAATGGTCTTCTTAGATGTGCGTCGTCACAAATAAACCAGATTGAGCCTCTAGAATTTGGTAAGGAAAATATCACCAGTGACTCTTCATGGAAGCCTATCGGCAATATCATTGACTCAATATTTGAAAAAATTGACTATACATTTGACCAAGTGAGTAGACGTCGAACCAATGATGGTGGCGATGGTGAAGGTAGCTCTCAAAAACAATATTTAGAAGAAGGTATCAGTATCAGCCACTTGACGAAAGATGGAAAGAATGCTAGGGTACCGAAACCTCAGAAATACTTTAAAGTAGCCGTGGATAACTCTGAAGAGAAACCGTTTAAGCCTAAACTTACCACTAAACCTAATTCGCTACAAACATTGGAGGCGGTGAGCAAACTTGTGAGCCCAGCCCCTGTTTATGAGGATTCCGTTGAGCTTGTTGACCCGCCATATTATCCTCATCCATATGAATATGAAATCGATAACCATCCGTACCCAGCATCTATACTTGAGAAAGCCGAACCTATTCCCCCTACAGAATGGACAAAAACATCGGCAATTTGGGTAGATACTGTAGAGGAGTTGGACAAAATGATTGAAGAGTTGAAAAATCTGGAAGCAATTGCCGTCGATTTGGAACACCATGACTATCGGTCGTACTATGGATTGGTTTGCTTGATGCAAATATCCAACCGTGAAAAAGATTGGATTATTGATACGTTGAAATTGAGGGATGACTTGTCAAGCTTGAATCTTATTTTCACAAACCATGAGATTGTTAAAGTTTTTCATGGTGCATTCATGGACATCATATGGCTTCAAAGAGATTTGGGATTGTATATTGTATCATTATTTGACACTTATCATGCTTCTAGACAACTAGGTTTTACAAAATTTTCATTACAATATTTGTTAGATACGTTTGCTCATTTTAGAACGTCAAAGAAATACCAATTGGCAGATTGGAGAATCAGACCATTACCGCAACCTATGTTGGCATATGCTAGATCTGATACTCACTTTTTGTTGTACATTTATGATCAGCTTCGCAACAAATTGATTGATGAAGAAAAATTACCACGCGTTTTACACGAATCGAGGCAAGTGGCAAAAAGAAGGTTTGAATATACCAAGTTTCGACCTCTTTCAAACAATTTGACAAATAAAGTATCATGTCCGGTCATGGCCTCAAACCCAAAAGAACCTTGGCGCTCGATAATGTATCAGTACAATGTGCCAGCTTACAAAAAACATATTGTCGAACTTCTTTATAATTGGAGGGACTTGAAGGCAAGAGAAGAGGATGAGTCTGTACGATATATTATGCCAAATCAATTGTTGGTATCTTTGGCAATGTTGGAGTCACCAGTGGACACAAGTAAAATTCTCAATGTTCCCACCTATATCTCGGAACACGTGAGGTTGCACGCAAGGGAAATTGCACACTTGATTGAGCAGTGTTTGAAAGAGAGTGAACAGAGTGATTGGGAGATGGTGGACAAGTGGCATGTTGATGTGAGCGACCAGAGTCCTGAGTTGTTGTTGAATGTTGCCAAAGTAAATGATGTGTTTGAAGCTTTGCTTTTAAAAATGGAAACCACTGCTGCTGAGAATCCTTCATTGTTGGGTAAAAAGTCTACCGTCTTTTGTAGCGATAATACTCAAGAGGGTTTTCCAACATCTGTATTCGAAGTTACCTCTGCCGGTGTTGTCAAACATGACTTTAGAGAAGCACGTGCAGAACGACAGGAAAAAGTGTGGAACACGTTGGCAAATTTCAATCCTCAGAGGTCTGTTGTAGTAGAGGACATTGATACAAGCGACCACCACGATCATCAATTGGAAGAGACTGCTTTAGAGAGAGGCGTTGGTTCTGAAACTGAACCAAAAAAGCCCTTGTCAGGCCAACAAATTCTTTTCAATAAAGACAAGAATATTGATTCTGACCAGATAGTCACCCTTCGGAATAATAGTAGAACCAGTACCAGTGGTAGTAGTGGTAGTAGTGGTAGTAGTAGTGGCATCAAAAGACGTTTGGAGAAATTTGATTTAAAAGTTCAACAGCAGGATGAATCACCGGTGGATTACGTTAATGCGGATAAAATACTTATAGATACGGACAAGAAAAAGGATAAGAATAAGAAGAAGAGGTCTTTTGACCCATACTCCAAAGATGCGGAAGGTCCTAAGGCGGCAAAGAAAAATAAGACAATGACTACAGGAAGAACTTCAACATATAAAGTAAAAAAGAATAAATAGAGATTGCCTTTAGTGGTGAATCGGATGATGTAAATTGTAAAGCACGCTTTTGTTTCTTTACCAAAAGACAAAGTATATTTGGCGTTACTGACTTGTTTATATCTATCTCTATTGCACACGAGTTTGAGCTTTGCTTTGCTTTGCTTTTTTTTTTTTTTTTTTTCTCCTTGTGTAATTTTTCAGTTGAATGAGAGACGCGCGCCGTGAACTACGATCCATCGCTCATCATCATCAGCATCATTCGTGACCATTTTCCAATGGTTTTACCAGCTCATCTACAAGGCAATCTTACGCCCGCGGAGATTAATTTTCTAGCGGAGAATGAGCTTATCACGATTCTCCCGCGTTATTCAATCAAGCGGATTGACCTTATAGGAGTACGTTCTTATCAACTTTGAACCGAAGCAGATTTTTTTAGATATGTACTAATACTTTAAAGACAAGGATTCCTGACTTGATAGCTATGAAAAGAGAGAAAGTTCCCTTGTGGGTTGCCTTGATTTTGAAATCACAGGGCAAGTGTAATATAATTCCGCCCAAGTGGCTAGCTGTGACTTACCTCAAGGAGAAATATGACGAAGAGGTTCGAAACCCAAACCATTTTAGTAAGCTACCTTGGAACTGGTTAGAACTTTCAAAGGCTATATTGAGTAAAGCATCCGACGATCTATCGGATTCATCAGAAGATTTGAGATCTGTTATTCAAGATTTGAGAGAAATACGATTAGTGAAATCGAGAAAGGGTTTGAAAGAACTAAATGAGTCGAATATCCAATTGACTGGATTATCCTTGATGGAGATTAATGAAATAAGACCTTTTGTCATTTCAGTAATGAACCAGCTAAGAGAATTACATGCAACTTTGATAAGGGATAAGGATAAACTTGATGATGAGTAGAAAAAGGAAAGACCCTGACCGACACTGACCGACACTATCGAGCAGAGCGAGATAGTGTTGTACCAAGCTAGTCAGTGTTGTGCCAAGCTAGTGTTGTACCAAGCTAGTCAGTGTTGTACCAAGCTAGTCAGTGTTGCTCCACTATCTCTCTCTGCTCGATAGTGTCGATAGTGTCGATAGTCGCCTCTAAATTCTCTTTGATTACTGGCGTCTGAGGTTGATATCGTTGTTGTATTGCCTCCAATGTCCAATAATGTTTTTCCCCGTTAACATCCTCTTTTCTTTGATCTCTTACCTCCCCGGCGAGCGCGCACCATGGGTTTGCTGTGCTACACCTTCTTTTCGCTTTTCGCATTTCGTCCCCCACGCTCTTTTCGCACCCACCAGTGGGACTCCAACTGGTAAAGTGCTTGATGCGATAAAATATAAAGATCAAAATTTTGTTGATAAACTAATTACAATTGGTGAAGAGATCAAAAATACAAATAACTTTTTCACGCTTTTGTAAATGAGTAAGATCAAGACTTTGAACAGACAGTTCATATCGAATTTGGAGACACATAAAGTGATTACAGATGCTAAAAGAAACTTAATTCTTTCCATTTTAAAGTCAACAACAACTAAAAGGGAAGCTAGAAATTACTTGACAAAGTACCAAAGTCAGTTTAGTTTTCCGGATTTAGAGTTTCAAAAGTTCAACAATTTTTCAGATGAAATCACAACGAGTTTGAGCCAAAGAGACAATCAGCGGGACTTATTTGTAAAGAGGTTCTTGAATAATCAGAACCCCTTTCTCAATATCTATGATGAAGAAGAGACCAAATTAAACAAGATCCCCTTGAGACTAGCCATTTTTAAAATCAAGTTTCAAAGTATCACCATGAAGCAATGGAGAGGCATTGCTGAGACTTTCAAAAGATTAATTACTTTAGGGGTGTCTCCCATTATACTATTAGATTATGACCATTTGCCGAATGAATCATTCAAAAAGAATGAGCTTTATATGATAAATCAGGCGAATAAAATGCTTTCGATTTTGGGAAAACCCGAGGAGCCGGGTGATCTAAGGGCAACTGTATTGCGAAACGTATTCAATACAAAGCAAAGCGAAAGCGAAAGCGAAAGCAACGTCACAATTGATACTCTAGAACTGATCTTAATACCGTTGTATCAAGGGATCATACCAATTGTACAACCAATTCTGTACAATTCCCTCACCGCAAAACAGGAGTTTCTTAAATGTGACACTTTGCTATCGTCGCTATGCTCAGCCTTGATTGCAAACAGAACCACCAATTTGTTATCGGTGGAGAAGATAGTGATGATTGACCCATTGGGCGGTATTCCTTCAATTGAGCGTAATCAAACAAGTCATGTGTTTATAAACCTATCTCAAGAGTACTCCGATATTTTGTCTGAACTATACATTGGCCACATTGATCCCAAGATACGAAATTTGCATGTTAACAACTTGAACAGCATGAACGAGATTTTAACGTTTATTCGGAAAAAGTCGGGGAATGATGAGACCACTGGTATTATTACCACGCCTGAAATCATGTCTACCAACGACGACCAGTTGAATCCTATAATTTACAATGTATTGACCGATAGGTCCATTATATCTTCTTCTTTACCCAGCACCAGCAAAAGAACTCCTCCTTTATCCACAACGATTATCAAAAAGGGTGCTAATGTACAAATATTTGATAAGACTACTTTTCCCAAAGAGCTTACTTTCGAACGCTTGTTTGCCGAGAAACTCGTTGATAAGGATCGATTAGTAAACTTACTCAATGACTCCTTTGGAAAACAGCTAAAGGTTGAAGAGTACTTTAAACGTATAAATAATCATCTTGCAACGTTCATTTTGGTTGGAGATTACGATGGTGCAGCAGTTATAACCTACGAGGAGGACAGAGGGGGAAATAAGATAGCTTACTTGGACAAATTCGCTATAGCCAAGAAAAATCAGGGTCTTCCTGGTTTAGCTGATATCATCTTCAAAATAATATTGCAGTCACATCTTACGGAGTTGATATGGAGATCAAGAAAGAACAATCCAGTGAACAAGTGGTACTTTGAACGTTGCTGTGGATGCATGATCCCTTCTCCAGAGTCTCAATGGAAAATTTTCTATACGGGAGAGATATTTGATAAAAGAATTGATAGACTTAAACGGAGAACAACGAGTCAAGCTTTTTCGGAACAAGGAGGGGTAGTAAATATAAGCAAAAAGTTGGAGGAATACTCAAGAATTTGTGAGGGGATTGCTCCTTCTTTTAAATAAAAATAATATATATATATATATAGTTATGACACTATGGAGCAGCACTGACTAGTGACACTATCGAGCAGAGCGACAAGTAACATTTGATTATTGACCTTCTCTCTATTTTTTTTTGGTTTTTGGTTCTCAATATTTCTGCATCTCGTTTAGGAGCTTATTGTTATCAAAGATATCGGTTCTACTCAACAATTTATAAAGAAAAAGCTCTGTGGAGCGCAAACAAAAAAAATATTATGGGATAAACCATATATGAATTGTTACTTGGATTAGTTAAACGGAATTTATTGAAGATGAGCCAAGCTGAGACTAGTATGCGGTTGAGGGTCAACCCGTCACAAGGGGTACGTCAAGGGCAGCTGAAGCAAGCGCAGGCTGGTGATCTGCCTGTTGGTAAAAAAAGACTTGCATATTATCATGAACTTGATGAGTGGCAGCAGGATAATCACTATATCAAGTCCGGGTACGTCAAAGGTACTTCTTCATACCGCGAGAGTCTTAAATCTTTGGGGTACCTACACAATGAAACTGTAAATATATACTCCCACTTGCTTCCTTCAAGTATATCCTTCTGGTTGATACTTTACTATATCAATTTTCAGTTAAAAATCTACGACAACTACTTGGGTGTTTGGGAAAAGCTCAATTTTTTACAATTCGGAGCTGCATGTACTTTTTGTATGTTTATGTCGTCGGTTTTCCATTGCTTAAAATCTCATTCGCATAAAGTCAGTCGATTTGGAAATCAATTGGATTATTTTGGTATTGTTATATTGATTACATGCTCCTTGGTATCCATCGTATTGTTTTCATATTATGACAAGCCCCTTCAGAAATGGATATTTGTAGGGTTATCCATATTTTTTGGTACAGTTTGTACAATTTTCACCTTGCATCCCGAGTTTTCTCAAAACTATTATAGACCCTTTAGATCCACAATGTTTATACTATTCGGTCTTTCGGGTGTTTTACCCATAGCAAATGCTGTTTATACTTTTGGATATCAAACTACAAAGGAGAGATCGGGGTTAATATGGTTGATATTAGAAGGAACGTTTTATATACTTGGTGCTGTCTTGTATGCGATGAGATTTCCCGAAAGAACAGCATACATTGATTCTGAAGAGCATTTGTTTTCGCCGGGGACTTTTGATATTTTTGGTCATTCTCATCAAATCTTTCACTTTTTAGTCGTGGTTGCTGCATTTTGTCATTGGAAGGCGTTAGTCGAGTGTTATCACTATTTGCATCAGAGCATTTTGTAAGTAGAACGAGACAAGACAAGAAATACAAAAGAGAAGACTAGAAATACAATAGAGAAGACTAGAAATACAAAAGAAAAGACTAGAAATACAAAAGAAAAGACTAGAAATACAAAAGAAAAGACTAGAAATACAAAAGAAAAGACTAGAAATACAAAAGAAAAGACTAGAAATACAAAAAGAGAAGACAAGAGAAGCGATTTGAAAAAGGCGACTCTTGAGTTTTTCTCAACTTTGTTAAGAATGTCGAGACACTATCTCGATCCACGAATTCAAAGAGAAAGGGAGGGAAAAGAAAGGAAAAATATATATCACCAAACTTATAGAGACCATATGCTGATATTCTAATATGTTATTAAGTCAATTTTCATGCTGTGGAGGGGGTAGAGGTTTATTTCATGCACTATATATTAGGAACATCTGATAGCCCTCTTAATTGCAAAGACTGCTACACTATTGAAAGGTGGCAGCTAGTGTGCTCAAGCTAGTGTGCTCAAGCTAGTGTGCTCAAGCTAGTGTACTCAAGCTAGTGTACTCAAGCTAGTGTCGCAAGGGGTCATCAGATGACTATAGACTCATACATAGACTATATATTGAAAGCACACTTGATTCATTCAATGGTATAGAGATTTAGAAATAGTGTATGTATTCTCTTTTCTATATAAACAGGGCTACCAGGTGTGTCAAAAGTAGTGTGCGGATTTTGTTAGTTGAGTAAATTTTTGTTAGAGCATTGAAAAATCGGTTTCTCGCCACTTTAGTTGGGCTTATAGCAAAGCTGTGTCAGACAGAAACGGAATAAAAGTAGTGCTTTTCCCCCGTTGCAATGCCGCCAAAAGCAGATTGGGACAAATATGTTGCTCCTGCAGAGGATGACGAAAAAGAACAAGAGAAAATTGTCCCCTTGTCTGAAAGTGATATACAAGTTTTGAAGTCGTATGGAGCAGCACCCTATGCAAGATCCATCAAGGATATTGAAAAGGATTTGAAGGATATCGAGGAGAGGATAAAGGAGAATATCGGTATTAAGGAAAGTGATACCGGTTTAGCTCCGCTGCACCTCTGGGATGTTCTTGGTGACAAACAAAGAATGCAAGAGGAACAATCTTTACAAGTTGCCAGGTGTACAAAGATTATTGAAGTTACTGAGCAAGCCACTCCAAGTTCTGGATTGCAAAATGCCGATACAAAATCAAAATATGTTATAAATATAAAACAAATTGCCAAATTTGTTGTAGGATTGGGGGAAAGAGTATCGCCAACTGATATCGAAGAAGGAATGAGAGTAGGTGTTGATAGACATAAATATGAAATCCAATTACCATTGCCACCTAGAATTGATCCTTCGGTCACAATGATGACAGTGGAGGAAAAGCCGGATGTCACATATAGTGATGTTGGAGGTTGTAAAGAGCAAATTGAGAAATTGAGAGAAGTTGTTGAACTACCATTGTTGAGTCCCGAGCGATTTGTCAAGTTGGGTATTGATCCTCCAAAAGGTATACTATTGTATGGACCACCTGGGACCGGGAAAACCTTATGTGCCAGGGCAGTGGCAAATCGAACAGATGCAACATTCATTAGAGTTATTGGCTCCGAGTTGGTACAAAAGTATGTTGGAGAAGGTGCAAGAATGGTGAGAGAGTTGTTTGAAATGGCCAGGACCAAAAAGGCTTGTATAATTTTTTTCGATGAGGTTGATGCTATAGGAGGAGCTAGATTTGATGATGGTGCAGGTGGAGACAACGAAGTGCAAAGGACCATGTTAGAGTTGATTACGCAATTGGATGGATTCGATCCAAGAGGAAATATCAAGGTTATGTTTGCCACTAATAGGCCAAATACATTGGACCCAGCTTTATTGAGGCCAGGAAGAATTGATAGAAAAGTTGAATTTTCACTACCTGACTTGGAAGGGCGTGCTAATATATTTAGAATTCATTCCAAAACCATGAGTGTTGAAAAGGATATAAGATGGGAGCTTATATCGCGGTTATGTCCGAATGCCACGGGTGCTGAATTGAGATCAGTATGTACAGAAGCAGGAATGTTTGCAATCAGAGCTAGGAGGAAAGTTGCAAACGAAAAGGACTTTTTAAAAGCCGTGGATAAAGTTATCAAGGGCAACTTGAAGTTTAGTTCCACAAGTGAGTATATGCAATATAATTGAAATAAATTTTTTACAAATATACAAAGAAGAAAAAAAAAAAAAGAGAAGAAGGAGAAGAGGAAGCCATTATTAGCTGTGTGTGCTTTAGTCCCACCATGAGACACAACCCATGCCGGGTCCTAGTAAAGAAGCTGTTAGACTATATGCTGGTGCTTTATCTGCAGGTTCATCAATACCCATAGCTTCATTTGAGTTTTTTGGTTTAATATTGTAGAAATTCTCTTGCTCAACTCTAAATCTTACTTTTTCATCAACCTCAATGTATAGTGAGTGATTATCAGTTTTCCAAACCCAAGCTTGTTCCTCTTGCAAATATTCATATTCTTCGCCAATATATTCCAGAGGTACCCAAATATCATCAAAGAATTCTAATCTCAATTTAATACCTTCAGCTGTACATTTGGTGACCCATCCTGTTAATGTTTCCCCCTTGAATGGTTTGAAAACAATGTACCGAAACCGCACCTCCACGTATGATCCCCCATCTCCCGGTTTCAAAAGTCCATCTTTAATATCAAGAAGGTCCCATGTAGTTATCATTAAACCCAAGTTGGGTACTATTTTATTGGCAAGTTTTTTATTCAACTCATCTGTTATTGAATGCTGAATAGGTATATTAAAGGAATGAGGCGGTATTCGTACGAGGTCTTGTATTTCTGATAGTATGAACATATGAAATGAGTATAAAGAGGTGAAAAATGAGATGTCAGATGAGAAGGCATCGCGATGATAAGAAGGAGAGGAGAACGAAAAAAAAAAAGAAAAATGTATGAATAAAAAAAAATGTCAACTCAAGTTAGCTTGTGTTCGAAATTATGCCACCTAGTTCAAATACAAGTAAGGTGAGAAAGCCCCAGAGCAATACTTTTGATGGGAAACATATAAGTGCTAAGAAAGCAGCAAGTTACCTCCATTCAGTAAAAGAACAGAACAATTTACTTTCCAATGTTACTAGAATTGTTTCTCCTACGCAAACAAACAGCCCAACAACAATAACAACAACAACAGTAACTCGTGATGAGCCGAATTGGAACAAAAAACATTTTCGGTTGTTTGTGGGGAACTTGGGTCCCGATGCAACAGATGAGTTGCTAAGGAACGCATTCCAAAAATATACTACTTTAAGTAATGTCCATGTTCCCATAGATTCAAAGTCCAAAAAGCCACGAGGGTTTGGATTTGTCGCATTTGCTAGTGCAAATGACTATTTACAAGCTTTTAAGGATATGAATGGGAAGTACATTGGTCAGTATCCTGTACAATTGAAAAGAGCTGAATCTAATGTGCCAAAGAAACAGAAGAAAATGAAGCAATGAGAGAAGAAGAAAAACAAAAGAAAAATTAAAGGCTAGAATTGTGAATTGTGAATGAGTTTTTTTTTTTTTTTTTTTTTTTTTCCAGAGAGGAATCAAAGTACAGAGATTAACTCAGGGATCAAGTAGATTTTTGGAGATGTTTAAAGTGGGAAGTGGGCTAATGTTAGCTTCTGTAAGATTAGCGCCAACATACCGATCCATTTCACCCATTTTCTTTCTGCGTTTTAAATCAAGTTTACCAACGCACGGTAGTAATAACGGTAAGAAAAAAACATCACAGTTGAAAAATGATAACCATTTACCTACAACAACGACGAGTTCCAAAAACCCGTTACCCTCCCCAAGTGAATGGGAACGCTTGAAGTTGCATATCCCAGGAGAGCAAGTGCAAACAAATACACTCAAAGATAGAGTACCTAAATTCCCACTAGGGAAAGAGAATGTCCCCACGTTATTACCTAGGCCTGGGGTACCGCAAGTTGGTAAACAGTATACATTTAAACAAGTTATTAAGATTTTGCAAAATAAAAAACAACCAGAATTGATATATGAAAGTGAGCCGCATAGACTATATTTCCTACTTTGCTTTTGTTGCTCGGTTGTGTTTGCAGTTTATGGGTGTGTTTTATTTGAATGGGCATTTTGGGTTTCAAAGAAAAACTACGATGAGAATGAGAAAGAAGAGGCTAACGATGCTATTAGAACGAGAGATTATTATATCTCTTTGGCAAAGTGCCTTGCGCCATCTGCTATCATGTTGTGTGCCGCATTCGGTGCGGCTATATTCCCTACGAGAATGATGAGAAGAATGTGGTATTTACCTGGTGTCAAAGAACATATTAGATTCACAACGTATCCTATGTTTCCAGGAAGACCCACGCCGGTATATACTGTACCATTGGCCAATTTATCCCGGCGGAAGACTGCAAGAGTCTGGACGGGCAAAGGATTCTATGGTACAGCAGATAAGGGTTTTTTTTTCTTTGTATTACGAGAAAAAACTTCCAAGAGAAGAGTAAAGAATTGGATAGTTGATAGAAAGGGTTTTTTCTGGTCTGATGGTAGGGTATTTGATTATTTATTTGGTAAAGAGACTTTAAGAGAAGCAGAAGCTGGGATTCCTTATGACCAGCAATTTCGGATTGTTAACAAGCAGTTAAAGGCAAAGAAACAGAAATTAAGAGCAGAGCATGGATTGTTGTGGAAATACAAATTGGCATGGCAGGATTTCAGAAAGGATATTGGCGGTGCAAAGAGGAGTTTGATAGGTAGTGGGAAGAGTGACAAAGAGACGAAGAAATTGCCAAAGAACTAAGAAAAAATTAATAGAAAAAAGTTGTATATAGTGAGGAGGAGAAGAATATTGTGTTTAAAAACACATCAAGAATTTAGTAGTGTGTTGAAAAGGGATTCAAGAATTTAGTAGTGTGTTAAAAACGCATCATGAATCTAGTAGTGTGTTAAAAACGCATCATGAATCTAGTAGTGTGTTAAAAACGCATCAAGAATATAACATTTGTTCTAGAACACATCACGAATCTAACATTGTGTTAGAAAACACATCAAGAATTAAGAGTCTGAAACAGATGCCCCTGTAGATTTAAAATTAAAGGTGGCAAAAACGCGTAAAAATTAAAACACACACACACACACACACACACACAAGCAACCTTTTGCAGGTCAATGACTTGCAATTGACTGTCTATGCTGGATTTTGTAAATAGCTCATACCGGATTCTCATACTAGATTGTCAATGTTGGATTATCTCAGCAATGCTGGCTATTTCTTTCTACCAGTATAACCCCTATTTTCCTATTTTTATTTTGTCTATCTTCCTATTTCTATTTTCCTATTTCTATTTTACTTATTTTAGTTTAAGCCCATCCATACATACTTTATGAGATGATTTTAATTTTTTTTTTCGCTGGTAAAGATCGGATTATATACTTTCGCGTTGAGTCCTTTGGTTAAAACACGGGTTTGATGCAAAGATAAATGTTTTGAGGAGAAACAAGTATTAAAATAGACCATATAATTCAAATCCGAAACCGTTTAATAAGATCAAACCTAAACCCCCCCCCCCCCCCCCCCCTCTTTTTTTTTTTGCTACAGAAAAGAACACTTTATAGGTAACCATATTCATACACTTTTTTGATACATACATACAAAAAAAAAAAAGAAAAGAAAAGAAAAGGGGGTCGTGTGATGTAGCAATAAAAAACTGCTAACAAAAACTGCTTAACAAACCGCTAACAAAATCGCTAACAAAAACTGCTGTTACTTTTTCCCCCTTCTTGAAGTTTGGAAAATAAAGAGAGAAATATAAAGGCATTTTCTTTTGGTAAATAGGCACACACACATTTAAAGGCACCATAGAATCAATACACTTTTATTCTTCCTTTGAAGCGATTTATTAGGAACTTGTTAACTCAGTACTTGCCACACACACACACACACACAACACTTTTTTTGTTCCTAGCTAGCTTGTATATATGTACAATATTTAAGAAGGGGCCCTTTTTTTAGTTCTTATACACGAACAAAATCTAACAAACCCAACGGCAACATTAACTGACTACAATGGCAAGTATTGCAAAGCCTATCACGAGACTGAACCTGAGAAAGCAACTACAACTACAGCATGAACTTGAGCAGAAGCAGCTTCAAATGGAAGAGAGAGGGCAAAAGCCGCCATCCGCCACTGCTACTGCACATGAAGGTTTTGCTCTAAGTGGAAACTATACTCATAAAATTCATCAACCGCATCGACAACTAACTCCGCCAACAATGGAACACTCCTCACACTCGTCACACTCGTCACACTCGTCACACTCGTCACACTTGGCTGGTGATGAATCTTTTCCAACTAGAATTGAAGAGTTGTCTTGTGCTTCCGAGAGTAGTGAATCATTTGCACAATATGTCACAACAAGCCAGCCTAACTCGTTGCCACCTTCATCAACAGCAGCAGCAGCAGCAGGAGGAGGAGGAGAAGGAACAATGTCAGTAACAGCTCATCACCAACATAGGCGTTGCAAGTCTGTGTCGTTTAAGTTACCCCGAGAACTATTAACTCCTAAAGAAGAAGAAGATAACGAAGATGAAGAGGAAATTATAGCAAGGCATAAAAAACGAAAGTTGACCCAGTTTGACGAAGACGAAAATGAAAACGAAGACCGAATTGTACATCCTGATGACTATCCGTCAACACCTCCTGAATCTTTACCAAACGAAAATGATGATGACCACCAAGCAATTGCAGCGCATCAACCTCCTTCTACAACTCTCAGTAAACAACAACAAAAACAACAGCAGCAACAACAACAACAGCAGCAGCAGCAGCAGCAGCAACAACAACAACAACAACCAACCGTGGAAAAAGTCGGTTCAAATATAAATAAAAACTTATCAAACAAGCTAGCTGAAAACCCTGATTATATTTCGCTTCAATCAGCACTAAATTTACTACAAAATCAAACTGAACAAATTAGTCAGGAAATTGTTCAATTATCTAAATTAAAGCAACTCTTTACACAAGAAACAACACCGGAAATTCAACAAGAAATTAATCAATTGCTCCAAAAATTAATAAATAACGAAGCAACAATTTTACCAAAACCTGTTAATATAATTAAATGTCCAACTGTTAATTGGTCGAAATACAATTCAACTTTAGCAAGAGAATATGAAATCCAATTGAATAAAGAGTACAACCAGAGACAAAGAAATACGAATCTGATTTATAAACGATTCAAACTTTTTGATAGGATTTAAAGTATCATTATTGATACAATTAGATTCCCCTCCTCCTCCTCCTCCTCCTTTTGTGAATAGATGCCTTCTTTGTTCATTTTCATTTCTTCTCCTCCACACCAACACACACATATACACACACATCTTCCCGTCAAGGGAAGTAAATCATATATAAATTTCACAAAAACTATTTCTTCTCACTGGTGGTTCCAGTCGTAGCAGCAGCAGTAGAGATCTCTTCAATTTCGTCTTCACTATCAGTGACCAAAAACGCATCTGAACTAGCAGGCACTGAAGGCTCGTCAGGTTGCCATGGTTGCTTTTTCTTTTCATTTATAGTTGAACTTTCCAAGTTTCCTGTTTTTTTATTATTTGGATTGCTTATAGTTGGAGTATCTGATTGATATTCATCTGAAGTTCTTGGTCTACTAGGTAAATTTGGAGTATGTTCCTTTTTCGATACAATATCATTATTTTTCATTTGAATTTGATCGTGGAAATCTCCAGGTATAATTTCAGGATCTTCATCAAATCTAGTTGATTTTCTGTTCCTTCTGTAATAATTATCATAATATGATGATCCATCACGTCCTAATTTACCAAAATCATTACCTCGTCCAGTTTGAGATTCAAATGAGAAATTATCGTTGTTGCCTTGGTTACTCGAACTATTATTAGTTGCATTATCAAATTTCTTGGCTAACCCTGAAACCCAACCATTTATTGTAGTTTTTGCTTCTTCGAGACCTTGAGTAAAGGTTTCCTTAATCTGTTCAAATTCATCTGGCGAACTTTCATAATCTTCTTCATATTGCTCTTGACGTCTTTGATGACTCCTCTGTCTTCTTACTGGAACGCGTCCATCGTGTCTCTCTTTTACTCCTCCTTCTCTTCCTCCTTCTCTTCCTCCTTCTCTTCCTCCTTCTCTTCCTCCTCTCCTTCTTCTCCTTCTCATTTCATCTTCCAATTCAAATTCTCTTTGTAATTTCCTAGCCAAGATTTCATCATCTGTAAAACCATGAGTAGATACACCTGCCACAGTATTACTAGCTCTCCTTGTTGTTAGTGGTGCAGTATTAGCAGTAGTAGTAGTAGTAGTAGTAGCGGTATTGGTTCCACGAGTAGCTGCTGTAGTTGTGCCATCTGAAGAAAAATTGCTTGGTCGATGGTACACTGGAATTTCGGGTTTGAAAGTTGGATCTGAAAGGTACAACAATGCACTAAATGCAGGTTCAACATTTCCTTGCGCGGCAATCAATACAGCTGTGATCAACTTGTTTTCAATCGATGGGAACGCATCTTTCAAATCCTGGATTGCTTGTTGAACGGGATCTTTTGGTCTTGAAGGTGGAGTGGGCGGCTTTTCTTCTTCTTTTTCTTTTTCTTCCTCTTCTTCTTTGTTCTTGTCCTCCTTCTTTTTTTCCACCTCATTCGCTTCCTTCTTATCAGTCAACGACACTTCCTCGGTCACTTCTTCTTTTTCTTCTTCTTTTTCTTCTTCTCCTCCCTTTTTCCCTCTGCCTTCTTTTTCCTCCTTCTTTTTAGATACAGTGGCAGCAGCATCAGCGGCTGGTTCCCTAGACTTATCAGATACCACACCTTTTTCTTTTATTTCTCCGCCTTTCTCTAACGATTCTCCACCACTAGCTTTCAGTTCCAATTTCTTATCATCGATTTTGTCAAGTGGTTCACCTGATACTAATGTCAATTCTTCCTTCTTGTTACCCATTTTTTCAACTCACAACTCCTCTTGGTATACACCCAGACAGCACAATACTATAATTGATTTCTTTTATACCCCCCCTCTAATCGTCACACAATCTACAAATTTCCAAATCTCAGTATTATTTTTGTTTGACTGGTTTCTTATCTAATGCACACGACCTTTTGTTCAAATAAAAAATTTCACTCATCAACATTTTTCAGTCCATCTTTTGATAGTGAAAATTTTCTTCTTTAGAGATATTACTCCGAAAATAGATAGAGCTTTACATTCGTGATTTGTTTTTGGTGAATGTAGAGTGTGGACAACGGAGTGAGATTGAAATATTTGTATAGCGACTATACGAGATTTCCAGGTTTTGAGTTAACTTGAAAGAGTATTCAAAATTGTATCTTTGTGAAGCCGTACATCCTTTTTTCGTAGAAAAATATAGAGATAGAGAGATCAAGACTGAACACTATGGGGGGTGTGGTTTAGTCTGATTGAGTAATTTGTAGTTGACAATATCTTCAACTTAAACGTTGGTTTGTTTGTTTTTTATAAATAAAAAAGAGCTTCTAGTATCCACAAATTATTTATAAACGGCCAAAACTGGTGTATGCATGTTAAGTTGAGTTCAATAAAACGAAATTAGCTGCAAAGTTCCTCAGACCGTATTCCTCACATATTCTTACATCTTGGATTGGTTTTTTTCTTTTTTATTGCTGTCTCTTCGCTACGACGACGAGGCAGATGTTAATTCCTCTTCGCTACGACGACTTCCATCTCCTCAACAACGACGAGGCAGATGCCAATTCCTCTCCTCTACGACGACGACGAGGCAGATGCCAATTCCCCTCCTCTACGACGACGAGGCAGATGTCAATTCTTCTCCTCTACGACGACTTCCATCTCCTCTACGACGACGAGGCAGACGCCAATTCCTCTCTTCTCTTATCCTTGGCTTCTTTCAACTCTTGTTTCCTCCTAATCAAATCCAAATTCTCACATTCTTCCCAAGAATGTTTATCGTGCTTGCAATTAACTGATGAGTTTGCCGATTGTCTAATAAGACAAGTTTGATACAACGCAAAGTAAGCAGCACACCTATCCCTCCATTTTAGTGGCACTTTGTATTTCTGACAATCGTTTTCGGAAACTATTCAAAAAAAAAAAAAAAAAAGGGAAGGGGAAGAGCAGTTAGTATTAGTTGAGGATATTGCGGCCTTTGCCTAAAATTTTAAAAAGTCACATACGAAGCGGTGGGAACTGCGTCACTGACATTGTATAATGATTAATTGAACCTTTTCGATGTAATTTTGAAGATTGATATTTCTCAGGAGATCTTGAAAGGTTTGTGAAAAGGGACGTGCGAAATTTTAGATTTTTATTCTGTGAGAGTGAGAGAAAGAGAGAACCAATAAAATCTCGAACCAATAGAATCTTACATATAAATAATGATTTTTGCAATTTTTGACAAAGAGACAAAAGAGCTGAGCTTTGAATCTGTTTAATCAGAACTTTTTATCATGCAACTGAGGAATCACATAGAGTCAATAGGAAAAATCCACTTTTTGTTTCTCCTTCTTCTCTAGAAAAAAAATAGAAGGACGTATTTAATTATCCATTGACGATTTGTCAATACTCAAAATTGAAGATTTTTTCTACTATATATATTGTTGAACATTCATCATCATTTGGGGGCCAAGCAACCCAATCCAACTCTGATAAATAATGCTCACCTTTATGTTGAAAGAGCACAGTAAACTCCCGTTTCTCCCTGTGCCGTTGTAACTCCCTTGGAGAAAGTTGTCTACCCACTCAAACTCACTAAACCTTGCAAGCTAAATCCCTGACACTTTCCTACTGTTTCTGTTGCTGCTTCGTATATTCACTCAACCTGTCCTTCAATGCCAAATACTGGCACTTGTAAAATTCATCTTTTGTCAGATTACAAAACGAGTTCCCTTTATCGAGACAGCTATAGTAATTTATTAAATGAGCGGCACATCTATCCCTATAATAAAAAGGAACATTATGTTTATCCAATTCCTCTTGTGAAGCTATTTTTTTAACAAGTTAGTCTTTATTTCATTATCGACAGGAACATCTTAAGTGCGCACATACGTATAGGTGGATATGTATAGCTTTCAGAACCCGCCATCGTTATTTATTTGATGATGATGATGATGATGATAATGATGATGATAAACCCAATTGCACTTCCTTTTTTTCTTTTGGTTTTTTCACTGGTTGTGTAGCATATGGTAGCGGGCTGATACCGCTACCGTGTGTTTATAGAGGAGGTGTTTTAATAGGCTGCAAAAATATGGGTAATTTTAGATTTCAGCACACTGGTGCAGATGTTGGTTGGAAGTGGTTGTGGTGTAATAGTTTGATTAGAAAACTTTAAATGAAATTGAGAGGCAAATTGCCGTTCGTTCTTTCTTTCTTTCTTTTTTTTTTTTTTTTACTTCTCTTTACTTTTCTTTTCTTTTTGCTCAAAAATTAGTTTAAGTTATTTGGCCCGCAAATAATGTCAATCTGGCATCAATATTTGGTAATCTCAAATTGATTAGAAATTGCTGCAAAAATAAAAACAGAACAGCTATTCATGGCCTTTAGTCTGAGCACATATCAAGAGACCCAATGAGCGTTTGACAGGGATGTACTACCAGATGGAGACATACATTCACTTGGAGAAGAATTTAGGTGTAACGGATGAAGAAGCAATTGAAGTATATATTCATCTCTCACAAGATAATTAAGAAAAAGGTTAAACATAAGATGAATTTTGTGCTTTTCGAACTTAATTAAACCTATGACTTGGATACCGCTATTTCTTCGCCGCTATTTCTTTACCGCTATTTCTTCGCTGCTTTACTTTCTAGAGGGAGAGTACAAGCAAAAGTGTGCTATTTTTCCTACTCCCACAAAAGTCCAGTATTAGATAGAGCTTTTCTCACAATATAAAATGAAATTCTCATTAAAATGGTTTTGTACTTTTCCAATTAAGCTTTTCTTCAATTCTAAAAACCACTGACTGCTCTTTTCAAACTCAAAAATAAAATAAAATTTTCAACAAAATGCCGAAGAACCAAGACAGGTTTCCTCGAATACATGATTCAATATTAAAACCACATCATTATTACCAGAACTAAAAAAGTAAAAAAAAAAAAAAATGAGGGAAGAATATATAATAAGCCCTCAAAATAAGAAAGAGTCAAAGCGTGTGGGAACATTTTAAGTTGAAACAAAATATTAGTGAGGAAAAAGAAAAGATAAGAAAAGGAATCGAGATATCTGACAAAATATCTTTTAGAGTGCATTGATTTGTATTAGTTTCTAACTTGCATGGTAATTAATGAATTTTTGCAACTGGCTTTATTGATCCTAATCCATTTTTATTGATAAAAATAGAATTAGTAAAAACAGCGGGGAGGAAAAATTGGGGAAAAGACAGGGAGATAACAGGTTGTATTGCAATGCTTCAAGATGTAGATCTACCCTCTTTTACTCAAATACATGGGAAAGTGTTTATCCGAATCAGTTTTATTGTCAATTACAGATAAAATGATCTGCATATGAATCGTATTGTAGCGTATCGTTTCATATTGGCATCCAATATGGAAGAAAAAAAAAAAAAGAGAGAGAGAGTGAAGACATAGAAAAGTTAAAAAAATTGGTAAAGTGATAACAAAATGGCATAAGCTTTAGATTCTAACTGCCCTTGTAGTTAAAAACCCAAAAAGTAAAAAAGAAAAAAAAACAGGGATCCAACACTTGTTAGTGCACATAGTCTATCGATGATGGCTTTTGATAAGTAGGAAAGTAGAACGAGTAATAACATCGCTGTCATCATTTTAGATTGTTTTAAGCTGACTTGCCTTGTGTAAGAATGAGTTTCTGATCGTTTTATGCTATTACGTCAGATTTCGAAATAAGAAAAGAGGTTCAGCATGTCCACATATAGAGGGTGGGAAAATAATATGAATAAAAATTGTGCAATAATAGGAGGGATACACGCAATGATTTTGGTTACTAGGTAAAGGTAAAGGGATTCTCTGTTGGGGAAGCATCATCATCAGTGACAAAGAGTGAATGTGAAAATTATAAGTCTACATATTGATCAACTAATGTTAATCATCTCCAAAATGATATTAATAATAAGAATAAGTTTCCCAAAGAAAAAACAAAAAACAAACCGCAGGGATAAACTTTAAAGTAAGCCCTAATGCTAAAACAAGGTTTAAAATTATACTTGATAATCAAAATTTGCAATTGCAAAATAATAAAAGCTACAGAGAAACAAAAAGAGATGAATAAAATTCAAATGTGAGAAAGATCTTTTACACAACTTTCCTATTTTGATTTAAGTTGAGAATGACGTAACAATAAGCATGTTCACTTAACGCTAATTATTCACTCTCAATTCACTTTCGACTCACTTTCGACTCACCCACAGCCTTACAAATCGAGTAGATAAGATAAGAAAAGAAGGTTAACAAAACTGGAGGTAAAAAGAAAGGCATGTAACGATCTTAATACGATACTACATCAGATACAACCTGTTTGTTACAAGTTTAGAGTATTTTATAGGTTTTATGATTGAAAACCATGAGTTTATAGTGTTTTCGAGAAAGCAAAACTTCGTTTTTTTTTTTTGTTTTGTATTTTTTTCGTAGAAATGTAAACATTTTTTCGAATATAAACTTTTCAAACGTACTATTAAATGGGAACAGGAAAAGAGAAAAATAAATAGACTGATTACTCTAAATGCTAGCAAAAGTGATGGTAGAAAAGAAAGAATTCTGAAGGTTCTCTATCTTTAAGAAATGATAACGAGAAGTCTCATCTTGCATTTTTATTTTAAAAGAGTAAAATCTCAGTATCTTACATTTCAGATTTATGCTAGATATCTAGTAGTAAATTGTTTCCAAACTCATTTTTTGAAATGGGGGAAAAGAACTTGAGCTTGGTCTTCTACTACTAAGCATGTAAGTCTCTATCTTTGTATTCCGGGGATGTGATAGATTCAACCAAGTTGCGTTTTTATTTTGCAAAAACTGATAATAATGAAGAACAATAATGATAAACTCCGTTAATACGAAATAAAAAAAAAACAAAAAAAAAAACAGAGACGAGGATGAGTTCGTTAGACAAAGAAAGCATGCTTTAAACGGTGATGAGCTGGGTCTTGGAACAAAGACAAAAAGATGAAGCGCACCCCGCGATGCAGATCATTTATTAGCGCATCTAGTACTAGTGCATCGTAAGTGCATTCTTTTTTTTTTTTAATCTCACAAAGTTTATCGTTTAGTTTTTTATTTTTTTTGTTAAGTCATCGGACCGTGGCTTTATTTGGAGAAAATCACAATTGGAAATCAGTAAATTAGATATACTTTTCATCTAGTCAAAGTTTAAAGAGACAATAGAAAATTTAAGACCGTGCTTTATGCATTATCTCCTTCCTCCGATAGGTCTTAAGTAGGGCGCATTTTGGGAAACCACATGGGTATTTCTTTTTTGAACTAGTGAATAACAAATGACAAGTTGCGAATTGGGAATGGAGAAATGGTGAAGTAGCGGATCTTTTTTTTTAACCCCTCCATCCAAAATCGTTTCGAACCTGTTTTAATTGTCACTCTTTTTTTTTTCTTTTACTCGTAAGCCTTACACAATTAGTATCGCTTCCCTTAAGCCTCGCCTCACGCGATTTTTCTCTCTCATACTTTTGTTTTTTCTTTTATTTTTGGCCATGAATAGCAAAAGATTAGTTTGCTTCGTTAGAACAAGCTTGTTACCAACTACCAGAAAAGGTCTAATAGAAATACTATTCGAGTCAAAGAAAAATAAAATGCTCTCTTAGAAAATAGAAAAAAAAAAAAAAATTATTCCTTTCTTGGAGAAACAAACATATTTGTAAAACAAAACTTGTTGTAACCACATATAGTAGCATATAATAGCTATTATATCTGAAGATTATTTTAGTTGACACTTTTTTTGAGAGCCGGCAAAACTGGAAAGACATGAGCCATGTTGCAAAAGAAATTTAGCAACCACCAAAAGACATAGAATTTTGATAGTCTTTGTTTATCAGTTACTACTGATTGCCATGTTTTTCTTTTTTTTTTTTTTGCCCTCTTCTCCCCTCAGTTCAAGCAAATTAGGCACATCTATGCATGAATAAAAAACAATCAATCTCAAAATGCACTACCTATGAGATGCGCCCTATTTCTATTCTATCTTTTTCTATTTTCTAGAGAACAATCCAGGTGTTCCACATCATCAAATCTTAAGCAGTGCAAAAGAAGGAAAAAAAAACAGAGTAAAAAAAATGTGCAAGGTTACTGTTTACAGTTGGCACTAAACTAGGGTGGCTTAACTATAATTAATCTCTTCGGACAATGTCTTTCCAATTTTTCTCCACTTTACGGTATTTCGAAACTTTCTTAGTGAAATCTGCAAAGTTTGTAGGTATAAGTTGCATCTCTAAAGCAAACGACAAATAATGCGCAATCGAATTGCTATGTTTGAAAAGAAGAAATGTAAGTTCAACAAGTGTTGTTGTACATGGAACCTTTTGCAGTTTTTGCTATGTTTGAGCTACGCTCCGGTACCACCGACATTAATTGTCTAATCTTTTAAAGCGGCTTTCAAAAGCGCATTTAGTTTGTCAATTGTGGTATTGTTACTTGATACTCTGTCAAAAAAAAAAAGAAAAAGAAAAAGAAAAAGTATTATTGTATCAAACAATGTCACAATCGATTTAGTCAATGGGTATATCAATGAAAAGTGGCTTGATAAAGAAAGAGAGAGAAAGAGAGAGAGAGAGAGAGAAAGTATGACCATTTATTATCAGTAATTATTCTTTGTGTTTTGTATAACAACTTTAGTCCTACCTTACCAAACAAGGATTTGTTGTTGATGGAATTTAGGTGTTAATAAAATCTAGATTTGAGTAGAGGCTTGTAAAAATAAATAAATGAAGAGACAGATAATACATAGGGGATGGGGAGAATACCAAAGTTATTTTCTCCTTGCTGTTTAATGGTCATACGCAAAATTGATTCGATATAGATTAGCTCTACACGAAATTGGCTCCTGTCCAGATTCACTCTACCCAACATAGGGTTATTCACGTCAAAATACGAAAAATATCCATCTATCTAGATACAAAGATTCGTGCATAGTAGCCAAAGTATTATTAAAGGTTAGGAGACGCCCCAAAATGAATTAATTTGCTACGTCCCTTTGTCTCGGTTTTTTTTTTCGACATCCCTTTTTTTTTTTTTTAGTTAGCGTTTTAGTAAGAGATCCAAGATCCTGCAGACCTGCTAATGGCTTTTGCAAACTCTTAATATTAGAGTACACTACTGGGTTTATAGACAGAGAACTATACATATTACATATATTGTGAGATCTGATCTTTAATAAAGACTAGCCAGCTTTTGCAACTAAGGCAAGATCTTAAGCCATACCGTGAGTGAGCTTGTGAGGATCAAGGTAAAGCTTACTCCTCGGTTAATCGCATTGGTATGGTATGGCTATGCCGAGGTAGTAACATCACCCTTCACCAACGAACTTTTTCACTACAATTTTTTTTTTTATTTATTTTTTATTTTTTTTTTTATTCTTGCCTTAGTATGTCGTTAAATAAAATAAATATATTATTAACTAGAACAATAATTAAGAAACAATAATTTCGATACGAAATCACAGAGAAATATTGTAAAACAAAGTGTAACATTGATATAGCTGTCAGATGATTTAATTAGGGGTCACCCTAGTTAAGATTTTGGGTTTAAGAACTTTCAAGGTGTAAGAGAAATTTAAAAAAAAAGATAGTATACAGCGATAAAGAAAATTAGAAAGGGACATATCTCTGAAGAAAATTAGAAAGATACTAAGTAGTACCGAAAATTAGAAAGATACTAAGTAGTACCGAAAATTAGAAAGATACTAAGTAGTACCGAAAATTAGAAAGATACTAAGTAGTACCGAAAATTAGAAAAGATACTAAGTAGTACCAAAAATTAGAAAAGATACGAAGTAGTAAAGAAAATACCTGTGAACCTGAATGGGGCGAGGGGCGGGAAATTTCAAGGCAAATACCTATAGGGTAATATTGGGGTTGAGTAAGAAGTAATCAGTATTTGTAGTAAATGTATATATATATTTTTTTTTCTTTTGCTCACTCTTTTCCACCCTAATTTCAAAGAAAAGCCTATTTGTTTCTGCAAATCATTTGAACCGTGGGAGAGAGGGACTTGCCATGATCTGATTTTGAAATAGAAAGAATGGAATAAAAATTATAACTCACCTTTATAACTAATACCCAGTTACAAGCTGATTTAAAGTTCTATTATTTCCCTGGGTTAACAATTACTTTACAAAAGAAAACCAAAAGAAAACTCACCAATTTGGGATTATATTTCAATGGTGATGTACCAGTTTACCCAATGCTTTTTTTATTTTTTTATTTTATTTTATTTTTATTATTATTATTATTTTCTCCCTACCCTTTACCTTGTGTTCATTGTCTTGGTGCTTAATGATCTTCTTTTTATCCACCGTGAATTATAAAAAGTTTAAAATTATTCTTGCAGAGAGATTGGCGCCAAGTCAGTGTCGTGTCGTGAAAAAAAAGAAATAGAAAAACATTATTAAATGACACAAAGCAACATCCATAAAAGACCGCTGTGCTTTAGATATACAAAAATAAAAAATAATAAAAAAAAAAAAAAAGAAAAAATCATATTTCAGTTTTTTAATTTTAACTGCGAAATGAATATGAAACTGAAATTATAACCATGGTGAATAAGATAGACTTCTTTTGTAGTTCATGCCAATGTACTATGTATTATATATTATAGTTTTTTGTATATTTGGCCATCATTAAGTTGAATTCTTCATCTATCTCATGTGTCTAGTGAACCACTGAGAAAAATTATTTCTGCAAAGTATATAAATATCACAGCTCAAGTCCATATTCTTCAATATACCTGCAATTCACCATATACCATATTTTTACATAGAAGTAAAGAATTAGCAATGTCGACCACAACCACTTCTCTGGTAGTTCCAATTAGGTTACCATCTATTAGTGAATTAACTCATAAAACTACAACCGAGAAATACTCCCCGTTTTCACTAAATAACTCGCTGATTATATCGCCAAAATTCAATGCCTTGCAAAAAGAAGATCAAGTTAAACATTTACCAAGTATTGTCAAAGACCATACCAGTATGCATCCACTCAAGTACTCTCCCTTCAAACCATTGACACCTTCTAATTACACATCAAGAACACCTTCTAATTATACATTCACCAGCAATGGCAATAACATCAATATACTAAATATACCGAAATTATCCTCCCCTATGTTATCACATCAAGAAAAATCTAACTTTTCAACTCAACCTAACCAATTACCGTTGCCAATAATCACAAATACACAACTCCCCAACCAACCTCATCATTACCAACAACAACTACAACAGCAGAAGCAACAGCAACAACAACAACAACAACAACAACAGCAGCAACAACAACAACAACAACAACAGCAACAACAACAGCAGCAACAACAACAACAACCACAGCAACAGCAACCACAGCAGCTAGCGAGTCCGAGTCTGTTGTCCAAAAATAGAAATTCTTTTTTTTCATCAGCATCATCTAGCCCTTCTATTCAATATGAACATCATTCTGCTCAACAACAACAACAACAACAACAACAAGTTGCCCAATATATGCCCCAAACAGTCTACTTCCAACAGGACCAATTGTACATCAACAATAATCTACCAGGACAACCAAAGTATCCTACCCCTGAAATTATTAATAAATCATCTGCAAATAGATGTCATAGATGCGGCACAACAGAAACTCCAGAGTGGAGAAGAGGGCCAAAGGGCGTAAGGACATTATGCAATGCATGTGGGTTGTTCCATGCTAAATTGGTGAAGAAGAAGGGTGCTGCTTTAGCAGCAGAAGAAGTGTTGAATAATAGAGTTACAAAGGGCAAAAATGGAAGAAGAATAAGTATCAAGAAACATATGATGAATGAGAATCTGCAAACAAATATTATGAATGCAAGTGGTATGATTCATATGGGTGCGGGCACTCAAGTTAATGCAGTACCAACAGGATTCAATTTACCTTTAAGTCAATCTACTTGTGTCCAGCCACACCATTTACCTTCCTTCTCGGTGCCGCCTCAGAGCCATCAGATCAACAACAACAACAACAATAACAACGGGTTTATCACAGTTGTTGCACCCCCGCAATCATCACAACCACTACATCAACATCCAACTGTCATTGAAGCAAACAAGAACCAGGGAATTTCTTTGCCGCCTCCAATCATTCCACCAATAAATTACAATGCCAATCATATAGTAATACCCTCAATACCTTTAATTCGCCATTAGAATTATCTTTACACAAGTGATTCATTACTTTTTTTTTCTCATAACTAGAATATGAACTATGCTATTTAACACCTTACTATTTAACACTTTACTACCGGGTGTTTATAATTATAACCTTAAATAAATAAATTTATGCATTTTGCTCGATTTCTTAAGCTCTCTTCTTCATGGAAAAGTTTATTTTCCACTTTGTTTCAAAGTAAAAATAAACGTACTAAAAAAAAAAAATGATTGGTTGAACCTTAAGACTATGGTCTTTCTTGACCATGATCTTCCCTTTGTTTCTTATTTAGTTACTCACCACTAAGCATTTCCTAGAACCCACGTATGTATATACACATATACGTTTGCTTATCTTTCTTTTTCCATTCTTTGCTCTAAGATCTAGATCGGGATCTGCGCACGGAAACAAATACAAAGAGAAAAAAGACCATATACACACACACACAAGAAAAACAGCTGAAAACTTAAAACTGACGGATGCATTGATGTGTAAACTGGCGCTCATGTCCTTTTTTTTTTTTGGGGTCCCAGTAGCGTATTCAACCAAGATAGCATGCAGAGCGCTCGAATACGCAAGGCTTAAGAGGATTGCGTAAAAGTATGAAAGACATATAAATATTGGAAACTTTAGGTGCAGAATTTATATGGGATCCTACAGTTACTATTGGTGGATATCTTTGCATTGTCCTAGTTAAGGGTTTCTCCTTACTGAAAAAAATAATACAAAACTAACCAATTATGAAGTGATCACCTACAAATCAGCACCAGAGTGCCAACCATCACATTACGTGTTCTTTTGCTCCCAAAAAAAAAAAAATAAAAAGAAAAATATCCGTCGTCACAATTGATAGAAAATATCTAGTTTGTATTATTTTTTTTTGTCACTATATATAGTGCTTTGTGATATATTAGGAGAGAACTAATGGGTGCAAGAGAACTTAATGTGTGTTGTATATTCTCACTCTGTTCCCTCTTATCCTTCGTCTGTTGAACCCTTTGAGTAAAAGGTAGCTTTACTCCATATGCTTAGGATATTCATTTTTCCTTTTACCTAGTTGGTAGGGGTGGGGCTGTAGTGAGACGTGTATTTTGTTGCTGGATATCTGCCAGATTTTCCTCCTCTCCCCTTCTGTCTTCCTTTTCTTTTTAAAAAAAACCCCACGAATTTTGAATGACTCCTCTTGCAATGTGTATTAGTTCAACAGGCGGGGAGTACTCACTTATTATTACTTAGTCAAAAAAAAGGGTTCATAACTAACAAAAGTCATCTAAAACTTCGACTAAATGGAAGTTGACAGGTTTTCTTTTCTTTTTTTTTTTTTTTAAATAAAAAACTTGAGCTACCTCTTTTCATACCCTCTATTTATAATCTATAATCTAAAATTTATCGTTCTTCACAGTTAGGGCAAGAACCTACATAAAGAGTAGATGGTTGATTTTTGAAACTCTTGTGAGTCTGGCAGTAAAAATGATATCGCCTTAGTTTTGTCGATCTTTTTTTACTGTTCATCTAATATCACCTAGAGTTAAATTTTCCAAACCAATCGAGTCCTATTCAAATTATTCCAAAAAAACAACTTTAGAATCTGTAAATGATTTAGTTCTATGTGCGTGCGCGCCATCACCTTATATTCATTTTTATTTCTTGACTAGATTCTAACTAACTCTTTCACACTGCACATGAAAGACCTTATAAATTGATCATGTAAGTCAGGAGATACTCTGTTTTGCTACTGCCCTTTGTGCGATACGTGTAAACCTCAGTTGTATTTTATCTCTTATCTCCCGCTAACAACCTATTTTAAATCTCAAGATTGTTTCTGTAAAGATTGAAAAATATGCAGAGTAAAGTAAACCACCACCACTAACTGTCAAACACAAATCGACTATGCTAGTTCTCCACTTCCTGGAAGATACGTGTACATGCACTTACAAGAGTATGTGTCTTTCTTAAATCAGATTTAAGATCTGTAACTCAATATTTCATTTTCATGTTTTTTTTTTTTTTTTTTTTCTCTTATATTTTCGGATATAATATTTGATTTTCATGTCTCAAAAAGATTTGTACTGGAGGAATAAATTTATCCTTTTGTCTTAAAAAACAAGGTTATGAAAAGGTGGAAGATATATTAGTTATTCAGTAGGGTATGATTAGCTAGATATCTAACACCGCTTAATCAGATTATTCCTCTTTAAAGAAATAGGCTGGTCATATTTTTTTTTTCCCACTCTTTTTTGATCAACAATGAACGGATTTGTGAATACATTTCATAAATCCGTTGAAGTCCTCCTCCTCTAACTCTGTCTTACTTTGAATACTTGGTAGATCTTCAGGCAAAGCGTTTAGCCAGACAAGGGACTCAGTTTACAACCCTCACCAATTGAAGCAGTTGGTGAAAAAAAAATATACCCCAAAGTTACAACAAAACAGGGAACAAAGAGATCTTTGTGTACGATTTCATCAAGTCTTTTCTCTTTTTGCATTGACGCAGTCAGTTTTGAAAAGTTTGCTAGCGCATGAAGGGTAGAGTTGAGTGAAAAAAAGCAGGCAAAAGGTACGATTCTTCCCAAGAAAATTTTCATTTTTCAACTTGACTTTCTTCTTAGGCAAGGAGGAGAGGTCTGTTACCGGCAAAGTGTTTAGACGAACAACTACTATCAGAGGAGAGAGCAAAAACAAGGAAATGATTTTCGTTATCAACATCATAGCCTTAATTTCATCGCATTCAAATGATGCATTGTGGGAAAATCCGTGGCTCGCACTTGCAACAACAGCTCTCATCCTAGCAACTGCGTCTTATACGTAAAACTTCAACATGCTCGACCAAACCCCTTATTATTACTCTTTCCCAGTCTAATGTTCCTAAATACTTTTTGTTCACTTGGTAGCATTGCTAGCTAATATTTTTCTCTCTTCCACTTGAATCTTGCATCTTTTGTTACGAAACATCTTTAATAAAGTTTAGTCGTTTCACATTGATCATTCGTTTATCTCTTTATATAAAATCTTGACACTTTAAGTGTGTATGCTTGATTAACTTTTTTGAGCTAATCGTGTGGATAGCCCGCTGATACGCCCCGGCCCGCCCCTTCCTCCTCTGTGGTTTAAGAACCTGTAGAAGTGATTAAGATATGAATAAACGTAAATCATTTCAAAGTTTTTTTTTTTTTTTTTTTTTTTTGAAAAAAAACAAACAGATATGTACACTTTCCAATTTCCTTTTTAATCTTGTCTATAAAGCCTCTACTTGCTATAACATTACACCTTTTTAGTCTATTTCAACACCATTGGACCTTAAAACTGCATTTACTGCATCCTCGACATTATCGAAAACACCAGCCGTTGGCTTTGCAATAATATCATTAGCCCAATCCTCATCTTTAAATACACCAGTTCTTACCAATATCGATTCCCATCCATGATCATTTGCTCCTTTGATATCAGAGGCAGGGTTATCGCCAACCATATATATCTTTTTGAAAGGGGTGGTTTTTGGTGCTTCTCCCAACATCGGTAATATCTGATCAGCTCCAAAATCCTCTGTCTCTAATTTTTCTCTCCAATCAATTAAAACGTGGTGAGCGAAATCGTATTGTACTTTAAAAGGTTTACCCAAGATGACAGACTGTAACCTTTGTGTTGACGATAATTTATTTGTAGTACTATATAGTGCCTCCGTTGCAAGTCTGAATGCGCCTTGACCAAATCTAGGTAATGGATAGTCATTAGCATAGATATAGTCATTATTACTGAACAATATTGGAATTGACGGCTTTGTTGGATCCTTTATTGTTTTCAAGTTTCTTTTAGTACCACATATTCCGTTTTCAGAATTCAATAGATCTTGAATAACCTGAGTATCCGATGACATATCTCTTGGATCATTAAACACTAAAATGGCATCAATTGGTTTAGTCAAATCGACTTTTTTGGCATATTTCTGAAAATCTTGAGCTGTGTACATTGAATGAGGAGCTACCGATTTGTTAGCATTCACAATATCAATGGGCATAACCACATCTTTGAATGCGTAGTCATATGCAACTTTCCTAGCATTATCGCCATCTCCTCCAACAACCAACACTCTCTGAAAGTTTTTGTTTCCCACTAATGCTTTCATTGGTGTATGGCTTTGGACTACTTGCAAAGGAGAGATTTGAGAGCTACATTTTGTGATTTCTACCACCTCTGCTGCTTTCTCTGCTTCCAGCACTCCTCCACCATTTGTCATTAATATAAATGGCACCTTCTTCCTATTCAAAAGCTCCAAAGCTGCTTTCGCTTGAGAAATTGGTTTCTTTCCTCTGATCAATACACCATCAATATCAAAAACAAATGCAAAGTCTCTGGCATAAAGATGTGTACTAACATGAAATTGACACCGGGGGAAAGCTTGTTTAGCTAGTCGGGGCCAGAAGCAAATCCCCTTATTCTTTGCAATCATGTTTATTGTAGGATCAAAAGAGAAAAAGGGTAATTGGGGAAACGGAAAAAAAGAAGAAAAAAATTGAAAAAATTGAAAAAAATGCCAAATGGAAATCTAATGATAGAATCTAATGAGAGCTTATTGTTATCCTTACTACAAAGAATCGCCTTTCAAACACCAATCTCTACCTCTTTGAACCTGTAAATTACACAAGGTTGTCTCCAACCACCAATTGATACACCCTGCCAACACGATACCTAAGCCATCACTGATACTTACACAGCCCATACTAAATTCTCTTTGCGATTTCGGTACCTGTTCACTAACGGACATGAACGTATTTACATAGGAGGATCCTCCTAAAAGACCCTCGTAGAATATGAGCATTAGTAATGGCCAAATGCTGGTGAAGGGCAAATCAAACATCGATTGGATAATGGTAATGAAGACATTTACTGCTTGTAAGATGGATAATAAGTATAGTCGCTTTATTCTTATACCAAAGGTGACTGAAGATCTAGAAATGAAAACACCCAATTGGTATAGAAAGCCGTATACAACATAGATATCTCGATAACTTGAAAACAACCAGCTTGGTAAATTGTCTAACGGGAATAGTAACGTTGGCGATATACCCTGATTAATAACGTACTCTGAAATGTATACAGTTGTCAATGGTAACATAAAAGGTAATACCAATGGTTTTATTCTTTCCACCGTATTGGTAATATGTGCAGTCAATTTATTGCTACTACTACTACTGCTGCTACTACTATTACCTCCTCCTTCGGATAATTCAATTTCCATGTCTTCTGCTTCTTCTTCTGCTTCTTCTTCTTCTTCTTCGTTGAGTCCAATCGCATGGTATTCATGACTAGGTTTTGGTAGGAGAAACTGATAAGTTATCAAAAACCCCAATGGTGTGATTGCAAAAAATATCAATACTATCCAAACTGGAATTCCCATAATATTGGTAAACAACATGAATAGGAAACTTCCAAATAAACCTGCTCCACCTGTTCCACTTGAAAAACCTCCAATGGCGTCGTCCTTGTAATAATGTGTCAATTGTAAAAAACTCACTTCACCCATTCCAGATGACAAGGAAGCCAACAAGATGCCTACTATTTTCAAGAATTTCAAATTTGTCGGGCTCGATGATATTAATAGCATGCCGCCACTCGATAGTACTATTAGAGAATAAAGTCTTATCTTGTATGGAATCAAATGGATGAAAAATGGGGCCACTAGCTTGAAAGTGAAGGAAGGAACCACATCTGCAAGTAGCACCACGGCTTTTGGTGTTGATGACCCAACCAAGTCTATCGCTGCTGATAAAATGATCACATATAAGATATTGTTCAATAATCCAAATAGGAAAAATGATATAAACACTTTTTGTGAATCATGGGAGAAGAAGTAAGTTCTCATGGAAATAGTAATAGCAGATAACGTTAAAAGAAGAGAAGAGAAGAGAAGAAAGAGAAGAGAAGAGGAGAGATGAAGTATTAAACTAATATCGTCCATTGTATCTAATTTTTTTCCCCCCCCCCCTCTATTGAGCGATAACTCATTCCACTCACTTTCACTCACTCTCACTGTGCTCACCTTCAACTAAAGTTTCTCATCCCCCTCATGGCTTCAAGTTTGCTACCTCTTTCAAATATCGTTCGTGTATATTGCCTAATTAGGAAGTCTAGTTGGTGTACACTATTGAGGAGAGCGAGATAGTGTGCAGCACTTTGTATCTTGTTACAACTCTATCGAGCAGAGCGAGATATGTCGCAGCTAGTGCCTAATTAGGAAGTCTAGCTGGTGTTGGTAGCTAGTGTGCTCCACTATCTCGCTCTGTTCGATAGTGTCGATAGCTAGTGTGCTCTACTATCTCGCTCTGCTCGATAGTGTCGATAGCTAGTGTACTCTACTATCTCGCTCTGCTCGATAGTGTCGAAGTGTTCTTTTTTTTTTTTATGCCTTGACGACGGATTGGCGGAAGAATGTTTAGCGCAGATTTACCATTTAAATGGAGTAGATTAAAAAATTTTTAGTGAGAGCGGTAAGATATATAATTAACTTAACTGAAGCAACAAACGGGGAGACACTTTGTAGCGACATCCTGTCTCCACTATCGAGCAGAGCGAGATGAGTCATAAAAGCATTCAACAACTTCTTCTTATTATTGTTTCGTTTCTTGCTGTTCCCTCGTGTTCCTGCCACAACCCACATTTTTTTTTTCTTTCGGTTTATTGTTCATTATATGTATGCATAATAACATCTTCTCACAAGTAGGAAAAAAGAAATTATGAGTAACAACAACTCATCAAATTCGGAGTAACTAAGATGAGTAATTCTACTTTCTAAAATTTTTTTTTTTCTTTTTTTTCTTTAAGAAGCATTTTTTTTCACCTTGAAAAATTGGTAGACATATTGATTAGTCCTTGCTATACTGATTGTTACCGGTTACTCTATCGCTTTTAGTCGGGGGATAAAGTGGAGAGTGAATTGTCTCTAGGAGAAGACATTGAAACAAGACCAAGAAAAGTTTTTGAAAACAAGGGAAAAGACTCATAGTATAATATGAGCAATACACCTATTCCATCTGAATACGACGATACAAGAATATTGGGGTACGATCCATTAATTCCGCCAGCCCTCTTACAGCACGAGATTAAGGCTTCTTCGAAGTCTTTGGAAGTTGTAATAAGGGGGCGTTTCGAAGCAGGGCAGATTCTTAAGGGGAGAGATGATAGATGTTTAGTAATTGTTGGTCCATGTTCTATTCACGATACTAAAGCAGCTTTGGATTATGCCGAACGCTTAAAGAAATTGAGCGATGAATTGAAAAATGATTTGTGTGTTGTTATGAGAGCTTACTTGGAAAAACCGAGAACTACTGTTGGTTGGAAAGGGTTGATAAATGATCCAGATGTCGATAATTCCTTTGATATAAATAGAGGCTTGAGGATTTCACGTCAGTTATACTCAGATTTAACTAGCCATGGATTACCAATTGGCTCGGAAATGTTGGATACTATTTCGCCGCAATATTTTTCCGACTTTTTGAGTTTTGGTGCTATTGGTGCAAGAACTACTGAATCTCAGTTACATAGAGAATTGGCTTCGGGGTTGTCATTCCCAATTGGTTTCAAAAACGGTACTGATGGTGGAATAACCGTTGCCTTAGATGCCGTGCAAGCCTCTTCTAAGGGACACCATTTTATGGGTGTTACTAAAAATGGTACTGCTGCAATTACCACGACTAGAGGAAATGATACCTGTTTCATTATATTGAGAGGAGGTAAGAAAATTACAAATTACGATGCTGAATCGGTGAAGGCTGCAAAAGAAGCCATCAGTAAGTCTACTGACCCAAACATCAAATTAATGATTGATTGTTCTCATGATAACTCGCAAAAGGATTACAGGAATCAACCAAAAGTATTGGATGCTGTTGTTGAGCAAATAAAGAATGGAGAGGAGTCTATTATTGGAGTAATGATTGAATCACATATAAATGAAGGCAAACAATCTATGCCCCCAACGGGCGGAAATAAGGAGTCATTAAAATACGGTGTTTCCATTACCGATGGTTGTGTTGGTTGGGAGACTACTGTGGACATGTTGACGAAATTGAGTCAAGCAGTGCAAGAAAGAAGGGAGCTAAAGAAGAAAAAGTTGTAGGAAAAAAATGTTATTTTAAGATGATAATATATATATATACATATATATATGTTGAAAAAAAATATTTATTTTATTCCTCTATGTAGGGGTTGAGAGTCGGGGGTTGGAAGGTCTGGGTAGCGGGTTTGATTCCCCAAGGTGCTTCCTTTAGGAGTGACAGTATCTCTTCATTTGTCTTTGTTGAATTGTAATCGTCGCTAATTTCCTTGAGGAACTCAGCAATCAAGGGGTTCGTCGAGATATAGTTATGACGCCGATTAAAAGGATTTCTTTTCCTCTTTTTATCTCGCAAAGTTTGCCCTATACCGTACCAATCCTTGACAAACAATTGCCACGCATGTTTTTGTTCACTTGCCTCTAAGTCTTGCAAATACGATGCAATTTTTTTCGCAGTACCCTGTGGTTTCGGTTCGTTTCCGATAAACTCGATATCATTCTGAGCAACACCCAATGCTTTCATTAAATGAAGGTGCACAAATCTGTTTCTTTTGAACTCAAACCCAATAATTGTTATCTTGTCAGGATATATTTGGAATAGTTCATAAAAACGACATAGTGAAAATAGCACATTTTCAAAAGAATCCCTGGCAAAAACCTCGATGTCGACTTTTGCTAAAATTTGTTGATCATTGTTGACTATTTCTTGTAATAGTTGATAATACGATGTCGCTTCAGCTATGGGTCCGGCAACTTTTTTTGTCTCGCCACCACTGATGATCAAGTGGGCCCTTGTATCGCGTTTGATCTGATGAACTGCTTGTTGAATATGGTCAATAAAACATAAATGGTCATTCCCTTCTAGCTGGAACTCGGCCAAGTACCATTCATTTTGGTCTAGTTTTTGCCTTCCTTTCCAAATTGCGTGACACGGTACAATCACCAAATGGTTAGGCTTGTCCATTAAAAGCTATAAAGCAAGGGATCTTATCTAATTTGAGTTCAATTTTTTCTCTTTTCTGGACTATCGAGCAGAGCGAGATAGTGGAGCACCAGTGCCTAGCAACACTGCTTAGCAGCACTGACCGCCACCGACACTAGGCACTCTGCTTGTTTCATCCTCCCGTGTGTTTTAGAATACATTTTTAATATAACAAGAGATGGTGGGAAGTGGTTTCTATTATTTACTCTTTTCTCTTTTCTCTTTGCGAGCTGGAGACAAAATCCATCTTTAGTGAGTCTCTAGTGGCAGAACAGGAGAGAAAAATGAACAGGAGAGGAGAGCAGAGCAGAGGAGAGCAGAGGAGAGCAGAGGAGAGGAGAACAAAATAGAGCCAGAGAACCTTTGCCACTAGCTTTCTCCTCCACCGCTCTATTACTATACGACTCCTCAATTCTACTACTCTTTTTTTGAGCAGAAGACGGCGCTACCTTCAGTACCACTAATCTTCTGCTCGTTAGGGTCACTTTAGTGGTCTCTAATCTCTAATCTCTAGTCTGTTGCAGCGCTAGCTCGCTCTGCTCGCTCTGCTCGCTGGTGACGTTTTCGGATCCTCTTGAAGACAGCGCCACCTTCAGTACCACTAATCTTCTGCTCATTAGTGTCACTTTAGTAGTCTTTAGTCTCCAGTTTTCTGCTGCACTAGCTCGCTCTGCTCGCTGGTGAAGCCGTTTAAAAAATCTTTTCCGATTTCTTTTTTCTTTTGAGAAAGTTTTTTTCCCATAGCACGAGAGAGAAATCACCGACGGTCGGATTTTAGCGGCAGTAGTTAAAAACAAAATCCTTATACTTCATTCTAGCTACACCAGTACACACGGGTTTGATTGCTCCACTATCTCGCTCCGCTCGATAGTGTCGTACACACACTTATATGAGAAGGTTTGTGCAATATGTATGTAACCAAAACCCCATGAGCATTATTAGAGAAAACCCCTCCCCCCCCCCACCAACACCACCACCACCACTGTGGTATATCGGCTTTTCTTTTTCCTGGGGCCCACCAATTGCACGTAATCAGGCGACTTCTCATGATGACAAAATATTTTGCGCATTAAAATGAAATGAGTAATGACCGCCACAATTTTAAAGCCGCCGCAATTTAACTATGCCGTTTCTTTTTTCGACTCTTTTCCCGTTAACTAGCGAAAAAAAATTTTCCCGCTTAATGGAGGGTTAAATAGAGACCCCCATTAGTTTATCTTGAATAATTTGTAGACAAACTTCTTTTCAAGGTGCTTCATAGCTGTTAGATTGCTCAAAAAATGGATTTTTGCTATAATAAGCTGATGGGCAACGGTACTATTGCCAGCAAATTTCGTCTTACTACTAAAGTGCAGCTGAATCAATCAAATCTTCGAACACCACTACTTGCCAAAAAAGATGTTCCAAAAGTCTCTCAAAACTCAATACCCCACGAGGAACAGCAGCCCCGCAAGATACTTCCCGCACGTCCCACACACATTGTAGTTGGGGAAAAAGCTGCTACTCTGGAAGTAGTCGAAAGCACAACAAGTCACCATCCTAGCAATTGTAATCGGTGCTACAGACTCAAGAAAAAATGCACAAGAACGTATCCAAAATGTTCTCACTGTGAAAGGACGAGGTCGGTGTGCGAATACGTGGATAGGAGTAAAAAGAGAAGAAAGACCGATGATGGGCCTGTCACTGCTGCTGCTACTACTACTACTACTACTACTAATGTTGCCACTGTTGTCGCTCCAGTCACTGCAGCTACTACTACTGTTGCTGCTACTGCAGATGTTCATGCTCCTGTTGTCACGCATATTGTGACGCCAACCTCCAACACAACCGCCAACTATCCCGGGGAAAACTCTATTAACTGGAAACCAATGTCTGTTTCCTCGTTACTTGTAGAGACAAGTGACGAGCAAATGAAAAAGCGAGAAATGCTGAAGAGGAAAAAAGTCCCCACTGCTGCATTAGCTTCGAGCGCCAGGCGTGCTCGAGAAGTGGAAAAGGATAGCATTGTTGACAAGATCAATTTCAAAAGTATTAAAGGGCCCATTATTTCAAACTTGAAAGAGGAATTCATTACCATTAAACGAATGCCTGATGCGAATTTGCCCATGGTTTTTGCTATGAATTATTTTGAAAATTTTGGGCAAAAATATCCATTCATTAATAAGGTGGAGTTTATGAAAAGTCTAGACAATATCGATTTTAGCAAAGATTCAATTGTCAATTTGGATATTTACCTTCTTTTAAGTATTGGGTGCATCTTGCATGACATAAAATGCCTGTCTGAAGACTTTATGCTATATTTCAAGACCAAAAGTGTTGAAAGTGTTATTGATGTGCTTGACTTATCATTTACCACTTTCAACCCAGATGATTTGCACCTTTTGTTGCTACTTTGTTTGTGTGCTGTTACATCATTGAACATGGATTTAACTTGGAATTTGGTTGGAATGCTCAATAGGGCAGTGCTTAAGTTTGAATTGTTTAAAAAAATAAACGACGATGATAACGATATTATAGTGGAGAGGATATTTTGGTCGATTCACAATTTAGATAAAGAGCTTAGTTTGTTGATGAAAAAACCTTCACAGTTTCCAAAATATTCGTATTTTGATAAGAAATCAATAGTTAAGCCGCTTTTTGAAGATGAAAACTTGTCGTTGGTAAATCTGTATTTAGCACTTGGAAGGTATCAAGATTCATTAGTCGACTCCATTTTGAAGAATTCAAGAGAAAAATTGACTCAGATCTCTAGTGATTTAGGAGTCTGGGTTGGTGCAATTACCAAGGATATCAGTCTCAAATTTGTGTCGGAACCATTTTTACAGGATCTCATTCCATTTGCTAATATTCAAAGCTACTACTTACAAGCAGAAATAGATCAGATATCAACTACGAAAAGTTTCCAATTTCCTTCACAGTTTACTTTTTATTCCTTTACTTTGTTGATATCGGCCTCAGACAAATCAGTAGGACTGGAGAAAAAACCAAACACTAAATTGGCAATTGCAGCATCAGGTTTTTGGTATTTGCAACTATTCAATATAATCAGGTACAGTATAACGTGTTTGAGCTACTTCATTGAGTCTGGTACAAATGAAGTAAAGCTCAAAGTAGTTGAATTTCAGGGATTCTTGCAGCAGGCTGTAAATCTATTGAAATACATTAGGGGAAACAAAACTTTACGTTGTTTGCAAGGGTATAGAAAATTGGATGAGCATGTCAATAAATTAATTTCAACTTTGGACAATTTAAGTATAAAGTTGTTGGGGTTTGATTGCACTGATAGCCTTGCAATGCTCAATCTATTGAAAACAATTAATGAAGAAGTAAAGTTGAAATTATAATATATACATATGTACTTATACTTCAAGCCCCTGTGTAACCCACATTTCAAGGGACTTTGTTTAAATTAAAATTGTCACCTATTTGTTTATTTTCATTCTAGTTTTGCTGCTTAAGTAGCTCCCTCTGTCGACTGAACTCTTCCATTGCTTTGGCTCTCATGACATCCAATAACACCGACTGGTGTTGTGGAGGGTATACCGGTAACTTATCATGCTCTACGTAAGCTAAATTCCAAAACTTTTCATCGCCCTTTCTCCATTCGTTTTCCCAAAACAATTTGGTACCATCTAGTTCAAATTCGTCAATCACATGAGCCAAGTCGGCAACGGCTTCTTGCGAGTATGTTGGCCGGTATTGTCCTGAATACCAAATATTTCCATCATCGTTTTTTTTTCTCATATTGTTTGCTTCCTTACGTTTTTTCCTCAAACTCTTCAAATCTAGCAAGGCTTGATATGCCGCTTTCGAGTATTCGTAATTATTGAAGTTGGCAACACACATTATTTTCCATAAATCCTGTCTTCTTGATGGTTTTCGATCTTGCCAATTTGGATTGTAGAACTGAGCATCTATTTGGTCCTGGTGATAAGCAGGAACCTGCGAATATAAAATCTGGCCACTGAATAAATTCTTAAATATAAACAATTGTGGAGCTAATCCTAGTTCCTGTAAATAAGACTCACTTTTAAGCTTATTCCCTTGAGCAATTCTAGCACCATCTTGTTTACGAGCTTTCAACTGCTCAACGAGGAATCTCCTCATCTTCTTTTCGGATCTTAACCGCATCTCAAATAATGTAAACCTATATCACACTTGCCAAATTTAATAACAACTATCGCTTCTTGAGCCTTAACCTTCTTTCTTTTGAGCCTTTTCCTTCTTTCCTTTCACTCTTCAACTCTTGATTCATTCATCCATGATGAAAAAAAAAAAAATAAAAAAAAAATTTCACCCTTCACTTATTTTTTCATACAATTGGTAGCTTTTAATAGAAAGGTCTAGCTCTGTTAAGTTGGTAACTCGATTGAACTGAGCATCGCCATTAACAACTACTAAGTTTGTATATTAGTAGTTGTTGTTTTGGTGATTGGTTGACGTAGATGTCATTTTCAAGCATTCTATTATACATCTTTATTCTTGTGCTTGCGACAATATGGATATACTCGTTCGTTTACAATAGGAATCTTCTACAGCGATATTCAACTTCTTTAAATGTACCTATAAGCCAGATAAATGAGTACATCGACATAAACTTACTGAAACCATACCAGTTGCAATTGATTGAAGTGAACGTTTTGGATGATGAAGCGGAAGCAGGAGGAGGAGCAGGTGGTGGTGGTGGTGGTGGTGGTAGTCGTCGCTTGGCAAGAGAGATTAATAAGTCAAGAATTGGTAGTGATTTGGAGCGCTCGAGAGACTTGGTAACAGGAGTCCTCTTTAGCACAACAGTTTCGTTTAGTGTTGGCTTGATTATACTAATGATGTGTGAATTGGGAGACTATTTCACTGTGAACACAAGAGCAAGTTTATTCAAGTTGACAATTGATATATTGATGATTTTGTTGGCGTTAATATTGCCATTTTGCAGTATAAGCTTGTTAATAAATAACGATGTACTACCTGTGAAATCAAATAGTGTTAGGGTCTTTGCCACTTTTTGCGTATACGCTGCATGGTTTTTGGTCTTGCATAAATGTGGCGATTTGACTCAAGATTTCTATCCGCGATCCAATAATTCAACCACAAATACTAGGAACTTGATCGAAAGGAAAATCAATGAGGTCTCAATTGTGGGAATAACTATTTTAGCAGTGTTGTCTGGGGTAGGTTCGATTTCAACTCCTCAACGCGTATTTTCTTACAAGGGTCTTTTAAGTAAACTTAGACCCGGAGCATTACAAACTATATTAACAACTTTAACTTCAACAAGGGCGACAACAACAACAAACTCTTCGCCAGAAATCGGGGTGCATGATATCAACCTGACAATTCAAAACTTCAACAACACAACCATTTTGATATCTAAACGCAAAAGAGAACTTGAGAAGTTACAGAGTGCTTCTGGAGGTACCATATACAATCTCCCCAATTCGGCGAGTTCAACTGAAAACGTTTTGATTGATAAATCTCTGACGAAAAAGAAATTGGGCTCGCTTATTCACAAAGTGCAATCCTTTGCCAATTTGCCTATGCATGGGTATTCCGAGGAACAAGAATTAGAAAAGGAGATTAAGTCTTTGTACAGCTTGAAAAAATCACTATATAGTGATGTGTTAATCACTGTGAACAAATTTACCAAGCAGGCACACAAGAATATGCATAAGAAACTTTTATTGGACAACTTAATGTACTGGGGAAACATTGTTTTAGCGTTTTATTGTATTTACAGAATCTTCAATGTCTTTTTTGTCAAACTACCGTTACTGTACATTTATGGGCCGCCCATATATGATGACGGAGTACACTCAGAAGTTATTGATTCCAAACAAGAAGCGCCGTCGTCAAAAGACGCATTGGCAATATCTATATCGAAAATAATACTCACAATATTTGGAAACATCCCCATTTCAGAGTTGCAATTGGTCAACCAGCTAAGTTTCATTTTATCAGGAAGTTTGTTTTGCTGCTCATTTACAAACGTTTTGACCACACTCAAATCGTTTAGCCAACTACTACCCTTGAACATGAATGAGTCACAAGTAGCCAAAACCTGGTTGAAGTATTTGTTGGTTGCAGAACTACTAGGTGTCTATGTTTTGGCAACTGCTTTATTAATACGCACAAATTTACCAGAAAACCTATCCAACCAGATATCTAAAATGTTATCGCTTTCAGGAAGCTCATCTACAAACGCACGATCCTCTATCAAGGAAGTAATGTTTATTGATACATGGTTCGACAAGGTCTTTGCCATATCGTGCTTGTTTACAGGCATCTTTATAGGGATAAGAAGGTTTACAAAGGAAGATGATGCATTGGGGCCTAGTGGGTCTCTGGAGTTTTATGATGAAGAACTGCTTCTAGAAGGCGACAACTATAAACAAGCATAGAAAAAAAAAAAAGAAGAAGAAGAAGAAAACAAAAATGTAGCCAAACTGTTACACAGAATAGATGAACATACATATCATTGAATGAATGAATGAAAAGGAAAAGCTCAATAGTAGTTGGTATGTAGTTTTCCCTGATCCCATCCCTTCCCCCCATCCCTTCCCCCTTCACAATGGGCACTCATCTCTTGGCCCGCGTTGTCGTGTCTTTGTAGTGAAAAAAAAAAAAAAGTTTGTTAGACATTCTTGGATTTATGACTAACAAGGAATTTTTCACCTTAAAATATCAAGTTTTCTCCACGGAGACATAGAACAAGTTGTTACGAGTTTTTCATAGAAACATTTGCCGAGCAGCTAAGATGTCGGTTGTAAAAGATACCAATATCCCATTTTCCAGGGAGTCCTTAGAGCAGTTGTTGAAGAGAAGGTTCTTTTATGCTCCATCATTCGAGATATATGGAGGTGTTGCTGGATTATTTGACTTTGGACCACCAGGTTGTGCTTTTCAAAACAATGTAATTGACGTCTGGAGAAAGCATTTTATTTTGGAGGAAGATATGTTGGAAGTTGACACGACCATGTTGACTCCTTATGAAGTGTTTAAGACTTCAGGTCACGTTGATCGTTTTTCTGACTGGATGTGTAAAGATTTGAAAACAGGAGAGATATTTAGAGCAGACCATCTTGTGGAAGAAGTATTAGAATCGAGATTAAAAGGAGACAAGCTGGCAAGAGGCGAATCTGTCAAGGATGAAGAGGATGAGGATAAGAAGAAGAGAAAGAAAAAAGTTAAGGAGATCAAGAATATCAAATTGGAAGACGATGTGGTTGAAGAGTATGAGAACATTTTGGCTCAAATTGATGGGTATTCTGGACCTCAGTTGGGTGAGTTGATTATTAAACATAATATAACCAATCCTGCAACTGGAGGTGCATTAGAACCCCCCATTGAGTTTAATTTGATGTTTGATACTGCCATTGGTCCTGCAGGAAACTTGAAGGCTTTCTTGAGACCAGAAACCGCACAAGGGCAATTTCTTAATTTCAACAAGTTGTTGGAGTTCAACAACGATAAGATGCCCTTTGCTTCCGCTTCAATTGGAAAATCTTTCCGTAATGAAATTGCTCCTAGAGCTGGTTTATTGCGTGTACGTGAGTTTTTGATGGCTGAAATAGAGCATTTTGTAGATCCGGAAGATAAATCACATCCAAAGTTTGACGACGTTAAAGATGTGAAATTAAGGTTTTTGCCTAAAAAGGTGCAAGAATCAGGATCCAATGACCTTATTGAGATGAGTGTTGGGGAGGCAGTTAGTTGTGGAATGGTGGATAATGAGACTTTGGGTTATTTTATTGCTAGAATCTATGCGTTTTTGATCAAAATCGGCTGTGACCCTAATAGATTAAGATTTAGACAACACATGTCAAACGAGATGGCTCATTATGCTTCCGATTGTTGGGATGCTGAATTGCACACCTCATATGGTTGGATTGAATGTGTTGGTTGCGCTGATAGATCAGCATACGATTTATCTGTCCATTCTGCTCGTACTGGTGAAAAACTAGTATCTAGAAAGGCTTTAAGCGAGCCACGCACTGTTGAGGAATTTGAAATCGAACTTGCAAAGAAAAAATTTGGACCCAAATTCAGAAAAGATGCAGCAACTGTTGAAAAATGGCTTTTGTCGAGGACACAATGTGAATTAGAAGACTTTGCTAAAAAACTAGAGGAACACGGAAGGATTGTTGCTCGTATTGACGGCGTTGAAGGCGCAGTTGAATTGGATCCAGAACTTATAAAGATTGAGAAGGTCAAGAGAACAGAACATGTTAGAGAATTCACTCCAAATGTGATTGAACCATCGTTTGGTATTGGACGTATTGTGTATTCAGTTTTTGAACATCAGTATTGGGCAAGAAAAGATGATGCCGAGAGAGGTGTTTTGTCTCTTCCTCCACTTGTGGCACCAACCAAAGTCTTACTCGTGCCGTTGTCAAATAGTTCCGAGCTTCAGCCAATTGTCAAAAAGGTCTCGAGTGTATTGAGAAAGGAAAAAATACCTTTCAAAATCGATGATTCTTCTGCTTCAATTGGTAAAAGATATGCTAGAAATGATGAGTTGGGTACACCTTTTGGTATCACGATTGATTTTGAATCTGCCAAGGACGATTCAGTAACCTTGAGAGAAAGAGACTCAACTAAGCAGGTCAGAGGTTCAATCAGTGAAGTTGTAGAGGCCATAAAAGAAATCACATATTCCGGAGTCGATTGGACTAAAGGTACAGCTTCTCTCAAGCCTTTCAACTCGTGAGGCAGGTTTACATTTGTTTTTGTTAATCCTTTATTATATCTTCCTTTGGTTTTTTATTTTTTTTTGGTATAGAAAATCTAACATATATAGACAAATAGATTGTTAACCGAAAATTTCTTTCAAAAAGGCTTCTGAGTTTGGTTTTCGGCCCAATAACTCCTCTAGATTCTCCATGATATCTCTCGATCCTCCACGTCTTAAAATGATGTCTCTGTACCTTATTCCATTTTCTGTGTTCATTGGATCTTTTTTGAAAAGGGTGTAGTATATATCTGCTGCAAAAACCAATGAATACAAGTAGCCGTAGTATCCACTTTCGTATCCACCGGCAATATGTCCAAAAGATGCATATCCTTTGGTTGGATTATTGTCGCTAGGAAGTAATGTCACTTCTTCTTTCAAGTTATTCCAAATTTTGAACAAATCCAAGCTCTCCAATTGTTCTTTGTTGTTGATAGTGTGCACGGTCATATCAAACAAGCCAAAAAACAATTGACGCAAATTAAATAATCCTGTGTTGACATGCTTGGTACGAACAAGTTGATCAACCAAGTCATCGTTTATAGGTTCTCCTGTTTCATAATGAGATGACAACTTCTTAATCTCATTTTTAGACCAACACCAATATTCCAACATTTGAGACGGAGTTTCAACGAAATCTCTTTCGACGCTTGTTCCGTGAAATCTAGAGTACTTGGTTTGTGCCAAGATTGAATGAATTCCGTGCCCCAATTCATGGAAAAAGGTAACAACTTCGTCGTGTTTCAATAAGGATGGTTTGTCCTTTGTAGGTTTGGTAAAATTACAAACTAATGCTGTAACTGGCTGACGACGAGTTTTCCCATCGGCTTTTAAATACCCTGGGCCCAACCCGAAATTAGCTGCATGGCCATACTTCCCTACTCTAGGGTGCAAATCAAAATAGATGGCCCCCATATACTCCACGGTTCCAAATTTGATATTTTGGAAAATGGCAAATTGTTGAACATCTTTGTGCCAAATTTCATTTGGTTGAGGATCAAGTTTAACAAACTTGATATCAAAGATTTTTTCATAAAACTCCAACATCTTTTCAATTGTTGACTGTAAGGGGAAGTACTCGGCTATTTTGTTATTGTCAATTTGGTACTTTTCTGCTAATAAATTTTCATTGTAAAAATTGAAATCCCAAGCATAAAATTCATCCTCTGGTTGTAACTGGCGTTTTTCTAGGTCAGAAGCTTTCAACAGCTTCAAATTTTCCAACTCCTTTTCAGCAACAGGTTTCAACTTGGTCCTCAAATCACCCAAAAAGTCAAGAACGGTTTTTTTCGTTTTAGCCATCCTTTCCTCCAAAACATAATCAGAAAATGTGTCATAACCCAACTCTTTGGCAATGTCATATCTAATCTTGATAATCTTTGTCAATATCTCATCATTTTTTTCTGAGCATCTATTACCATAAGCAATATTGGCTCTCTTTCTTGTATTTGAGTTCTTAGCGTACTTGAAAATGGGGAAAATGTCAGGGTATTTAAATGTAACCCTATACTTGTCATTGTCATTGTCTTTTTCATACTGACCAATCACATCTTGAGGAACGCCATCAAGCTCTTCCAAGGTGAAATATATACAGCCGTTGTCTTCATTCAAGTTCTTGGAGAATTGCACTTTCAAGTTACTCAACTCCACTTGCAATTGCTTAACTTTTTCTCTTTGGTCATTAGGTAATGCCAACCCATTTCTCTTAAACGCTGTGATAATCTTGTCCACATACCGCTTATCTTCTGCATCTGAATCTGCCCTTTTCTCGGCTAAATTCTCACTCAATTGCTTAAAGGTCTTGTACACATCCTCCCTCGACCATTGCTCTATGGAGTTCTTGTCCAAAATCTCCTCAGCTGCAGTTGACGCATCTCGCAATTCCTTGTCGTTCGAAACGTATTGGTAAAAGGTAATTTGGTTTTCAACAAAGGCATTTTCGTTAAAAAACCTACCAAAGGGCTCTAGCGTATTGCTGATGCTGGGATTTGAAACATTCGCTATCTGGTCAAACAATTGGGTTTCACGAGACGCAAGATCTTTGGCGGACTCTAATACCTCCTGAGAAGTTTGTTCCCATTTAGGATATTTCTGCTCTTGGGCAAGTTTTTGCAAGTCTAAAGACATCGTTGGATGAAAAATAGTGTATAGTAAATAGCCTACCAATACGATTATAAATCCATTGAACATAAAAAAAAAAGAAAGAAAGAAAGAAAGAAAGAAAGAAAGAAAGAATCAAGTGAATTACATCAGCTATTTTGCCATCTGGTTAAAGAGAAGATTGCGTGGCCTTTGCGCGGTGCGGCAACGAACACCTCCAAAGAGAGAAGCGTGCGGCTACAAATTTTGACAAAATTATCAACATTTCAACAAGCTTGGTGTATGTTATGTATGTTATAACCCCCCCACAATTTTCAAGGTCGTGTAGTGTCTTTGCATGAACAAACTCGTTGGAGTTGTTGTATTATTTAGTGTGTGTGTGTGTGTGTGTTTTTGTTTTGTTTGTAAAGTATATTGTTTCCATGGTGTAGTAGATGAGAGAATAGGGATCGATTTAAAGCTTTTGAAGAGATGGCACTTACCAACAAGTTAAGTAACAGTAACGTAAACCTCAATTGATGTTGTAATCAAACAATTTTTGTTTTTCTAGTTTGTCTTTATTTAAACTACAAAAACCTCTATCAACTTGCCAAAATCCAATCCATCTCCAGAATTGATTTCATATAACTTGATCCCATCAAGATTATAAATCCCCTTCTTAAGACCGATCATTTGAATTTCTGTCTCGAAAACCATTTGTGGATCCAATGGCATCCTAATGTCGTTATTCAAAATGATTACCCCATTATCTATTATTTCCCCTCGGCCAGCAAGAGAATTTGTGGTGTTGTTGATATAGGTGTTGGTGGTGGTGGTGGTAGTATTGGCGGTCCACTTGGTATTAGTTAAAAATTCAAAGTTGTTACAAGCTAGGTTAAAATTAACTGGTTTTTGGACTAGTAACGACAAGTTCAATCGGTTCATCGAAGTGTTGATTGCTTGAATTTTCCAGGTTACCAATTGCCCCAATTTAATATCGATTTTCCCAACAAATGTAAGCTTTAATCCACTCAAGGACGAATTGAGATTGGTTGATAAATTAACAGTTACAGACGACGTTACCCTACTTGCGTTCAGCTTGATTCGTCTAGTCATGGGAGGGCCCTGGACAGCTCCCAAGCTGCTAGCACTCAACATTGAATTGCTTGATCCCTTCAATTTGTAGAAACCATTGTACAATGCCCTGTGGCGAAAATTCGACCGAGTTGATAAGTTGCTAGCTTGTGAATCTGTTGTCGAATGACTATTACTGGTTCGTAAAGCATTGTTTATTGGCGATGCAATTATCCCAAAATCGAGAAAAGGCGTCCATTCAGTTTGTATTAGATTGCTGACATTTTCAAATTTGCCATTGACTAGTTTCTGCATTCGTGATTGGAGACGTATCAATACTGGCCTGGTAGATTCTCGATTAGTAGTGGGCTCGTTATTAATGAATTTGTGTACAGAGTTAATTGAATCAGTAGACTTCAATCGCTGTGGTATAGTTGACCCCATGGCAACTGCTAAACCGGACTCAAACGAAACTTCAAGATATAAAATATCAAAATAAGTTTTATCCATTTCAGATCCTTTCATCGTTAGTAACTCTTCAGCGCATTCTATGTTTAGTGCTGCCAATAAAACATCATTTCTTCCAGCTGGTTTTGTTGATTTCATTTTGATCACTAATGAAACTGTTATTGGAATGCATATCTCTGCTGTCGCCTCAGCAGTTACTTTGACTATAGAAGACTCTTTTTGACTTTGCGAGACTGTCGCGGTTGTTGTTGTTGTTGCTGTTGTTATTGTATCTTCTTCACAAGGTTCTGAATCATTATCATCTACGGGCATATAATCCAGTAAAATCACATGTGGCACATGTTCAGCATCTGTGCTGATTTCATGACTTTCAGTGTAAAAACAAGATAGCTGTAAGCAAGGGTCTTCCATTCGCATTCGCGGGTACACCGCCGGTACTTTGAATTTCCACACTGTCAACTCATCCTCACAAACTACTACATCTTTTTCTGATAGATAGCATTTAGCTATCACCTCATCATCTTTAGCTGTCTCAAAATCCTGTTTGGATGCTGCCCCATTGCCAGATGAAAAACTAGCTTCAAGCTTTAACTTGTATGGCGCTGATTTTCTATGGGCTAGAACAACATAGCCTACAACAATTTCATCAAAAAACAACAAACTTCTATTTTCATTATTCTCTATTTCCTCGAAAATCTCATTCTTTCCGCTCCTTTCTTTTGTAGGCACGATGATTTTGATATCCATGGAGGCATGGAATAACGAAAGGGATTATGAAAAAAAAAAAAAAAAAAAAGTATAAAAAGAATGAAAAAAAATTAGGACATTGATAGTTTCCACTTATTATATTACACGAAGGTGACGTTGACCGATCATCTGATCATTTCAATGCTAGTCCAAAAAGAAGAATGAGAAAATGAAGAGAAAAAAAGCATGATCGGGGTAAAGAAGGAGCAGTTTGAGTGAATCAAAAGTAATAGGGGGGGTAGCTATACCTATCTCGTGGTTAACAGAGATCAATTGAAAATTATAAGGCCAAATTCTTTGTATTAAGAACTAGGTATTGTGAACACCAGCAAATGAACAACAAGCAGACTGGATGGCCAAGCTGGTTAAGGCGTGAGACTGTTAATCTCAAGATCGAGAGTTCGATCCTCTCTCTGGTCGGTTGTTTTTTTTTCCTCCCACAAGAATACCTCCTTATTTTTTTTTTTTGATTCTTGTAGGGAGAGAGTAGAAATGCCAATGAACGACAATCTTGATTTCTCTGTAGTGTAATCGATGAAGCTGTGTGTTTAATTGGGAGTTATTTGTCTATACTTTTCAGTGGGCATTTATTAGAGTAATAATGTTCAAAAAATTTCAAAAAAATTTTGCAATAATACAGAACAAACTTCTTCTCCACATTGAGAATAGTTAGACTAATTGGAGATAGCCTTTTCAAGAGTTTTCAAAGCTTTTCCTTTAATAGAAAAAGTTAATCACAAAGACTATTTTGAACGCATTTGCCACACATATATATATATATCTCTATATAGTATACTTTTATTCTGAATTCTAAGGTCAATGTCAGTGTCGCTAGTCAGTGCTGCTCGATAGTGCCGCACTTATATATTAGATCTACATAAATTTTCAGAAATAACCGTTTTTTTCTATTTAAATTTGCAAACCATTTCAACGGCAGCAGCACCCCAATCTTCGCCATGGTTGTGCATCTTTCCTTCTATTAACCCAGCTCTGGCTTCAGCCTGCTCCTCAGTTAAGCAAGTCAAAACCCCAAATATAACAGGAATGTTCAATTCAAAATTCAATTTCATCAATTGATTAGTAGTTGAGTCACAAATGTATTCAAAGTGCATAGTTGATCCTTTGATTAATACCCCAATTGGGATAATTGCATCAAGAGGAGCATGTATATTCTTTTGCTTTTCATAAAATAGTTTTGAACCATATGGTAACTCGAATGATCCGGGAACCGATTCAATTACAATGTTTTCAGAAAGAACACCAAACTCTTTGAGTCTTTTAACTGCTCCTTCTACTAGGGCATCAATGATTTTCTTATTCCATCTTGCGTGGATAATACCAATCCTTAATTTGGAACCTGTCAAATTGTTTCTTTGATTAGTATGATAAAAAAGAAAAAAATAAAAATAAAAATAAAGGGGAAAAAAAACAACAAATCCAACACAAGGTTATTCTTAGTAAAGAAACATACCATCATATTGCTTGTCAACTCCCCCTAATCCTTTTACAGCCATGTTTCAATTGAGGAAAAGCTTTAGTTAGTTTGTGATTCAAAATAAGATTCTGGAATGAAGTGAACGTTTTTTTCAGAAAGAGAGAGAGAGAGAGAAAGTTGGGAGCGAAAAAAAAAAATCCTTGCAAAAGTTTTATCGATAAATTTTTCATCCTGATGAACAATCTTTTTTATAGTCTTCTGCAGATGAACAATCTTTTTATAGTCTTCTGCAGATGATCACAATTGAATAACCCGAGAAGATGAGTTTTCTAGCTTCAGCATTTTTGATTGGTATGTTATGAATTCCCCCCTTCCTTTGGGAAAACTCCATTTTGAATCTGTTTCATAGAATGTTTCTTTAAGTGATGATTACATCCAATTACATATATGACTTACTTGATATGAATTAAAAACAATAATCTATAAATTTAAAGTCTTTCACCCCTATCTGAACAAACGAAAGTCTACGAAACTGACTAAAAAGAATCGCATTAAACAGGGTAATACTAACTTGACCAAATTTTAGAGTAACAATTACATTCTGTTCAATTTTGGGGCTCTCATAGATTATAGGGTGTTCTTTGTTTTTTTTAGAGCGGTTATGTAAATGCGTTCGGGATTGAAGAAAAAAAAAACAAAGAATAGAGGAGACACCGAATGGGGTGGGGGGGGGGGGCAGATTTTTGTTTATAGCATCCTATTGTAGAATTGTTGAGCATACTCAACTGGTGAAATAAAGTATTGCCCACGATGAGGAAATAAAACTCATCACTTCATTCAAGTAAAAAACCTTGTTTCTTTTTTTTGGTTTCTTCAAGGACAAGGATGAAAGTGAAAGGGAATCAAAGACACTATTGAGCAGAGCGAGATAGTGGAGCACACTAGCTGCCTCCGATTTCCTTTTACTTGGTGCAGGAGGGAGAGGGAGTATGGGACTTATTGTTGTAGAGATGAGATGAGATGAGATAAGGCTAGGCTTAAAGGCAGAAATTACTAAAGTAACATTCTTTTTCCGTTTTAAATACAATCTGCGTTAATAAATTCTCAAAAACTACCTCAACAATAACAAATTAACCTGAAATATGGCTATAACTTTTTTTTGAAGTAGGAAAACAGAATGTAAGATGGCTTTAGATAATAAGTCTTTTATTTTCTTTTTGTTTTTCTTTTTTTCTTTTTTAGTTCTTTTTTTGATTATTACAAATATTAGTGAGCGAGTTCGGAAAAGACTAGACCCCATAATAGTTTACTAATTTTTGACAGGACAAGTATATGCCAGTAAAGGGGTTTCTCACTGACAGGAACGCATCTTGAAAAGAGACAACTTTCTACAGTTGTATTCCACTTAACAAGTTGGGCTATTCCTCTTCTCTTGAGAACTAATGACTCTACACTCAAAGAAAAAAAAAAAGACCTTGAAGTTGATATATTTGTATAGTTTCATTTAAGTAAAGATCTAACAAACGAGTAAAACGTCAACTGTTAGTCACGATCAACATTTGACTAATAGTTTGCAATACTTTATTTAATACAATACCTTTTCTTTACTTTGAAATACAACACGAGAGTTACAACACGAGAGTTACAACACGAGAATACAACATGAGAATACAACATGAGACTACAACATGAGCTTGGGTTGTTCATATTTTTTTTTTTTCTTTTCATTGTAGTTACTGCGCGAGACGAACTGACCCAACGTGACCATATCTTTGTTGGTTTCAGTTGATTTACCTTGGCGTTATCTCTTCCTCTTCTTCTCATGTTTATTACACAGAAAACAAAACATATAAACATCAAAAATTTGTTAGAAACCTAACACCCCCCCCGCTCCGTTCCCCCTCCATCAAGTTCAGTTTTTCTGTTGTATAGTTGGACTCGCCACTTGGCATATCAACAACTTCTCGCTTATCGTTTGTCGTTGTCCAGTAGTCATTTTGTACAGGACTTGTTCATTAGAAGTTTCAGTGTTCTTGCATTGCTACCTGCTGCATATATTTTTCCATTGGTCCTTAGCAACGGCAACGTAATCCACACTTTTGGTGAGCAAGCATTCTTTTAAACTATAACTTTTTCTTTTTTCCCTTCTTACTCATTTATTTAAATAGCGTTGGTATTTTATCTTTTATCTTATCAGTACTTCATTTCAATCGCATATTGATTATCGTATAGGATTCTACCACCACAAAGAAAGGCAAAGACAGATACCGACACACCGACACACACCGACACACACCGACACACACACACACACACACATATATATATATATATAGAACTATAGATTATGTCTATTAATCCGAGATTCAAGCTATTTAAGCTTGCTACACCTGCACAAGTGTATACTTCTCAAGAAGATGAGCCACATCCACAACCACAATCAAAATTAAAACTGCAATCACAACAGAACAATGCAACCAAACTGTTTGCTAAGCTGAAAAAGGATGCTTATGATGCCACGTCTAGTATATTATCCGACTATGACGATTTGGAAGTGATGGATGATGATCAATCGCTGTATGTGTTGTTTAATCCAAAACAGAGAGCCAAGACTGAATCTGATATACTTTCACTTACAAACACGTCGAGGGAAGAAGATTCAAAGATAGAAACAGAGGGAGAGGAAGAGGAAGATGAAGAGGAAGAAGAAGAGGAGGAAGAAGAGGAAGAAGAGGCAGAAGAGAAAGAGCAACAGCAAGAGCATCAAGAGGATGGGGATAAACTTTCAAACAAAATCAATAGCTGGCACCATTCAAATATACTCAAGACAAGCCAACCAATAGACGAAAACGTCGCCAGCTGGAACCTCGATGAAGAAGTTATGGACAAAAGCAGCAGCTATACTAGCTTGTACTTCAATAACAATCTGCAACAACTGCTTGATGAAAGCAAGAAATTATTAAAAGAGTTTTATGGGGACGATTTGTTCAAATACCTAAGCCCACAGGAGATTGCTCAAGCTAAAAAGTTTCACAAGTATATTGATATAAAGAAGTACTTGCTAAACAAACAAGATGATGATAATGCCGCCATACTAAACTCATCTATACTAAAACAGTTAATTTACAGAATACTTTTTTTAAACAATAAGAGTAATGGTCACCAACTAGACACAGATTATCAGCAACATCAATCCTTTAATATGGGAGGCAAGGATTACATAAATTATCTCATAAAGGATATTAACCATTTCGAGCACTGCCATTACTTTGGCGAGCACGCTGTTCCTGCTGCTACATTTTCCGAAACAACAGGCGGCTCGTCTTTAATTATGTGTGGCGGTGTTGGATTTGGAGCTAATACAACATGGAATGACATTTAAGAGTAAAAAAAGTGTATGCAAAAACCTGTGCAATTAAAGAAGCTGGGTCCTTTGTTTTATTTTTTTTTTATTTTTTTTATCTTTATTTTCTTATCTATAGAGTGTGAATGGTTTTGGACAATGAGTTGTACTAGGTGAATGGTTTTGGACAATGAGTTGTACTAGGTGAATGGTTTTGGACAATGAGTTGTACTAGGTGAATGGTTTTGGATTGTATATTGGTATAAGGGTGAATGGTTTTGGACAATGAGTTGTACTAGGTGAATGGTTTTGGATTGTATATTGGTATAAGGGTGAATGGTTTTGGACAATGAGTTGTACTAGGTGAATGGTTTTGGATTGTATATTGGTATAAGGGTGAATGGTTTTGGACAATGAGTTGTACTAGGTGAATGGTTTTGGATTGTATATTGGTATAAGGGTGAATGGTGAATGGTAAATGGTATTGAATTATATATTGTATAAGGGCGGGTATATGTATATAGATTTTATCAATATAAACATATTTACAAAAAAGATATAAAGGATAAAGAGGATATTGCTCCACTTGAAAAGCTACAAAGTGTTGCTCCACTATCGAGTAAAGCTAGATAGTGTCTGTGGCAGCTACAACACTATCGAGCAAAGCGAGATAGTGGAGCACACTAACTCTTAACACTATCGAGCGACAACATAAGTGTTGCTCCACTTTCGAGTAAAGCTCGATAGTGTCTGTGGCAGCTACAACACTATCGAGCAAAGCGAGATAGTGGAACACACTAACTCTTAACACTATCGAGCAACAATATAAGTGTTGCTCCACTTTCGAGTAAAGCTCGATAGTGTCTGTGGCAGGTACAAAGTGTTCCACTATCTCTCTTCGCTCGATAGTGTCGGTGGAGTGTTGGTCCACTATCTCTCTTCGCTCGATAGTGTCGGTGGAGTGTTGGTCCACTATCTCTCTTCGCTCGATAGTGTCGGTGGAGTGTTGGTCCACTATCTCTCTTCGCTCGATAGTGTCGGTGGAGTGTTGGTCCACTATCTCTCTTCGCTCGATAGTGTCGGTGGAGTGTTGGTCCACTATCTCTCTTCGCTCGATAGTGTCGGTGGAGTGTTGGTCCACTATCTCGCTTTGCTCGATAGTGTGATAGTGTCGGTAGTGTCTTGTTGATGTCGTAAAGCTTGAAATCAAGACATGGAATTTTTCAGTCGAAATTTGAAAAAAAAAAAAAAAAAAAATGAACGAGAAGTTGAGATATAGTTAGCGATTTTTCAAAACAGTCCATCTCGAAATTGAATAAAAATTACTCAGGATAATGAGTGGGTGTATGTATCATTTGTTCAGGATAACTGAGCTTGCGAGAGAGTACTCGTACTAACTTTTTCCTGCTCACAATAGTCCGTCTTCTTGACTTGGTGAAGTTCTTCTTGCCAATACTTCCAGAAGTTGAGTTTCCCTATGAAACAATAAAATTCGATGAGAAAATAGTATATACTGTTGGTTCTGGCTTCATTTTTCTTCTTGGTCAATTGCCCATCTATGGTCTCATCCCACAAGCACAGTTCCATTTGGTTGATCCTTTTTACTCCTTTAGATCGATTTTCGCCATGGAAAAGGCAACACTATTGGAATTGGGGTTGTTGCCTATAATAACCTCGGCTTTTCTTTGGCAATTAGCAGCAGGGTTGAAATTGATTAGTGTCAATTTGGGGTTGAGGTACGACAGAGAATTGTTTCAATCGGGCCAGAAATTAACTGCCTTTGGTTTGGCTATAGTCATGGCTCTTGGATTAATTTATAGTGGATACTATGACAATGTTATTAAGGGCATCAATATAGTTGGTACCCCTTCAGGAGTACCATATTGGTCGTATTTGATTATTTTTTTGCAAATTGTCACTTGGCTGTTTATGGTTACTTTATTAGTGGAAATTTTTGATAAAGGTTACGGATTTGGATCAGGTATATTATGTTTTCTTACCTTGCAAAATGCAACTAGTTTTATTGCTGAATTGATTGGATTGGAAGTATTTCCCGTGGTTAACAATTCCAAGAAGTTTGAAAGCTTTGGTGCTTTGATGAACCTTTTGCGCAATTTCTCCGTGTTCAACCTCAGGGCCACTATAAATCAAATTTGGCATGCTTTTACAAGAGTCCAATTACCTAATTTAACTCAATTTTATATTTGTCTTGCGTCAATTCTTGTTGTTGTTGCTTTGCAGAATTTCAGAATTGAAATACCGATTAGATCTACAAAAGTTCGGGGTATGAACCAAATATTCCCAATTAGATTGTTGTATACGGGAGGATTATCCGTTTTGTTTGCATACACTGTTATTGCCAACATTCAAGTTCTTGGTTTCTTTGTCAAGTCAATTATGGTGAAGCTCGGTGCTCCTTCAATTATTTCGTCATTATTTGCAAATTACGTGATTGAACCATATTCAAACAGGTTAGTGCTTGAATCTGGATTACTCTATTTCTTCACACCATCTCAAACATTGGTTCAATCGATAATATCTCCATTAAGAACTATTGTTTATTCTTCAACAGTTATTCTTTTGACAGTTTGGTTTGCTTATAAATGGAGTTTCATCTCAGGTTCATCTCCAAAGGATATATCAAAACAATTCAAAGATCAAGGCATTTCAATTGCAGGTAAGAGAGATATTTCAATAACAAAAGAATTGTCAAGAGTCATCCCAATAGCCGCAGTCTCTGGTGCTTTCTTATTAGGCGTGACTTGCATTTTGGGTGACTATTTAGGAGGATTAGGAAAGAATGTTGCATCCGTGGTTGGTGTTTCCTCGGCCTTTGGCGTTTTAGAAGAATTCATGATGGAGTACCAACAAGCTGGTGGATCACAATTCTCAAACGCCCTTCAAGGTTTTCAATAATATCTATGTGATATAAAGAACAAAAGAAAATTAAAAAGGGCTGTGGTGGTGTTGACGGAGGAGGAGGAGGAGGAGAGGACAGAGTAGGAGAGGATAGAGGAAGCATGTTTGGCTTTTTTTCTTATTTTCNAACAAAAGAAAATTAAAAAGGGCTGTGGTGGTGTTGACGGTGGAGGAGGAGGAGGAGGAGGAGAGGACAGAGTAGGAGAGGATAGAGGAAGCATGTTTGGCTTTTTTTCTTATTTTCATAACGAAACGAGTTTATATATATGTTGTGTATATAATTTAAGAAGCACCTCTTCTTTTAATCACCATATAATGTGCTAGAAGTATGACCGTATCCAAGACTCTTTCCAACGAGATTACTACTGTATTTATGAGTGGAATTGGGAGTCACAGAAATCAATGGCGACTTGTACTTTCTAGCTGGTATTGATCCAGCTGTCGCAAATGTAGGAAAAGCACTGCCGACCCTTGTCCCACCTTCTTCTTTTGCTGATATGGGTGATAAATGAAATTGTTTCATAGAGAATTGGCTATTGAAAGTATTAGTGGGCAGGTTCTCAAGCATCAATTGTTTCATCAGAGTTGATGGACTGCAATTGGGTGAGGGTGTAACTTTATCCTTGTCACCACCATTTGCTCTTATTAATCTAGGTTGCCTGCTTTTGAAGGGAAAAAACACAATACTAAACACAATAAAGCCTGTAAGGTTTAAAGGTCGGATTATTGTCCACCCTATTATCAACAGAACAATGAAGATCAAAACCTTAAAATATAACTTGGTAGCGTAAAAGGGTATCCTAAAAACTACCCAGATTATCATGCTAAATACGTGTTGAAAAGGATGACGAACAATATCCAAGATGTGTTCCATTATATGAACATAAATACCTAACAAGTATTTGTCAAACATTTCCATCAAAAATGTTTTCGAAATTTCATAGTCATGGAATTGTATTTGGTTAATAAGGGGGGTTAATTCATTTACTAATATTTTCCGTACAATCTTGGGATTATTGTAGATATCATACAAAGTCAACTCTTCCCTTATCGATTTGAGAACTTCGCCAAGATTTTCCAAAAAGGATTTTTGGTGAAGGATGTCAGTACGATTAGCATCAAATTTGCTAAAGGATGGGCAATCAAGCGATTCAAATACTAGGTCATCTTCCTCGATTATAGTTTTTAATGGAGGTTTCCCCAAGGTTAGCGAGGATCGACGTTTTTGTAGTTGAGATGTTGCTGATTGCTCAAACAGAGTCTGAGTCGGTGATACTGAAGGTGAATCTCTAGGAGAGAGACTCAATGGGAATGGTGAGATCAAATTTGTTTGCGCCTCACTTTGACTATGATCAGAGCTCGGTAAATGACGTTGTTGTTGTTGTTGTTGTTGTTGTTGTTGTTGTTGTTGTCGCCTCTGATGAAGCTGATGATGAAGCTGACTACGTTGCCGCTCACACTGTATGTCAATTGGTGGTGTAAGTGATTCAACATAAGTTCTCTCATCAATTTCCTTACGCAATTTGAGCAAATCTAACTTCAACTTATCAAATTCTTTGTTATGAGATTGTAAATGATCCAATAATATTTGGTTTGTCAAGTTAGGTAGAAAGTAGTGTTTCAAATCTTGAAACCAATTTTGGAAATTTGAATTTTGTATATAAACTTGACTATTGTTCAACGATGAGTTTTGCAACAGGTCGGTAAATGTGACGATAATTCTAAAAATTGACCAAAACTGCAACAATGCTATATTGACATTATTGAAAACCATTTTTTTCCTCTTTTGATCTATTATAGTGTATTTTCTAGTCCATATAAGTAACGTTGAGCTAAATATTGACGATACCAAACAGCACAATAATGCAATTACCTCAAAAGTATAGATTTTCCTAACCAACATGATTATTTTATCATTGTTTTCCCTATTTTCTTGTTTCAACTGTTTTAATAGAGCTGTTTTAGTAGTTTGAAGCTGTTTCATCCAGTTGTATGGCCATTCTATTGTAAACCTCACTACCCAACTTATCAACACCACGGTTAACAAATCAATAATAAAATTGCCAATTTGTTCATTTTTAGGGATATTTGTTGAATTTATTGGGAACAAAATTGACGTTAATGTGGGCAATAGGATAACAGTATATGTGAATAGTTTATAAAAAGTTTCTTGACCCTGCGAGTTGACCATATTAGGTGTTGCTGTGAATGGTAGAGGCAGCTGTGTTTTGGAAAAAGTAGATGGAGGTGACGACTTGTAATGGCTCGATTGTGGTGGTGAAGATTTAAAATGACTCGACTGTGGTGGTTGTGGTGGTTGTGTTACACCATATTTATCGTGCGGTGATTCTTGGGAATGCAGCTCCATTTAAACGGTAATCTATATTCACAATTTTATCAAAGTATGACAAACAAGTTAATCGGGAGACAAGTTAATCAGGAGACAAGTTAATCAGCAGGATATTAATATTAATAACACCTATGGAAAAAAAGTGTATAGTCTAGGGGGGGGTAGCTTTATTAGTGATATGCTGCAAATTAAACCCGGGGGTTAGAGTGAATATGAAATTTGAGCTTTATGTGAAACACCACTTGGGTGGAAGATAAGTCAAATGTGTACAATTTAACTAAATATAGTAGTAAATGGGATCGACTGTTTAATATAAACGTATTGAGGGTGAAAATGTGTATACTGTTGTCACTGGGATATGAAAAACCAATTTGGTTGTAAAAAAAAAAAGGAATACTATAGAAAACAAAAAAAAATTGAAATTGGAATTAATGTAAGACAGACAATTAATGGGGGGCTCGAGACAATTTCAATAAGCAGTGTATAATTTCAAGTTTATTTGCCAAAGTAATATTGCGCTGGTTGTCAAGGTTGGTTGTGTGGGCAATGTGGGCAATGTGGTGTGTGTAATGAGCAGTGTTGTGCTGGTGTTGTAAGGTAAAGTGTGTCTTAAAATAAATAAATAAATAAATAAATAAACAAAAAAAAAAAAGAAAAAATTGGAAAGTGGTTGCCAATATTTGGTAATTAAGGGAGGGACTTAAAGGGAAGCTGGAGAAGTATTAAGTATAGATAGCTGTAGAAGTATCAAGTATAGTAGATATAGATGAAGAGCTGGAGTATAGATGAAAAGCTGGAGTATAAATACCAAGGTACAAAGTGTTGCTCCACTATCTCGCTCTACTCGATAGTGTTGATATGGTTTGTGACACTATAATTTAACCTTTAGGAAATATTAGAAATGCAAGAAAATGTAGGAATATAAGAATATCAAAGAAAAAGTTTGTAAGCTTTATTAGTTCAAATAACTATTTCACACGGGGTTGAACCTTGAATACAAAAAAGTAAATATGATAAAAAGAGCTTACTATTATACTTATTCTCTTTATAATTTCAGTAATGGTGTGTACTACATCCATTTGCATTTCCTTCTATTCAAACCCGTGTGTCATAACTGAATAGTATCAAGCTCAATAGTCCCCATAGAGTGGCAACTTTAAAGTGAAAACTTTATTTTTTTTTTTTTTTTGCATCCCTAGATGAGTCCAAACAAAACTTAGACATCATGCATTTTGGGTAACTTTAACCATTTGCATGATGCATATCTGAGTAAATTGCACTATTGACCTTATCGCTTACATTAAATAACCAACAAGCAAAATGCATGCTAACTTATGCTTGATAGATGGTTAAGAAAATAGAAATCTATTGATTTTTGTTTTGACAAGGAGATCTAGATTTTTAGATTTAAATCAGAAAAGAATAAACTGAGGCAACACTATCGCGACACTATCGAGCAGAGCGAGATAGTGGGGCACACTAGCTGCCACCATTGACTATTGATATTTGCATATGTAACTACGCAAGAGAATTAAATAACCACTTTGATAGTCAACTATATGAAGCAAACAGCTCTATAAAATAAAAGTACGCGTCCAGATGATTACTTTTTTCTTTTCGTTTTTGTCCATCTAATTTTTTATTTCTTTTCTTTTTTGTCCATCTGATTTTTTTTTCTTTTCTTATTATTTTCAATAAGAAAAACTCACAAAAAGCGACAAGACTACTAGTGAAATAATCAAGTCTCATTTACAGCCGTTTTATAAACAAAACCATAACGTTTCTTTCATATAATCTATTTTAGTTCCTCAAGGACATCAATGGCATTAAGAGCGTTGAAGGCATGTGATTTATTTTGAAACAACAACAACCAACAGAACTGCGACACTAGCTTCCACTGACAATATCGACACTAGCTTCCACTAACAATATCGACACTAGCTTCCACTGACAATATCGACACTAGCTTCCACTAACAATATCGACACTAGCTTCCACTGACAATATCGACACTAGCTTCCACTAACAATATCGACACTAGCTTCCACTGACAATATCGACACTAGCTTCCACTAACAATATCGACACTAGCTTCCACTGACAATATCGACACTAGCTTCCACTAACAATATCGACACTAGCTTCCACTGACAATATCAACACTAGCTGCCACCGACTCTATCGACACTATCTCGCTCTGCTCGATAGTGGAGCAGCACTGACTGGCATATTGCAACTAGAAATGACAGATGCAACACTATCTCGCTTCGCTCGATAGTGGAGTAAGTTTTTTCTTTCTTCGATAACACTGAGTTAATCCGACATGGTAGCACGCATAAACGGGCTTGGTAGCAGAAGCTAGATGATAAGTCCAATATGAAGTGGTAGCGAGGATATATTTTGCGCTTCTCTTACAATAATATACTATTACATAATAAGCCCCTTCAATTTACGTAATAAATTATGCTATTACCACATTATCTTAGTCATTTCATAAAAAAAAAAAACCAGTTTGTGGCTAGACAGTAATTAGTGCAAATAAAAATGTGGGGCTCATTGCAACTATTCCATATCTATTGAGCTTCCTTTTTCCTACTGCCTTTCCCCTACTGCCTATCCCCTACTGCTCTTCTTTCTTGCTTCCTTTCTACAAACTCCTTATTATTTCTAGTCAAAAGTGTTTCACATAGGTCTTGTGACGTTCTTTCTCAAAACAGATTTTTTTTCTTTCTTTTTCAAGGAAAAACTTTGCATTGTGCATTAGTGGCAAATTGAAAATTTGGTGAAATTTTTTTTTTCTTTTTCAATCTCTTCCTTTAATAAAAGAATATTCATTTATTCTCATCCTTTTATCTTTTCTATTTATAAAAGTAAATCCGCAGAGTAATTTGGACCATTTCTAATCTATTTTCCTTTACATACTACATAATCCACCGCCATCATGGTCTTAGTAAAAGATATTTTGAATCCAAACCCAGAAACTGAAAAGAATACATATAAACTTAAAAAATTAGTACAAGAACCAAACTCATATTTCCTCGATATCAAGTGTCCTGGATGTTTCAATATTGTTACGTTGTTTTCGCATGCTCAAACTGCTGTAAGCTGTGAAAAATGCGATAACTTACTATGTACTCCTACTGGCGGTAAGGCCAGATTAATCGAGGGTTCTTCATTCAGAAGGAAATAGTTTGTCATCCGCTACTGTGTAAAAGATATACTTCCCTTACCCAATAGAAACTAGGTGGCCTGGAGAGTACCTTACTGGACAAGTAATTGACGATGGCAACTGTATATTCCGTTTCTAAGTTTGCTAGAAAAGGGACAAAGTAAATTGGTCTGGTATGCAATTTTGAAATGTTTTTTGTCATGGCATAATTGCATAAAAATATTGAAACCCACTAGGACTTCATTTGTTGTGTCTGGTATTCCAGAAAAGGGATTACTATGTAGTCGCTTCTCAACAAACCGTTATCACCAGTAGAGATGTTTGTTTCTCTGGTGGATAAAATGTATATATTCCAATAAACACATTTAGTCTTTAAATCGAATCAATCAAGTTTTCATTCTTACCTTGTTATTTACAATATATACACTCTCCACCTCCCCTATTTTCCTTCATAAGAATCTGGATCAACATCCATCTTCTTACCAACACTTCTATACTTCTTACTCCTTTCCAACATCGTAGCCATCATTTCAGTAGCCAAAAACCCATCATCAAATTCATTTTCGCTAACACCGCTCTTCTTTTTCCATACCTTCCTCTTTTGTTCTTTTACAAACGTCTTTTTTTGAGTCTTGTATAAGGTATCCAAGTTGGACTTAGCTTCTTTGCTTAATGATTGCTTCTTAATAGCAGTCTTTCTACCTAATGCCCATAAATCACCCAATTGAGCTTTTCTAGCATCATGATATGCCTGTTTTCCAAATGATTTTGGAATTTGCCATTTTTCGTGATTTCCTTCACCAGTGCAAACCGTTAAACTAACATTTTTTTTTAACTTGTCTGGTTGGGATATAATCCTGGGCCAATTATTAATATCATTTTGATTAATTGGTGAATTATCGTCATTACTATATTCTCGAAGATTTTCAATCCTGGAGATGCTTTCAACATCGTTAAGGCTCCTTTGAGCAATGAGATACGAGTAAGAACCGTCTTCTGTATTCTTGCCTCCTGGTCTACCACTTCCACCCAATTTTTGTAATTCTGCACGAGATAATGTACCAATACCATCAAGGGCGCTTTTTTCCCATTTAACTGCCAACTTCTTACCCTTTTTCAATTCTCTTGTATACTCTGGTCTTTCCACAATTTTCGAAAAAGAGCAGAATTTAAGCCTATGTTTGTGAGATGGAATTTTGTAATATTTGGGATCTCCTAATTGTAAGGGGCATTTCCTATGGTGCGGACATGGTGCTAGGATACTTATGTGGTAATCAACTTTATCGTACAACATCTCCTCAACGGGCGTGTTATTATCAAAAGCTACAAAATTTGACTCATCATTTTCTTCTTCAAACTTGAGTTCTTCTTCATTTATCTTGCCAAATTTCTCATCTAGTTCATTTTCCAATTCTTTACCCAATTCTTGGGCCTCTTCAGCATCCAATTTCGCCAACATTTCTTTTTCAAATTCAATATCCTCGTCGCTAATGATGGCATTTTCTTTCTTTAAACGTTGTGGTTTACCAAAAGATCCTTTGATATAAGGACGTGGAATTTTACCCAATTCTAGAGGAAATCTTTCTGGACGAATCATGAATTGTCTTGCCCTTGCAATTGTTTCAAACCCAACGGCGTTACCTCGCTCAACTAATATTAAATGTCCACCAGGAGCAAGCAATCTCAACACCATCCTCAAATTGGCATCAATATCTTTTTGGAAATTATACTCCTTGAATAGTAAAGAGTGATGCACCATTATAAGATCGTACTTTTTGGTCACAGGTATAGTATCTCTCAACTTTGTTCTTATGTTTATCCTTTTGGAATCTATTAAACCAACAAACGAGTCCCCTTCTTCCACAGCCAGCTCCTGGCGAGATTTAGAGTCCTCCTCCTTCTCAGTGCTCTCCTCTAAAGTCTCACCATCCAGAAAGTTTTCGTTCAACTGTCTCGACAACAAAATCTTAGCTCTCTTTTTCATCTCATTATTTTTTCTCCCCACAATATATGCGCTTTTCTCCTTTGGAACCCATTCGTCACCCATTACTTCATTCAACGCAACCATCCCCGTAGCTGGACCAAAACCTATATCCAAAACTCGCTGCGGCTTGAAATTTGATTCCCCAACTCTCTTTTGCAACTCCATTATGACTTGTCTCATATGACTATAATCTTGTAGAAACAAGGCTGCAATATGTGCATTACACTCCAAACTAGTCAGTGGGATTTGTTCCATATGGCTCTTTTGCAAGTTTTTATAAATATCAACAACTTTTTCTCTCAATTTCGACGGAACAGTTGAAATCAAAATATTGTTTTGAATAGTCTTTGCTATTCGATTTGGCAAAACTGTAATTGAATGATCGGCTCGTCCAGCAAGCGTACTCTCGTCTAACCTAGCCTCAGCTGCATTTTGCCCCTTAATAAAAGAACCATCCGGGTTTCTAAAGGGAGATCTATCAACAAACTTTTCCGACTCATCAAGCTTCTTGACTTGTTCAGGGGATATATATTTCTTAACAATATCCTTACTCGACCGATTTTCTTCCAAAAGAAAGTCAAATTCAAAATTTCCGTCATTTGGTTTACTAGACAAGTGAGGAGCGGAAAAAAATCTCCGCGATAGTATAGGTATGATCTTGTCCCGTAGTAAAAGAGCCCTTTTGAACATCAGATCCAGCTGCAAACTAACCTTGAAATGAGATGAGATGAGATGAGATGAGATGAGATGAGATGAAAAAATTGAAATCAGTATTTGTTATATATTTTTTCTCTTGATTCTCGTTCTACAAATCAACGTTGATTGAAAAAAAAAACCAACTCACTAGATGAAAGAAGGGTTATATACCTTGAGCAAGAAAGTTATTACATATTCATTTTCTGTACCAGCAGCAGTTTTATTCTAGTAGATTATGATTAAACCAGTTTTGCTTGTAAGCAATGTTTGTTGTTGCACGGTTGGTGCTGCATTAGTGTCATTTAATTCAAAAAGACCCATTAGCAATGAATCGAAACGTAAATTTTACGAGGATGACACTCAAGTTGTGCCGGTACCAGGTACGGTAGTAGCTGCACCAGCATCCGAAATCGAATCATTAGGCCAGAATAGAATGATAGATGGGATATCTGTGCGCTCTACCGAGGCCACCGAGGAATTTTTCAAAACAATCAGATCTCGTTTTACTTCTGCGTTGAATGGTTTCAACAATTGGCTAAATCACAAGTATACAAAGTTCAACGAAACAGAGAGGTATGTGACAAATACAGTGAGCAGCTTACATTACAGAAAGGAAGACATCTTACCCAATGGGATATACGTGATAATTGCAATTTTATCAGGTACAATTGCTGCTAGACCTCGTGGACTAATCTCGAGAATAACCTTCCCGACAGTAGCCGGTCTCGTTGCTTTTAAGTATTTCTTACCAGTTACCTTTGACAACACTCGAGAATTTGTTTGGCTTGTTGAGCAAAGAAGCGTTCCTCAAGTTGCTCAGCAACAGGAAAACGCTTATCACAGCGCAATTGGTTTAGCCAAATCTATTGAAGAAGGTGCTAACCATGGCGTCGAGCGCATCGAAAGGGGTGCGCATTCGTTAAAGCAATCAATTGCAGAGATAACCGGTTTAAACATTGATGAAGAAGTGTCAAAGAAAAAATAGATATACAACGTCACTATCGAACGTCACTATCGAGCGAAGCGAGATAGTGGAGCAACACTAGCTGCCACCGACACTCAACCTTCTCTAATACTAATGTTAAAGTTGTGTGTTGATTACCAATACGAAATTACTCTTGAATCTATTCATCTACTTTTGTATATAACTATATGCGACAGTGCAAATTCGACAATAAAAAATGCGACAGTGTAAATTCGACAATAAAAAACACGACAGTGCAAATGCGACAGTGCAAATGCCACAATGCAAATGCGACAGTGCAAATGCCACAATGCAAATGCGACAATGCAAATGCGACAATCTTATAGTTAAAAATTGACCCTCTCTCTTTTTGTGTTGGCTGCGAAAAACAAATCTTAAGTAGCTCTATATATTTTTTTTTTTGTGTGCTTGATTAGCATAACACCAGGACAGGAGTATCAAAACCTTTTCACTGAACAACACTGTCAAGACAGTTAAGACAGTTAAGACAACCAAGGAGGGGGGAAATGATGAATGAGAAACGACCAGGTACTGCTTTGCAAAGGGTTTTTGGAAAATTTGCTTCGTTCTCAGGATTTGGCACCAGCAATGCTTCACAGCTGCCCAATGAAAATGCAGTAACAGATGAAAATTCAGCAAAGTTGGCAAGGTCTTCTTCGCATAAGATTCACCATAGAATCAACAAGATAATTAAAATGAACAGCAAGACCAAGAAATTAGAACAAGAACTACTAAGTGATATAAGTCTTTGGGTAGACACAATACCGAATCAAGAATGCTCACAAATTATTAAAGACTTTAACCTGTTATTCTCAACCCAAACACATACAAATCTCCAGTTAAATGAGAAATTGGATAAAATCAAATTGAGTTTATCGTTTGTCAATGAACGTGAAAAGAAACAAAAGGAACTTCTCATTGCCAAATTCAAGTTAGAAAAACAATTGAAAGACAGCAAGACAAAGTTTGGTCCAAAAGCATCCTCTACAATTCTCATAAACGAAAAGCTAGAAGAAGTAGAGTGCAGCTTGCAAGTGGTGGAACAGCAGTTTGTTAGATCTATCTCCAATGATCTCAGAGAGAGCTTAATTGACTATATATACACGTTGAACTCCACATCTCGAAAGATGTGCGAGGTTAGTGAAGATTTTATAGAATGTTTGAACGGACTAGAACAAGGCAATATAGTCAATGGCATTAGTAACATTCTTGGTGATAATGAAATAGCCAGGGTGTCTCCTACAAAATACTCAAAAATGGCAGCAGCAGCAGCAAATAAACGGAAATACACTAATCCATACACAGATGCTGATCCGATAAAACTAAGAAATTATGATTTACCAACACCCCAATCAATGTGTGCTGAGTGCAAAAAATTGACACCATGTATTCATACTGATGGTTCTAGTCAGACCCAACATCGTCTGCAGCAGAATCAGCAACAGCAGCATCAGCAACAACAACAGCAACAGCAGCAACAACAACAACATCAACAACATCATCAACATCAACAACAACAACAACAGCCGCAACAGCAACAGCAGCATAATTCAAACTCTACACAGCCATTGCGCCCACATGCACCTCAGCCTCAGCAAGTAACAATGTCCAGACTGCTACCACATGAACAACAGGACACAACTCGCAAACAATCAATGGCTAGAGAATACCATCAAAATACTGAGGAAAATCCTTATGGCGAAGAAATATATCGCCTGGAACAATTTAGAGAAGTATCGCTCTTCAGTGACCATTGGAATTAAAAATATCACTTCTCCCCTCTCCATTTTCAAAAATCTATCAGCAGTTATTCTTTAATATCTATAAAATTTCTGTAAGCAAAAGTTAATCTATTCACGAGCATTACCATTCTTAAAAAACTTCTTTCCTACTTCGTATGATGATATCATAATAGCGCAAGCCGGAGCAATTTTCATAACTCGAGGTCCAAAACCAGCATACAATGCTCCAATTCCTTCTTGTTTATAAATGTTAGCTAACGACTTAAACATATTAGTCTTGCGATGGGCAATCTTACCTAAGTCATCGTCCATAGTTATCTGCAACCTTGTCTTACCTACGTCAAAGGGGTTGGTGAAAAATGCTGCAATCACACCAGATATGGACCCAGATAAAAATGAGGTTGCAAAAACTTTCCAATCATCTGACCCACCAGTTTCAGTGTTGTTGAAATCCGCATTCAACATGTTAGCAAATTTGCTTTTAAAAAACTCGTAAGAGGACCAATAAATTCCTGAAAACGGAACATCTCTACAAAGTGTTATCCCCAAACCCTTAAATAGCGTAGCTATACCATCTCTCTTAACCAAACTGAAGGAGTCTTTCAAAAGATGATGCATGACCTTTGAGGAGTTTCTTGAATCCGCAGGAATCGACTGTAATTTAGTCTTGATTAATTCGGCAGGCGCAACGAATGTGGCCGACATGCATCTTGCCAATGCACCACATAGTAATGGATTGAATGAGTAGTTGCCAAAGGGAGAATGGTCTCGAATATACTCATACCCGGTGAAATATATTATATTAGAAGGTATAGCCATTAGCAAAGTAAGGGACAAACCACGCCATAATGTGCGTACACCTTCATGCTTACTTACAGTGGCAAAACCTTGAAAAGTTGAAGTAATCCGCATACAGTTTTCAGTACCGGGATTGCAGTAGTTATTGTGGACCCAAAACAACTCCGGTGTCGATGAAGACAAGGATGACCTTGCCGACGAAAGTGATGATATACTCGAGCTGGGGGAATTCTGAGCAAATACATTCTGACAACATTGGTCACCTTGCGGTAGTATCCCTTGTTGCTGTATTCTTATTCTTATTACATCAAAGGGCGTTACTACTAATGATGTTATTAGACTCCCCGAACACGCACTGATCATTCGTTGTGTCACTGATATTTTCTCCCCGCTATAAGCCATTTTCAGATCTTTAGGTTGAGATCTCGTTGCTGTGGCTGTAGCTGTTGTGTTGGTGGAAATTCCAAGTCGATGACTTTGAAAGTTCAAGTCTCTCGTTTCTTCTATAATCTCTGTTATATCTGATGATAGTGACATAAAGGGAGAAGAAAAAAAAGGGTCCGATCCAATGCCAGAGTCTTTTTGATAAATGTGAGTCTTGGAACTGGAAACTCAAGATACGAAAATCACAATTAAAACAGTGTGTCCTTTTCTTATATATACTTTTTTCTATTTATTTGGAACAGGTCTCTTATATCTCCATTCCACAGACCTTGGCGACGGGACGGATTTACTTCTAATTTTTCACGATGCCTTGTTTTTTCTTCTGCGGCGTTTTGACACCCTGAAAAATTTCGTCAAAGATTCTAGAAGAAGAGTATAGAAGGGGTACTGCACTATCGAGCAGAACGAGATTGTGCTGTAATAAGCTACAAAGTGTTGCTCCACTATATTGCTCTGCTCGATAGTGAGGAGTATAGCAAGAGTGTATCAAGAGTATAGCAAGAGTAATAAGCTACAAAGTGTCGGCGGCAGCTACAAAGTGTCGGTGGCAGCTACAAAGTGTTGCTCCACTATCTCGCTCTGTTCTATAGTGTCGGTGGCAGCTACAAAGTGTTCCTCCACAATCTCGCTCTGCTCGATAGTGTCGGAGAATTGTGCGAAAATGTCAATATTCTACTACCACATCTGTACAGTTATAAATGCTAATATTGGCATCTTGAGTGTAATTGGTAGCAAGCATCATTCTATGTGGGTGGAATGCGCAATTTGATAGGTAGTTTATTCCTCGTCTCGAAGTCAAATACTTGCTATCAAAGATAGAATTCCTCAAGTGGGTGAGCTCATCGCCCGCAGTTGACCAAACATCGACTAGTTTGGAGCCCGTTGCTAATATGGGTGCATGTTCGTGAATATCCATGCACCTGATTTGTCTATCAGGCGTAGTAAAGGTCAAAACTGGATCGTTTAACCTAATATCCCATAGATTGACGTATCCGTCTGAAGAGCCACTAGCAAGTTCTCTAAATCCGCCTCTTTGCATGTGAACATTACGTATCGAGCCGTAACCTATTAATTGTTCAGCTTGACCACCTGGTTGCCTGGGCAGCTTCCATATCTTGACCATAGACTCCCTCGCGTCTAACCGTCTATCATATACTCGGATGCTGCCATCATCAAATCCCGCAATAAAGATATTACCTGCAACCTGGTCCGATGTCAATGCTGTGATTGAAGAAGATGACCTTGCTGGTATATCCAGTACACACAATTCACGTGGAGCATCCCAGATTCTAATCACTTTGACATCACCACTTACAAGTAAAGAGCCTCTTGATTGCTGCCATTCAGAAACCAAACCAGAACTCTTAGCTGTGAGTAACAAATCAGTCAACGCACGCCAGCCTGTTGCCAATTCAATCTTGTCCAAATCATAATAATTGCTTCCAGGGACGCCTAGGTTGGAGCAATTGCCATTAGTACCATTTTCTTCATCTTCATCATCTTCGTGGTCATTTTCATTGGTGTGGAAATTCTTGTAAATCTTAATAACCCCATCGGACGACCCAGTCAATAAAAGTGGAAGGTCATCTTCATTCAAAAATTTTATATCAGTAATTTTTGTTCCAAATGGGTTACCATTGGAAAACTTCTTGACTACTTTACATGCCTCCCAGTCCCAGACTGTGAGATTATCTTTTTCGTCACTGGCTACTAAGATCTTTTCAAATTGAGTGAACTTAAAGCACTTAGGTTGCGACCCGTTATTCAAAACTTTGACATCCTTGTCCCATTCTCCGCGCAACGCCATTTCCTTAAGTGGCTGCGTTTCCTGTATAATGGCCTCGTTCCTGTTCCTTCTCCATAATCTCTTGATATACTCTTTCGAGCCTGGCTCATCTACTTCATTTTTGGACATCTGGGGCTCTTGGAAATATTCACAACTATATTCAAAAAATCCAGATTCATCAGGTATAGCTGGAGGCTCAGAAAAGTCTCGCTCTTTGAAAAATACAGATTTTGGTATATACTCGGCCGCATAACTGGTTTGCATTGGTCCAGAATGTAATATCCGAGTAAAGCTTTTTATGTCAGTATCATCACTTATTTGGAGACTTTTAAAAAGCTTTGATATTGAAAAATTCTTTATCTTGGAAGTAATTGACTCAGCATCCAAAAAAGAATTGCTATCAGATTGTTGTCCATTTACAGAAGCAGCTCTCGCTGTGGTTAACAGAGTACCATCTATGCGCAAGTTATTTTTTCTATTGATCACCGAAGCGCTCGAGGCCTGTCTCTTTTCTCCTCCCAAAGGTTTCTTTACCACAGGCCGTCCGGGTCGAAAGCTGTCACTAATATTAGTAGCTGATTTGCTTAGTAGGAAGCTTTGCATATCCTTCACGAGCGGCGCCAACTCACTCTCATTCAACTTGAACATAACAAAGTCAATCAATATCTCGGCTAGTTGCTTGACTTCACAATGAGGATCCTCCGAAAGAATAAGCAACGCTTTCCAAATTGAACTGAATATAGATCCATATGTAGGAGAACGTTTCCTAAAATCATTGAGAAAATTGGGATCATCCAAAAGCACAATCTCCTCTTCAAGCTGACTAAATGCAACAATTATAAAAAATCTAGAATATGTTTGAATGAATTTATTGATAAAAGTGATCAATTCCTTGCGCACCATGGGAGAACCATCGCCCAATAATCCCAACATTACATTTGCAATCTTCAAGTCTTGCTGCCTCATTTCATCCTTTCTTGCCTCTACAGTACCGCCATTTGCTTGTACATGCAGTGATAGCAGTTGCTGCTGAAAGGAACTCTGATTTGTACCATCAGAAAGGAATTTTGTTAATGCCACTATTATTGAAGTTCTCACCTCGGAGATAGGATCGTTTATGAATCCCATTAACTCATTTATATAACCATCCTTATAGGCTACCCATTTGCCATCTGGATACTTGTTCCACAATTGCGATAACAATAAGCTACACCACTGGCGTAACAAAGGGTTTTCACTAGTCAGAATGTACTTGATGCAATTGCTCACAATTTCAGTCGAGAAGCAAAGTCTTTGACCGTTCTTGAAATCTTTTATAAATAACGTCAAAATAAAAGCACTCATGGCCTTGTGGTCGTCATTGATAAGCATAGGACTTGAACCGCTCGCATGACTCCCAGTAGCAGTACCACCAGCACCACCATTGGCAGCACCGCCAGCACCAAGTGATCCCTGATTGGACGATGAAGAATTTAAAATCATGTAAAAGTAATTGTACCCTTTTTCCTTGCAAAGCTCTTGTTGTGTTCCTTTGTAATCAATTGCCATGATTCTTGCCCATATAAATATCAAAACAGGTTTTAGTTCTTGAGCTGGGCTTTGTAGGAGCTTTAGCACATAGGGAAAAATGCCAATAGATAACGAAAGATAAACGCCCCAGGGACCCAAATCTAGAAACTTTGATAGCAAAATGAGTGCTCTTAATCTGTGAACTTGAGATAAAAGTACCTGCAAAACAATGGGCAACTGCTCCGGAGGTTCTTTAGTCGAAGGCCCAGCATATTTTAGCCAAATTTCAAAAGCTGTAAGTTGTTGTTCAAAAAACGTTGAATGCTGATAATTACCAATGTTTTGTGAAGTTTGCACAATCGATGAAGAAACTGTTGGGGTACCGGTATTTACAGATCCGTTTGAAGTAGTGGTGGTACCATTAGTTAGAGCTTGTTGCTGATGTTGCTGATGGTGGTTATGATTATGATGCTGCTGCTGCTGTTGATGTAGTTGTTGTTGTTGTTGTTGCTGCTGCTGATGTAGTTGTGGTTGTTGTTGATGATGTTGTTGTTGCAGCAGCAGAATTTGTAATGAGGTGGTTTGAACAGCTGCCGCAACAGCATTTTCTTCTTGAGCCGTTTTAAGAAGTTGAGAAAGTACTTGATCAATTGCCAAATCCCAGGAGTCCCACATTGCATGAAATTTCACTGCATCTGGTAAAGGAGGGTCACTAATTGGATTACAATTCAAATGCGGCATTATTCTCTTTGCAAGTAAGAAATTTCGAAATAATGCTGCAACCATTAAATCTTGACGGAATAAGCGCTTGAAGATTGGTCTCGACAAGGATGTCCATGCAATGGTATCTGTAATGGCTGTAAAAATCCAGTTCAATTCTCCCAAAGGGGTTCTTCTATCGGTCAACTTTCCTGGTATAATTACGTGCCCCACCAGGTTCCGAGGTAGCGAGTCATAGTAATTCTTTTTTAGCGAGCTCTGCATTATGAACCATTTCACACTGATATCGATTGGGCAAGTCAAACAACAAGTGAATAAGTCAGCTGGTAAATCTGGGCTCATTGGTAATAGCTCATTGCTTTTACATGCAGCTAACTGTATGCAGTCCAAATAAGCTGAAGTAGGGGATGGGGCACTTGTGTCATGGTTTCCTTCGTTATCATCGTCTATTCGCTTCTGAACAAATTTCTTAAAGTTGTGCACTATATTTCCAGCGCTGCTACAGTCATAAACAAAAATGACAGGTGCTCCAAGCCATGTCTGCAAGTCATACAAGGATATTGGGATATACTGGGTGTAACCTCGATTGAAAACCCATATTTCCCCACTTAAAGTAGGTTGAGGAACCCCATGACCATTGTAATGGAAAAGTATTCGTTCATCTTTAGCATTTCTTCGTAGTGTATTACAAAACCTCTTTACATCCTCGACACAAGGGTCCAACGATTGCTTATATCTGGTTCTTAAGGATAATGTCTCGTATTGCGTTTGTAAATTTTTACCGATATTTTCAATTGCCTTCTTTGTATCTGTGAAAGTAGTTGGATCACACCACGCTTCGAATTTTGCACAGGGATATGTTTTCATTACATCTGGAGGATCGACTCCCAAATTCAAGCAGAGAACAAGAACCGCGCTAATTGTTTTCTGACGTTCCTTCATGACCTTCCAATCGTATATCGGCTGATAATTTTTGAAAAGCTTGGGACTAGCCTTCATCTCCTCTGTAAGCGGGTTCCCATTGGTGATGTTACGCTTATCATCAAAGTATAGGTAAAAAATGTTGGCCAATGAGCTCAAGAACTTCTCAGAGTTGTAGTCGTCATCAAATCCGTGTCTCATTTTGTCATTCAAGGGATAATTCGGTCGTTTATTATCGATGCTTATTTGTGGTGTAAATAAAGTGTGAGATGTAACTGTCATTTTGAACCACTAATGGAGGGTTGTTTTTTTTTGCCTCAACACTGCAAGAGCCCCGTTGTCTTTTTTTTGTCAGTTCCCTTTGCTACCCGTTTCTTTCTATGGCTTCCTCTTCTCTCTGTCAATGTTTGAAATATAGTGCTTTTGAATGAAGGTCAAGTTGATTGGAAAAGTATTGAAATATTGAAAATATAATTTTTCAACTGACTATGAAATTTTGATTTGTGCTACCAAAAAGAAACGAAGGAAGAGAAGAATAGAAGAATAGAAGAATAGAAGGAAGAGAAGGAAGAGAAGGAAGAGAAGGAAGAGAAGAAGAGAAGGAAGAGAAATGGGATAGAAAAGGAAGAGAAGAATAGAAGAATAGAAGGAAGAGAAGAAGAGAAGGAAGAGAAATGGGATAGAAATGAGATAGAAAAGGAATAGAAAAGGAAAAGATGGGAAAGATGGGAAGAGATTGGGAAAAGATGGAAAAGAGGTTGAGAGGTTGAGAGGTTGAGAGGTTGAGAGGTTGGGGAAGAATGAGTATAAGCGGAATTTGCTTTGTAAAGTCTCTGTCCTCTATCACTGCTGTTTCAGAGTTACTTCTGCCATCTCCGTATTACGATGTACCTAAATAAAAGAAATAAAAAAGTTTATTTGGAACAAAAGAAATCAGTAAGCAAAAAAGTTTTATCAGTAAACCAAAAAATAGGTATTGAGAGTACTGCATTAAAACCGAAATATCTGTATATAGGAGCCGAAGGCGACTTCGGCTCCTCTAGTCAAAGGATATTAAATAGCAGAGACTAGAGGAGCCAAAGGCGAAGGATATTAAATAGAAGAAAGTAATAAATCAGAGTAATAAAGCAGAGTAATAGAGCTTTCGAAAGAAATAGTGGCTCTTGTGGTTGTTCTTGAGTTACAATTCTACCTGTATCAGTAATCGACTCTCAAGTAGTATCGTTTTGTAACCTCCTTGTCATCTAGGAAAAGTATAAAAAAAAATACATCATAGAGGCTTTCAATGCGACATACTTAATACTTTTGGCAAGACATTATTTAAGTAACTCTCACGCAATAGAAGGTAGTAAAAGGCAGTAGAAGGCAGTAGATCAATGTACATTGATCGTTGTTGTCTATCCTTGTCGTCTTGTTGTCTTGTCATCTTGTTGTCTTGTTGTCTTGTTGTCTTGTCGTCTTGTTGTCTTGTCATCTTGTCGTCTTGTTGTCTTGTCATCTTGTCTGTCATTATCGTCTTGTCTATTCTTTTTGTCTTGTCAATTGGCCTTCCCCATTATCCTGTCATGCTTCTCCATATCGCACTTAACAATGCTTGGGTAAGATAAGCGCGCGCGATTGGTAGCGTTTTGAATGCGCTAAAACAAAAAGGGAGCTTAGATAGCGCTCATAGATAAGGGCGGTATTATTGCACTATTGCACATAGAGAATGCTACTCTCTCCTTTTTTTGATTTATAGAGCATTGATTGACTTTGAAGATCTCTCAATACTTTTTCTTTCTTTTTTAATTGGCTTTCAATAGGAAACACTTGCACACGGGTTTGAGTAATTGCCAAAAAAAAAAAAAAGAGGATGATTTCAAACGAACGTGTGGTTGTGTTCCAAGATGGAGACTCGGTTGATATTAGAAGGTCATCAACTAAGAATCAAGATAGGGCACCTTTGTTGAATAATTTCTATTTTAGGAATAACCATTTATCAAAACAGCATGCGGCGATTAAGTATCACAATGGCAGGTTTTCAATATGGGATACCTCAACTTTTGGAACTATTGTTAATGACCAGGTTATCACCAAGGAGTACCCTTACCCCTTACAGAATGGAGATAAATTGGCATTCATCATATCACAGCCCTCGCTGCTTATCAAGCGCGTGTTGAAAGATAACTCGGGTCACAAAAGCATCTCTCTTGAATGCTTTGGAAATCCAGAATTGGGTATGCAATTTGAGGTGGACATTGAAAATAACGTTTTGAAGCTAATTCCAATCGACAAAAGCGCAAGTCCAACTAATAACTCAATGACAGTGTCCCGCGAAGAACAAGAAGAGAAAAAGAGTAACGAAGAAGAACAGGAGGAGAAAGAGGAGGAGGAAGAAGAAGAGGAGGAAGAAGAAGAGGAGGAAGAGGAGGAGGAAGAAGAAGAGGAGGAAGAGGAGGAGGAAGAGGAAGAAGAGATGGTCACTATTGATGAATTGGGTGACATTGCTTCAACAGATGATCTGATCAATTCTTGTTGTCCGGAGATGGAGGCTAGTGAAATATTGAGTATCAACATTAGTGACAACGACGAAGAAAGCTTTGGGTTTGTCGATGAGACCTTGTGGTCAGATTCTGAAAATAATGACCTTATTCGTCATCTGCCTCACGAAGAAACCCCAAGCGAAGACGAGGCGAACAGTTCCAATGAGGCTAACAGTTCCGATGAGGTTAACAGTTCCGATGAGGCCAACAGTTCCGATGAGGCCAACAGTTCCAATGAGGCTAACAGTTCCAATGAGGCTAACAGTTCCAATGAGGCTAACAGTTCCGATGAGGCTCCCAGTGAGTACAATTTGCATACACATCACACTATCCCTTGGTGCAGCAGCGAAGACGATAACAATTCAGTCCTTGCCAATGAAGATACTAGGAAGCAGCAGCAAACCAAAGATATTGACTCAGAATGCGAATGTGAACACGAGCTCTCAGCTCACTGGAGCTCCTCTCAAGCCGAAGATGACTCCCTTTCGTCAGATGCTTCAGACTCAAGTTTCACTGCTACTACCCCAGTAAAAAGAAAGAGAAATACATTTACATCAAGCAAATTCATTGGAGAAGATACCGATGACGACCAATCAGATACAGCAAACCCCGTCTCTTCTGTGTTGTACCTTGATTCTGAATACGAGATTGTAAGGTGCCACATTGAATCTCCTATTAGGACTCCCAGTTCCAAAAAGAGATCTTATGCCGATATACATGCAGAAAAGGTCTACTATAAAAATTCTAATTCGGAACGAACAGAAGCTGATTATGATAAACAACATATCAATGATAATAGTACAATGGATGATATAAAGCCACCACCACTTAAGAAGGCAAATACAGAAAAATCCAAGCTTGATACGGTCTTGAAAGAGGTGGGAAAAGGGCTATTCTACGTTTGCGCCACAGTCACGGCACTTGGAATTTATGGCTCACATATTTCTTCAAAAGATGATACTTGAAGAGGAGTATTGGCGGCGACCGTTGACGTCTTCGTTTTGTGGGATTCAAAAGCAGTGGTTTATTTGATTAGCGGGTTCTTTTTTTTTTTTTTTTTTTTTGCTTTGACATGTTATTTTTTAATTCTTACTATCTATTTCTGCTTGTTTTCTTCTACTTTTCTTTATGTAGGTATATAGTTATATTTGTTATCACGAACTCGTCTTTATTATTCTCGAGTCATTAACTTTGTACGTTTTTCTTTTTATAAGCTCTTTTCTTCTTTGGTTCCAGTGGTTGTGTAGTTGAAGGAGTCACCTTTTGGTTTAAGTTAATATGTTTGCCTGCTGATGAGTCAGGATTGAGAGCCATCTGCTGCTGCTGCTGTTGTTGTTGTTGTTGTGGAGAAAGAATCGAGTTCCCAGTAGGCTGTGCATTTGGAGGAATATTTCCACTAGCACCAAACATAGCAGCGGACTTTTGCTGTTGCAACTTTTGTTTCTGCTGAAAAATTTGAAACTGCTTAAGTCTTTGAAAGTAAAGAGGAAACTTTTGCAATAATTGTTGTTGTAAGACCTTGACTTGCTGTAATGCTTGCTGCTTGTGTTGTGGCGTCAAATGCTGACCGTTGGGCGCTACACCTGTCTGGCCCATCATAGCCAAAGCGCTCATCTTCTGTTGAATTTGCTTGTACATTTGCTGTTCTTCTGGTGATAATGAGTTTTGGAAAATTTGTTGATGTTGCTGCTGCTGTAAAGTTAAGTTGGACTGTTGTTGCGTTTGTAATTGTTGTCGTTGTTGTTGTTGTTGTTGTTGTTGTTGTTGTTGTTGTTGCTGTTGTTGTTGTTGTTGCTGTTGCTGTTGCTGTGTTTGAAGTTGTTGCTGTTGCTGTTGTTGCGCTTGTAGTTGCAATTGCACTTGCTGTTGTTGGTCCAAGTTGTTTCCTTGATTCTGGTACATCTGTTGTGTAGGTTGCAAAGGACCTTGTCCCATACCTAAGCTGGGAGTGTTTGGTGTTGAAATCTGGTTCAATCTTGCCTTGGTCATTGCTACAGGTACGCCTTGATTACCCATCATCGGGGTATTATTAGCAGAAGGGAGTTGTGAGCTCGAGCTCGATACTGTTATTCCATTGTTGAAATGAGGAGATTGTGCCTGCACAGTCGGGTTTTGTAAAGCGGGATGGCTTTGAGCTTGCTTTTTGGTCTCTTTCTTTGCACGCTTGGTGGCTGGCACTTGAACTTGCGATGTAGGCGACGCTTGCCTTTTCACCTGTGTTTGCTGGGAAGCAGCATCGTTGAGGTTTGGTATACTGGCTTGCAACGACTGTTCTGGTTTTACTGCAGTGGTTGGTGCAATTACCTCATTTTGCACTGCAGATGCTTGTGCATGAATTTTTGCCTCCTGTTGTGTCTTTTCTGCTTCTCGCTTTTTTCGAATCTCTTCAATTAACCTCAATCTCATAAACTGACCAGTAGCCCTAACATGATTCAGAGTCACAGCAACTTGGGCTGTTGTTGCTGTTGTTGCTGTTGTTGCTGATCCTGCTGCTGCTATTGTTGTTGCTGTTGTACCAGTGGTAGCTCCGCCTCCTCCTGGTGCTTTATCATTTTTCTTGTTTTTACTTTCAATACCAACAGAGTTTTCTTTGCTAGTTGATTTGGTGGAAGGAGTTTGTGTTGTAGACTGAGCGGTTGAGGTGCTTGGGATCGAGGATGGAACTACAACCACCAACTTTTTATCTTGAGACTCGTCGACTCGTCTATTCTTGTCAGAGAGTAAAAGCATCAACTCCTCATACTCTGAAGATTTGTGTAAAACCATTTCGTCCTGATGAATCTTTCGAATAGGCACATTAGTGGGGGGTCTATGCACGTATGGCACCGCTTCATCTCGATATTTATGGTCCACAGTATCAGCTTTGCCAGAAGACTCATAGTACTCATCATTAGTATCGGGCTTCAAGTGCTCATACTGGTAAGGATTTACCTTAACAGACAAATCCAATTTTCTATTGGTTAAAGTCAAGATTTCTGACTCCATCTGCAATGACAAGGCATCGGTGAATTTTGTTAAGGCCGAATCCGTGTGGTAAAGTAAATCGTAGTATATAGAAAGCGGCGTTGGCTTGAGTAAAGTACGATACGTTCTAGGTTTGGACACAATAACAGGTTCGTTCTTGACATTTTTGACAGGCGAATTCCCCCTATTCATGAAAGCAGCCGTTTTCACCATATTTCTGTGATCATACACTTGTAGAATCAAACACCCGTCATATGATTTGATTAAAAAATCTTTCAACAACTCACTCATCTCAACAGGAACTTCTTCCCTTAGAACGTGATTCATAAAATTCTTCATCATTGGTGAATTCTTCGGTATTATCTGTGAGTCCTGTGAGTTGTTGAACCTGTAGTGGTTCTCAAAAATATGCAAGCTTAACGATGCTGGATATTTCGCATACTTTCTTAAGATTTCTTCCGAGGTTGAAGCAAAATGATAAGTTTTCAAATTAATTTTCTGCTTCAACTGTTGCACCGTCAATTGCTGCTGTTGCTGCTGTTGAGTTTGGTATGTGTGCTGTTGGAAGGTATTTGGTTTAGATGTTTGCATATATAATGGGTTTAGTTTCTCTGATAGTCACTGGTGAGGAAATACTGTTTGCGGTTCCTAATTCTAAAACTTTTTCTTTGGACAAACTGAATACTGTTTGAGTTTCAACTGTGTCCTGGCACAGTATCGATATATCTATATATATGAACAACTGTTATCTTAAACTTTATACTGATGTACTTTCCATGGGGTTTTTTTTTTTTCGTTGGCTCTCTCTTGTAAAAAGTGCACCATGTATTGAAGAGTTTATGTCTTTCTACAAAAGTTACCAAGAGAAAACCTCAACACTATCGAGCAGAGCGAGATAGTGGAGCACACTAGCATGGACACTATCGAGCAGAGATCGCTCTCTGCTCGATAGTGGAGGATAAAAATCAATTTTTTTTTTTTAAATCAGGCCGATTTCTTTGCCATGACGAGCAAAAGCTCATCATGCCATGATTTTAGCGTACTTGTTTCCACATCTAGCCGTAGTTTTCAAAAGATATCAAAGATCTCACAATGTCTCTTCTCTTTTTTTTTTCATCTATATCTATCTCATTGAGAGTCAGGGGAGCTACTATTAAGACAAAGCTTTATCGTTTCTAGAAGCACCAACCGATCAGCCTCGTTGAAAACCCATAATCCGTAGATATCGCCTAATAAATTTCGTACAATAATTAGATTATCGTTCAACTCGACATCCATTTCATGTACAGCAAAATCATCTGAATATGAACACAACCTACTTATTTCGTTCGGCACTAGTCCTAATGAGAAACAATCTGGATTATTTCGGTTTAATAGAATAAGCCCAAAACATAAAATGGTCTGCAAATCTTGTAAAGATTCTATCCTCTGAAGACTTGACTTAGATAGCTGATCACGAGCATACAAGGCCAATGCTCCTTGAAAGTCTGTTTTCACCCATTCATCACTTTCATCGTTGAATTTGTAGATCACACAGTGAGATGTGTAACATAAAAGCTGCTTAAATGCAGGATCATACCGACTTATGACATTGGAATTTAATGCATTTGTATATAACTTCAATGCTTCATCTCTTGAAGAAGCCAGCTCTTGTACGATATTCATAGATTAATATCAAAAGTTGTTCCCTTTAATTACTGATATTGATATAAAAGGAAGATGCCCTGAATTGTTTTTAATATTTCACTTGGAGTAATGGTGTCAAGTCGCACAAATAATCTTTTTTCAACCGAAAAAATGACACTGAAGTGCGCTACCCATTCGCCCCAGGGAACTAGCGATGGGGGGCGGAAAGGGGGGGGGGGTTCAAGTTAAATTCGACACTATCGAGCATAGCAAGATAGTGGAGCACACACACAGTCTAGCGACATAGAAGTAAGGCATTTCTATATAGAAGTAAGACATTTTTATGACTATGTCTATTGAGCTGCCCACTATCGAGGAGAGGAAGATAGTGGGCAACAGTTTATAGCTTGTTACAACACTATCGAGCAGTTTATAGCTTGTTACAACACTATCTCGCTCTGCTCGATAGTGTTGCTGGCTAATTATCAAGATCGAATCCGACAAAGTAGGTTCTTTTTCGGTGCACTCTCTTTTGGTGTACTCTTGTTCTCTAACTCTCTCTTGGTGAAAAGCTCTTTCCCCCCCCAATGAAAAGCAATTTGACATTACACTTGTTTCTGTTTCTTTATCAGCTTACGCCATGCACCAATTACTTAGATCCTATCAGCCTTCAGTTGTAAAACTCTTTACATCATCAATTCGCACATATGCCTCTATAGGCTCTAGAATTCCCGCAACCAAAGTATTTGAGAATTCACCAGGTAACGATATTAACTTAGCTGAGGAAACATCTTCAGGACTGTCTATTATTGTTGGAGTACCAGGCGCATTTAGTCCTGGTTGTTCCAAAAGTCATATTCCAGGATACATCAATAATCTTACCTCTTTCAAAAACAAAGGTATCCAGCAAGTTTTTGTAATTGCGGTAAACGACCCGTTTGTGACTAATGCTTGGAGGGAAGCTTTGTTGAAGTCAGCAACTGGATCAGAAATTATCCGCTTTATTGCTGACCCTACAGGAGCATTTACAAAAGATCTCGATTTGCTTTTTGATGCAACCAAGATCTTTGGTAACGAAAGATCAAAGAGATATGCATTAATCGTGAAAGACGGCAAAATTACTCAAACTTTTGTTGAGCCAGATAACACTTCTGTGGATGTATCAGATGCTTCAAAGGTCTTGGAGCAAGTATGAATATACATCGACACTATCGAGCGGAGCGAGATAGTGGAGCACACTGCCTAGCGTCATCGACACTGTCTAGCGTCATCGACACTATCTAGCGACATAGACACTGTCTAGCGTCATCGACACTATCTAGCGACATAGACTGTCACCAATACACGCGAGTAGCAACAAAACTAAAAGTGTTATCATCTACCTCCTCTTAGAAACCTTTGCAGTATCCTTTTCTACAGTAATGCCTTGCGAAATAGCTCTACATCAATACCTTATACTGATAACTCTACATCAATGACCTTGTAGTGGTTCCCCTTTTCAACCAAATTGACTTGCTACTTTTTGTTTTTTGTTTTTCTTTGCCCAACCTCATCTCTCTATTGTTGATAGAAATGCGTCTTCTGCAAAGTATAGCATGGAGGTTTAGTTGTTGTTTACGAGCGGTACATACTACCACTTGTGAGGAGTTTTCATCAGCAGAAATCGAAAAGGCAAAACGATGGCTTGCCAACTTCTCTCCAGATAAGGTGCCTAAACACCATTTCCAAATCTCGTATAGTAGGTCATCTGGTCCAGGAGGACAAAAGGTGAACAAGACTTCATCAAAAGCTACAGTTTCATTAGAACCAGGTAAATGGTTGGATTCGAGTGTTTGCTACTGGATTCCAGCGCCTATCAAGGCACAACTTGAAAGCAAAGGAATCCGGTATGCGACAAAGAGCAAAGGCTTGGTTATACAGTGCGATACGAGTCGTAGCCGAGACGAAAACACATTTGAATGTTTTAAAAGACTAGTCGAAGAAATCAAAGCAACCGTCTACTTTGCTGAAGAACCAAACGAAGACGCCCAAGCTAAATGGGCCAAGCTTGAAGAAGAGTTCAAAGAAAGGAAAAAATTTAACAAGAAAAAGATGTCGGATAAAAAACGCTCTAGGGTCAATAAGTTTGATTTATAGATTTCACACTTTGTCCCCATACCTTGACTTCGCTCATCCAACATACTTGATCGATCTCATGTTCAAGGGTTGAAACTCCTTTCAATTTCCCATAAAATCCCCTCTAAAAAGTAGTGAATAAAAAGTAGTCAGTCGTAGTAGTGAAAAATAAAAGAACCTTTACAAAGATGTATTGGAAAAAAAATAAATAAAAAAAAAGGAACTGGAGAAGAGTGGGAAATGCATACTTTTGCTTGTTTGAGGATAATTCTTTAATGAACGAGGTATTGAGCAAGAAAGTAAATTACTTGGTTAGTTTATTCAGAAATGTTGTAAAGGATAATATCGATGATACTACCGAGTACTCAAGAACTACGTACGACAATGGAATTTTATCAAAATATGAGAGTAAAATCAAGGTCATTTTTCAACTAGAAGACACGGATTTCCATTTCCATTTCCAAGGCGAAGAAAAGGCCAAAGAGACCAAAGAGGCTGGTGAACCTGGTGAACCTGGTGAGCCGAAATCAGTTAAGCTTTTTAATGATACTGTCAATTCGAGAATAAAGGAGTTTGTTGTTTCCTGTGGGTCACAGACATTCCTTACATCACTTGTTACATCTTTTGTAAATTCGGGAGACAACAACGAGAGCGATACAAGTCGATTACAGGATAAAATTGCAATTACTTTGGACTGTGTTATATGGATAACGCTCAATATTGATGCATGTGTCAAGTCGAGTTTTTTCCAGAGCTTGGCCACGATCCTGAATCAGTTGTTTTCGATATCAACAGAGCAAGTAGAGCAGATGTGGTCTTATGTTGAGTCGAGAGTACCCGTTATTATTAGTAATGGAATGTTTACAAACAAGGTGGGGGAAAGAATGCAGATTCTCCTGTTTACAAACTCTCTTGTTGATAGGTTTGAGCAGACCAAGTTTGCAGGAAAAATTGACTCCTACAAGAAGGACACGCACAACGATGTTTTCCAATGCCGTGTGCGTATTTTTGTAACCCAGTTATTGGATTTCGATGACACCACGGGTCTCAACAAATACTTTCATATTGCAAACAGAACAGCATTTCAGTTTCCAGTTAAAGATGTATTTTTAAGCGATATAATTCAAGTACAAAAGATATTCAACGATCCCTTGTACTATATGAAAAAACAGAATCTGAATGAACTCAACAGGCTTGCAAATAAGCTTTATGCCATTTTGCAGGAGTTGTTGAAAGAGGAGCTAGATTACAGCGAAGACACTCCATATCCTGACCAGTTCAACACCACCAAAACAACAACAACAACAACAGAAAACGATGCAGAGCGAAAATATCTTTGTCAAAAATTCTCTAGCCGAATTTTTGTTCCAGAAACTTATTATGAATCCAAATTTGAAATCAAAAACCGGGGCCGTGTTGAGAGCAGTCAAAAAAAGGATGCCGAATTTTTATTCAAAGAGTTGGAGTTATCCAAAATACGACTCCAGTACATTTTACAGATATATATTGTTGCCAACTTGTACTCAGAATTGACATTTAAGGCTAAACAGAGCTTTTTTGTTGATGTTAATGCGCCTTCCAGCTCGAGGCATCTTACAGAAGACACATTACCGCCTTCGCTTGGTCAGCTTTTTCTGGATATGAAAAGAGAAACGATTTCGGTTTTGAAAAGAATAGATTTCGCATTATGCTCGCTATTTCAAAAAATTGCTATTGGTGAAAAACAATGGTGGCGATGGCTACTTCATGGGAAAGATCAAAAATCAGGAACGGCATATTTTGCAAACAACGTGTTGGATATTGGTGAGCTCAAGGCGACTGAGGAAAGATTTAAGGATATTTTCCCATATAAGAATAAAAAGAGCTTCAACACATATGTAACACCACAAGTGTCGAGGAAAATGCGCGTGCCACGCGGTTTAGAGCATTTAAGTGCGATGAAGAGCTTAGACGAAGATGCTGCATTTAAGGAGATTGAAGATCTTACTAACACCGCTTTGGACAACACGGCGGATACAGATGAGAGAAGAAGTTCTCTTTCGTGGAAAGTGTCGCGCAAACAGAGGACTACAAACTGGTTTTCATATAATGAGAACTTATCTAATCAGCAAAAAACTGCCAATGTGAATAAAAGGAAAATTGAAGAGGAGTTGCCAGAAGGGGAGAATAAAAGGAAAATTGAAGAGGAGGTACCAGAAGGGGAGAATAAAAAGATTAAAATTGCGTAAAGGAGTCGCTGATGTACACCTATTTATCTACCTGTTAATAGCATTTATCTACTTTCACGACGCGTAGATTGATATTACATAGATTTCGTGTTTTATTTTTCTCTATGTAAAGAAACAGGAGAAAAAAAAAAAAAGTATTTCAATGCCACGTAGAATGGCAGATTTAATTTCTACTATACCCTTTCTCTTTTCTCTTTACAATAAAAACATTTCCTACAGAGGTTTTCTTTACGTGAGGGGGGGACAGTTGTTGTTTTTTGCTTGATTTGAAACAATAGTCAATGGTTTTTGTTGGTAGGGTTTCTGCTTTATTTGTTCTAATCAGGTTATTTTGAATTTGAAGTGAATTGAGTCCCATAGATTGGAACAAGGCTGTTATATTTGTTTTATTCGCCAAGGCTAGCTATATTTGTTTTATCGCTTGAGTGTTATTACCGCTACGTCGATTTTTTTATTTTCAGGAGAGCTTAGGGCCAAGTGAGGCGAGAGAAAAAAGAATAATGCCATCGAGTTTAGTCGCGTCTACGCGACAGTGCAAGAGCGCTAAATCAGCTTCGGTGGTGCCAAAGAAAAGAGCGAGTCCAGCGACGGGTAAGAGACGAACGGCAAACAAAAACAAGAGTAGTTCATCAAGCAACAAATCTGAGTTACTGCAAAAGAAGGGTGGTGTTTCAGCAGCAGGGTCATCAAGTAAGAAAAGTCGGAAAATTCAGGAGCCGCGTACTTGTGCAATTGAACTCAATTCTTCACCCATCAAGATCAAAGACGAGTTGCTGCTGATAAGTGACAAATATGAAGTTTCAATGATAAAAAGGAAAAGCGTCATGTTTTCGGACGACTTGGTGCTGGAGTCGCCCAGCTCTCCAGATAAGTGTCTCACTCCTAAAAGATCCATTTTGAAACCGTGCGACCTGAACTCCGTTAAAGAGCTTGTTGACCCTAGCAATACTAAGCTATGGGAAAACTCTAATAAGAGCAAGTCGTATGGCCCACAAAATCCAAGTTTTTGGTTGCAAGGCACCGTGGTGCAGATTACCACAAATGCCGCTGAATTGCCTCTATTGGTTGAAGGGTGCTTATCAGTATTGACTAGAAAGTCATTCACTTTGAGATTCGAAGTGTATGCTACACTCAATGGCATATGCAAGTCAAACTCAAACTCAACATTATTACATCTTTTTACTCAACGTTATGGAGATTTTAATGAAACTTCAACACGTGTAAACAGCAGCTCCACAACTACAACTACAACTACAACCACCAGCAATGTCGAACGCACGCTACCGACAATTCTTGAAGCGTTAACAGAACAAGCGATAAAGGATATTCAAGAGATGGAAAGCCAGATATTCAATGAGCGTACTGACAAGGAGAATCCACCACCTTTAGCCAAGAATGATCCCTTTCAAGTGAGGGCTGTAAACCAAGCCTTGAAATTGCTAAGCTTTTTTATGTCTGCGGTAGAATTTACAAATCGCTTGTCTATTGAGTGCATTGAATGGATATACCTACATTCTAGCTACATGTTGACACAGCCGCGAATTTCCAAGAATTTGGTTTCTCCATACTTGACTTTAATCAAGGAATTTAATCTTGATCCCGTTCGAAAAAACGCGCTTTTTGAAAATAATGAGTTGATTGAGAGAATGATATTTGCAATTGTCAATCTGAATACTTTTGCCAGTGTTTCTTTACTCTCAGAGAAGTTTTTGTGCATCAGAAATTACTTGACTAATTTTCCTAAATTTATGGCAAATCATGTTGATTACTGGTTTCAGGTTCTTTTGGTTAATCTTTGTAATATTACTCCTACATTGTTTTCAAGGTGGTTGCCGAATGGTGTTCAATGTTTGTTAGAAGCAGCCAAGTTGTTTTTGGACAACTTGAGTGTTCAAAGCTTTGTGAAAAAATTATTAACTTCAACAGCTTTAGATTCCATAAAATCGTTATCACTGAACGACACTTTTGTTTTGCATTCTGATGCAAAGAGTTTAACTCATTTCAAGTTGATTGATTGCGTTATTTCGAGACTCAAAGAATTGATACATGTAAAACAATATACATTGGCCATGGACATGTGGATGAGTTTAACAATGTTAGTTGGTAACGGGGAGGCACCCTTTGAACAGTGGGAATACTTGAATGAGTGGTTAGAAATTCCTCGATATTGTTTCAATTCTCAAGATCAATCAGCAAGATTGTTGGCTATAAATTGTTGGAAGGCCGTTTGCTTCAATGTATGCAAAAACGAGATGGGGAGTATTAAAAAAGAATTGGAGCTTGCGCTTTGTTCACCAAAACGCAAAAGGGAGCTGAATCCATTAAACCAGGCTACGAAATTGAAAATAAAATTATTAACACATATGTTTTGCATTTTCGACATATCAATGGTGGACACAGATGTGGCGAATGCGCTCCACAATTTGTTCCTTAGAATACTATACCCCATGGTGTCTCTCAAAATGATTAGACACGCAAAATATCTACATATATTGTGGGTTAAAGTTATCCAATCTATTCTTGTTAATTTTTACTTTAAAAAGGGTGTTTCAAACGCGTACCTGAATGAATTGGGATTGCAGGTGTTGACGAAATTAGTTTCCCCTATAGGTAATGCAGCCAATGACAAATGCTATAACGAGTTGAAGATTCTATCTCAAGAAGAAATAAGTCTAAACGAAATCAATTCTATTCCTTCAAAATGGATACATGCTCACTTTGACGTAGTGATGCAGAACCTCATTTTAGTTTCCCTGCTGCAGCATTTACAATTCGATCTGAAATTGGCTTTCTATGTAACTTTTTTGAATGCCATTCGTCCAGTGATAAAGAGGGAACAGGTTCCCTCTGCAACTACATTTGATATTGTTGATAATCTTCCGATTGTGATAAAGGAATTGCTCGATGGGACTAATCCCACCTACAAAACGGTCTATAAAATTGTTTTGACACTCAATGACACATTTGAACCCTCCTTATTAGTAAGGAGGGCGAATGCCAAAAATGATCCAGAAGGCAATGTTAATGTGTATTTATCCATACTAAAATGCTCCATAGGATCATTATCAATAACGGAACAAGAAGAGATCCTTTCTTTAATCATTCGTTCCTTAAAGTCAACTAAACGCCTTATTTTCATTGCAGACTTTCTCAAGTTGGCAGACACCAGCAACGAACTTCACAGTTTTCTTGCAAGGACTTTAGAGCAAGGAAGAATTGATACGCAAATAAGGACAATGAATTTATATGGGGAAATTTGCAGAACTATCAGATGTAGCTATGAGACAATAACAAAAATGTTGATGCAAACGATCATTTCTTTATCGTGCCGAGAAGAAATGCATGAAAGTTTAGTAAATTTGCAAATCGAATTGTGGGAGACAAATAAGGCAAACTACGTTTTGTTATTGCTCAAGGATTCCCCTTGTGATACAGTTAATCAATTTATTGTTGATGCTATCATTCATCGTCTCAAGAGCGGTTCGTCGTTTGAAATGTTGAACTTTTTGGCCAAATATGATTTTCTTAATGAATCGTTATTAGAGACTACTACTGAGCTTCTATTTTATGCAATCAAAAAACTTGACCCGGTTCAGTATCGAGAAGCTTGTTTTTTGTTGGAAGCATATTTGAAAGAAAAATGTACTCAGATAGATAGAGACTGTAAATCTAAAGTTATTGATAACTTAGCATCTGGGTGTTCTAGGTTTTTAGGTATGAATGTGGATTTTGTGTTTTCAGATTGTTCTAGTACAAAGTTGCAGCAGCAGCAGCAGCAGCAGCAGCAGTCATCGCTGTCACCGCCAAAAGTGAGGTCAAAAGAAGCGAGCTTGGGGTCAAGAACTTCTGATTTTGAAGCAAGCACACTGTTCCTTAAGAGTGATGAATCGCCAGAAACATCTGGATGTTTGCCGTCATGCTCGTTGTCGATTATTCCTCGGGTTTATGTTGGAATTGGCACCTCAACACAACAGGACCTTAATAACATCGATGTCAGCAAAGAAAAAAACACGGTTTCTCTGTTAGTTAACAAGGTTAATTCCCCAATAGCCGGCAGCGACAGCAGCAGCAGCAGTAGTAGCAACACGATGTTTTCCATAAGTAATGAAAATGAGCTTGCTTTACAAGACAAGAGATCCATTGAAGATACTACCAGTGATGAAGCCACGCTAGCAGAAGATGAATTACCAAGTCAGGTTAACTTGACGCAAACGAACGTTCAAGTCTCAATTACTGGAAAAGAGAGCCAGTTGGATACTTTTTGTGAAGATGACAGTTTTATTAAAGCAGAAAAAGTAGAGGAAGAACTCTCCTCCAACAGGATATTGTTGTCAAGCAAGCAGAATGTGAAAGAAGCTGTTGGATCCATTGAAATTGACAGTTTAACTGATTTGAATTCCGAGTTTGATGAAACTAAGAAATCTGAGCAAAAACAATCTCTTGAAGAAAAGAGCTTTCAACGAAAACGCAGCTCTTCAAATCATGTTGAAAACCCTTCTTTGCCCTCAAAAAAGCAAAAGAGAGAATCTTGCAATGATGCAAAACCCCACCTTAAAAGTGAATGTCCTACTATGATTGGAAGAAATAAGTGTACAGACACTATTTCATCTGATGAAACACAAAAAGCATCAACATCTCCAAAGAGTTTGCCTCTTGTTATTGACAAGATGAAAAAGGAAGAAAGCAATGCGGGAGCCGTTGTTGTATCACCAGATAATACTATTTGTGCGACTAAATTGGAAGAAACCACCTGCACAACACCATCTCTCAAATCAGTTGTGGCAGAAGAAACTGAATCTGAACTAGCAGAATTGACAACACCGGCAGAGCCGGCCATAGATTTCAACTTCGTTTTGAATGATATCGGATCCTTGAAGCTAGTTCAGTTGCTCTCTCAAATTCCAAATAATGAATTGAGCAAATTGAACAATCACGACGCATACGAAATGGAAACACAGCTTCTCAAGTTTATGATTAAGTTAAGAGAACTGAGAGAACTGAGAGATCAATAACGAAAAGTGAATAAAAGAACCCACTAGTTGTACTCCGGAGCCGACATTATCTCTTACCCTCTTTCCCTCTCTAACCCTCTCTTACCCTCTTTCCCTCTTTCCCTCTTTCCCTCTTACCCTCTTTCCCTCTCTTTCCCTCTCTTTCCCTCTCTTTCCCTCTCTTTCCCTCTCTTTCCCTCTCTCACCCTCCCTTTACCTCTTCTTCCCTCTCTTTTTCTCCCTGTCTCTTTCTCTTTTTCTTTCACTCTGTCTCACCCAATCAACATGCATCAATGGAACAAAAAATGATCTATTTCGAGCAAACATGGTACAAACTTTTAACAGGTTGAAAAAAAAGCTTCGTTTAATGCGCAATAACCGTTTTAGCAAAACTTCCCCATATCCCGATGGTAAACGGTTTTTGATATTTTTGTAGTTTGATAACACATATTAAAATTCCTATATTATCAAAGATAGCACCCAGTAAAGACGGCCAGAGGAAGTCAAAAGAAGTTTGATAGGAAAAAGGAAGCGAGCATCAAATCAAGGAGACACATTTCTTGGCTATTGTGGTACACACACAAATGTCAATCATACCGTACAAGTCTGGTGATGACAAGTCTGGTGATGATATCTTATATCACAATCCGAGCGATGGTGTATTAATCCTCCACGATGCACAAGAAAACTCGATTCAGCTCGTATCCACATCGACTACTAAGATCCAGCATGATCACTCTGTTGTTGACTCTACCACGAGCTCGTCAAAGCTTGATACCAGCAGATTTGCATCTTACACAATAGCCGGTACTGGAAAGAAGTGTCCAAATTGCGGGTTTGCGTGGGAAGATTACGAGAGGGAAAAGACTCGGACTAAACACGATGCTGCAGGCGGCATCCCCATTTATTTTAAACGGTCCCTTCCAGCGCAATTATCAAAGATGAATGAGGAATTCCCAAAAGCTTTTATGCATCGCGATTACTTCAAGCTATTGGCACAAATTCCACATAATGGACAAGAAAAGAGACATCTAAAGGATAGCAATATTCCCGAAGGACTTTTCAATCAAGGTTATTTCAAGAGATTTTTTAGAAAAATCGATCCATTTACATTGGGATCTGGTGCTCACGCTCAAGTTTATAAGGTTGAGCATGTTTTGGATAACATTGTTTTGGGGACATATGCAGTTAAGCGTATTAGTATTGGGGATAGATATGAGTTGTTGGAGCAAGTAGTCAACGAGGTGCTTATTTTGAACGAGTTGTCAGCTAAATGTGCCAATGAAAACAATTTGATCCGCTATAACCATGTTTGGTTAGAGTTGGGAGACTTGGAGGATCTGACAGCTTATTTTCTACCTTCTGCGGGCTCTCAAGAGGAAATAGAAAAGAGGCGCGTGCCATACATGTTTATTTTACAACAGTATTGCGATGGAGGGCACCTTGAAGACTTGATTATCAAAAACTATACTCAAGAGGAAGGATTGAGCTATAGTGAAAGAGTAATTTTGGAAAAGAAGAGAAGAAAATCTAAAAGGAATGGTGAAATTGTCGAAAAAGAGAAGCGTAAGTGGTTAAGCAATTTGGAGATTTGGAAGTTTATTCATGATGTGGCAACAGGTGTAAACTATTTGCATATGCATGGCATATTACATCGTGATCTCAAGCCCTCAAACTGTTTAATGGATACAAAGTATGTTGCGGATACCCAATCACCAATTGAGTTCAAAAACGTAGAAGAATTTGAACAAAAACTATTTGACTTACCGAAAGTATTGGTGTCAGATTTTGGAGAGGGAAAGTTCACTGATAGGCATAAGAACGCTGGTTTGGAGAACAATACAGCTCGTCGAGGAAACACCGGAACACTAGAGTTTACTGCTCCGGAGTTGTGGTTGTACTCGAGCGACACATTGTCAAATGGAGAAGCCAGAAACTTTATTAATGATTTTACTTATGACAGCGACATTTATTCGTTGGGACTCATATTGTGCTATTTATGCGTGGGCACTTTGCCCTTTTCGAATTTAGTGAGAGGCGAATGTGATCCACAAGTTGCTCGAGACAAAATATCAAATTGGTATGAAAATCTTACTCTTGAATCCTTCAGCGATTGGTTTGAGGAGAAAGTTAGTTCACTTCAGGGATATGTTGATGATTGCATAAAGGATTTCATTCTTTTGTCGTATAAAATGATTAAAGGAATGAGCAGTTCAACTGAAGAAGAGACTTTTGGACCAAGGTGTAGTTCTAAAGAAGTCTTGCTTATACTTAATGACATAAAGTGGAAACGATTTATTATGACAGAGCCTATGAGGGAGCACATGAAAGAGAAAACGCAGGTAGAGGACCTCATGTTGTACCAGCCGGGTATGAATGGCCCTTCCTATTTTGAAGAGCAAGTGAAAGATTTGAGTGCCGAGTCTAGGTCAAGTAAGAAAGATGCGGCGGAAGAAGAAGAGGAGGAGGAGGACTTGGATTTTGAAAAACAGTATGATAGTGATCATCTTGATTTAATCAAAGAGGAAAAGAAGAATATTTGCGAATCCAAAAATCCCAATCTTTTTAATGAACCACTGTGTCATCTTCATTGGTCCAAAATTCAAACGTTACCACTTTATAGCCTTGAATTGTTGGTTTTGGAGTACTTATCAATTTACATGCCGCATTTCTCGCAAAATGTCTTGAAAATAATCATATATGTGACTATAGGACTCGACATGGTATTATCGAAGTATATCATTTTGCGGTATACCTTATTTGTGACCATTTCGGTAACATTGTTAATTGTATCAGGATATACTATCGGAGGCCTAGACAGTATAGAAGAAAAGTTTAGACAATGGTAAGCTAATATGAACTTGAGCTTGGGCTTGAGTTGGAATTGCTGACCTTTAGACTAAAGAAAGAGTGTGTGAGTAAACAGTTCCCCCATCGTTTGAGTATTCTTGCTCTATCGTTGCGATGAGTCCTTCCCATCTCTCTTCTTTGTCTCTCTCATGATAGCGCGCAAAAAAAAAATCAAAAAAATCGTTAAAAAAGCATCTCTATGTGACCACGTTCTTTTAGATTTGTTAAAACTTCTTCTTTTTCATGTTGGCATAAGAATGGGGTTGAAAAGGAAGAGAGATGTAGATGATATCAAGAATAATCCGAGATCCAAGAAAAGGAAAAGTTCAGATAGTTTATTAGACCGCGATGTTGCGCTAAAAAAAAATGTGTTTGAGTCTTTAACTAACCATATTGATGAAGATTCGGATTCAGAACTCATCTACCAGTATGACGATAATACCACCCCTACCCACGACAAAAACGGAGATGAAGAAATAGTGCTTCTTGATAGTGACGTTGAAGAAATAGTCCTTCTTGATAGTGACGACGAAGCTGAAGACAAAGATAGGGATAATGAGGGAAGTGGACGTGAGAATGAAGAATTTAGAAGCTTGAGTGCAAATGCAGATGGTGCAATTTCAGATGTACGTGAGTTGAACAGCATATCAAACAACGAAGACTTTATTGGATTTGGGTTTCTGTCTTCCGATGAAGACGACGACGACGAGGGAAAGTATGGAGAGGACGAGGACGAGGAAGAAAAAGAAGAAAAAGAGGAGGAAAATGCTGACGCTGGTAATTTTGATCTGGGTACAAATGGAAGCCGTCGAAATTTGCCTTCAAGTACTTTATACCCATGGGTGCGAAACCATGACCATTGCAAGCAGAAGGAGATTGCTGACTGGTTGACATTGGAAATGAAAGATTTGGTAAATTACATTTCTCCTTCAAGCGAGGAGATTATCACAAGAAATCGTGTTATCAATACCTTAAAGAAACAGATTTCCATTTTTTGGCCTGGAACCGAAGCACATGTCTTTGGTTCATGTGCTACGGATTTGTACTTACCCGGTTCTGATATTGATATGGTTGTAATATCAAACACGGGGGATTACGAAAATCGATCGAGATTGTATCAATTATCATCCTTTCTCAGAGCCAAAAACCTTGCAAAAAATGTTGAAGTGATAGCTAGTGCGAAAGTTCCAATCATCAAGTTTGTCGATCCCGATTCGAACTTACACATTGATATATCTTTTGAGAGAAAAAACGGGCTTGATGCAGCTCGGCGAATACGGAGGTGGTTGCTGTCGACACCTGGGTTGAGAGAGTTGGTTTTAGTAGTGAAACAATTCTTGAGGTCTCGAAAGTTGAATAATGTGCATGTTGGTGGTTTGGGTGGGTATGCAACGATCATAATGTGCTATCATTTTTTGCATTCTCATCCCAAACTCTCGACAAATTCTATGGATCCATCGGACAATCTAGGAGTGCTACTTATAGAGTTTTTTGAGCTATATGGAAGAAACTTCTCGTACGACAACTTGATTATATCCTTGAATCCAGAGACGGAGGAGCCACGTTACTTGTTGAAGGATAAGAATTCTGCTTTAAACACCGCTCGAAACACGTTTTCCATAGTGATACAAGATCCTGCGGACCCCACGAACAATATCAGTAGGTCTTCGTATAACCTTCGAGATTTGAAAAAGGCATTTGGCGGAGCGTATCAACTTCTAGTAGCAAAATGCTATCAATTGAATGTAGCCCCCTATAAGGATAGATTGGGACAGCTGATTTTGGGGGATATCATAAAGTTCAAAGGTAAAGAGCGACATTTCAGGGATGAAAGACACATGATTGTCAATGATGCGTTAATAAGTCACGATGAAGAACAGGGCTCGTCCTTGAGCAGAGGAAGCAAAGATAATAGTGAGTATTATTTCTCCGATATGTCGGAAGAAGATAACGTCAACAATGATTCTAATTCTAAAGCCAAAAAGAAAAAAATGGTTAAGCCAACTCCAACTCCCACTCCTATTCCTACACCTACTCCCATAACCAATAAATCAAAAGACACCAAAAAGTTGGTTGAGTCGATTTTAGGGCTCGAGTCGGAGGACAACGAGAGAGATGTTAAGGGCGGCACAAGAAAGAATAACGATGCTGACGCTAATGACGATGACGACTATAATTATGAACCAGAACCCATTCTTCCTTCAAAACCAAAAACTTATCTCGATAAGGACATCAAGAGAGATTATTGGCGACAAAAGGGGCTCAATATATAAAGTTTCTAATAGAATTGTATTTTTACCTTTTTTTTTTTTTTTTCTTTTCTCTTTCCTGATGACGGCACCCTGATGACATGAAGAGTTGATAATGAGTTGATACTCAACAGCACGTTGATGAGGTCCGCCTGGTATTCATTACTACACCTGCTTTTTGAGAATCCTTTAGCTCACTGTAATACTTTTCAATGTAAGCTTCATCTATATCGTCGACGATTTCCTCAAACAATTCCAAAACACCGCTATTCTCTTTGGAACTTGTTTTATTAAATGACCTGATACCTTTCTGTTCTTTAATGTATTGATTAATTTCTTCCTCTTGAGAAGGCAGATTTTGTGTTGTTGCTAGATCTGCTTTTGTTCCTACAAATCGTATATCAATTTTGTTGCTTGCTGCAAAAGCGTTGTTTAGTTCAAGTTGCTCTATCCAATACTTTGCCGTTTTGAAGCTATGCTCAAAATTGTTCAAGTCGAAGCATACTAGTGCGGCGTTGGCGTTCCGGTAATACATGGGCGTTAGCGACCGATACCGTTCTTGACCTGCAGTATCCCATATCTCAAGCCGTATCTTGCGTTCTGGTTGACGTCGCGAGGAAAAGATCTTTGTTATATATGCTGCGCCAATAGTGTTGGATGTATGCGCATCATACTTATCAAGGGTAAACCTATGTACCAATGACGTTTTGCCTACAGAAGATTCGCCTAGTACAACAACTTTATATGGCGGTAACTGAGAGTCCTCTGGCATCATCATTAATTTAAGCTTACTGACTCGTAATTGCGATACTAGGGAGCGAAGCGAGCTAGTGGATCACACTGACTATATTGACACTATAGATTCTCGTTTACTAAATAAATCTAGTATTGTTTGTGCGAAAAGAAACGAAAAATATGACCTTTGAAGCAACAGCGTCAGCTTCTAAACCAACAGCGTCAGCTGTTGCGAAATAGTAAAGAGTGTCAGCTTCTGAAACAACAGTGTCAGCTGTTGCTAAATAGTAAAGAATCTCAGCTTCTGAACCAACAGCGTCAGCTGTTGCTGAAGGAAGCGCGGTAAGGCGAAGGATATTTGTTTACTCAAGAGAAGAGAGTTGACACAATATTGGTAAACCACCCTCACCCTCACCCTCACTCTATTCTCTATAGCCCCGTTTTGACGCCCTCAAACTGACGACAGAGATTTCGAAAAAACAGACCACAGAGTCTCTGACTGAGCTTTCAAAACAACAGCTGTCGCTGCTGTTGAAGGGGGAAGACCACAGAGTCTCTGACTGAGCTTTCGAAACAACAGCTGTCGCTGCTGTTGAAGGGGGAAGACTACAGAGTCTCTGACTGAGCTTTCAAAACAACAGCTGTCGCTGTTGTTGAAGGCTGTTGTTGAAGGCAAAGATTTTAATGCAATGCCGGTTTTATTATTAATGTTAGTCTTTTTGACATTTCAAAAAAAAAAAGCTTCTCTACCAGTTCTCTTTTTGGCCCGCCCCCCCGCAAAAATCATCTAAGCACGACAAAGTAAAGAAACCACAGCAACCACAATAATAACAAGAACTATTGTCAAAAAGGATATACTGTCCTAACAAATCTGATTCAAAATAGCAAACAAAAGCAGGCCCAAAAAAGTTCGAGCTCCATACAGGAGTTATAAGTCGAGCGACTTTTCGAAGGAGAACTCCGATGACTTGGGCCAAGATGAAGATGATGACAAGAGTAGTAATAAAAGTGCTGGTGTTTTATCCAAGTGTACTCTATGGCCGGTTAGCAAATTTGAAAAAATCAATGTACTAAACTGCGCTTTACAAGATGGTGAACCCAAAGTTCAATCTGGGTCAATGCATAATCTAGTTGTGTTCCCTATAGAGATATTTATCAAGATTTTTGAGATATTAGAGCATTCTGGAGAATTAAAGCCTAAATTTATGAGAGTTTGCAAATTATTTTACCAAATCATTTTGCCCATGATCTATAGAGCTCCTCATTTGAGAGCTACAAACTTTTTCAAGTTTGTTGAAACTCTTTCCAACAACAAGAGATTGGGTCATTATATCTATTCATTAGATCTAGCATACGTCAATCAGTCAGGTAAAAATGCTTTTGTAGCACGTTTGCTAAAGCAGTCAAAAGCACACCTAGAGAGCTTTGTTGCACCGCAAACGAGTTTTGGATTCGGACCATTGATTGCGCTAAAGAATTGTCAAAATTTGAAGATTTTAGATTTGCGTTTAGTGTCGGAAACGTTGAACCTCAGTGAATTGTTTAGTTCAATCAAAAATCTTGATAAGTTAACACATCTATCTTTTCCCAGATCATCCATCGAAATAAACGATTATCAAGAGATATCATGGCCAGCGGGTTTGACCTTTTTAAGGCTATCTGGTGGAATAGATGACGATTTTCCATTCCATTCCAATTTGCCATCTTCAATAACAAGTTTGGAATTTGCGCACTGTCCGTCTATAACCGATTTTGGATTAAAACAGTTTTTAAATAAGATAGGAGCCAATTTGAAAAGCTTTAAAGTGCAGTACCCAATGCCAGGCTTGAAAGGAAACACGCTAGATGATGTTTTCCATCTCTGTCCCAATCTACGAGTTTTAGAGGTATATGTTGATTACTTGTCATCCACGTTTTTTGACGAGAGTCTTTTTGGGGGTGTTGATTATTCAAAATGTCTTCGCACCTTGTACATTAATAGCAGTGGCCTGTTGGGAACACTGAACCGATTGGATCCAATAGACTTGGCAATTGCTTTGGAAGATGGAAGGTTTCCCTTACTAAAAAATGTTCAGTGCACGGCCAAGTTGGGGTGGAATCCAAAATCAGAATCAGTGAGATATATAGCAGAAGAGCTTGATGAAAGAAATGGCGGTCTCTACATAGGGTATTAGGGAGGGAGGAGAAAGAAAGCGATTTAAATTATATATAGGGTATTAGGAGGAAGAAAACGATTTAAATTATATAGTGTCGATAGTGTCGGTGGGCTTGCGCAGCTCCTTTGAATGGTGCAAATGAAACTAATTCAATCATCTTGGAAAATTTGGATAAGTCATCGGCAGCTTCTTGCACTTCTTTGGATCTCGAAGCTATATCATCTTGTTGGATAATTCAAGTTTATCTGGATCTACTTTGAGTTTTAAAAGTCACCAAGTGGAGCATTGTAGGTGGTATTCTTGTAGTCCCAGTAGAAGGTAAGGTTTTGTGGAACAGATGGTTCAATGCCACAATCATCAATAAAGTTCAGATCACCAATATTGCCGTTGACATACTCTTCAAAGTCATCTAATTTACAAGAAAATCCGGGACCTGTTGCACAGGATTGAATTGGAATTACGGCATCGTTTACCAAATATCTAACGTATGATTCACCAGAACATGAGAACTTCTCAGTGTAAATTCTGGCACCTTGAGGAACAATTGATGAGTGAACATATGGATTTGGGAAAGGAATATAATCAACAGGAAGATCACCATCTGGCTTAAACAATCCTACTGCACTAAGGAAGATTTCTAAATCTGTATCGTGTGCAAATGATAACCAAATTTTGTTTTCTGAAGAAGTGTCCTTCAACAATCTTAATGATGCATCTAGTAAAGTTGAACCAACAGTTGCAGATAAGTAGTTTCCTGGCCCGTACGAATAGTAGTAGCCCAAGTCGGTTGCGTAAGATGATCTAATATATTCCTCATTGGTGAACAAATTGCAGAATGGAGAGCTACCGTTAACATTGAGTTCGAAAGCACACCAGGAAAAGAGGTGTTGAACATCTTTTGTCGTTAAGTTCAAACCGGGATTTGGTTTAGTCAATCTTTCCACGATAGGCTCCAAGTAGCTGGTATTGTAGTCAGATGGATCTAAATCGGAAGCTGAATAATTATAATTCGAACAGGAGTTGATTGGCGTCAAAGTGTTGGCACCGCTTGACTCATCTTCGTCAAGAATGTTAAACTTGACAGTTTTGTTTTCATAAAAATTGTCACCCAAAAATCCTCTAGCAAAGTATCTCGATGTTTCATAACATCTTCTGGAATTGGATGAAAAAACAGGCAAAGTTGAATTTTCCTTATACAATGAACCATACTTGGCTCTGAAAGTGGCACCATGTCTCAAAGCATCGGTTGTTCCCGCAAATGTACCCTCGGAATTCTGAGGAGTAGTCTCTTTTTCATAGTACTTTTTGTCATGAACAAAGTAAACATAATCATTCAAGAATGACAAATCTCCCTTGAAAGTACCATTATAGTTTTGGAACTTGGAGTAGATTGCCTCGAGCTGTTTACCAAGACCTTTCGATGGGTATCTTTCACCGTGTCTTGAGAACAATTGCACTTGCTCTAATTTGCAGCCATTGGGTATAGCGGTATCAATTCCGTAACCCTCATTAGCGATGTATGGAGCCGAGCCACCTAAGAAGTTCAAGATGTTGTACTTTTGAACAGAGGCTTGTTCAGGAGTAGCAACATCGGCATAGATATTGGGACTTACCAATAACAATCCAGAGTTGACTAAATTCGAAACAGAAACCATTTTTGCTGTGCCGAACTTTCAAATTCAGGAAGAAAAAGATGGGGCCATAGAGAATAGTTTACCAAAGTCCAAGTATTTATATAAAACATCAACATAAGCAATATAAACCACGTTGACCCCTATTTCTTCTAGAAAACTAACAGGGTCCATTTTCAATGTTGACAGTCATACTGACAATTAATGCACGGTAAAAACTAAAATTTTATGCATCCTATATTAAGAACAGAATTGGAAGTATTTGAACTCAGTTGAGGTCAATATAACGCACAAAAGAGTCATAATTGCTAACCACTTTTGAAAGAAATATAAACAATCATCTTTTCCTCCCCAACATTAGGCAAAAAAAAGAAAGAAGTCTATACATATTTAATTGTTATTTGATCCACGTGCCATGTTCTTTCACTATTGCATCGGCATTAAAGAAAAATTGTTGCATGTCACAAATTGATTTTTCTCCGATGGTTTTCCAAAAGGGCAAGATTTCTCAACGGTTTAGGAAATACTAGGTAGCAACAATAATTCGTAAAAATCCCCCTTTCACAAGTCAACATAATTTACTGCAATGTATTCTAGTTACATCCTTAGTTCCAGTGGAAGGTTGTGTATTTTAGTAACCACATTGCTCTATTCCTTTTGCTCTATTCCTTTTGCTCTATTCCTTTTACTCTATTCTTTTTGCTCTATTCTTTTTTTTATAGTCGAGTTCCCTGTATTCAGCTGTCAAACTCTATTTTGTGTCATTTTGTTAGTGACTAGTAAAAGTGTAAAGACATTTTTATTTCATTGTGTATAAATTCAAGGATAGCTCAAAATTTTGTAGAGCCCAGAGTTGCGAGGGTAGTATATCAAAGAAATGAACTTACAATGATGATAAGTAAAAGGTTCATATAAAAAGTCTCCGAAATAGTAATAAAAAAAAAAGGAAAAAAGAAAAAGTGTTGATAATCATTGTGATCAAGCTACACCAGAAGAAACACCAATCGGATTAATGATTGGATTGATTACATTTGGATTCAAGTCTGCGTCAGTCAAAGTTAGTTGTTCATCAGTCCACAAATGTTGAATCTTTAAAGTATCTTCTTCTTGCCCAACACCACATAATCCTCCCACACCGGCCCAGTCGCTGATCCTCCTCAAGCTCAACTCATTAAACACTGAATCAACCACTTTCAATCAAATGGTTAGATATTTCCTTTCCGTGACCTGGAGTTGGAGTAATTCTCAATCTCTCTTCGCCAATTGGAACTGTGGGGAAGTTGATCGCTTGAACGTAGATATCATGTTTTTCCAACAACAAATCGGATGCTCTCTTTGCGTCAGCGGCATTACCAACCAAGACTGGGACTATATGAGATGGATTTGGGATCACCAGCAAAACTTAATTGATTCATATTGTCCTTGACGTATCTCGTGTTTTTCTGTTGAGCAATACGATCCTTCAAAGTAGCTCTTTGGTAACGAATTGAAGAAGAAGCACCTGCCATGATTGCTGGCGGTAAGGTTGTAGTGAAAATAAACCCTGGAGCGTATGACCTAAACCAGTCAATCAAATTTGCCTTACCGGTAACGTAACCTCCAACGCATCCGTAAGCTTTACCAAGCGTACCCGTAATCATATCAACTCTACTCATAACAGTTTTAGTGACAGGCTTGTTGATACCCAGTTTCAAATAAGTGTCAAAATCCAAGTGTTCAGCAACACCTGCTCCATGTGGACCATACATACCAACGGCATGAACCTCATCCAAAAAGGTAAGAGCACCATACTTTTGTGCTAAATCACATATTGCTTCAATCGGCGCAATAGACCCACGCATGGAGTAAACAGCCTCAAACGCAATCAACTTTGGTGTTGACTTGGGATGTTGCGCCAAATTTGCTTCTAAATCCGCCAAATCGTTATGCTTAAAGATTTGCTTTTGAGCACGAGAATTTCTAATACCCTGAATCATGGATGCAAAAAATAACTAAATTCTTCATCTTTTGTCCAAATAGAGACAACACAGCGTCATTGGCTACAAAACACGAACTGAAAACCAATGCTGCCTCGTGTTTGTGCAAAGCTGCCAATTCGGATTCCAACCTGATTGCTTGAGCATTGTGCCCAGCAATATTTCTCGTACCACCTGCACCTGAACCGTATTTATCTAAAGTTCTCTTCATTTCATTCAAAACAACTTCATTTTTCCCCATTCCAAGGTAGTCATTGGAGCACCACACTGTAACTTTCTCAGCTTCTTGAGAACGGTGGGCTTTTGGGAAATCCTTAGCTAAACGGTTGATATTGTTGAAGTAACGGTACGATTTGTCCAATCTCTTCTTGTTCAAATCATCATTCAAAAAACCGTGAAAGTCGAAACTATCTTCTCTTGCATTGAAATCGACTTCTGGGTTAACCAACTTTTCATTTTGAAGGCGATATGGCGATGCAAACGTAGTAGATGAAGGTTGGTTAGCAGAGCTAACACTTGCCCTTCTAGACTCGGTAGCTTGAGAGTAATTTCTAACGTGTTCCTGTTTTTCAATAGCATTCCCCATAAAAGGACATTGACGTGCACGTTGTACCAAGCCACCCGAGTTTTTACTTAACTGGCGTAACTTTTGCGTGGAAGTTGACCTAACAAATGGGCAAACCGACATAGACACTTTGATAACTGACTCCATAACGATCTTTTCTCTCACTTATCACAGGGGAAGGGGAGGAGGGGAAGAAAACTTTAAATTGCAGAAATGATATAAAAAACACCCCTTATTTTGTATACCCAAGTATAAAGAATACAGGTTCAAAGAAAAAAGCAAAGGTTTTATAGAAAGAAAGGTGCTTTTGAAAATTTATTTAGGTTGAGAAATTTTCACTTGTTTATTTTGATGATTTTTTTTTTCAATTGTATTTCTCTACATAAAGAAAAAAAAAATGCTACACATTCACAAAAACTCAATGTGGTAATATTACATTGAGCGAGGCAGGACGAATCCTTATTGGTTGACACAGTATTGACTTTCGCATTCGGTGATCTCTCAATAACTAACTGTCAATATATTGTGTGCGTGTGAAAAGGCTTTAATTATAAGATGCATGAGATGCTTCATATGTCTAACTCCGCTTTTCGAGATGTTTTTTTCCTGTAAACGACTAATTTTTTTTTGTTTCATGTTAGTCAGCTAATTCAAATGATTATACTGATTTGACTAGTTAAGAGGGGAGAGAGAGAGAGAGAGAGAGAGAGAGAGAGAGAGAAAGAGAGAGAGAGAGAGGAGGAAGTGTATGGAAAGGAGGGGGGGAGGGGAGGGGAGGAGTTTAGGGGTAAGAAAGATGTGTTAAAATTATACTTGAGTATTACTTTGAAGAGATGAGTCAATCAAAGAAAAACGAAAAAATAAAAAAACTTTTATAAAGAGCCCACAACATTTTGACTAAATCATTGTAAACGCTTCCTTGTAGACTTTTACTTTGTAAACACTTCCTTGTAGACTTCTATTTGTAAACATTGGATTATCTCCTTCAGCCAGTGTTTGACAACCCGAGGTCAATACAAGGAATCTTGAAAAAGGGGGTAGTTTGTCTTGGATAATTCCGTTAAGAAAATTTATATGTTACCTATGATTGGACTAAAACAATTACCAAGAGTAAAAGAGTAAAGCCGATATAAAAGGTTGATAAATTTTATTTTCTTGAACAATAGTTCAACATTAGTCTCTTTTCACCACCAAAAGCCCAACTGCTGTTATATCTTGGCTACCATACCACGTGAGCAAGTAATTTCAAAGATATCCAATTACATTTCTAACAAAATGTAGCTGATTCCTTTACCCACCTCATCCTTTAGTGAAAACACACCATATTCGGGTTGATTGACACGTGGTAGCGCTTTAGTGTCAATTGATTAAGAAGAGAAATAGCTAACAGGAAAAGAGAGAAATAGCTAACGGGAAACGAGAGAAATAGCGGGTAAAGCGGTTTTGTAAGAGTAACTGTAAAGCCGGTATATTTAAGATTAGGATTACTGGCCTCTCCCAAGGGGAGTAATCAACCCCATGCGTGTAGGAAATTGCCTAGGCCCAATCACCGAGTAATGCACTTTACACTTCAATTACCTTCTCCCAGACCAACTCCTTCTTTACTTTCCCCTGCCCTCACTTCCCACCCCCACCACTATACTAATCATAAATACATTTCGTCAGTGGAGGCACTCTAAATTATTAGATCTAAATGTCACCTCATGTACTGTACTATCCTGACATTGCTAACTAAATGCACCTAAAAAGAAAATGCTACCTTTCCTACGGTGGTCTCCTGGTTTCTTGGTTATGTTTACCTTTTCCCTCGTTTAGCTCCCATTTTCTACCTCTCTACTCCACAAACTCATCCTTTCTATCATTTTCTCTTACACCCCTCCCCCCCCCCCTTTTCTTTACTCTCTTCATATCAATGCAGACATGCTCTTCTACACTCCTACACGTCCATACATCTACACATCTACACATCTACACCCCTGCGTGTCTACACTTCTTTCCTAAAACCATTCCGAGTATCATTGCTCCTGATGACATAAAAAGGTCACGCATTTAAACAACTCGTACCAAAATTTCTTCGTTGTAATTCGATATCATTTGGAACCCGAATTCTCGAAGAAAAAAAAAAAACTAAAAAGCTGCGAAATAAAGTTTTCCCCAGATTTTTCACCTATTTATTTCATTAGGAAAAAGGCCAAAAAGGAAAAAGGGTGGGTATGGAGGTGTGAAAGGGGGAACGTGTAGAAGGGGGTAGGTGGGGAAGGAATGCGGGTGGGGTGGTGCGGGATGTGGGGGTGGTCAGACGATGCATACATGAGAATGCAGTGAGGCGTTTTAAATATAAAGTTAAATAATGACAAGAATGGTTTGAAACATTGACAGGTTTTGACAATACATATATATATATATATATGTATATATATGTTGTTAAGGGTCCAAACTCAAACTTTCTCTCTTTTGAAATATGATATTGAATTCAGCAAAATCAGGCTTTAACAAATCAACATTTATTAAAACTAGTCTCTTTAGTTGTCGGTTTTCAATTCGCAATATGTCAATTCCAGTTACTCAGTATGGATTTGTGTACAACAAGTCAACGGGACTCAATTTGAATAAGAATCTCCCAGTTCAATCGCCTGGAGTCGGGCAAGTACTTTTAAAGGTTGATGCTGTTGGATTGTGTCATTCCGATTTACATGTTATTTATGAAGGACTTGATTGTGGTGACAATTATGTGATGGGTCACGAAATTGCTGGTACAGTTGCCGATGTAGGTCCAGAAGTGGAGAATTGCAGTGTTGGTGATAGAGTTGCAGCCCTTGGGCCCAATGGATGTGGGGACTGTAGAATATGTCGCAGCGGCGCTGAGAATGATTGCAAGCGGTCTTTTGCCAATTGGTTCGGATTGGGTGTTGATGGCGGTTACCAACAGTATTTGCTAGTTTCAAAACCACGTAATTTGGTGAGAATTCCTGATAACGTTTCCTCGGAGGTTGCGGCTGCAGCAACTGATGCTGTTTTGACTCCTTACCACGCTTTGAAGATGACAAAAATTGGGCCCAGCTCAAACATCTTGATTATTGGAGCTGGTGGTTTAGGTATCAATGCAGTTCAAATTGCAAAAGCCTTTGGAGCCCATGTCACTGTTTTGGATAAGAAAGAAAAAGCACGTGCATTGGTTAAAAAGTACGGTGCCGACGTAGTTTTGGAGAGCTTGCCTGCTAGTACTGAAACAGGAATATTTAACGCTTGTTTTGATTTTGTTTCAGTTCAATCTACATTTGAGATTTGTCAGAAATATTGTGAGCCTAGAGGTTGTATTGTACCAGTTGGTCTTGGTTCTCCTAAAATCACTTTGGATTTAGCTGATTTGGACTTGCGTGAAATTCGTATTTGTGGATCTTTTTGGGGAACAGCTAATGATTTGGAAGAGGTTTTTGCCTTGATTGGAAAAGGTATGATTAAACCTATGGTTCAATCAGCCAAGTTGGAAGAGTTGCCACAATATATTGAGAAGTTGAGGAAGAATGAATATGAGGGAAGAGTTGTTTTCCATCCATAATAGACTAGTGAGGTTATCGACTGTCACTATCGAGCAGAGCGAGATGGTGGAGCACACTGACTAGCTGCCACCGTTTCCCTTCTTTTCTGTATTTTAGCAAAAGTAAGAAAATTCTAAAATCTGAAAACGTTTCAAGTCACACTTTGAGGAGTGATACCACTACTAGCTCTACAATTGAATCTACAACTGAATCTATGACTGACCCTACTGCCGATTCCACTGTCGGCTCCGCTATTTACTGCTAAATTCTATTCACCACTTAATCTTTAATTTCTCTATTTATATTCTCTCTCTTTAGATTCTCTCTTTAGATTCTCTCTCTAATTTTTCTTTATGTTCTCGCTTTATATTTACTCTTTATATTACTCTCTGCTCTCACTCTTTATATTCTTGCTTTCTATCCTCTCTCTACTCTCTCACACTTTATCTACTCTCTCACACTTTTTATCCTCTCTCTACTCTCTTTCTTATTATATTTACTCTTTATATTCCTGCTTAATATTCTCACATTTTTCTTACATTTTTCTCATGGTAATATGCCACCACTCTATTATACTACCTTTCTAATTCACTTCTCTGCATGTTGCTTCACTATTGAGAGCGAGATAGTGTTGTGACAAGCTACAAAGCTACAAAAAGCTACGAGGTGTCGCTCGATAGTGTCGGTGGCAGCTACGAGGTGTCGCTCGATAGTGTCGGTGGCAGCTACGAGGTGTCGCTCGATAGTGTCGGTGGCAGCTACGAGGTGTCGCTCGATAGTGTCGGTGGCAGCTACGAGGTGTCGCTCGATAGTGTCGGTGGCAGCTACGAGGTGTCGCTCGATAGTGTCGGTGGCAGCTACAAGGTGTTGCTCCACTATCTCGCTTCGCTCGATAGTGTTGATAGTGTCGACAGTGTCGACGCGCGTATCGGAATGTAAACAAAGCGAAAAAAAAAATACTGTTTAGTATATTTCCGCTTTCTATAATGATTCTCTCTCTTATGGAGGTAGGTTTTGTAATTGATAAAAGCGGATGAGCTGAAGGAAATCTTAGTCTAGGAGATCAGTATGAGTTTTGATAAGTCACAGATTGCGAGGCTATATTTGCAGAGACTTGCCAGGTCGCTTATACCGCCCGAGCTTGGCGATGAGTATGTTCAGAGTATAGCAAATGAGTTATTCATTTCGCTATGGAAGAAGTCGCCAACCAAGAAGAACCAGGATATATCTCAAATAATCAATAAATTCAAAGTACGATTCTTAAGTAACAATTTGAAGCTGGAGTGGCTCCAGTTTCAGGAAATTGTCAACTCATTAGCAAAGCTTAAAGATTTGAACCAGATTGCAAATTATCTCGTGTTTTTCGATGCCTTGCATAATGGGGAGCTATTGCCAATGTCAAAGTCAGTTTCCAACTCAAAACCAAAATCAACGAGTTTTTTGGAGAAACATCATGTTGGTAGGAATGGGAAAACGTTGGCTCAGCTTATAGAGCCATACTATGAAACTTTATCAGAAAAGGAGATTTTAACTTATTTACCCTATACTTTAAGAGGAATGGACTCGAAATTGGTTGAGTTTACCGATAATTACCGACAATTAGAAATCCCACAAACAATTAATGAGAGCTACAGCTCGTTACTAAGACTGATTTTTGAGTATGCTTTTCTTTATAAACAGTTGATTCTTGTTGTTGAAAATGATAGAGGCACAAACCCACTGACAGTCCAAGCAGCATTTGTGGCGTTGTTGGAAGAGATAACTAAAGAGTATATTGGCGAATTGAACCAGGTGTTCACTGAGGGACCCACATCCATCTTGTCAGTTTATCAAAAAATCTTTTCCTGGATATACAAGTTGAGGTTTTTGTACCGCATATCTCTCAAGTTGAAAACTTTGGATGGGTACCACTTGCTAACGCATGTTCACAAATTTACAAAATTTGGTGATAAAAACATTCTGGATATTGCAAAAAGAGTGTTTGCCGAGATTGTCAAGCCGTATTATAAAATAATCGAATTTTGGATTATTAAAGGTGAATTGGTAGATGAAAATAATGAGTTTTTTATAACTTTTGATCGAAATGAAAACAGTTTTGATAAGATTATTAATTTCCATAAAGAAAAAGTTCCAGACTTTGTACACTCTAGTGACAAGATCTTCCAAATTGGGAAAACGTTGATTTTCTTAAACAAGTATTGCAGGGAATTAGAATGGATAAATCGGTTCAATGTCAAGTATTCGAAAAGATTGTTTTCCAATGATAGTAGAAATAGCAATTATAGTAACATGGCTACTTCTACTACTAATAGTAATAATAATAATAATGGGCTAGCGACGATGAGCGAAAACGAAGTGGTGGAACTAATAGCAGATGAGTATGACGAAACCTTGAGCTACTTTACCAAACTAATGCATCAAAAATACAATTTATTGACACATTTGCAAATCTTCAAAAAATTTTACTTAATTGGGGCCAGCGACTTTATAGAATCCATTATGATAAAGGGAAAAACCGTTCTCGACAAACCATCCTTGGACATCACACCAAGTCAATTGGACAAAATCTTGAACGAGGCAATACAGCTGTCAGCGGTTAAAACGTTGAAATATACCGATAGAGTCGATATGAAAGTTTTCACTTCAGAAATAGGAAGCTTTGGATGGGAATCGTTCTTGCTTAATTACAAGATTGATGATTTACCTTTCAGTTACCTATTAGAAGATCAGATTTCAGAATATTTCAAAATGTTTCATCTTTTGAGAAAATTGCGACATTTGGAGATTCTTTTGAATGCAAATTATGAGATGTATTCTGTTCTCAATAATAAATTCAGTCGAAGCATAAGAAAACAGTTTAGCAGAAGGTTCAAATCGGTCACCATTGCAAATGTGCTAAGAAACCATATCATAAAGTTTCTACAAAATCTAATATCCTTTCTCTCTTACGATATTATTGAGGAGTCTTATGAGAGTGTAATTGTGAAAAGATTCTTTTACAATGACAATGACACTGACTTGTTATTGGACAAACTGTTTATGAAGTTGGATAATAGACACTACGAGCACTACAACGTCAACAAACTAACTATAGATGACTTAATTCGAACACACGGAAGATATCTTGAGCAAATTGTGTACACCGATCTACTTAATGAAAAAAAAATAGGAAAGAAGACAAACATCAGTTATGTTTATCAGATCTATGACTTGTTACAGACAATTTTTGATTTTGTGACTGCAGATCAGGAGTATCACTCTCTTATACTCGAGTTTGCGTTTCTCGTTGAGCAGAGCTATTCTGGTGATTTTGAAACTGGACAAAATTTAGAGAAGTTGATTGATCGTATGAACAAAGTAATGCATAAACTTAAAATCGATATATTTGAAAGTGAATTCAAGTTCCAATTAAATAATTTAAAGGAGGATTTAAAATTGGATAATAATTTACAAGAATTTGGAACATACATATAGCATTAGTGATTGAAATAAAAGTAATGAGAAGAAGGAAAAGAAAGAAAGGATGCCCCTTTTTAGTTAAGTAACTCTCAGACTCTCTATACTCAGGGAGTATAATGGACATATTTTTTTACTTATCTGCAATCGCCAATCATTCTCATGTTTTCTGCGAAAGCTAGAGAAATAATGTGAAAGTATGGCAAATGTGTATAAATTCTATTCTATGGGTGTGGAAGGAAAAAGAAGAAGATTAGGGAAACATTTTTCAAAATGGACCTGGGCTTTAGAGGAAATAAAAGTAATAGAAAAATAGAAAAAGAAGGAGGAGCAATACGAAGAATAATTTAAATAGGATTGGTGTATCCTAAGTAGTTTTTTTGTAATTGAAGAGATTTATGAGAAACGGATAAATTTAATAAATACCACCCATTCAAATTAACGTAAATCTATCTATTTCCTCCTGAATTGCTGCTGCGGTTGTTGTTGTTGTTGTTGTTGTTGTTGCAGTTGCTGTAATGATTGTTTCTTTTTGTAGTACATCTTTTGAATCAAAGGATGGTGTGAGTCTCTCAATTCCTTATTCTTGTTCTTACCGTACTCTATATATGCCATGTCTTCACCACCAGCCAAACCAGCCAATGAGCCGGACATTCTTGATGCACCGCTTTGTTTTGCATTCTCTAATCTCATTCTTTGCTCCTTAGAAATGAAATTCGTGTCAACGTCATCACCAATTTCCAAACCTGCAGCATCTTCATTTTTCAACAAAACTTGTTGCAATAATTCTCGACGTTCTCGAGCAGATGCATATGCTAATTCAGGCAATTGTTCCATACCACTAAGATGAGTAATCACCTTGAATGCATAACCCTGGTCAACCAAAAATGCTTGCCTCTTGGTTGAATAATACATTTCCTGAGTATCTTTCGACACTAATGAGTAAAAAAAGGCATTGAAACCTTCGTCATTACGTCTCTTTGCACGCAAAATCCTTCCCAACCTTTGTGCTTCTTGTCTTCTGGATCCATAGTGGGACGATATTTGAATTAAACACGTTGCCTCGGGCAAATCGATTGATGTATCACCCACCTTTGACAAAAATATCGTATTGATTTGATCATTGTGTTGGAAATTTTGCAAAATCTTCATTCTTTCTTGTTGTGGCGTTGAGCCAAATATAAATGGCTTTCCAAGTTTCAAAGCGTACTCTTGTAATGCGTAAACATTATCACTAAAGACAATAATTTTATCTCCTCTTTTCTCGTGATAATGAATCAAAAATTGACAAGCTTGAAACTTTGAGGGGTTCATAATGTACAAAAGCATCCTTTTTCTAGCACTTTCCCTCAAATACTCTTGGTAAAACTCTGACGTCATGGGGCACCATACCTCAGCGCATTGCACGCTTGCAATGTGACCCTTCTGGGCCAAATCCATCCAATTTGCTTCGTATAATTTTGGACCAATCAAGAAATTCAAATCATCAATCTTATCATCTTCACGAACCAATGTTGCAGTAAGGCCCAATTTAGCATGAGCGGCAATAGTTGTAACAACTCTTCTAAACATGTTTGCAGGCACAACATGGACCTCATCCAAAATAATAAAGCCCCATTCTCTTGATCTCAAGAAATCCATCACCTTTTGGGAATCATGCGACCGATTACGCGTGTTTGCAACCATAGAATAAGTCGAGACAACTAGACCAGACTCGCTGGCAAACATCTCCTTGTTTTCAGAGGTGAAAACGGCAACGCTGTCTGGTTGAATTGTGCACCACTGTAGAAACTGCTGCCTCCATTGCATCACGGAGACGGAGGAAGTACACAACACAATTACTGACTTTCGAATTGTACAGGCTGCAGTTATTCCGACTAATGTCTTTCCAGCACCGCAAGGTAGAACAATGATACCGGATCTTGCTCTTCCATTTCCAAACATTTTGGACAATGACTTCTCTTGGTAAGGTCTAATTTGAGTTGAAGGTTTCAAATCAATCTCTAAATCCGGGTTTCTGGCATCGTTACGGAAATCGTATTCTTCCAAAACTGGATAATCGATTTCTTGACACCTTCGTTTGATTAGTTCAACCGAATCGTGAGATATCTCAAACGAATGTACAGTGTCCAAGTCGTCTTCTTCTTCGCGGTTTCCTACTACCGATGCAAATATATCTTCTGCTTGATTTGTCTCATTGGAATCATTATTATAGCTGTTGTTGTTGCTGTTGTTGTTGCTGTTGTTGTTGCTGTTGTTGTTGTTGTTGTTGTTGTTGTTGTTGTTGCTGTTGCTGTTGTTGTTGTTGCTGTTGTTGTTGCTGTTGCTGTTGCTGTTATTATTGTTGTTGTTATTGCTGTTGTTGTTGGTATTATTCTTTTTGGTTCCTGGAATGCTGATATCGTTTTGAGGAGCAGCACTCTGAACAAGCCCGTTACTTGTTACAGTATTTTCTGTCGACTGTATACGCAAGGGTCCAATAACTTCGTCTTTTAGTAGCATCTGCAATATATCTGCTTGAGTGCTCTCTACAAAATATCTATTATTCTTTAAAACCAACTTCACTTTTCCATAAGAGACAGTAGCTGCTTTGATAAATTGAACTATTGATTCAGCCACTGGCACTTTGGATAATCGGTTGAGCACCGATATTATATCGTCCGTTTCTAGTCCTACAGAGACTGCCGCATACAATGAATAAGCAGTAATCCTGTATTCATGAATATGCGAAGGCCTCGATATTGGCTCGGCTATGGTGATTAAAAAATCCTGTGCTTGTTCCGCCAAGGGCGAAAAGGACTCTAGAATAATTCGAAGGTCGTTGGGAGATATCCAAATAGGTCTGGAAAAATGGTCTGGCTTCAACTTTAAATACGAAAAGTCTGCTCTTCCAAACGATTTGGATACTGCATCGGGAATATAGTCATCTGGTATGTCTGGAGTAATATCTAGCAACTCCTCCTCGGAAAAATTATTGTCCTCCAATTCATGCTTCAACCCATCAACCACCAAGCGCGCTTTTTGCTTCTTTGCTTTTCGAGAGTCTCCTAAGGAGACTCGTCCTGACTTTCGTTTTGATGCTATTCCATATTCTTGATCACCCTTGTCATCTAATCCTTCATCTGAAAAATTCTCATCATCAACTTCAGCATAACTAACAGACTGGCCTCTTCTAGACATGACAATACACCAACACAAGAAGTTAAATTCAACTTCACTCACTCAAACGCGCTACTCAATGAATATAACCCCAAAGATATCTACTAATGAGATATACATCTATTGATTTATGCCATCTCGGAATTTACCAAGAAGGCAAATCAATATCTTTTTTTTTTTCAAAGAGAAAGTCGTGTGGGCGAGCACAACAGAAAAAAAGAAAAGGTCGTGCGGATAAGCACAACAAAAAAAAGAAAAAAAATTCGCAATGAAAAATAGTAAATCGGAATATTCTCTTCTATATTGAAATACTTCTTTCCTATATCTTATGATCCAAACTCTCTCTTTATATCTATCTATCTACATTCATTATCTAAGCTCTTTTTTTTTTCCTTAGTCAGTAAACTTATAGGAACCAGAAGCTAAAGTAATACTACCGCCCTTGTAACTCCCTCTTTTCATTTTGTTCTTATTCTTTGTGAAATCCTTACCTCTAACTTGCAATAATTTCTCATTTGCTTTCTCTCCCCAAGTACCTGCAACTCCTTTATATGTGTTATCTTGCAAAGACTTGTCTTCAAAATTAATCTTTGATCTGTTTATTCTTGAAAAATGTTTCCTTTGCCCAGGTTTCAATTCTGATTCGGGTGAAGCTGGTGGAATGGAGTTTAATGATTTAAATGTATCTGTCTCTGACGAGACCTCGGGTGAAAGATTCGAATCAACTTTTGGCTTTTTCACTTGTTGATCACCTTCAATTACAGATTTGGTATCTGCTGCGTGTCTTTTCCTGCTCTCTTTCGAAGACTTGGTTTTTTCACTCTTGGAACTTGGCTTTTTTTTGACATCATTTGAACCAGCTGTTGAGGTATCTGGAGATGAGCTGTTTGGTTCAGATGAGGAGGATGAGCTATCACTTTCATCCTCTGATGAGTCTGATGAGTTTGAATCACTATCAGAGCTTGAATCAGAGCTGGATGAGCTAGATGAACTATCACTTTCATCCTCTGATGAGTCTGATTCACTATCAGAGCTTGAATCTGAGCTGGATGAACTGGAACTGCTGGTTGATCTAGATGAGCTAGATGAGCTAGATGAGCTAGATGAGCTAGATGAGCTAGATGAGCTATCACTTTCGTCCTCTGATGAGTCTGATTCACTATCAGAGCTTGAATCAGAGCTGGATGAGCTGGATGAAGAATCGCTCAACTCTTTGGAAACGCTGTCTTTTTGCATTCTCTTCCTCTTGGTATCGACCTTTTCCAGATCTTCATCTTCCTGCGCGGTGGAAGAATCGTCACTACTCAAAGATTCTCGACTCTCACCATCACTCTCCAGTTTACCTCTCTTCTTGCTCTTCCTATGCTCCTTTTTTTTCAATTCATTACCCAGCTTGATATCTTTCATCACACTATAAATTGTATTCGTTATCTCATTATCAAGCTTAGATAGCTTGACACTCTTGGTCGACTTCGATAAACTTTTCTTATTGACTTTCTTTAACTTCTCATAGAGATTCTTTAGCTTCTTATCATTTGATATACAACGTATTATATACGCCTCTATCTCATCCGACTTGGACATGCTGATCCAAAAAGGAGACCTACAGACCCAATAACTAGGTATAAAAAAATAGAAATGAAAAAAAAAAAAGAAGAGAAAGAGATAGAGAGAGAGATGAGCTTCAAACCAATTTTTTTTTCTCTTATAACTTCATTGATCAAAAGAGCTTTTATATAAAAACAAAAGCTTTACTTCTAAAGTTTTATTTTGTCGACAAGATCTAACATTTCGTATCCGTAAACATTATCGAGGTCGAATTTCAACAAGCTTCCAAACTCTTGGTCAAAAATAGCTTTTCTATCACCTTTTAAACGACCCTCTGGAGTTTCAGCCACTTCTTTCTTGAAATCCAGGTTTCTCTTGTTCAAAAAATCTTTAATTACTTCAACCGTCTCATCTGGGTGTTCACCTAGAACCAAGTGCTCGCCATCCTTCATATCAACCCCACCGGCGAAATATTTCGGGTTAATGGTATTTCTTATCCAGTCAATACTTTCCGGTGGATTCCAGCGTGCCTTTGACCCAATAACATGTAAAACTGGGATTTGGATAAATGGTAATGCTGACATTCCCTTTGGGATTGAAAGGAACGCTCCTAAATATCCTGCCATTTGGTGAGGCTTCATACATTTTAGTTTATAAATATATTCTCCAGTTTCCTTATCCTTCACCTTGATGATTTCATCCGCCATGTAATCATTCAACACATCACGTTGAAACTTCTTAGTAAATGAAAACTGCTCAAAGTAATATTTTGCATCTTCTTCAGAATCAAAAGTATCTATAATAAAGTTTGAGATTTTACTGAAAATTGTTTTGAAAATCTCAAGCCCTTCTGGTTTACCGTAGAAAACAGCTTCAATAGGAACAACTGAGTCGAATAACGTTTCGCCCAAAAATGCAGCATAAAGTGCTACGAATCCGCCCATTGAATGGCCAATGAGCACGTTTCTAGACTCGGAATCGTTTTTGAAATCACCTGTAGTATCGATTTCGTTCTGAACAACTTGTATAAGGTCGCGTGCGCCATCGTCCCAAGTGTATATTGGCCCCAATTTGCCAAAATTTGCCAAACTTGAATCGCCGTGTCCAAGAGCATCAATAGCAATCACCGAATCTAAAAACCATGGCACTTGCATAGATTGTGAAAGCTTATACAATTTCTTTATATGGTAGTTCCAAATTGACTTGTTGAACCCTGTGCCATGGACAAATATCAAGTTAAACCTCAATTGTGAATTTGCCTTTGGTAAGGGGCAATTCGATTTATACTTGTTATAAACGATAACAAGTTGTTTATCATCATCTTTTAGTAACGTGCTTCCAGGCGCCCGCCAGGGGTAGGCCTTGGTTTCCTTCTTCTCTAACGTAAAGGACATCAACCCAGTAATAAGATATTATCCTCTCTAGAAAAGAAAAAAAAAATAAAAAAAGAAAGTCCTCAGCTATAACATTAAAAGGTTTCTAAATCTGGCTATTTTTTATAGCCTTTATTTGATTACACTTTTTGTGGGGAAAAGAAATTTTTCAAAAGTTGCTCCTCGGTAAACGGAAAAGACTTATCAGTTGGGGGTAAGTAGAGTAGATACCGGGTATATCGTAGAAGTTGAGAAAAAAAATAAAAAAAGAAGGAAAAGCGAGAGTCGAGGTCACATGAACTGCTATTAATTTCAAGTTGACTCAACTTGGAGATATGAAAAGAAAAGGGGGTCAAGAGAAGGGGTTAAAATAAAGGTGAAGTAGGTAGATTTCTTGTGACAGCGGTTATTCCTCACAACACTAATAATCTCTGTTCTCTTATCCTCTTGTTCCTCATTCTCTTATCCTCTTATTCCTCATTCTCTTATCCTCTTATCCTCTTATCCTCTTATCCTCTAATTCATCTTTTCTCTATTAGCAGGATCCTGCTAATCCAAGCTAATTTGTATTCCGATAAACAAAAAGAAATAAACGAAGTTTCAAAATTTTTCAAATTTTTCAATTTTTCAATTTTTCAATTTTTCAATTTTTTTTCTCTTGTAAGATCATTTAATATAGAGAGGAGATGACGATATCATCAAAGATTCTAATATTGAGGACAGTTAGTCAGGTTCGACAATGGAGAGCAAAGCTCTTTTCAGATAACCAGTCTGTAGGGTTTGTGCCCACCATGGGAGCTTTACACGCAGGACACTGTTCCTTAGTGCGAAAGTCCTTGGAAGAAAACGATAAAACTATAGTTTCAATTTTTGTTAATCCATCCCAGTTTGCACCACATGAGGATTTAGATAATTACCCAAGGACGCTTGACCGAGATTTAGAGATATTGGAATCTGAATTTTCCGATAAACAAGTGGATGCGGTGTTTGTACCCAAAGTCTCGGAGATGTATCCAAATGGAATCTCGTTGGATATCGATAAACAAAAAGGTGCATTTGTCAATGTCCATGGATTAAGTGAGCAACTAGAAGGTATTACGAGACCGCAATTTTTTAGAGGAGTTTCGACGGTGGTGACTAAGCTATTAAACATTGTACAACCAACAAGGGTCTATTTTGGCCAAAAGGATGCCCAGCAGTGTGTAGTGATTAACAATCTTGTACGCGATTTGATGATACCCACAAAAGTAAGAGTTGTGCAGACAGTGAGGGAATCCAACGGTTTGGCGATGTCCTCAAGAAATGAATATTTATCAAAGGAGATGAAGGATAGGTGTTCGATAATTTATAAAGCGTTGAAGGAAGGTGCTTCTCTTTATAATGAAAATCGCGAAAAAGGGGGCAAGGTCAATTCGTCTATAATCATTGATAGAATAAAGGACATTGTTAGCCAGAATGATGAGTTTGAAATTGAATACGTTGCTGCTAGCCATCCTGAATCATTAGAAGATGTCGAGTTGATAGAGCCCGGGGTTGGCGCAATAGTTTCCTGTGCAATCAAAGTTCCAAAAGAAAGTAGCACAGAGAAAGCCAGATTGATTGACAATATAATTTTGCAATGACAAACGAATTTATAATATTTTAATGATGATTTTACTTGTGTACAAAAGTAAGTTTGCGTTTATTTTGGGGAGACAATAGAAAACGAAATATAGAGCATGCATAACAGAGTAACAGAGTGACAGAGTGACAGACAGAGTGACAGACAGAGTGACAGACAGAGTGAGTGAGTGAGTGAGTAAGTGAGTGAGTGATATTTACAAAAACTCTAATGTAATTAAACCCGTGTGTCACAGTGCTAACTCAATATTATCTAATTACAGCTCCACTATCTCGCTCTGCTCGATAGTGTCACAGCGTTAACCCAATACTATTTAATTACAGCTCCACTATCTCGCTCTGCTCGATAGTGTCACATCTTCTTGATTAAACACAAGGTTTAATTATTACTGTCAATAGCAACAAATTAAGCTCTCTGTACATTAATGTTTAGAAACGCTTTCGAACTAGAAATCTCTTTTTCAATTCGGTATGTTGCCGGTTGCCAGGTTTCTTTTGCTCTTTTGTTTTTTTCTCTTCAAACAAGACCCGATCCTGATCTAATTGTTGCGCAAATCGCTCCTTTGTAATTAATCCCTGGCTGTTTACCAATTGGTTCTGCTCAGTCTCTGGGACTCCAAAGAATTTGTAACCATATTGCAATAACCACATGGGATCGACACATGTTACACAATTCATGTATTCCTTTGATGTCAATATTAGCTCATGAAATATCACAAAATTCAGACTCAAATTGCAGTTCAATAAGCTACTTGTAGGATGCAAGTACATATTCATGTAAGAGTGTCTCAAATTCATGAATTCAGCCGCTCCATTGACATTAGTTTTCACAAGCTTTGCCAGCTGTTGGTAATACGCTGCGCAAAGACACTTTCGAACATTTTCATCACGCGGAGATTTCAACACTGGTAACTTGTTTTTCTGCATAATTTGAAGTATTTGACTCCGGATCTCTCTTGCTTGGTACAATGATTTGCAATGAAGAAAATTCTTCTCACACCATTGATTGATTTTACTCCAGTTCTTGCCAAATTTCTGCAAATTGAGATCCCATTGGCAATATACATTAAGCAATGTCAAGTGATCAGATTCTGCAACGGTAAACTTTTCTCTTGCAAAATCTGCTTCATGGGCCCGTTCTTTCGAGCGCTGGAAAATGCCTGGAACGCTCAACATAGCAACTATAGTAACGATTTCTTCTGAGCAATGAAATTCATGCTGGGTCGATAATAAGATCAACTTGGATAATGTAGGCTCAAGGGGGAATTGAATCATGCCGCGACCAAGCTCAGTCAATTCGCCAAAATTGTCCAAAGCATTAATAGCCCATAAATCGTACAAAGAGCAGTTGAGTAGATCCTTTGGGGGTGGGTCTAAAAATGGAAATGAGTTAATATCATTTATTCGTAATGATTTTAATAAAAGCATAGTGTTGCTCAAATTAGTCCTTTGAATTTCTGGTATTGGTTGCTCGTACATATTGTTTGGATTGGTTGCGTTTTCAGTGTATAAGCGGTAAGCAATACCAGTGCTTGTTCTCCCGGCTCTACCACTTCTTTGTTGGGCATTTGCCATAGATATCGGAACCACTTGCAAAGTGTCCATACCTAGCTTGGAATTATACACCTTTTGTTTCACCAAGCCGCAATCTATGACATACTTGACACCATCCACTGTTAATGACGTTTCGGCTATATTTGTAGCCACAACCACCTTTCTCCGGGAGGCATCTTTTTTTCTAAATATTTTCCTTTGTTGTTCTGGCGGCATTGATGAGTAGATTGGCATTATATCCAATGGTGGAGGGTTTTCCAACATATCCAACTTTTCACGAAGCAAGTCACAAGTAACCTCGATATCCTCCTGTCCAGTCATGAAAACAAGAATATCTCCATCATTAACAAAACTTTTGCTTTCGGCGCGAATCAGGTTTCCTAGATGTATGGAAAGTATTTGCTTAACTGCATTCTCTACATAATCCATGATAACATTTTTGTTATAGTATATTTCCACTTGATATGTTCTTCCTGGTATTGAAAATTGTGGTGCTGCTCCAAAAAATCGCGTAAATCTATCCGCATTCATTGTGGCAGAGGTAACAACTAATTTCAAGTCTCTGCGCTTTGCTAATAAGCTTTTAAATAAACCCAATAAAATGTCAGTGTTGAGTGATCGCTCGTGAGCTTCATCCATAATAATACAACTATACTCACTTAACAATGGATCAGCAAGCATTTCTCGAAGAAGAATTCCTTCAGTCATATACTTTATCACTGTTTTCTTGGGATTTGTTTTATCATCGAAACGAACTGAATAACCAACTTCTTCGCCCAATTCAACTTGCATTTCTTTACTAACTCGTTTCGCCACCGAAGTTGCCGCTACTCTTCTTGGCTGAGTACATGCAATCACCTTCTTTTCTGAACCTTCTCCTCCAATGGACGCAAATCCGGCTTCAAATAAATATTGCGTCAATTGAGTCGTTTTTCCTGATCCGGTCTCACCAATGATAATTGTGACTTGGTTATCTCGAATGGTGGTAACAACGTCATCTTTTACAGTAAAAGCAGGCAAGTTTCGCCGCTGCTCATTTATATTTTCTATAGTTTCACCCTGGTCATCATAATTCTCCCCCTCTGTTTTGTCATCTTGTTTATTGTCAGCTGTATCAGTAACAGCCCCAGTACTTTCCTTCGCTTGCTTAGCTCTTTCCTGTTTCGATCTTCTATTCTGGGTAACTAATGAACCCTGTCTTGCCATGGAGGCTAACTCTGAATTAAGGTTTTTAATTGGGTTTATTGTCGGTCCTATTCCCTTAACGCTTGTACCTGAAATCTGTAAAGTTAAAAACTCTTTCAGTTTTTCAAGAAACGGCGGTATAAAGACATGGCTGACTATCAGTATACGGTTAAAGTCATTGTGTGAGGCATGATCGTTGTCTATATACTTTCCATGTGCGTCAAAATACCCTCCAGTAGCTGCTCGGCTCGATTCATTAAAAGTCTTAGATGAGGGTGTAATAGGTTTCGCTAACGGTATGGAGTTATTTTTTTGAGGAGCTCTATGAGTCATGGGTCTGGGTACTGTCTTGTTGTTCCTACCTACTTCAAGTTTCGGCTCTTTGGTTGGCACCATCATCTCGTTTCCATTCAATATCTGAGTAGCCGGTTGGGCTTGTTTCAACCTCGCTGCTTCTTCAACTTTAATCCTTTTAAATTTCGGTCGAGCTGTACCCTCTTGAGCCTCCTTTTGCTTTTCAAAAACAGGCTTTATTCTAGTATCAGTCTTCTCTTCCTCTTGCCCTTCTTTTTCCTCTTTTTCTTCCTCTTCACTCATATCCTCATAAGACAAGCGCAATCCTTGCACTTTATTGCTTTTACGGACCACCTTCTTAGTCTCAAGTGGGGTAGGCATCAGCCACGATACATGAGCATTCACGTAATCAAAGATATCCTTTGCATGGTTCTCATTCTTTAATCCAATGACTTGGAGAAACTTGGTAAACTCTTCCAAATTTTTGGAAAGAGCTTGCGTCTTTACAGTTTTCGATAGCGACTCATTTACCGGTTTATTTAAAGATCGGGATAGCTTTTCAATAATAGTGTGGTTCACTTCATTGCTCATCTCCTTAGTCCACTTCACTAGATTGCAAAATTCTAAAGGAAGAAAAAAAAAAAAAATTTTGAATAAATATTTATCGATTACCAAATAAAAAACTATTAATACTACGGGGTCAATATAATGGCATGGACAAATTACCAAAGAGGTTCCATAACTATCTAAAGCACTCGGTCAGATTCCGATGTAAACTCAGTCCGCCGCCAAAAAGTTCGTCAGAGTTGAAGTTTGTTTTAAACGTTTTGGAAAAATTAGCTACAGTTGACATTTTGAGATCAACTTCATTGACCCCATTGGATCCCAAAAAGTTGCTTGAATCTGGTTTTTGGATAGATATACTATATAGTCCATGTTATCCGAAAAGTATATTTCTGCCAATGTTACCAAAAGGTGATTTCCCGCCTTTGAGTAAGGAATCAATAGCAAAGAATAAACTTGCACAGTCAAATTTTATTGAAAAGTTGAATAGTCTAGTTGCGATTCCTCGGTTCCACGCTTTAGAAACGGACACTGAGTACATTGAAAACCAGAGAGGTATAAAGCTTGTTCATCAGCTTGTTCCCAGTGCAATGTCGTACAGAGGGAATTACGAATTGACAACGTCCACCATAGACAATCCACTAATATCCATAAAAAGAAAGGAGCCATTAGTAAATGAACATGTGTTGAGAGCATCGATGCGACACAACTTTCAGTTGTTTCATAAATTCGAAAGCATAGCAATTTATAAAAACGGCTTGTTCAATCTTGTGGAAATGAATTAAGACGTTTCTTTGGCAAAAAGAAAAAAAAAATAAAAAAAAAAAATAAAATTTAATACCTTAATGATAACTGGTAATCTAATCTATTTACTCTTCACTTCAACCAATTTTTTCACCTTCTCAGAGTCCTTCTCCAATACGTCGTTGAGATAGTTCAACCCCATTTGTTGCCTCAATAAAATCTTGGCAATCTTGTCAATTGCATCCTCATTGTTGTCGCTGTCTTCTTTAGCTTGTTCCTTCGCCAGAATGTCATTGCTTAATGATCCATTCAAAGAATGCATAGATTGATCAAATTGAGAATTCAAGTCCTCTGCTCTCTCCTTGAGTATAGCCAATTTGGCAAAAATATCACTAAGCTTACCAATGGGGCTATTAGGATCATTTATCTTAGAAGTCAAAATATCAAACTGCTTTGCTATTTCTTCTTCTTCAGGTAACAATGGGTAGCCTTTCAATTTGAGAATGGCCAATACCGTCGCTAGCCTTAGAACTCTCCTTGATAATTGAGTGTGTCTTGCCTTTGCCTTCAATATTCTCGTTGTGTTCTCTAAATCGTGTTTTGCAGATAATGTATTTAATCTTTCATTGATTGTGTTCAAAATTACCCTTGATTTCGCCACTTGGTTCAATTGAGCTTCAATCCTTTGTGCAACTTCGGTGAATGAAGTAATTTTCTGAGGATAAAAGTTAGGGCCAGGTCTCTCTGCCATAGCTTTGTCCCAGTCCTCTACAGTTTCATTGGCTGGTCGTGGCTGCAATAGCAACTGATTAATTTGCTGATCGTCAAACTTGTTATAAAAGTGTGTCTTTAATCCACATTTAGCTGAATTGGGATCCCACTGCTCCCAAATTTTGGCCAATTGATCGTTAATTGCTGGGGTGTATAGGTATTGATTAGGGTTTGGCTGTTGATTGACGCTTTGGCCAAGTGTTTTGGTTTGGTTCTGATTGAAATTCAAAACGTTTGATTGTTGAGATTGGCTCCAACTAAAAGACGGCTGTTGATAATTTGTAGTGTTTGTTGGAACAACTCCTATTTGTTGTGGTTGTTGTTGTTGCTGTTGTCCGAAAAGAGTTCCTCCTGTTGTTGTAGTGGCAGGTTTTGAGCCAAACAACGTACCGCTTTGGTTATTGCTGGAGCCAAAAAGACCACCTTGGTTACCACCAAACAATCCTCCTGTTGCTCCAGTACCGCTCTGTTGAGTATTGCCAAACAATCCTCCTGTTGCTCCTGTGCCGCTCTGTTGAGTATTGCCAAATAGTCCTCCTGTTGCTCCTGTGCCGCTCTGTTGAGTATTGCCAAATAGTCCTCCTGTTGCTCCTGTGCCGCTCTGTTGAGTATTGCCAAATAGTCCTCCTGTTGCTCCTGTGCCGCTCTGTTGAGTATTGCCAAATAGTCCTCCTGTTGCTCCTGTGCCGCTCTGTTGAGTATTGCCAAATAGTCCTCCTATTGCTCCTGTGCCGCTCTGTTGAGTATTGCCAAATAGTCCACCACCTGTCAGTGTTCCCGCAGGTTTCCCGAAAGCTGAATTACCTGTATTAGATCCAAAAATGTTTGTAGTTGGTGTTGTGCTTTTTAATTGATTTGAACCAAAAAGTAGTCCACCTGACAGCTTGGGTTGGCTAGATCCAAAAAGACCGGTATTGGCAGATCCCGTATTATTCGATTGTGACTGTCCAAATAAACCGCCTGACGTACCAGACTGACCAAACGCATTCTGCTGTGATTGCTGCTGCGGCTGCTGTTGTTGTTGTTGTGATCCAAATGATGTAGATGCCGCCCTATTGCCAAAAATTCCTCCGCCAAATGTGTTGCTATTGCTGTTACTATTGGCATTCGATGACCCAAATAGCCCTCCGCCTGTGCCACTGTTACTGCTCGTGCCAAACATGTCCTCTTTTTCAATGGCTAACTATGGACTCTAGTTTGTTTTTTCATTATTACCATAGTAAATTTTTTTTTTTTCGATGTAGTAGAAAGCGAGATTCATTTGGTAATGAAAAATTTGATAACTGAGAGAGAAATGTTAACTATGGAATGGAATAAGAGAAATGTTAACTATGGAATTGAGAGTTTCTCTCAATAGTGAAGATTTACCAATGAGATGACCTTGGCATAGTTTGTAGCTCGTTGTTCAATTACCTGCATGCTAAACTCGTTAGCAGCTTTGTTTATTTCTTTAATATATTTTTAAGTGATTTGTGTGATATATAATTGAATGTTATGTATCACACACATACACACACACTGTCTCCAATTTCTCTCACATGAGCTAATTTATATTCTGTTCAGACTTTTTTAAATACTCTTTGGTCAATCTAACGTCCTTAGGGTCAGCTTTGTATACTGGATTCTTTTTATGGTGTATTTGCTCATCAACATCAGGAATGCGTTTCTCCAACTTCAAGTTGTCAAAAACACATTTACTCAATACCCCTTCACTAGCACGGCAACGACTGAAGTATTGATTATTCTGTTCCAAGCAGTCATAATGCAACTTAAATTCGTCAAAACAATATTTATTCAAATCTTTCAATACTGATATCGCGCATCTGGTTACTCTTCTACCTTCTTTCAAACACTCTACCGTGCCTCCGTTCTTTTCTTCTTTACACATCATAAAATCATCATTATATGGTTTACATCTGTCGCCTATATAATATGATGCCGATAGTAATGGTGCCGATGTTGCTCCAACTTCGTCAACCTCTGGTATATCCTTTGGCAAGGGAGTTTCCTCTTTATTTTCCCACTTGTGCCTACTCAAAAAAAGATCACGAAACATTCTCTATTATATACTAACTCTTCCACTAACCACCTCAGATCTTTTCAATTGAAAATTGAAATACCTTTAAGAGAAAATTTATTTGTATTGTAAATTGTTTAATTTTGGTTGGTCAAGGGAAAAAAAAAAAAAGGAAAATATTTAACAAGAAGATAGTAGGATAGATTATTAAAGAGATCAATGTTTCAAGATCTAACTGGGAGGAAGTAAGTTTGTTGGTAAAGGGATGAGATAGGTTAAGTAACACGTTCTTGTCAAGTCTGTTTTAGTCGTTTTCTATTTCTCTCGCTTCGCTCTCTAGTGTCCGTGTGCTCCACTATCAAGCAGAGTGAGATAGTGGAGCACACGAGCTACTAAGTCGTAACAAGCTACTGCCAAGCTACTGCCAAGCTAACAAGCTACTGAGTTGTGACAAGGTACAAATTGTTGCTCGATAGTGTCGGAACAAGCTACTGAGTTGTGACAAGGTACAAAGTGTTACTCGATAGTGTCGGAACAAGCTACTAGATGTTGCTCCACTATCTCATTCTGCTCGATAGTGTCACTCGATAGTGTCGGAACAAACTACCAGGTGTTGCTCCACTATCTCGCTCTGCTCGATAGTGTCGCTCGATAGTGAAGCACATTTACCACGCTTTTACTTCACAGATAGCACTGTTTGCACTTTTGCTATTTCCAATACTAAATCGTTATTTTGATCTCGCTTACCATTCTCTGCCATTTGTTGCAAAAAGCTTTTAAACTCAAGGAAAATCGAGGATATTTTGCTATGGACATATTGATCTTGAAAATGGCTTCTTTCAGCAACGGTTATAAAACCATCATTTTCTAGATACTTATTTGTATTCATAATCGATAAGTAAACGCTGGTAATCCTCCGTAACTGCTCGACGCTGGTGTTTGTTTCTTTTACGCAAATGTCAAACAAATCCATTTGTTCATGAATCAACAAATTTAGTTTCAAATTAGTCTTTAAATCAACGAGTAATTGTCTTTTTTCCAAAACTTGAGAAACATCATCATCCATAGTTTGAAACTGGTTTCTATACTCTTCCAAGTCAATCTTGAAGTTTTTTAAATCCTCTGAGATTGAAGATATTAGTTCATCACCGCCATTTATTGATTTGCCCAACTTGATGAAGTCATTATAGTCCTGATTTACAAGACTTAGCAAATTTTGGTTCAACTGCTGAGATAATTCTTGCAAATCTTTGATGAGGATATCGAGTGAGGTGAAGCGATGATTCTTGTATAGGAATTGATCTATTTGATCTTCGCTCATATCCTGTTTGAAATCCGTTTCTCGTATGGTTTCTTGAAATGGAAAGTCCTCCGAGTTGATAACAATTTCCTCTTCATTCATTGTGAATGTGCCAAAGTCTGTGTAAGTACCTAATTAGCTAAATTGGAAGAATTGTGTTTTATAATGTGACAAGAAACCAACTTTTGAGTTTTCAACATGGAGATGCTACCAGTTGAATACAAACCTGACCACTATCATCACCACCACTAGACATGAGTTTTGGTTGCATCCAATACAACAATGGACATGTATCTACTTGTTACTATTGTTTAAGAGAAGTTTATGAGAATTTGGCGAGATCTGTGGTATATGCAAAACCTCCATATATACAACCTCTATACATTGTGAATTTTTTTTTCACTGAAAAAGCTGCAAAAAGAATTAAAAATGAAAACTCTTAAAAAGAGGTGACAGATAGAGCCATAGTTTGTGTAAATCATTTTTCAATAGATACATTATCTCGGTAAATGACTACGGTTGAAGGGAAGAGAGATCTTGAAAAGCTTTTTTATTTGTTGGGTATTGTCACACCCACACTAAATTGCAATTTCATTTTGCAATTTGATTTGCGCTTCCCTAGTGTCGATACCGTCTTCAAAGTGTTGCTCCACTATCTCGCTTTGCTCGATAGTGTCGTAATTTACACAACGGTGGTTGCCACCTTTGAGTAAGACTCCAAAACGAAAAAAGTAAATGTGGTTGAGGAGAGAGTGGGGTTGGTTACAAAGTAAGCAATATGCAAACTTGAATCATTATGAAAAAAACCAGTTTGTGGTTTCACTGAGAGTATTAAAAGGGATATAGGAATGTTCCGAGGTATTTTTTTCTTCTATCTACTAGAATATAACCCGGGTTAGATTGATTTCGAGGTAAACAGCCAAGAGTAAGCAAAATAATCAGACTTTTAATTAAAGATGATATATAGCCAAAACTTACGTTCAGTATGGGGAAAAGCGGGGGGCGGGGGGGGGGGGGG